CATTACTGATGTGATATTGTCTGTAATTTACTACACCATTACTAATGTGATATTGTCTGTAATTTACTACACCATTACTAATCTGATATTGTCTGTAATTAACTACATACTTATGTGATATTGTCTGTAATTTACTACACCATTACTGATGTGATATTGTCTGTAATTTACTACACCATTACTGATGTGATATTGTCTGTAATTTGCTACACCAGTACTGATGTGATATTGTCTGTAATTTACTACATCATTACTGATGTGATGTTGTCTGTAATTTGCTACATCATAACTTATGTGATATTTTTTGTAATTTACTACACCATTACTGATGTGATATTGTCTGTAATTTACTACACCATTATTGATGTGATATTGCCTGTAATTTACTACATCATTATGTGATATTGTCTGTAATTTACTACACCATACTGATGTGATATTGTCTGTAATTTACTACACCATTTACTACATTACGGATGTGATATTGTCTGTAATTTACTACACCATTACTGATGTGATATTGTCTGTAATTTACTACACCATTACTGATGTGATATTGTCTGTAATTTACTACATACTTATGTGATATTGTCTGTAATTTACTACATACTTATGTGATATTGTCTGTAATTTACTACATACTTATGTGATATTGTCTGTAATTTACTACATACTTATGTGATATTGTCTGTAATTTACTACACCATTACTGATGTGATATTGTCTGTAATTTACTACACCATTACTGATGTGATATTGTCTGTAATTTACTACACCATTACTGATGTGATATTGTCTGTAATTTACTACATACCTATGTGATATTGTCTGTAATTTACTACACCATTACTGATGTGATATTGTCTGTAATTTACTACACATTACTGATGTGATATTGTCTGTAATTTTACTGATGTGATATTGTCTGTAATTTACTACACCATTACTGATGTGATATTGTCTGTAATTTATGTGATATTGTCTGTAATTTACTACACCATTACTTATGTGATATTGTCTGTAATTTACTACATACTTATGTGATATTGTCTGTAATTTACTACATACTTATGTGATATTGTCTGTAATTTACTACATCATTACTTATGTGATATTGTCTGTAATTCACAACATCATTACTGATGTGATATTGTCTGTAATTTACTACACCATTACTGATGTGATATTGTAATTTACTACATACTTATGTGATATTGTTTGTAATTTACTACACCATTACTGATGTGATATTGTCTGTAATTTACTACATCATTACTGATGTGATATTGTCTGTAATTTACTACACCATTATTGATGTGATATTGTCTGTAATTTACTACATACTTATGTGATATTGTCTGTAATTTACTACATCATTACTTATGTGATATTGTCTGTAATTTACTACATACTTATGTGATATTGTCTGTAATTTACTACACATTACATGTGATATTGTCTGTAATTTACTACACCATTACTGATGTGATATTGTCTGTAATTTACTACACCATTACTGATGTGATATTGTCTGTAATTTACTACACCATTATTGATGTGATATTGTCTGTAATTTACTACACCATTACTGATGTGATATTGTCTGTAATTTACTACATACTTATGTGATATTGTCTGTAATTTACTACATACTTATGTGATATTTTGTATTTTATTTCATACTTACCTATGTGATATTGTCTGTAATTTTTTACTGATGTGATATTGTCTGTAACTACATGTGATATTGTCTGTAATTTACTACACCATTATTGATGTGATATTGTCTGTAATTTACTACACAATTACTGATGTGATATTGTCTGTAATTTGCTACACCATTACTTATGTGATATTGTCTGTAATTTACTACACCATTACTGATGTGATAATGTCTGTAATTTACTACACCATTACTGATGTGATATTGTCTGTAATTTACTACATACTTATGTGATATTGTCTGTAATTTACTACACCATTACTGATGTGATATTGTCTGTAATTTACTACATACTTATGTGATATTGTCTGTAATTTACTACATACTTATGTGATATTGTCTGTAATTTACTACACCATTACTGATGTGATATTGTCTGTAATTTACTACATACTTATGTGATATTGTCTGTAATTTACTACACCATTACTGATGTGATATTGTCTGTAATTTACTACATCATTATGTGACATTGTCTGCAATTTACTACATCATTACTGATGTGATATTTTCTGTAATTTACTACACCATTACTTATGTGATATTGTCTGTAATTTACTACATACTGATGTGATATTGTCATTACTGATGTGATATTGTCTGTAATTTACTACACCATTACTGATGTGATATTGTCTGTAATTTACTACACAATTACTGATGTGATATTGTCTGTAATTTACTACACCATTACTGATGTGATATTGTCTGTAATTTACTACATACTTATGTGATATTGTCTGTAATTTACTACACCATTACTGATGTGATATTGTCTGTAATTTACTACACCATTATTGATGTGATATTGTCTGTAATTTACTACATACTTATGTGATATTGTCTGTAATTTACTACACCATTACTGATGTGATATTGTCTGTAATTTACTACACCATTATTGATGTGATATTGCCTGTAATTTACTACATCATTATTGATGTGATATTGTCTGTAATTTACTACACCATTATTGATGTGATATTGTCTGTCTGTAATTTATTTACTACACCATTACTTATGTGATATTGTCTGTAATTTACTACATACTTATGTGCTATTGTTTGTAATTTACTACACCATTACTTATGTGATATTGTCTGTAATTTACTACATCATAACTTATGTGATATTGTCTGTAATTTACTACACCATTACTGATGTGATATTGCCTGTAATTTACTACATCATTATTGATGTGATATTGTCTGTAATTTACTACACCATTATTGATGTGATATTGTCTGTAATTTACTACACCATTACTGATGTGATATTGTCTGTAATTTACTACACCATTACTGATGTGATAATGTCTGTAATTTACTACACCATTACTTATGTGATATTGTCTGTAATTTACTACATCATTACTTATGTGATATTGTCTGTAATTTACTACACCATTACTGATGTGATATTGTCTGTAATTTACTACATACTTATGTGATATTGTCTGTAATTTACTACACCATTACTGATGTGATATTGTCTGTAATTTACTACACCATTACTGATGTGATATTGTCTGTAATTTACTACACCATTACTGATGTGATATTGTCTGTAATTTACTACACCATTACTGATGTGATATTGTCTGTAATTTACTACATACTTATGTGATATTGTCTGTAATTTACTACACCATTACTGATGTGATATTGTCTGTAATTTACTACACCATTACTGATGTGATATTGTCTGTAATTTACTACATCATTACTGATGTGATATTGTCTGTAATTTACTACACCATTACGGATGTGATATTGTCTGTAATTTACTACACCATTACTGATGTGATATTGTCTGTAATTTACTACACCATTACTGATGTGATATTGTCTGTAATTTACTACATCATTATGGATATGATATTGTCTGTAATTTACTACATACTTATGTGATGTTGTCTGTAATTTACTACACCATTACTGATGTGATATTGTCTGTAATTTACTACATACTTATGTGATATTGTCTGTAATTTACTACATCATTACTGATGTGATATTGTCTGTAATTTACTACACCATTACTGATGTGATATTGTCTGTAATTTACTACACCATTACTGATGTGATATTGTCTGTAATTTACTACACCATTACTGATGTGATATTGTCTGTAATTTATTTACTATTGTCTGTAATTTACTACATACTTATGTGATATTGTCTGTAATTTACTACATACTTATGTGATATTGTCTGTAATTTACTACATCATAACTTATGTGATATTGTCTGTAATTTACTACATACTTATGTGATATTGTCTGTAATTTACTACACCATTACTGATGTGATATTGTCTGTAATTTACTACACCATTACTGATGTGATATTGTCTGTAATTTACTACACCATTACTGATGTGATATTGTCTGTAATTTGCTACACCATTACTTATGTGATATTGTCTGTAATTTACTACATACTTATTTGATATTGTCTGTAATTTACTACATCATAACTTATGTGATATTGTCTGTAATTTACTACACCATTACTGATGTGATATTGTCTGTAATTTACTACACCATTACTGATGTGATATTGTCTGTAATTTACTACATCATTATGTGACATTGTCTGCAATTTACTACATCATTACTTATGTGATATTTTCTGTAATTTACTACACCATTACTGATGTGATATTGTCTGTAATTTACTACATACCTCTGTGATATTGTCTGTAATTTACTACATCATTACTGATGTGATATTGTCTGTAATTTACTACATACTTATGTGATATTGTCTGTAATTTACTACACCATTACTGATGTGATATTGTCTGTAATTTACTTCACTATTACTGATGTGATATTGTCTGTAATTTACTACATACCTCTGTGATATTGTCTGTAATTTACTACACCATTACTGATGTGATATCATCAGTATAATTCTACCATACAGACACAATTTTCCATCAGTATAATTCTACCATACAGACACAATTTTCCATCAGTATAATTCTACCATACAGACACAATTTTCCATCTGTATAATTCTACCATACAGACACAATTTTCCATCAGTATAATTCTACCAAACACCCACAATTTTCCATCAGTATAATTCTACCATACACACACAATTTTCCATCAGTATAATTCTACCAAACACACACAATTATCCATCAGTATAATTCTACCAAACACCCACAATTTTCCATCAGTATAATTCTACCAAACACACACAATTATCCATCAGTATAATTCTACCAAACACCCACAATTTTCCATCAGTATAATTCTACCAAACACACACAATTATCCATCAGTATAATTCTACCAAACACACACAATTTTCCATCTGTATAATTCTACCAAACACACACAATTTTCCATCTGTATAATTCTACCAAACACACACAATTTTCCATCTGTATAATTCTTCCAAACACCCACAATTTTCCATCAGTATAATTCTACCAAACACACACAATTATCCATCAGTATAATTCTACCAAACACCCACAATTTTCCATCGAATAATTCTACCAAACACACACAATTATCCATCTGTATAATTCTACCAAACACACACAATTATCCATCTGTATAATTCTACCAAACACCCACAATTTTCCATCGAATAATTCTACCAAACACCCACAATTTTCCATCGAATAATTCTACCAAACACCCACAATTATCCATCACTATAATTCTACCACACAAAATTATCTATAAGTAGAATTCTACACACAACTACCACATTCTACATACACCTACCATGTTTTTCATATACTTGTAACATATTTTTTAAACAAAACATGCTACAACATATTTCACAAACATGCCATGACATTTTAACGTTCATTTTGATATATTTCACACCTGCTACAACGCATCTCCACAACAGATCTTTTAACTGAGAACATACATCAAATAACTTCCGATGATTTTCTCCATGTGTTCAATCACAGGTTAAGCAGTATTGCTTGTATAACAACATGAGGTAAATCTTCAATCTATCCACACAGATCTTCCAGCAATCTGTCTTTCTCAATCTGAAGTCTCGGGTTTTAACAAAATGGCTTGGATCTCTGTCATAGCATTGCTGCTGCCTGGGCAACATATTCTGTCCCAAATAGACCACGGCATTTCAGTGTAAACTCCTTGGTCAGTTCTCGTATCTTTCTTTTGTTCATTCTTTCCCTTGAAAAAACCAAAGAGTATCAGTGAAACTGATGAATGCTCCCTGAAAATGACTTTACCAGACAAAATAATTTTACTAAAAGGCAATAATTCTGTAATTAAGGGGTTGCAGGCCCTGAATTTGGTAGAATTTAGTTTACAACACATTCTCCTAGTATGACCAATGTACACAATTTTCATGCTTCTAGTTTTAATGCAAGAAAAGCTAAGCTCATGACACAAAATATTAACAAAGGGCAATAAGTCTTTGCCTCAGGTGACCTTAAATTCCATTATTAGACTAATTAGAATAAACAGATACAGGAAGCTTCACTTTAACATGCCATAGAGCAGTAGCTTTAGTGGCATTATATATTTTCCATGGTGACAAAAACAAAAGCCTCAATGGGCCTGCTATCCCTACCTGATAATCAATGCTTTTTCTAACATTATGTATATTTGACCTTCAAAGTAAGTAAAAATGAAACATTTCCAAACTATGACAGCAAGTAGGCAAACATAACTGGCTCTAACTGAATCAAAAGATAGACAAACCATCAGCTAATCATCAAAAATTCGTCATTACTGAGTGATCTAAGCCGTAAGAGATGCATCATGGCAATGGGCAGATTGATATCACTTCACTTTCCAAATAATGAATTCAAGTTATCATTTTTGAAACAAGACAAGATGATAAATAATAAGGGAATTTTCACAATGATTTGTGTAATACAAGTCTCACAATGAATTGCGTAGTTACAGATCACACAATAATTTGTGTTAAACAAAGTTCTGTATAGTTACAGGCCACACACAGTTCTGTATAGTTACAGGTCACACACAGTTCTGTATAGTTACAGGTCATACAGTTCTGTATAGTAACAGGTCACACACAGTTCTGTATAGTTACAGGTCACACAGTTCTGTATAGTTACAGGTCACACACAGTTCTGTATAGTTACAGGTTACACAGTTCTGTATAGTTACAGGTCACACACAGTTCTGTATAGTTACAGGTCACACACAGTTCTGTATAGTTACAGGTCACACACAGTTCTGTATAGTTACAGGTCACACAGTTCTGTATAGTTACAGGTCACACACATTTCTGTATAGTTACAGGTCACACAGTTCTGTATAGTTACAGGTCACACACAGTTCTATATAGTTACAGGTCACACACAGTTCTGTATAGTTACAGGTCACACACAGTTCTGTATAGTTACAGGTCACACACAGTTCTGTATAGTTACAGGTCACACACAGTTCTGTATAGTTACAGGTCACACACAGTTCTGTATAGTTACAGGTCACACAGTTCTGTATAGTTACAGGTCACACACAGTTCTGTATAGTTACAGGTCACACAGTTCTGTATAGTTACAGGTCACACACAGTTCTATATAGTTACAGGTCACACACAGTTCTGTATAGTTACAGGTCACACACAGTTCTGTATAGTTACAGGTCACACACAGTTCTGTATAGTTACAGGTCACACACAGTTCTGTATAGTTACAGGTCACACACAGTTCTGTATAGTTACAGGTCACACAGTTCTGTATAGTTACAGGTCACACACAGTTCTGTATAGTTACAGGTCACACAGTTCTGTATAGTTACAGGTCACATACAGTTCTGTATAGTTACAGGTCACACACAGTTCTGTATAGTTACAGGTCACACACAGTTCTGTATAGTTACAGGTCACACAGTTCTGTATAGTTACAGGTCACACACAGTTCTGTATAGTTACAGGTCACACAGTTCTGTATAGTTACAGGTCACACACAGTTCTATATAGTTACAGGTCACACACAGTTTTGTATAGTTACAGATCACACACAGTTCTGTATAGTTACAGGTCACACACAGTTCTGTATAGTTACAGGTCACACACAGTTCTGTATAGTTACAGGTCACACAGTACTGTATAGTTACAGGTCACACACAGTTCTGTATAGTTACAGGTCACACACAGTTCTGTATAGTTACAGGTCACACACAGTTCTGTATAGTTACTGGTCACACAGTTCTGTATAGTTACAGGTCACACACAGTTCTGTATAGTTACAGGTTACACAGTTCTGTATAGTTACAGGTCACACAGTTCTGTATAGTTACAGGTCACACACAGTTCTGTATAGTTACAGGTCACACACAGTTTTGTATAGTTACAGGTCACACACAGTTCTGTATAGTTACTGGTCACACAGTTCTGTATAGTTACAGGTCACACACAGTTCTGTATAGTTACTGGTCACACACAGTTCTGTATAGTTACAGGTCACACAGTTCTGTATAGTTACAGGTTACACACAGTTCTGTATAGTTACAGGTCACACACAGTTCTGTATAGTTACAGGTCACACACAGTTCTGTATAGTTACAGGTCACACACAGTTCTGTATAGTTACAGGTCACACACAGTTCTGTATAGTTACAGGTCACACAGTTCTGTATAGTTACAGGTCACACAGTTCTGTATAGTTACAGGTCACACAGTTCTGTATAGTTACAGGTCACACACAGTTCTGTATAGTTACAGGTCACACACAGTTCTGTATAGTTACAGGTTACACAGTTCTGTATAGTTACAGGTCACACAGTTCTGTATAGTTACAGGTCACACACAGTTCTGTATAGTTACAGGTCACACAGTTCTGTATAGTTACAGGTTACACAGTTCTGTATAGTTACAGGTCACATAGTTCTGTATAGTTACAGGTCACACAGTTCTGTATAGTTACAGGTCACACACAGTTCTGTATAGTTACAGGTCACACAGTTCTGTATAGTTACAGGTCACACACAGTTCTGTATAGTTACAGGTCACACACAGTTCTGTATAGTTACAGGTCACACACAGTTCTGTATAGTTACAAGTCACACAGTTCTGTATAGTTACAAGTCACACAGTTCTGTATAGTTACAGGTCACACACGGTTCTGTATAGTTACAGGTCACACACGGTTCTGTATAGTTACAAGTCACACAGTTCTGTATAGTTACAGGTCACACAGTTCTGTATAGTTACAGGTTACACACAGTTCTGTATAGTTACAGGTTACACACAGTTCTGTATAGTTACTGGTCACACACAGTTCTGTATAGTTACAGGTCACACAGTTCTGTATAGTTACAGGTCATACAGTTCTGTATAGTTACAGGTCACACACAGTTCTGTATAGTTACAGGTCGTACAGTTCTGTATAGTTACAGGTCACACACAGTTCTGTATAGTTACAGGTCACACAGTTCTGTATAGTTACAGGTTACACAGTTCTGTATAGTTAGAGGTCACACAGTTCTGTATAGTTACAGGTCACACAGTTCTGTATAGTTACAGGTCACACACAGTTCTGTATAGTTACAAGTCACACAGTTCTGTAGATACAGTTCACACACAGTTCTATATAGTTACAGGTCACACACAGTTCTGTATAGTTACAGGTCATACAGTTCTGTATAGTTACAGGTCACACACAGTTCTGTATAGTTACAGGTTACACAGTTCTGTATAGTTACAGGTCATACAGTTCTGTATAGTTACAGGTCACACACAGTTCTATATAGTTACAGGTCACACACAGTTCTGTATAGTTACAGGTCACACACAGTTCTGTATAGTTACAGGTCACACACAGTTCTGTATAGTTACAGGTCACACAGTTCTATATAGTTACAGGTCACACACAGTTCTGTATAGTTACAGGTCACACAGTTCTGTATAGTTACAGGTCACACACAGTTCTATATAGTTATAGGTCACACAGTTCTGTATAGTTACAGGTTACACAGTTCTGTATAGTTACAGGTCACACACAGTTCTGTATAGTTACAGGTCACACACAGTTCTATATAGTTACAGGTCACACAGTTCTGTATAGTTACAGGTCACACACAGTTCTGTATAGTTACAGGTTACACACAGTTCTGTATAGTTACAGGTCACACACAGTTCTATATAGTTACAGGTCACACACAGTTCTGCACAGTTACACCTAAGTTGTTTAGGTAGATAGTTCTGTATTTCTGTATATACATATTCACAAACCTTCCTATATTCTTGACAAATGTTTCCTTTTCACTTTCTGATACCCTAATGGAGGGGTATCCTTCTCGGTCCACCATCTCACTCAGCCATTTATTCAGGTTCTGTCGGAAGTGTTTGTTGAGTGTGAAGACAATGTCAGCTATGTGTTCTATAATTCCTCGTGACCCCTCACCACCTATAGCCTGGAACAATCAAATATTGACAATAACAACACATCTACTCTCCACTTGGATATTTTCCCCGAGAGGACCCTTTCATGCTAACTTACCCTGAGATCTTTGTCTATAAGGACATGTCTCTGACTTACCCTGAGATCTTTGTCTATAAGGACACACCTCTAACTTACCCTGAGATCTTTGTCTATAAGGACACGTCTCTAACTTAACCCTGAGATCTTTGTCTATAAGGACACATCTCTGACTTACCCTGAGATCTTTGTCTATAAGGACACGTCTCTAACTTAACCCTGAGATCTTTGTCTATAAGGACACATCTCTGACTTACCCTGAGATCTTTGTCTATAAGGACACATCTCTGACTTACCCTGAGATCTTAGTCTATAAGGACATGTTTCTGACTTACCCTGAGATCTTTGTCTATAAGGACACACCTCTGACTTACCCTGAGATCTTTGTAAGGACACACCTCTGGCTTACCCTGAGATCTTAGTCTATAAGGACACGTCTCTAACTTAACCCTGAGATCTTTGTCTATAAGGACACATCTCTGATTTACCCTGAGATCTTTGTCTATAAGGACACACCTCTAACTTACCCTGAGATCTTTGTCTATAAGGACACGTCTCTAACTTATCCCTGAGATCTTTGTAAGGACACACCTCTGACTTACCCTGAGATTTTTGTAAGGACACACCTCTGACTTACCCTGAGATTTTTGTAAGGACACACCTCTGACTTACCCTGAGAACTTTGTCCATGAGGACGTGGCCTTCTGTTTCCACCACCTGTTTCATAGCTGGACATTCTGGTGCATTGCTGATGAATTCATTCTACAAAATGGTATCAACTTTTCAGTACAGCAAACTTTTTACAAAAGCTTACCTATAAACCTATATCAGTCAATAATGATTGTTTTTTTTTCTCTCTGATCAATATCTTTACAATCTATGTAGTTACACAGCAGTCCAGTCAATACAGTGACATCCTATCCTAATATGTCTTATGACAAGTATATATTTATAGGTTCACACCATCTTTTCCATACCCCAAGGAAATGCCACTATCAAACAATGGTTGTTGGTTTGGTGTCAGTTTGATAATTTTACTTTGTTACTCTAGTTACTTTTTTCTGTTGAACTAAAAGCAGCATCTACAGTGAAAACGCTGTAACTTCTGGTAGCCATCTTAAATATTCAATCAAACCCAAAAAGTGGCTTGCATAGCGCCGACCCGCTCTGGGTTAGATCATCATGAGCACTGATAGATTGATTACCAGAAAAATACGCACAAGATCACAGAGATAGACAGACCAAGGAAGAAAATTTATTTAAAAAGTCCACCATCTTAGAATGATGGACTTAATATCTATAGTTTTTTTAATGTTACTTCTAATCTTGACATTATACCATCCTGGAACTATAAACACTATGTCATCTTACATGTTTATCAGGGGAAAAAAGAACTTGATTGATACTAACCAGAAATGAGCAGGCAGACTTCACAGTGGTGTGCTCAGGGAGACATAGTGCCTGAATTCCTGCACAAAGACAACACATTCAATTTGGTGGAGATTAACACAAACTTTATCACTGTACTCTTGTGAAGTCAATACATTTCATCACATTTCATACAAATCATTGGAGTAGTCTCCCTTTCCTATTTTCAATGTACAATACTGTTTCATGATAAGACTTGACCATTTCATTTCAATCTTGTTAAGTCACAATTTTCAAACAAAATCAGTCTGTTGTTCTGTAAAGTCAAATTTTTCAAACAAAATTTGAAAGTTTCTTTTAGATTCTAAAGTTAATGGTGCTTAATAACAGAACTAGAATATCACTTGATGATGTTGTGTTACCTGTGATAACTATATCAATGTTGTGTTACCTGTGATAACTATATCAATGTTGTGTTACCTGTGATAACTATATCAATGTTGTGTTACCTGTGATAACTATATCAATGTTGTGTTACCTGTGATAACTATATCAATGTTGTGTTACCTGTGATAACTATATCAATGTTGTGTTACCTGTGATAACTATATCAATGTTATGTTACCTGTGATAACTATATCAATGTTGTTATGCTACCTGTGATAACTATATCAATGTTGTGTTACCTGTGATAACTATATCAATGTTGTGTTACCTGTGATAACTATATCAATGTTATGTTACCTGTGATAACTATATCAATGTTGTTATGCTACCTGTGATAACTATATCAATGTTGTGTTACCTGTGATAACTATATCAATGTTGTGTTACCTGTGATAACTATATCAATGTTGTGTTACCTGTGATAACTATATCAATGTTGTGTTACCTGTGATAACTATATCAATGTTGTGTTACCTGTGATAACTATATCAATGTTGTGTTACCTGTGATAACTATATCAATGTTATGTTACCTGTGATAACTATATCAATGTTGTGTTACCTGTGATAACTATATCAATGTTGTGTTACCTGTGATAACTATATCAATGTTATGTTACCTGTGATAACTATATCAATGTTATGTTACCTGTGATAACTATATCAATGTTGTGTTACCTGTGATAACTATATCAATGTTGTGTTACCTGTGATAACTATATCAATGTTGTGTTACCTGTGATAACTATATCAATGTTGTTATGTTACCTGTGATAACTATATCAATGTTGTGTTACCTGTGATAACTATATCAATGTTGTGTTACCTGTGATAACTATATCAATGTTGTTATGTTACCTGTGATAACTATATCAATGTTGTTATTTTACCTGTGATAACTATATCAATGTTGTGTTACCTGTGATAACTATATCAATGTTGTGTTACCTGTGATAACTATATCAATGTTGTGTTACCTGTGATAACTATATCAATGTTGTGTTACCTCTGATAACTATATCAATGTTGTTATGTTACCTGTGATAACTATATCAATGTTGTGTTACCTGTGATAACTATATCAATGTTGTTGTGTTACCTCTGATAACTATATCAATGTTGTGTTATCTGTGATAACTATACCAATGTTGTGTTACCTCTGATAACTATATCAATGTTGTGTTACCTGTGATAACTATATCAATGTTGTGTTACCTGTGATAACTATATCAATGTTGTGTTACCTGTGATAACTATATCAATGTTGTGTTACCTGTGATAACTATATCAATGTTGTTATGCTACCTGTGATAACTATATCAATGTTGTGTTACCTGTGATAACTATATCAATGTTGTGTTACCTGTGATAACTATATCAATGTTGTGTTACCTGTGATAACTATATCAATGTTGTTATGCTACCTGTGATAACTATATCAATGTTGTGTTACCTGTGATAACTATATCAATGTTGTGTTACCTGTGATAACTATATCAATGTTTTGTTACCTGTGATAACTATATCAATGTTGTTGTGTTACCTCTGATAACTATATCAATGTTGTGTTACCTGTGATAACTATATCAATGTTGTGTTACCTGTGATAACTATATCAATGTTGTGTTACCTCTGATAACTATATCAATGTTATGTTACCTGTGATAACTATATCAATGTTGTTATGCTACCTGTGATAACTATATCAATGTTGTGTTACCTGTGATAACTATATCAATGTTATGTTACCTGTGATAACTATATCAATGTTGTGTTACCTCTGATAACTATATCAATGTTATGTTACCTGTGATAACTATATCAATGTTGTTATGCTACCTGTGATAACTATATCAATGTTGTGTTACCTGTGATAACTATATCAATGTTGTGTTACCTGTGATAACTATATTAATGTTGTGTTACCTGTGATAACTATATCAATGTTGTTGTGTTACCTGTGATAACTATATCAATGTTGTGTTACCTCTGATAACTATATCAATGTTATGTTACCTGTGATAACTTTATCAATGTTGTTATGCTACCTGTGATAACTATATCAATGTTGTGTTACCTGTGATAACTATATCAATGTTGTGTTACCTGTGATAACTATATCAATGTTGTGTTACCTGTGATAACTATATCAATGTTGTTGTGTTACCTGTGATAACTATATCAATGTTGTGTTACCTGTGATAACTATATCAATGTTGTTGTGTTACCTCTGATAACTATATCAATGTTGTGTTACCTGTGATAACTATATCAATGTTGTTGTGTTACCTGTGATAACTATATCAATGTTGTGTTACCTCTGATAACTATATCAATGTTATGTTACCTGTGATAACTATATCAATGTTGTTATGTTACCTGTGATAACTATATCAATGTTGTGTTACCTGTGATAACTATATCAATGTTGTGTTACCTGTGATAACTATATCAATGTTGTGTTACCTGTGATAACTATATCAATGTTGTGTTACCTGTGATAACTATATCAATGTTGTTGTGTTACCTCTGATAACTATATCAATGTTGTGTTACCTGTGATAACTATATCAATGTTGTGTTACCTGTGATAACTATACCAATGTTGTGTTACCTGTGATAACTATATCAATGTTGTGTTATCTGTGATAACTATATCAATGTTGTGTTACCTGTGATAACTATATCAATGTTGTGTTACCTGTGATAACTATATCAATGTTGTTGTGTTACCTGTGATAACTATATCAATGTTGTTGTGTTACCTGTGATAACTATATCAATGTTGTGTTACCTGTGATAACTATATCAATGTTGTGTTACCTGTGATAACTATATCAATGTTGTTGTGTTACCTGTGATAACTATATCAATGTTGTGTTACCTGTGATAACTATATCAATGTTGTTGTGTTACCTGTGATAACTATATCAATGTTGTGTTACCTGTGATAACTATATCAATGTTGTTGTGTTACCTGTGGTAACTATATCAATGTTGTGTTACCTGTGATAACTATATCAATGTTGCTGTGTTACCTGTGATAACTATATCAATGTTGTGTTATCTGTGATAACTATATCAATGTTGTGTTATCTGTGATAACTATACCAATGTTGTGTTACCTGTGATAACTATACCAATGTTGTGTTACCTGTGATAACTATATCAATGTTGTGTTACCTGTGATAACTATATCAATGTTGTGTTACCTGTGATAACTATATCAATGTTGTTGTGTTACCTGTGATAACTATATCAATGTTATGTTACCTGTGATAACTATATCAATGTTGTGTTACCTGTGATAACTATATCAATGTTGTGTTACCTGTGATAACTATATCAATGTTGTTGTGTTACCTGTGATAACTATATCAATGTTGTGTTACCTGTGATAACTATATCAATGTTGTGTTACCTGTGATAACTATATCAATGTTGTGTTACCTGTGATAACTATATCAATGTTGTGTTACCTGTGATAACTATATCAATGTTGTGTTACCTGTGATAACTATATCAATGTTGTGTTACCTGTGATAACTATATCAATGTTATGTTACCTGTGATAACTATATCAATGTTGTGTTACCTGTAATAACTATATCAATGTTGTTATGTTACCTGTGATAACTATACCAATGTTGTGTTACCTGTGATAACTATATCAATGTTGTGTTACCTGTGATAACTATACCAATGTTGTGTTACCTGTGATAACTATATCAATGTTATGTTACCTGTGATAACTATATCAATGTTGTTATGTTACCTGTGATAACTATATCAGTGACGTTGTGATAATTACATTAATACTTTCTGATGAATATGTTTTAATTATCTACTATTTTCTGAAGATTGATCCTGGGTGATTTTCTATACTTTTTACATTACACCAGTGTATCTTATATTAATGATACTGGAACAACATTGAATCATTGTATTGAATAGGTAACACCAATGTATGTATAATAGTGATTTTTTAAAATTGTAATTTCACCTTTAAAAATTAGGAAAATCAATACCCGGTAGATGATAAAAGAGGCCCATGGGCCTTAACGGTCACCTGAGATCTCCAAGTCCTTAGACAGTGTTAGAACCTGTCCATTAGTCCTGGCTTTGGGGTAGACAGAACAGAACTGATATATGCATACAAAGTTTTTATTGTTATTAAGTTTGAAGGCTTATTTTCCACTAAATGGAACTGATAACACTGTTTTTGCAGTTTAGCATATATGGATGGAGGTCGAGGTCATTCATTTGAACAAATTTAGTAGCCCTTCATCCAAGCATGCTGCTGGCCAAATGTTATCACCCTGGTCCTTTTGATTATTAAGAAGAAGTAAAAAATGTAAATTGTTTACACTGGACAATGGACGCGGGTAGATGACAGACGATCACAATAGGTCGCTTGAGACTCTGTCTTAGGTGACTTCAGAATAAAGAAAAATAATCATAATAATTTTGTACTCATTTTAGTGGTATTCTAGCATCAATCAGCACCTTCAATCAATCAGCACCTTCACATTCATGTAATTGCACTAATACAAGTGCAGCTCTAAAAGTTCAGTGGAAAAATTTTAAATTGTACTAATAAGGCTAACCCCTCAAAGCAGTTAATAAAGAAAGTTTTAAATGAAATACACATCCAGTATTCTATTAATTACCACTCCTGTTCTCTTCCATATTCCTGCAACCTAGTTCTAATATAAGTGTAGGCCTGCTATCAAAATAATGATTTTAAATACTAAAAAGATATACAAATCTTTTTCAATAATAAGTCATTCTTTGTAAATTTCTTCAAAAGTATTTGAGATAACCACATTAAAAGTTTAAAAGGATTTAATGTAACCACTTGAAAAGTCTAATACGGAGATAAACTTATTGATCTAGATTTGAAATCTTTATACATACCTGCATGGAAGAGACTAGGAATGCTACAAGTACCGTCAAATACCAACTGTTTATTTTTCTTTAACACCTGTAATATATTTTTAAAAAAAGGGGGTGGAGTTGAAAAACTTGTGATAATAAACCCAAGACAAGTTTAAAAAGATTGTTGTAATGTGATCTTAATAAGGTAAACCTATAGACCAACACAGTGTCTTCACACAGTAAAAACCTACAGACCAACACAGTGTCTTCACACAGTAAAACCTACAGACCAACACAGTGTCTTCACACAGTGAAACCTACAGACCAACAGTGTCTTCACACAGTAAAATCTACCGATCAACACAGTGTCTTCACACAGTAAAAACCTACAGACCAACACAGTGTCTTCACACAGTAAAATCTACCGATCAACACAGTGTCTTCACACAGTAAAAACCTACAGACCAACACAGTGTCTTCACACAGTAAAACCTACAGACCAACACAGTGTCTTCACACAGTGAAACCTACAGACCAACAGTGTCTTCACACAGTAAAATCTACCGATCAACACAGTGTCTTCACACAGTAAAAACCTACAGACCAACACAGTGTCTTCACACAGTAAAATCTACCGATCAACACAGTGTCTTCACACAGTAAAAACCTACAGACCAACACAGTGTCTTCACACAGTAAAACCTACAGACCAACACAGTGTCTTCACACAGTAAAACCTACAGACCAACACTGTCTTCACACAGTAAAACCTACAGACCAACACAGTGTCTTCACACAGTAAAACCTACAGACCAACACAGTGTCTTCACACAGTAAAACCTACAGACCAACACAGTGTCTTCACACAGTGAAACCTACAGACCAACACAGTGTCTTCACACAGTAAAATCTACCGATCAACACAGTGTCTTCACACAGTAAAAACCTACAGACCAACACAGTGTCTTCACACAGTAAAATCTACCGATCAACACAGTGTCTTCACACAGTAAAAACCTACAGACCAACACAGTGTCTTCACACAGTAAAATCTACCGATCAACACAGTGTCTTCACACAGTAAAAACCTACAGACCAACACAGTGTCTTCACACAGTAAAACCTACAGACCAACACAGTGTCTTCACACAGTGAAACCTACAGACCAACACAGTGTCTTCACACAGTAAAACCTACAGACCAACACAGTGTCTTCACACAGTAAAACCTACAGACCAACACAGTGTCTTCACACAGTGAAACCTACAGACCAACACAGTGTCTTCACACAGTAAAATCTACCGATCAACACAGTGTCTTCACACAGTAAAAACCTACAGACCAACACAGTGTCTTCACACAGTAAAACCTACAGACCAACACAGTGTCTTCACACAGTAAAACCTACAGACCAACACAGTGTCTTCACACAGTGAAACCTACAGACCAACACAGTGTCTTCACACAGTAAAATATACCGATCAACACAATCAACACAGTGTCTTCACACAGTAAAAACCTACAGACCAACAGTGTCTTCACACAGTAAAACCTACAGACCAACACAGTGTCTTCACACAGTAAAATCTACCGATCAACACAATCAACACAGTGTCTTCACACAGTAAAAACCTACAGACCAACACAGTGTCTTCACACAGTAAAACCTACAGACCAACACAGTGTCTTCACACAGTAAAATCTACCAATCAACACAATCAACACAGTGTCTTTACACAGTAAAACCTACAGATCAACACAGTGTCTTCACACAGTAAAACCTAAAGACCAACACAGTGTCTTCACACAGTAAAACCTACAGACCAACACAGTGTCTTCACACAGTAAAATCTACCAATCAACACAATCAACACAGTGTCTTTACACAGTAAAACCTACAGATCAACACAGTGTCTTCACACAGTAAAACCTAAAGACCAACACAGTGTCTTCACACAGTAAAACCTACAGATCAACGCAGTGTCTTCACACAGTAAAACCTACTAACCAAAATTAAAACTCGAGATAAATATTGCCCCTTGATATTCATTCTACATATATCCATATAATTTGAAACAACAGTTCTTGATATCTTTTTCTATTTATTTATTGTTTCTAGAATTAAATTTTAATAGACATTGTGAACAAATTTGAAAAATCATATTTTCTAAACAACAGAAATAATTTTTCCATACAGAAAATCAGAAACTGAGTCCTGCAATAATTCTCTAATGTCCTCCAAAGTAGGGAATAAAAAACTTACCTGAGCCATAAACGCCATGAAAGCCTCTATTACATCCGTGTAGTTATGTAGACCTGGATGATGATAATATATAATAAATATTAATATATATTCTAAATACAGAGGAACTTCTCCAAACCAACCATACATGGGACATAAATTGACGGCCAGTTTGAGGTGGGTTTGGTTTGGAGAAGTAAAGTACGTTGACTGGTCTGGACTTGGATATGAATGAACTGATTCCGATTATAGAGTTAAAATATTTCGGTAAAGTGAAAAACCAGTGATTCTTGTATACTCTGTGACTCTGTGAAATATGCTTGCATTGCTGCATGATCTCGGAAATAACGTTACATTCGGTCCAACAAATTGCTGCTTGTCCAAAAGTGTAACCAACCAATATATCTGATATGATTTGTTGATCAGGATAAAAGCTCTTCATCTAAAATAACACACATATTTCCATTCTGTGTTGAAATAGCTGTTTCTCATTTTAATGAAACGATGGACTCCTTCAATATGGTTTTAATTTGTCACTGCAGATTTCTATATATTATGCTTATCGTAAACATAATGCATGTTTACATAAACAAAATGTATGCTTACATAAACATACATACAATCCCAATCCAGGTAGGTATTTGCACAAAGTCTACTCATGACAGAAATATGTGCCTGGGGGCAAATCTTGTACAACTCATCACCACAGGTGTTGATTTCACAGTACACTGGTCTTTCAGTATATTTCATAATTTCTGACAAAAAATTGGTCCTGTATTTGGAATTAAGAGGGACTGATATTGGGAAGTTTTTCATTGCTATGATAAAGAAGATATCATTGCGTACATGGTCAAGAGGAGAGTGGTACTGAAAAGGATCAGTTTGGGGAAGTTGCATTGTAATATTAAACATTACATATCAAATCATAATAATATTAGATACTAAAAAATTATATTATATACTGAATGATAATTATATTATATACTGAATGATAATTATATTATATACTGAATGATAATTATATTATATACTGAATGATAATTATATTATATACTGAAAGATAATTATATTATATACTGAATGATAATTATATTATATACTGAAAGATAATTATATTATATACTGAATGATAATTATATTATATACTGAAAGATAATTATATTATATACTGAATGATAATTATATTATATACTGAATGATAATTATATTATATACTGAATGATAATTATATTATATACTCAATGATAATTATATTATATACTGAATGGTAATTATATTATATACTGAATGGTAATTATATTATATACTGAATGGTAATTATATTATATACTGAATGGTAATTATATTATATACTGAATGATAATTATATTATATACTGAATGATAATTATATTATATACTAAGAAATAAAAGACTTTGGTATTTAAAGAATTCTTTAAATGGAATCAGACTGATACACACAGAATTCTACAGAAGGAATCAGACTTTAGTACACACAGAATTCTACAGAAGGAATCAGACTTTAGTACACACAGAATTCTACAGAAGGAATCAGACTTTGGTACACACAGAATTCTACAGAAGGAATCAGACTTTGGTACACACAGAATTCTACAGAAGGAATCATACTTTGGTACACACAGAATTCTACAGAAGGAATCAGACTTTGGTACACACAGAATTCTACAGAAGGAATCAGACTTTAGTACACACAGAATTCTACAGAAGGAATCAGACTTTGTTAAACACAGAATTCTACAGAAGGAATCAGACTTTGGTACACACAGAATTACACACAGAATTAGAAGGAATCATACTTTGTTACACACAGAATTCTACAGAAGGAATCAGACTTTGTTACACACAGAATTCTACAGAAGGAATCAGACTTTGTTACACACAGAATTCTACAGAAGGAATCAGACTTTGGTACACACAGAATTCTACAGAAGGAATCAGACTTTAGTACACACAGAATTCTACAGAAGGTCTCAGATTTTGGTACACACAGAATTCTACAGAAGGAATCAGACTTTGGCATACACAGAATTAGAAGGAATCATACTTTGGTACACACAGAATTCTACAGAAGGTCTCAGACTTTGTTACACACAGAATTCTACAGAAGGTCTCAGACTTTGTTACACACAGAATTCTACAGAAGGAATCAGACTTTGGTACACACAGAATTCTACAGAAGGAATCAGACTTTGGTACACACAGAATTCTACAGAAGGAATCAGACTTTGGTACACACAGAATTCTACAGAAGGAATCAGACTTTGGTACACACAGAATTCTACAGAAGGAATCAGACTTTGGTACACACAGAATTCTACAGAAGGTCTCAGACTTTGGTACACACAGAATTCTACAGAAGGTCTCAGACTTTGGTACACACAGAATTCTACAGAAGGTCTCAGACTTTGGTACACACAGAATTCTACAGAAGGAATCAGACTTTGTTAAACACAGAATTCTACAGAAGGTCTCAGACTTTGGTACACACAGAATTCTACAGAAGGTCTCAGACTTTGGTACACACAGAATTCTACAGAAGGAATCAGACTTTGGTACACACAGAATTCTACAGAAGGAATCAGACTTTGGTACACACAGAATTCTACAGAAGGAATCAGACTTTGGTACACACAGAATTCTACAGAAGGAATCAGACTTTGGTACACACAGAATTCTACAGAAGGAATCAGACTTTGGTACACACAGAATTCTACAGAAGGAATCAGACTTTGACTTTGTACACACAGAATTCTACAGAAGGAATCAGACTTTGGTACACACATAATTCTACAGAAGGAATCAGACTTTGGTACACACAGAATTCTACAGAAGGAATCATACTTTGTTACACACAGAATTCTACAGAAGGAATCAGACTTTGGTACACACAGAATTCTACAGAAGGAATCAGACTTTGGTACACACAGAATTCTACAGAAGGAATCAGACTTTGTTAAACACAGAATTCTACAGAAGGAATCAGACTTTGGTACACACAGAATTCTACAGAAGGAATCAGACTTTGGTACACACAGAATTCTACAGAAGGTCTCAGACTTTGGTACACACAGAATTCTACAGAAGGAATCAGACTTTGGTACACACAGAATTCTACAGAAGGAATCAGACTTTGGTACACACAGAATTCTACAGAAGGAATCAGACTTTGGTACACACAGAATTCTACAGAAGGAATCAGACTTTGTTACACACATAATTCTACAGAAGGAATCAGACTTTGGTACACACAGAATTCTACAGAAGGAATCAGACTTTGGTACACACAGAATTCTACAGAAGGAATCAGACTTTGGTACACACAGAATTCTACAGAAGGAATCAGACTTTGGTACACACAGAATTCTACAGAAGGAATCAGACTTTGGTACACACAGAATTCTACAGAAGGAATCATACTTTGTTACACACAGAATTCTACAGAAGGAATCAGACTTTGGTACACACAGAATTCTACAGAAGGAATCAGACTTTGGTACACACAGAATTCTACAGAAGGAATCAGACTTTGGTACACACAGAATTCTACAGAAGGTCTCATACTTTGTTACACACAGAATTCTACAGAAGGAATCAGACTTTGGTACACACAGAATTCTACAGAAGGAATCATTCTTTGTTACTCAGAGATTACTACAGAAGGAATCAGACTTTGTTAAACACAGAATTCTACAGAAGGAATCAGACTTTGGTACACACAGAATTCTACAGAAGGAATCAGACTTTGGTACACACAGAATTCTACAGAAGGAATCAGACTTTGTTACACACATAATTCTACAGAAGGAATCAGACTTTGGTACACACAGAATTCTACAGAAGGAATCATACTTTGTTACACACAGAATTAGAAGGAATCATACTTTGTTACACACAGAATTCTACAGAAGGAATCAGACTTTGGTACACACAGAATTCTACAGAAGGAATCAGACTTTGGTACACACAGAATTCTACAGAAGGAATCAGACTTTGGTACACACAGAATTCTACAGAAGGAATCAGACTTTGGTACACACAGAATTCTACAGAAGGAATCAGACTTTGGTACACACAGAATTCTACAGAAGGTCTCAGACTTTGGTACACACAGAATTCTACAGAAGGAATCAGACTTTGGTACACACAGAATTCTACAGAAGGAATCAGACTTTGGTACAAACAGAATTCTACAGAAGGAATCAGACTTTGGTACACACAGAATTCTACAGAAGGTCTCAGACTTTGGTACACACAGAATTCTACAGAAGGTCTCAGACTTTGGTACACACAGAATTCTACAGAAGGAATCAGACTTTGGTACACACAGAATTCTACAGAAGGAATCAGACTTTGGTACACACAGAATTCTACAGAAGGTCTCAGACTTTGGTACACACAGAATTCTACAGAAGGTCTCAGACTTTGGTACACACAGAATTCTACAGAAGGTCTCAGACTTTGGTACACACAGGATAAACAGAAAGAAAGAATTAAATTCCCCGGCCAAATTTTGTCAAAGTCTGATGATCAAAACTGAAGAAGGATTCCTAGTTGTTATCTCCAAGTTCCTACCTTGTTGGTAAAGTAGTAGAGTTTTATCACTCAGGGCGGCCAGTAACACCCTAACAGTGCTGGAGAACTCGCTGTCAGTGGCAAACATCAGGATCAGCTGTAACATATATAACCACTCTTAAGTCATACAAAAACTTCAATGTAACCATACTCAGTCATACAAAAACTACAATGTAACCATACTCAGTCATACGAAAACTTCAGTGTAACTACACTCAGTCATACGAAAACTTCAATGTAACTACACTCAGGTCATACGAAAACTTCAGTGTAACTACACTCAGTCATACGAAAACTTCAATGTAACTACACTCAGGTCAAACGAAAACTTCAGTGTAACTACACTCAGTCATACGCAAAAAATCAATGTAACCATACTCAAGTCCTACGAAAACTGAAATGTAACCACACTCAGTCATATGAAAACTTCAATAACCATGCTCAGATCACACAAAAACTTAAATTAATATTTTGGTAAAGACTATGTATGTCTTTTATTGATGTCTTATGTGTGTTGAGAGCTGAACAGTTTTCAAATCTAAATCTGTTGAATGGTATCAAGTTGTAGTCCAGAATAACTGGCAACAGAGAAAGTATCTAAAAATGAATCTTTGCCAAAAGTAAAAGGCACAACAAGGACACCTGCCCTATATGTATACAAAGTTTAATAGAACCCCACTGAATTGCTTCCAACCTTGTATAAAGGAAGCTTTGTATTCTGAGTTTGTTCCTATGGTAGCAAAGTAAATATTGAAAATAAAATCTGGTCAACAGCAAAAAGCACATGTTGAGCTGTGAGATGAGTCTTATACTAACTCGTATTTATATTTACCTGCTTGGCCAGATCCAATATGGCTGCTTGGGGCACAACCTCGTACATTTGCACTACCATCTGTGCAACACTTTGTGACATGGGAGCGAAGTCATCCATTAACGTACTTAAAGACCTCTTAAACAGGTCACAAACAGCCTGGGGATAAAAAATAAAACAGGTACAAACAACCTTGGGAGGAAAAAATGAAACCAATCATTCATTGTGAAAATTCCATTTGGTCACCTATCAGTCATTTTGTTTTTCCTAATTGGTCCCATTTTTGAAAGGGCACAACTAAGGAACAAGGGAATCCTACATATAAAAATTGAGAAATATAAATCCAGTACTTCTCAAGAAACAAAGATAACAAACTTTCAAGGTCAAAATCCAAGATGGCCACCTGTTGGCCAATTTGTTTTTTCTGCAGTCCTAAAATCAAACGAGCACAACAAGTGTCCAAAGAAAACCTACAAATGAAAATTTAGAAAGATCTATCAAGGACTTTCAAGAAAAAGCTATAAAAATCTTTACAGCCAAAATCCAAGATGACTACCTGTTGGCCCATTGGTTTAAAAATCAATGGGCATAACTAGAGACCATGGAAACCTACACATAAAATTTAAGAGAGATCCATTCTGTGCTTATCAAGAAATAGTGATAGCAAAAATCACAAAGATTTGAAAAGCCCCATATCTGATGATGGTGGGCTAAACATGAAACAGGTCAATGAAGGCCCAGACAACAACAATTTATATAGAGCCTGGGAGGGCTATTCATTAAAGTCACAAAATGTAGAACTTCTTACGACATTCATCATCTTCTGAAATTGAAACATACTAGATTGTATTCATTCTGGGTGAGTAAGTTTCATGTGAATATCATGTCTGTTTGTCAGACAATTTGGAAATCAAGGCCCTGCTTAATGTGAGAACAATAATCCCTGCTAATTCACAATCTGCTTACCAAGATACACATATAAGACAACCTATCAACCGTGTCAAAACACATGTAAATATATTGTAAGCAGTTCAGAAAAATATTAAAAAAGCATGGTAGATTGAATATTTTAAATAAAACATCTCTGTTCGTAGTGAGCAGACATTCAATGAATTGTCTGCAATATCACACTTCAATGAGTAACAACTTTCATGTCAGGAATTTTACTAAACAATTATCTATGAGTATGAAAATGACGAAGACAATGAAAGACATCTACAAATACCTGTATTTACAGTAATTACCATATATAGACATTCTGAAAATAGCCAACAGCATCATACTGATGACTTCATCGTCATGTTATTAAGGGCGATTACTCTAGTTAGGATGTCCAGTTGACTATAGATAGCGGTCAAATATTAGTTCACTTAAAACATACAAAGTAGTTCAGTCATTTATGTGAAAATTTTACCAGACAATCAAAGCCATGCTAACTACAAAATAAGCTTACTTGGAGAATAATATATGAGAACTTACCTCGATGATACTGGAGTCAGTGATCCACTTAGCCACAAGCTGGTGTATTACAGGAGCAACTTGTTGTAATATCACAAATACCTACAAACATCAATAAATTGTATCACAAATACCTACAAACATCAATAAATTGTATCACAAATACCTACAAACATCAATAAATTGTATCACAAATACCTACAAACATCAATAAATTTGTGTAATATCACAAATACTTACAAACACTGTGTTATATAGACAGACTATACTTACCAACACAGATAACTGTTATTACACTGTGTTATATAGACACACCTACCAACACAGATAACTGTTATTACACTGTGTTATATAGACACACCTACCAACACAGATAACTGTTATTACACTGTGTATATAACACACCTACCAACATACTGTTATTACACTGTGTTATATAGACACAATACACAATTGTTATTACAATAGACACACCTACCAATAGATAACTGTTATTACACTGTGTTATAACCTACCAACACAGATAACTGTTATAAATTTGTGTTAATATCAACAAACTGTTTTTACACTGTGTTATATAGATAGACTACCAACACAGATAACTGTTTTTACACTGTGTTAAATAGACACATCTACCAACACAGATAACTGTTATTACACTGTGTTATATAGACACACCTACCAACACAGATAACTGTTATTACACTGTGTTATATAGACACACCTACCAACACAGATAACTGTTATTACACTGTGTTATATAGACAGACCTACCAACACAGATAACTGTTATTACACTGTGTTATATAGACAGACCTACCAACACAGATAACTGTTTTTACACTGTGTTATATAGATAGACTACCAACACAGATAACTGTTTTTACACTGTGTTATATAGATAGACTACCAACACAGATAACTGTTTTTACACTGTGGTTATACTGACAGACTTCAGCTCTCATCTGTTAATATACCCATAGTATAATCAGGTTTAGAAATGCTTTGTGAAATGATCAAAGTTCTGTATAACACTGTCAAAAGTATAAATGGAATGTTAAACTGGGCTGAATTAATAGATTTCTCTTTTAAGTTGCATTAAATGATCATTGAATAACTTCCTGCCACCTGAACAGTTTCAACCAGGTTAAACAATTGCAGTCTAAAGATTAAGTCATTGATTCCTGAAACATTGTAAAATATTTAAATTTTATTTAATAGGACAATGCACTGTGTGACGAGTTCCCGAATTAATTTGACCCATTGTAATTAGCTTTGAAAATATCATGATGGGTACGCCATTTAACTTTGATGCAGTGTTGCAAATGATCAGTAAATTATAAGTGTGATATTTCTAACATCGTCCTGACATACTAGCCCAAAGTTAAAGCTGATCAAACTCCAATTTTTGTGAATTCCAAATTCATCATTCTTACTTTGGCTTGTTAAAATTGGAAGGCAAATTACAAGCAAAAATGGCTAACACCATTTTATCACGTTTCATCAACCTTAACTCTGAGCACATAAATCTAACAACTTACAGGTTTTGGATTTTCCGATTTTGGTTTCTGTGTCTTGCCATCAGACATGTTGCTGTTGTCAGAGTCGCGATCAGTATCCAGGGTAGCCACTAACCAGCTCACCATGTCCAGTTTCAGTAGTACACGATTCTTAATGGACGGTGATGGCTGTGAGCAAAAATTGTTAACATTGTTCAGACAGTCAATCTCTTGTAAATGTAATGATTTAAGAAAATAAAAGTAGCTAATCCTGTTCAAAAAGCTTGACAATCTGTCATCTATTTCTAACTCATTGTCTGTCATCTATTCTGAACTCATTGTCTGTCATCTATTCCTAACTCATTGTCTGTCATCTATTCCTAACTCATTGTCTGTCATCTATTCTTAACTCACTGTCTGTCATCTATTCCTAACTCATTGTCTGTCATCTATTCTGAACTCATTGTCTGTCATCTATTCCTAACTCATTGTTTGTCATCTATTCCTAACTCATTGTCTGTCATCTATTCTTAACTCACTGTCTGTCATCTATTCCTAACTCATTGTCTGTCATCTATTCCTAACTCATTGTCTGTCATCTATTCCTAACTCAGTGTCTATCATCTCTTCCTAACTCATTGTCTGTCATCTATTCCTAACTCATTGTCTGTCATCTATTCTTATCTCATTGTCTGTCATCTATTCCTAACTCATTGTCTGTCATCTATTCCTAACTCATTGTCTGTCATCTATTCCTAACTCATTGTTTGTCATCTATTCTTAACTCACTGTCTGTCATCTATTCCTAACTCATTGTCTGTCCTCTATTCTTCACTTATTGTTTGTCTTTTATTCCTAAAACACTGTCATCTTTTCCTAACACAGTCTCATCCATTTCTTACACACCGTCTGTTATCATTTCTTAACACATCATCTGTCATCTATTCATTATGCAATGTCTGTCATCTATTCCTTACACAATTTCTGTCATCTATTCTTTACCCACCTTCTCTCATCTATTCCTCACTCATCGTCCGTCTTCTTTTTACTAACACACCATCTGTCATCTATTTCAAACATACCATCTGTCATCTATTTCAAACATACCATCTGTCATATATTTCAAACATACCATCTGTCATCTATTCCTAACTCATTGTCTGTCATCTATTTACTAACACACCATCTGTCATTTATTCCTAATGCACCATGTCATCTTTTCCTAACACTCTGTCTGTCAACTATTCATTATTCACCATCTCTCATCTCTTCCTAACTCATTATCTATAATCTATTCCTTACTCATTGTCTGTCATCTATTCCTAACTCGACTGTCATCTATTCATTATTCACCATCTCTCATCTATTCCTAACTCACTGTCTGTCATCTATTTTTCACACAATTTCTGTATGTGACGGGTGAGGATGGTGTTTACCTGCTGTTAGACTAGTTCTGTGACTTCCTGTATGTGAGGGGTGAGGATGGTGTTTACCTGTTGTTTAACTAGCTCTGTGACTTCCTGTATGTGAGGGGTGAGGATGGTGTTTACCTGCTGTTAGACTAGTTCTGTGACTTCCTGTATGTGAGGGGTGAGGATGGTGTTTACCTGCTGTTAGACTAGTTCTGTGACTTCCTGTATGTGAGGGGTGAGGATGGTGTTTACCTGCTGTTAGACTAGTTCTGTGACTTCCTGTATGTGAGGGGTGAGGATGGTGTTTACCTGCTGTTAGACTAGTTCTGTGACTTCCTGTATGTGAGGGGTGAGGATGGTGTTTACCTGCTGTTAGACTAGTTCTGTGACTTCCTGTATGTGAGGGGTGAGGATGGTGTTTACCTGATGTTAGACTAGTTCTGTGACTTCCTGTATGTGAGGGGTGAGGATGGTGTTTACCTGCTGTTAGACTAGTTCTGTGACTTCCTGTATGTGAGGGGTGAGGATGGTGTTTACCTGCTGTTAGACTAGTTCTGTGACTTCCTGTATGTGAGGGGTGAGGATGGTGTTTACCTGCTGTTAGACTAGTTCTGTGACTTCCTGTATGTGAGGGGTGAGGATGGTGTTTACCTGCTGTTAGACTAGTTCTGTGACTTCCTGTATGTGAGGGGTGAGGATGGTGTTTACCTGCTGTTAGACTAGTTCTGTGACTTCCTGTATGTGAGGGGTGAGGATGGTGTTTACCTGCTGTTAGACTAGTTCTGTGACTTCCTGTATGTGAGGGGTGAGGATGGTGTTTACCTGCTGTTAGACTAGTTCTGTGACTTCCTGTATGTGAGGGGTGAGGATGATGTTTACCTGCTGTTTGACTAGTTCCTCGAGTTCCTGTATGTGAGGGGTGAGGATGGTGTTCAGATACTGAAGAATTTCTTCAAACTTCAATACAGACAGCACCTGACCTATGCAGGACATCAGACGTATACACTCTCGAGGCTGGAAATAATATCAGAGTCTGTTACAAACATAATACCAGAGTCTGTTACAAACATAATACCAGAGTCTGTTACAAACATAATACCAGAGTACATCACACATCAAGAGCTAATGGCAAGAAGTTATTTGAAGATTTTAACAAATTTGACCTCGGTGACATTGAAAGTAGGTCTTTATTCTGGCATGCTTTCACCTTGGGCCTTTTGGTTATTAAAAAGAGAACTTTCGCCCTGGGCCTTTTGGTTACGGAGAAAAGAACTTTCACACTGGGCCTTTTGGTTATTGAGAAGAGAACTTTCACCCTGGGCCTTTTGGTTAAGGAGAAGAGAACTTTCACCCTATGCCTTTTGGTTACGGAGAAGAGAACTTTCACCCTGGGCCTTTTGGTTATTGAGAAGAGAACTTTCGCCCTGGGCCTTTTGGTTATGGAGAAGAGAACTTTCACCCTGGGCCTTTTGGTTACGGAGAAGAGAACTTTCGCCCTGGGCCTTTTGGTTACAGAGAAGAGAACTTACACCCTGGGCCTTTTGGTTATGGAGAAGAGAACTTTCACCCTAGGCCTTTTGGTTACGGAGAAGAGAACTTTCACCCTGGGCCTTTTGGTTACGGAGAAGAGAACTTACACCCTGGGCCTTTTGGTTACGGAGAAGAGAACTTTCACACTGGGCCTTTTGGTTATTGAGAAGAGAACTTTCACCCTGGGCCTATTGGTTATTAAGGAGAAAACTTTCACCCTGGGCCTCTTGGTTATTGAGAAGAGAACTTTCGCCCTGGGCCTTTTGGTTATGGAGAAGAGAACTTTCACCCTGGGCCTCTTGGTTATTGAGAAGAGAACTTTCGCCCTGGGCCTTTTGGTTATGGAGAAGAGAACTTTCACCCTGGGCCTCTTGGTTATTAAGGAGAAAACTTTCACACTGGGCCTTTTGGTTATTTAGAAGAGAACTTTCACCCTAGGCCTCTTGGTTATTAGGGAGAAAACTTTCACACTGGGCCTCTTGGTTATTAAGGAGAAAACTTTCACCCTGGGCCTCTTGGTTATTGAGAAGAGAACGTACAACCTGGGCCTTTTGGTTACTGAAAAGAGAACTTTCATCTTGGGCCTTTTGGTTACAGAGAAGAGAACTTTCACTCTGGGCCTATTGGTTATTAAGGAGAAAACTTTCACCCTGGGCCTCTTGGTTATTGAGAAGAGAACGTACAACCTGGGCCTTTTGGTTATGGAGAAGAGAACTTTCACCCTGGGCCTTTTGGTTATTGAGAAGAGAACTTTCACCCTGGGCCTTTTGGTTATTGAGAAGAGAACTTTCACCCTATGCCTTTTGGTTACGGAGAAGAGAACTTTCACCCTGGGCCTTTTGGTTATTGAGAAGAGAACTTTCACCCTGGGCCTTTTGGTTATTGAGAAGAGAACTTTCACCCTGGGCCTTTTGGTTATTGAGAAGAGAACTTTCACCCTGGGCCTTTTGGTTATTGAGAAGAGAACTTTCACCCTGGGCCTTTTGGTTATTGAGAAGAGAACTTTCTCCCTGGGCCTTTTGGTTACGGAGAAGAGAACTTTCACCCTGGGCCTTTTGGTTATGGAGAAGAGAACTTTCGCCCTGGGCCTTTTGGTTACGGAGAAGAGAACTTACACCCTGGGCCTTTTGGTTACGGAGAAGAGAACTTTCACCCTGGGCCTTTTGGTTACGGAGAAGAGAACTTTCGCCCTGGGCCTTTTGGTTACAGAGAAGAGAACTTACACCCTGGGCCTTTTGGTTATGGAGAAGAGAACTTTCACCCTAGGCCTTTTGGTTACGGAGAAGAGAACTTTCACCCTGGGCCTTTTGGTTATTGAGAAGAGAAGAGAACTTTCTTTTTTACGGAGAAGAGAACTTTCACCCTGGGCCTTTTGGTTACGGAGAAGAGAACTTTCGCCCTGGGCCTTTTGGTTACAGAGAAGAGAACTTTCACCCTAGGCCTTTTGGTTACGGAGAAGAGAACTTTCACCCTGGGCTTTTTGGTTTTGCCTTTTTTTGGTTATGGAGAAGAGAACTTTCACCCTGGGCCTTTTGGTTATGGAGAAGAGAACTTTCACCCTGGGCCTTTTGGTTATTGAGAAGAGAACTTTCACCCTGGGCCTTTTGGTTATTGAGAAGAGAACTTTCGCCCTGGGCCTTTTGGTTAAGGAGAAGAGAACTTTCACCCTATGCCTTTTGGTTACGGAGAAGAGAACTTTCACCCTGGGCCTTTTGGTTATGGAGAAGAGAACTTTCACCCTGGGCCTTTTGGTTACGGAGAAGAGAACTTTCGCCCTGGGCCTTTTGGTTATTGAGAAGAGAACTTTCGCCCTGGGCCTTTTGGTTATTGAGAAGAGAACTTTCGCCCTGGGCCTTTTGGTTACAGAGAAGAGAACTTACACCCTGGGCCTTTTGGTTATTGAGAAGAGAACTTACACCCTGGGCTTTTTGGTTACGGAGAAGAGAACTTACACCCTGGGCCTTTTGGTTACGGAGAAGAGAACTTTCGCCCTGGGCCTTTTGGTTACAGAGAAGAGAACTTTCACCCTGGGCCTTTTGGTTACAGAGAAGAGAACTTTCACCCTGGGCTTTTTGGTTACGGAGAAGAGAACTTACACCCTGGGCCTCTTGGTTATTGAGAAGAGAACTTTCGCCCTGGGCCTCTTGGTTATTGAGAAGAGAACTTTCACCCTGGGCCTTTTGGTTATTGAGAAGAGAACTTTCACCCTGGGCCTTTTGGTTACGGAGAAGAGAACTTTCACCCTGGGCCTTTTGGTTATTGAGAAGAGAACTTTCACCCTGGGCCTTTTGGTTACGGAGAAGAGAACTTACACCCTGGGCCTTTTGGTTACAGAGAAGAGAACTTTCACCCTGGGCCTTTTGGTTATTGAGAAGAGAACTTTCACCCTGGGCCTTTTGGTTACAGAGAAGAGAACTTACACCCTGGGCCTTTTGGTTATTGAGAAGAGAACTTTCGCCCTGGGCTTTTTGGTTACAGAGAAGAGAACTTACACCCTGGGCCTTTTGGTTATTGAGAAGAGAACTTTCACCCTGGGCCTTTTGGTTACAGAGAAGAAAACTTACACCCTGGGCCTTTTGGTTACAGAGAAGAGAACTTACACCCTGGGCCTTTTGGTTACAGAGAAGAGAACTTTCACCCTTGGCCTTTGGTTATTTAGAAGACAGCATTTAAATATTTTAACTCATTAAACATGTGTGACGTTGAAAGTCATTAACTTAAACAGACCTTTCAGCCCGTTAACCATCATGCTACGGACATCAGCACCATGATTAGCCTTTTAGTTATTGGGAATACACGCTTATCTTGCTTTAAAAACACTCACCTTTAGAATGCCACTTTGTAGAGCAGTCTGTAAAAGAAGATATAAAGATCAGTATAATGAGGCTGAGGAGAAGACAAAAGAAACAACAAACAAAATCACCATTTAAAATGGAAAACACTGATCTACGCTTCAGTGATCCACAAAAGCTATTTTAACCTGACCTGAATCATTGCAGTTTAATTACATCAGTTATGATAAGGTTGATGCTTTGTGTGATTTGGAATGAGTGTTAGATGTAGGGTGGCATAACATTTCACCAGACTTGAGGTGAGTATCTGGAGGGCCTAAGCAGGCATATGGATGAGATATCTCCTGGCTTGAGGTGAGTATTTGGTGGGCCCTAAGCAGGCATATGGGTGAGATATCTCCTGGCTTGAGGTGAGTATCTGGTGGGCCTAAGCAGGTATATGGGTTAGATATCTCCTGGCTTGAGGTGAGTATTTGGCGGGCATAGGGAGACATGTGGTGAAGGTTTTTACCTGACCTGAGGTGAGTATTTGGTGGGTGTAGGGAGACAGGTGGTTGAGGTTTATACCTGACCTGAGGTGAGTATTTGGTGGGCATAGGGAGACAAGTAGTTGAGGTTTTCACCTGACCTGAGGTGAGTATTTGGTGGGCGTAGGGAGACAGGTAGTTGAGATTTTTACCTGACTTGAGGTGAGTATCTGGTGGTCGTAGGGAGACATGTGGTGGAGGTTTATACCTGACTTGAGGTGAGTATCTGGTGGGTGTAGGGAGACATGTGGTGAGGATTTATACCTGACTTGAGGTGAGTATCTGGTGGGCGTAGGGAGGCATATGATTGAGATTTTCTCGACTGACATCTTTAAGAGCCATGGTAGCTGCAGTGGCCGCCTCAGTGTTACTGAGGCCCTGGAGGATTAGTGGTATCACAGAACTCAGACTACCAGGATGACAGTTAATCCACTCTCCAAATGACCCTGTAAACATCCAAAAGACTTGTAAACTCCTGTAAACATCTAAATGACAATGTAAGTTTACAAACATCATAACCACCATTAAATGTTGAAAAAACTAAGTAAACTGGTTTAAAAAACCAAAAACATGAGATTAAATTATCAAACATTGTGTGTGTAATAAGATCTCTCACTTGGGAAATTTAATGTTCATATCTTCAGGTATGGTAACATAGCAACAATATTAAATAAAACAATAACCACTGATCTGCGGACAGGTGTCACTCACCAATATCTGGACAGTAAACAATATCCACTGATCTGTAGACAGGTGTCACTCACCAATCACTGGACAGTAAACAATAACCACTGATCTGTAGACAGGTGTCACACACCAATCACTGGACATTAAACAATAACCACTGATCTGTAGACAGGTGTCACTCACCAATCACTGGACAGTAAACAATTACCACTGCTCTGTAGACAGGTGTCACTCACCAATCACTGGACAGTAAACAATAACCACTGATCTGTAGACAGGTGTCACTCACCAATCAGGTGTCACACACCAATCACTGGACAGTAAACAATAACCACTGTCACACACCAATCACTGGACAGTAAACAATAACCACTGATCTGCGGACAGGTGTCACTCACCAATATCTGGACAGTAAACAATATCCACTGATCTGTAGACAGGTGTCACTCACCAATCACTGGACAGTAAACAATAACCACTGATCTGTAGACAGGTGTCACACACCAATCACTGGACATTAAACAATAACCACTGATCTGTAGACAGGTGTCACTCACCAATCACTGGACAGTAAACAATAACCACTGCTCTGTAGACAGGTGTCACTCACCAATCACTGGACAGTAAACAATAACCACTGATCTGTAGACAGGTGTCACTCACCAATCACTGGACAGTAAAACTATACAATAACCACTGATCTGTAGACAGGTGTCACACACCAATCAATGGACAGTAAACAATAACCACTGATCTGTAGACAGGTGTCACTCACCAATCACTGGACAGTAAAACTAAACAATAACCACTGATCTGTAGACAGGTGTCACTCACCAATCACTGGACAGTAAACAATAACCACTGCTCTGTAGACAGGTGTCACTCACCAATCACTGGACAGTAAACAATAACCACTGATCTGTAGACAGGTGTCACTCACCAATCACTGGACAGTAAAACTATACAATAACCACTGATCTGTAGACAGGTGTCACACACACCAATCACTGGACAGTAAACAATAACCACTGATCTGTAGACAGGTGTCACACACCAATCACTGGACAGTAAACAATAACCACTGATCTGTAGACAGGTGTCACTCACCAATCACTGGACATTTAACAATAACCACTGATCTGTAGACAGGTGTCACTCACCAATCACTGGACAGTAAAACTAAACAATAACCACTGATCTGTAGACAGGTGTCACACCAATCACTGGACAGTAAACAATAACCACTGATCTGTAGACAGGTGTCACTCACCAATCACTGGACATTTAACAATAACCACTGATCTGTAGACAGGTGTCACTCACCAATCACTGGACAGTAAAACTATACAATAACCACTGATCTGTAGACAGGTGTCACACACCAATCAATGGACAGTAAACAATAACCACTGATCTGTAGACAGGTGTCACTCACCAATCATGTAGAGAGCAGTAGACACAAACTTGATGTTACTGAATGGAATTTTTGGCAGTATATTTAACACAGCAGGTAGGTAGGACTCCTCCTCAAGGTCAACGTTTTCAGCTACAGACCCAAACAGGAAAAAGATACCCTCCACCAACTGAAGATATAGAAACAAACTTTAGTATGACAAAAATGTCATATTTATAGTGTGTTGAGGATCTAACATCACATCATCATGTCCCATTCAAAAGGGGTAAACACGTTACTAAATACTAATTGAAGAACAGTCAAAAGCTCCTTTATTGTGAAAGTACTGCTTACCGCAAAGCAGACCTTTCACCATTTAGGAGTTTTGGGCTTCTCTTAAAACAAAATCTATCAGGAAAATTTTTTATCACATAATTCATACTTATTTGGAAAAGGAGAGAAATCTCCAATCTATTTCACAGAAAAATTTCAAGCTGATGGAGGTGTCTTTTCACTAGCAACAGAATGACGTGATGTCATTTATTCCTAACATAACAATTCCTACACAGGTGTCTACAACATACATAACACTGACATGACACAAAGGCACAACAGCCTAGCTATGTGATATATGACAATTTCTTTACAAATTGGAAATAAAACATGATAAATACATATCATCTTCAATTCTATGAAATGGAAATTGTTTTTTTCTGATCTGTACTAATTATTAGAAGGTACAAACAAGTCAAGAATATTACCTGCCATCGTACTTCTTCTACTCTGGAATTTTCTACCATCGCCTGTAACACGCTACACAAGTGCCCCAGTAATGGCTCTCGAAGTATACTAAAGGAGTACATCTACAAACAAGAAAAGGCTGTGTCACATTGTGTAGTGATAAGTAAGCAGTTTCAATTATGCACTCTTTTTTTACATGATAGTTTTGGTTAGCTAAGTCACGCATCCTCGAACTGGTATGAGCAGTGGACAGGCAAGTATGAGTGATAGCCATTTGGAAGCGCAAACAGCTGATTGCGGTAAGTTAAGATCTGTAAAAAGTTACATAATAATACTAAGACTGAACGTAGTGAATGTGTTTTGTTTATTGATACATTAAGTGTATTCTACCTGTGTATATGTATGCGTACTCAGCACCACACGTACACCTGCAGTGTATACATCTACATGTGTGTATGTGTACTCAGTTCTGATATACAACTGCAGTGTATACATCTACATGTGTGTATGTGTACTCAGTTCTGACATACACCTGCAGTGTATACATCTACATGTGTGTATGTGTACTCAGTTCTGACATACACCTGCAGTGTATACATCTACATGTGTGTATGTGTACTCAGTTCTGACATACACCAGCAGTGTATACATTTACATGTGTGTATGTGTACTCAGTTCTGACATACACCTTCAGTGTATACATCTACATGTGTGTATGTGTACTCAGTTCTGACATACACCTTCAGTGTGTACATCTACATGTGTGTATGTGTACTCAGTTCTGACATACACCTTCAGTGTGTACATCTACATGTGTGTATGTGTACTCAGTTCTGACATACACCTGCAGTGTATACATCTACATGTGTGTATGTGTACTCAGTTCTGACATACACCTTCAGTGTATACATCTACATGTGTGTATGTGTACTCAGTTCTGACATACACCTGCAGTGTATACATCTACATGTGTGTATATGTACTCAGTTCTGACATACACCTTCAGTGTATACATCTACATGTGTGTATGTGTACTCAGTTCTGACATACACCTTCAGTGTATACATCTACATGTGTGTATGTGTACTCAGTTCTGACATACACCTTCAGTGTATACATCTACATGTGTGTATGTGTACTCAGTTCTGACATACACCTTCAGTGTATACATCTACAGAATGTAAACAAAAGTATTGTTAGATTTGCTGTGTTAGGTATAGGCACTTAGATGTGTTGTTAGATTTGCTGTGTTAGGTATAGGCACTTAGATGTGTTGTTAGATTTGCTGTGTTAGGTATAGGCACTTAGATGTGTTGTTAGATTTGCTGTGTTAGGTATAGGCACTTAGATGTATTGTTAGATTTGCTGTGTTAGGTATAGGCACTTAGATGTGTTGTTAGATTTGCTGTATTAGGTATAGGCACTTAGATGTGTTGTTAGATTTGCTGTGTTAGGTATAGGCGCTTAGATGTGTTGTTAGATTTGCTGTGTTAGGTGTTAGGTATAGGCACTTAGATGTGTTGTTAGATTTGCTGTGTTAGGTATAGGCACTTAGATGTGTTGTTAGATTTGCTGTGTTAGGTATAGGCACTTAGATGTGTTGTTAGATTTGCTGTGTTAGGTATAGGCACTTAGATGTGTTGTTAGATTTGCTGTGTTAGGTATGGGCACTTAGATGTGTTGTTAGATTTGCTGTGTTAGGTATAGGCACTTAGATGTGTTGTTAGATTTGCTGTGTTAGGTGTTAGGTATAGGCACTTAGATGTGTTGTTAGATTTGCTGTGTTAGGTATGGGCACTTAGATGTGTTGTTAGATTTGCTGTGTTAGGTATAGGCACTTAGATGTGTTGTTAGATTTGCTGTGTTAGGTATAGGCACTTAGATGTGTTGTTAGATTTGCTGTGTTAGGTATAGGCGCTTAGATGTGTTGTTAGATTTGCTGTGTTAGGTATAGGCACTTAGATGTGTTGTTAGATTTGATGTGTTAGGTGTTAGGTATAGGCACTTAGATGTGTTGTTAGATTTGATGTGTTAGGTGTTAGGTATAGGCGCTTAGATGTGTTGTTAGATTTGCTGTGTTAGGTATAGGCACTTAGATGTGTTGTTAGATTTGCTGTGTTAGGTATAGGCACTTAGATGTGTTGTTAGATTTGCTGTGTTAGGTATAGGCACTTAGATGTGTTGTTAGATTTGCTGTGTTAGGTATAGGCACTTAGATGTGTTGTTAGATTTGCTGTGTTAGGTATAGGCACTTAGATGTGTTGTTAGATTTGCTGTGTTAGGTATAGGCACTTAGATGTGTTGTTAGATTTGCTGTGTTAGGTATAGGCTCTTAGATGTGTTGTTAGATTTGCTGTGTTAGGTATAGGCACTTAGATGTGTTGTTAGATTTGCTGTGTTAGGTATAGGCACTTAGATGTGTTGTTAGATTTGTTGTGTTAGGTATAGGCACTTAGATGTGTTGTTAGATTTGCTGTGTTAGGTATAGGCACTTAGATGTGTTGTTAGATTTGCTGTGTTAGGTATAGGCACTTAGATGTGTTGTTAGATTTGCTGTGTTAGGTATAGGCACTTAGATGTGTTGTTAGATTTGCTGTGTTAGGTATAGGCACTTAGATGTGTTGTTAGATTTGCTGTGTTAGGTATGGGCACTTAGATGTGTTGTTAGATTTGCTGTGTTAGGTATAGGCACTTAGATGTGTTGTTAGATTTGCTGTGTTAGGTGTTAGGTATAGGCACTTAGATGTGTTGTTAGATTTGCTGTGTTAGGTATGGGCACTTAGATGTGTTGTTAGATTTGCTGTGTTAGGTATAGGCACTTAGATGTGTTGTTAGATTTGCTGTGTTAGGTATAGGCACTTAGATGTGTTGTTAGATTTGCTGTGTTAGGTATAGGCACTTAGATGTGTTGTTAGATTTGCTGTGTTAGGTATAGGCACTTAGATGTGTTGTTAGATTTGCTGTGTTAGGTGTTAGGTATAGGCACTTAGATGTGTTGTTAGATTTGATGTGTTAGGTGTTAGGTATAGGCGCTTAGATGTGTTGTTAGATTTGCTGTGTTAGGTATAGGCACTTAGATGTGTTGTTAGATTTGCTGTGTTAGGTATAGGCACTTAGATGTGTTGTTAGATTTGCTCTGTTAGGTGTTAGGTATAGGCGCTTAGATGGTCTGAGTGACTAATGTTGTAACTGGTCTCCATTTTGATGGAGAGCGGCTTGTCTGAGTGACTAATGTTGTAACTGGTCTCCATTTTGATGGAGAGTGGCTGGTCTGTGTGACTAATGTTGTAACTGGTCTCCATTTTGATTGTGAGCGGCTGGTCTGTGTGACCATCACACATCTTTTACCTGAATGTGTGTCCATTGATCTGATTGGACAAGATGAATTTGGACCAGAATGTTTAGAGTAACAGAGACTATATATGCGTACCATGCCATCAGTGATGCTGTGCTCATCAGAATCAGTGACTTTCTATACTTTCAGTGTTCACTTATCAATGCATTTGTATTCATATTTATCATTTATCAATGATTGAGAGAGAGGGAAGAGAAACAAACATCACGAATGTGGATTTTGCTAAGTGTATACTGTAATTATGATGTATTGTAAATAACCTGTACATATGTATTACAGGTGTGACTTTGTGTTTTAAGGCACAGATGATAATTCCGGCCCATTCTTGTTACAGCTGTACACACGAAAAAAAAAACTCAAAAATAATCATAACACTCTCACCAACTGTTTGATGTTTGGGTTGACAAAAATCTGTTTTCAATGAAGCCTTATTTTTAGCAAGTGACCTTGAACTATGATATCTGAAATGTGCAAGAGTTAAAGCCCTTCAGCATTCATCAAAAGTCAAGTTCTGTTTAGTTGTCAGGGATACCATGATCTTAAACCTATAGAAATGATAAATGTTAACAAGAGATCCCAGAGGGATCTTGGCGCTCACCATTTGAGGATCTGTTTTCAGTTCTTGATGATTTGTTTATTTTTTTTTGTGTGTTACAGGTGTTGTAAATGTTCATGAACTGGTCTTCATTGAATGTACTCAATGATGGCACATGATATTTTTATTAAGCACCTATTAGCAAATATCATTTGAAAAAGATCCCAAAGTATTATTAGATAGCAGTCAGTTACAGGTGGATAATGGACAATATGCTTGTGCTGTATTACTGTCAACATCCAAGATGGCTGCCTGTGGGCCACCTTGATTTCAAATCAGTCCAAAAAAAGTACAATGCACAACTAGGGACCAAGGGAAACCAATATCTATGAAATATCAGAAGGATCCATCCAGTACTTCCTCAGATATAGCAGTAACAAGATTTTACTCTCAAAATCCAAGATGGCTGCCTGTCAGCCATCTTGATTTCGGATCAGTCCAAAAAGGTATAATGCACAACTTGGAACCAAAGGGAACCTGCATATGAAATTTGAGAAAGATCCATCCAGTACTTTTCCAAGAAATAGCAGTAACAAACTTTTACTTCCAAAATCCAAGATGGCTGCCTGTCGGCCATCTTGATTCGAATCAGTCAAAAAAAGGTACAATGCACAACTAGGGACCAAGGGGAACCTGCATATGAAATTTGAGAAAGATCCATCCAGTACTTTCCAAGAAATAGCGGTAACAAAGTTTTACATCCAAAATCCAAGATGGCCACCTGTCCGCCATCTTGAATTTGAATCAGTCCAAAAAAGGTACAATGCACAACTAGGGACCAAGAGGAACCTTCATATAAAATTTGAGGAAGATCCATCCAGTACTTTCTCAGAAATAGCGGTAACAAACTTTTACTTCCAAAATCCAAGATGGCCACCTGTCGGCCATCTTGAATTCGAATCAGTCCAAAAAAGGTACAATGCACAACTAGGGACCAAGGGGAACCTGCATATGAAATTTGAGAAAGATCCATCCAGTACTTTTCCAGAAATAGCGGTAACAAGAATTGTTTACGGACGGACGGACGGACGGACGACGGACCACGGATCTATTTGAATAGATGGTGGGCTAAAAACATATCAGTGATGGATATCTGTGGTGAGAATTATTGTCAATATGGCTGCCGGAGAAGGGTGTGACAGATGGGACATCACTTTCTCAGACTTCTGTAAATGTAGGTTGCACATGTGCTATTTGAACCCAAAGTGCAGTTACCTTTAGTAAGATCATATGCCTACTCCTCCACGACATCTGGTCTATCCTCCTAGTTCTTTTTCAGGAGTCTCTGTGTCAATCTTTCATTGGTTCATATTTTGCCATAGTTTTATTGAATTTGACTTTGCATTATGATTGTGTTGACATGTTGGTATTTTTTTGTTTTTTTTGAGCAGCTGCCTCAGTATGTAAACAAATGAAAAAACTGCTGCTTCTCAATATGAAAGAGAATTGTTTGAGGTACACTTCTGTATACTTTTGTATATCCTACTTGTTTACCTTCCTTTTTTATTTGTTTATATATGTGACCTATAAATTGTGTTACTTATTACACTGTACATTGGATTGGCATGATCAGTATTGTATTTACTAAATATTTCTTTGAGAAGTTGGAGATATACCTAACCATAGAGATAAATGTCCAAAAACTGTTTGTAGGTATGGGACTGATATGAAAAAAAAAGACTAAAATTCTACAAACTTTGAAAAAATACCTAGATCCCTTATACCTGCCTATAGTTGTCCAAAAAAGGCTATCAATCTTCACTTCTCACTGTAGGGGAACATGCATATGAAATTTGACAACAGGAAAACTTTTCCAGAAATAGCGGTAACAAGAATTGTTTACGGACGGACGGACGGACGACGGACCACGGATGCAGGGCGATTTGAATAACCCACCATCTATTTGAATAGATGGTGGGCTAAAAACATATCAGTGATGGATATCTGTGGTGAGAATTATTGTCAATATGGCTGCCGGAGAAGGGTGTGACAGATGAGACATCACTTTCTCAGACTTCTGTAAATGTAGGTTGCACATGTGCTATTTGAACCCAAATGCAGTTACCTTTAGTAAGATCATATGCCTACTCCTCCACGACATCTGGTCTATCCTCCTAGTTCTTTTTCAGGAGTCTCTGTGTCAATCTTTCATTGGTTCATATTTTGCCATAGTTTTATTGAATTTGACTTTGCATTATGATTGTGTTGACATGTTGGTATTTTTTTGTTTTTATTGAGCAGCTGCCTCAGTATGTAAACAAATGAAAAAACTGCTGCTTCTCAATATGAAGAGAATTGTTTGAGGTACACTTCTGTATACTTTTGTATATCCTACTTGTTTACCTTCCTTTTTTATTTGTTTATATATGTGACCTATAAATTGTGTTACTTATTACACTGTACATTGGATTGGCATGATCAGTATTGTATTTACTAAATATTTCTTTGAGAAGTTGGAGATATACCTAACCATAGAGATAAATGTCCACTGTTTGTAGGTATGCGAGATATAAAAAAAAAAAGACTAAAATTCTACATCCTCTGAAAAAATACCTAGATCCCTTATACCTGCCTATAGTTGAGGCTATCAATCTTCACTTCTCACTGTATGAGATAATTCAATCTACAACAGGAAAATCCCAGTATCTAACTCACCATGGTATCACCAATATCTTGTCTGTAGCAACGAAACTGCTCTTTTTCTTCTGAAACATTTCAATTATAAAATCGCAGTTCAAGTGATGAATTTGGAAAGTAATTTACCTACAGTCCAAGGGATGAATCAGGAGAGTGATTTACCTACAGTCCAAGTGATAGATTTTGAGAGTAATTTACCTACAGTCCAAGTGATAGATTTTGAGAGTAATTTACCTACAGTCCAAGTGATAGATTTTGAGAGTAATTTACCTGCAGTCCAAGTGATAGATTTTGAGAGTAATTTATTTGCAGTCCAAGTGATAGATTTTGAGAGTAATTTATTTGCAGTCCAAGTGATAGATTTTGAGAGTAATTTACCTACAGACCAAATGATGAATTAGGACAGTAATTTACCTACAGTCCAAGTGATAGATTTTGAGAGTAATTTACCTACAGACCAAGTGATAGATTTTGAGAGTAATTTACCTACAGACCAAGTGATGAATTAGGACAGTAATTTACCTACAGTCCAAGTGATAGATTTTGAGAGTAATTTACCTACAGTCCAAGTGATGAATTTGAAGAGTTAATTTACCTACAGTCCAAGTGATAGATTTTGAGAGTGATTTACCTGCAGTCAAAGTGATAGATTTTGAAAGTGATTTACCTGCATTCCAAGTGATAGATTTTGAAAGTGATTTACTTGCAGTCCAAGTGAAAAAATTTTGAAAGTGATTTACCTACAGTCCAAGTGATAGATTTTGAGAGTAATTTACCTGCAGTCCAAGTGATAGATTTTGAGAGTAATTTACCTGCAGTCCAAGAACTATACTCCTCATCCGTAGGATATTGCACTTTAACCAACAAAATTTCAATGAGGGAAAAATAAATTGGTTGGAATATAGGAAGTAAAAGTTGTTGACGCTCCTTCTCAGCATCCAGTATGTCATCCTGTAAACAAGAATTAAAATAGGTGTTGAGATAGGCTCCTGATTTCATGAAGACGACGTGATAAACTTATGTACTTTCTGAAATCTGAAAACAAGTTTTAATAGTACCCAAGACCAATAACAGAAGCTCTTAGTCTACCCTCACAGTCAAACAATGCTGATGGAAATTACGATAGTGTTTATATTGTAGTACCCCGTTGATCCAAACATTTACAGTGTGATTTGACCAATCATAAGCCAGTGACAACATTTTCTTATCAGGAAATGGGAAGTCATATTGTTGTAAGCGGCAGAACCAATTTTTAACGGTTTTTCAATTTGATCCCAATATAAGCCGCACCAGAACACATACCACAGCCTTTCTTATGATATGGTGACCATCATTGTTAATGTTTGATATACCGTTAACAGAGAACGAAGTTCATTGCTATCACAGACAACAGAGGGCAAAGTTTGAAAATGAATTATGCACAAATAATCTTTTATTTTATCGATATACTTTCTTAACAAGAGATCCCAGAGGGACCTTGGCGCTCACCATTTGAGGATCTGTTTTCAATTCTTGAAGATTAGTTTATTTTTTTTGTTTGTTACAGGTGTTGTAAATGTTCATGAACTGGTCTTCATTGAATGTACTCAATGATGGCACAAGATATTTTTATTAAGCACCTATTAGCAAATATCATTTGAAAAAGATCCCAAAGTATTATTAGATAGCAGTCAGTTACAGGTGGATAATGGACAATATGCTTGTGCTGTATTAATGTCGACATCCAAGATGGCTGCCTGTGGGCCACCTTGATTTCAAATCAGTCCAAAAAAGGTACAATGCACAACTAGGACCCAGGGAAACCAATATCTATGAAATATCAGAAGGATCCATCCAGTACTTCCTCAGATATAGCAGTAACAAGATTTTACTCTCAAAATCCAAGATGGCTGCCTGTCAGCCATCTTGATTTCGGATCAGTCCAAAAAGGTATAATGCACAACTTGGAACCAAAGGGAACCTGCATATGAAATTTGAGAAAGATCCATCCAGTACTTTCCAAGATATAGCAGTAAAAAACTTTTACTTCCAAAATCCAAGATGGCTGCCTGTCGGCCATCTTGAATTCGAATCAGTCCAAAAAAGGTACAATGCACAACTAGGGACCAAGGAGAAACACTGCATATGAAATTTGAGGAAGATCCATCCAGTACTTTCTCAGAAATAGCGGTAACAAACTTTTACTTCCAAAATCCAAGATGGCCACCTGTCGGCCATCTTGAATTCGAATCAGTCCAAAAAAGGTACAATGCACAACTAGGGACCAAGGGGAACCTGCATATGAAATTTAAGAAAGATCCATCCAATACTTTTCCAGAAATAGTGGTAACAAGAATTGTTTATGGACGGACGGACGGCAGGACGGACGGACGGACCAAGGACCACGGACGCAGGGCGATTTGAATAACCCACCATCTATTAGATGGTGGGCTAAAAATGTAAAATAGTAAATATTAAACTCAGTTGACTTGGTTGCCTTCACAGATTGTCTCCACCCAGATACAAGGCCTGATGCTACGTATGGTTTACTAAACAATCTCTCCATCAGTGTCTTTAATATTAAATATTAACAAAGGCCCTTTCTTACAGACCAAATTCTTATAGTCCCATATTATTACTTCTTCTAAGTTACACGAAGCCATTCATATCATAAACAAGCATGGTGGTCGTTTTAGAATTCGACCCCATGACTTATAAGTAACTGCAAAAGTCCAGAAGATATTGTTGTGATTTAAATTAAAAGGCACGATTAATTAAATCCATGAGAATGTTATTTCCATTTTAATTTACAAATCATCCTGTATACAATTGCAAATGACGGTTCTAGAAAAAAAACTCAGCACGGTCTCGTACTGGTCTACTTCCTGTTTTTGGCTTTTTTTTCCATTACGCCGATTTTGTTTTCATCCACTTATAAGCCATCTCAGTATATAAGCTGCACACCTTACTCACAAGGTAAAAAAGGTGTGGCTTATAATCCAGAAAATATGATACTACGAAGACAAACATGAATAGACTGGATTCTAATTCCACTAAAAACTCACCTGCAGTAGGTACCAGAATGTGAAGGACATATCACTTGTGGTTTCATCCACTGGGAAGTGACCAGGTAAGGAACAGCAAGACTGTCAGGTAAAATAGAGCAATACCAATTACTATATACATTACTATTTACAGGTACTTATAAATGAGTTTTTTACTAAAGGTTGGAATGTAATTCTAGTCTGTATTCCTGATATGTTTTACAATAAGTAGGACGAGGAGACATACCAGCACCATCTGTATGTGGGTGGAGGGACAATGTTACTTTTGGTCTGTATTTCCTGTAGAGTTTTACAATAAGTAGGACGAGGAGACATACCAGCACCATCTGTATGTGGGTGGAGGGACAATGTTACTTTTGGTCTGTATTTCCTGTAGTGTTTTATAATAAGTAGGATGAGGAGACATACCAGCACCATCTGTATGTGGGTGGAGGGACAACGTTACTTTTGGTCTGTATTTCCTGTAGTGTTTTACAATAAGTAGGATGAGGAGACGTACCAGCACCATCTGTATGAGATTCATCACATTGTTTCTACATTCCTGGTCCTCACTTATCGAGCCTTCCAGCAACATTTTGGTATGGTTTTCTGCCAGAGCTATCACAATCTGGGCAATACCATTACACACGTCCTGAAATATTCCATATTACATTCTGTTATCAGTAGAACTACTGGGATACCCACAATTAGATAATCTGAATCTGTAAACAAAGAGATCCCAGCAGGATGACCATCATCGTTTGATCTTTTATATGTTCTATTGAATTGTTTTTCCTTCTTCTCCACCCTTTTCTCTATTTTACTCTTAATCATGTGAAATTTGAAAATTCCTCAGATAAATAGCTTTAGTAATACTTCACTGCCAAATCGGAGATGTTTTTTTTTTTTATCAGTTCCAAAATCAAATGGGCAAATAGGAACAAAGCAGAAGCTACGTATGAAATTTGACATGATCCATCTGGTACTTTTGTAGAAACAGTGATAACAAACGTTCAATGCCAAAATTCTGGATGGCCTCCTGTCAGCTATTCTGTTTTTCTGACCAAGCCCGAAATCAAAACGGCACAAGTTCTCTACTTGTCAATAAAGGGCCATAAACTTTCCTTGTCAAATTCCAAGTTGGTCTGCAGTCACTATTTTGTCTTTCTATTCAGTCCGAAACTCAAACTGGCACAATTACGAACCAAGGGGAGGGAACCTACATATGAAATTTGTCAGACAAATGATGGAAATCTAGTAAAGCAGTCGATCTTTATGTCAAATCAAACAATTTTCTTTGAAACAATTGTACCTTTGTAAATGATAGCTAAATAGCCTGACTACATGTCAGTCAAGTTTTAACTAGAGCCCTACACAAACTCTTCCTTCCTTTTGATATTTTTACCCACATTCCCTATTCCCCTGTCCCACAATTTTTCTTATCTTCTATTCCACTTACCATATCTGGCGTTTCCACAGCTCTTGTGTGCATCTCCTTTAACTGTAGCACAGATGGTATTAGCTTCTGTATTGTGTTCGGAAATCTGAAAAAAAAAAAATCCAATAAAACCTAATAACCGAGGACAAAACTCTATCAGACACAACAACCCTCTATCAGACTCAACAACCCTCTATCAGACACAACAACCCTCTATCAGACACAACAACCCTCTATCAGACACAACAACCCTCTATCAGACACAACAACCACCTCAGACACAACAACAACGTCAGACAGATTTTTGGCTCCCTCAGTTAATCTTGGTAACATTAATCTGAGTTGGTTAGAGCAAACTGGTGGTTCTTCCATCACACATACCTGTGGTTGTCTGGGTGTGACTGACTAGACACTGTATCATACATACCTGTGGTTGTCTGGGTGTGACTGACTAGACACTGTATCATACATACCTGTGGTTGTCTGGGTGTGACTGACTAGACACTGTATCATACATACCTGTGGTTGTCTGGGTGTGACTGACTAGACACTGTATCATACATACCTGTGGTTGTCTGGGTGTGAAAAAACGCTGACTAGAGAATCCACTGCTGTATCAAACAGCTGACTGTTTTGTAATGCAGCAAACACCTGGATAATGACCTGCTGACTGTCGAGGGGTGACACCCCAAACTCTACCCATGAGGAGAAACATTTGAGAGCCTGCTCAAATATGTCAGGGGGCGAGTTTTGGTTCATCAGTCCCTGCAGTAGTGGCAACACTGTTAAAAAGAAAATTCAACCATGTGTGAATTATAATCTATTCCTTTCTCCTCTCTTTCTAACAAGGAGAGATTTCAAAATATAATGGGTTTTTTTGTGAACGCCTACAAGGAGAAGGCAAGTAACTTCTGTAAACAGTTAGGGTTTAAACAGCAATTTTCAGGTATACAATATTTGAGAAGACTGATTTTTCCCAACCATTGTCCATATAACTCTTGTGCAGATCACTTCTTGGGTAGTTTTCCCATAGAGAACACATACTGACAAGGCCTGTCTCATTGAGAACACATTCTCAAGGAGAACACATACTGACGAGGACGGTCACAATGAGAACACATACTCACAAGGCCTGTCTCAAGGAGAACACATACTGACAAGGCCTGTCTCAAGGAAAACACATTCTCAAGGAGAACACATACTGACGAGGACGGTCACAATGAGAACACATACTCACAAGGACTGTCACAAGGAGAACACATACTGACAACGACTATCATAAGGAGAACACATACTGACAAGGCCTGTCTCATGGAGAACACATACTGATAAGGCCTGTCTCAAGGAGAACATACTGACAAGGACTGTCTCAAGGAGAACACATACTGACAAGGACTATCATAAGGAGAACACATACTGACAAGGCCTGTCATAAGAAGAACATATACTGACAAGGACTGTCAAAAGGAGAACACATACTGACAAGGACTGTCACAAGGAGAACATAAACTGACAAGGACTGTCACAAGGAGAACACATACTGACAAGGACTGTCACAAGGAGAACATATACTGACAAGGACTGTCACAAGGAGAACATATACTGACAAGGACTGTCACAAGGAGAACATATACTGACAAGGACTGTCACAAGGAGAACATATACTGACAAGGCCTGTCATAAGGAGAACACATACTGACAAGGACTGTCACAAGGAGAACACATACTGACAAGGACTGTCACAAGGAGAACACATACTGACAAGGACTGTCACAAGGAGAACATATACTGACAAGGACTGTCACAAGGAGAACACATACTGACAAGGACTGTCACAAGGAGAACACATACTGACAAGGACTGTCACAAGGAGAACATATACTGACAAGGCCTGTCATAAGGAGAACACATACTGACAAGGACTGTCACAAGGAGAACACATACTGACAAGGCCTGTCATAAGGAGAACATTTTCTGACCAGGACTGTCACCAGGTCATTTTGCAAACACTGGATTGTTACTCTCAATCATAATTCAAACTTTTTAGCATGTTTTAAAAAAAGTTTTTACTGTTATTAATTTCTACCCAATAATCAGTCCTTGTCTGCTAATAAACATATCTGTGTATATTAATGTATTGAATTGTCCTTTAATAAGCCCACCCCTTACTTCTAGTCAGAATTTAGGCCCCCTGCATTAAATGTAGGATAACGACTTCACTATACCATGTTGAAGACTGTTTCCAAGTTCCGTCCTTAAGATGCCACGGCGGTACTCAGCAAGGTTGGCACTGAAAAACTGCCACAGAAATTAACAATGGAGAAGTATTTGTTTACACTGTACATGTAAAGTTTCTGTTCCACCCATACACACTGGGGCTTACAGAGATATATACAGTCTCTTACACTCAAAGAACTTTTTATTTAAAAATCAGTTCAGTATGAAAATCTTACCATTACCAATCACCACAACCCAACCATGTGTAGAACTTAATGGTAGGATGACATGATATAAACTAAATCTCTTCACAGGTTAATAAAATATCTTGTTCAAAAACTGTAGGGCTTATCTTTATGTTATTTTGATGAGAGAGATTGACCGGACGCCGTGTTATAACTTACCTCCTCTGGTAGTACACGCAAGGTCTCCAATAACAAATGACATCGCTGTAAATTCTGAAATGATTGAGAGAAAAATAAAACAGTTAATATAAGTAATATTGTCAATTCATATGATTCTGTAGAGTCAATTTCATAGTGGCCAATGCTCAATTAGAGCAGACTGCTAAAATTATCTGACATTTCAGAATCTAATGAGAGATAGCATTCCATATTTTCTAGTGTTAAAAATAATCAATGATTGTTTAATTATTACCAAAAATATCACTTGAATACCAAGCAAATATAACATAGTGACAGTATATAACTGTGATACAATCAGTATAACTGTGATACAGTGTCAGTATAACTGTGTTACAGTGTCAGTATAACTGTGATATAGTGTCAGTATAACTGTGATATAGTGTCAGTATAACTGTGTTACAGTGTCAGTATAACTGTGATATAGTGTCAGTATAACTGTGATACAGTGTCGGTTGTCAGTATAACTGTGTTACAGTGTCAGTATAACTGTGATACAATCAGTATAACTGTGATACAGTGTCAGTATAACTGTGTTACAGTGTCAGTATAACTGTGTTACAGTGTCAGTATAACTGTGATATAGTGTCAGTATAACTGTGTTACAGTGTCAGTATAACTGTGATATAGTGTCAGTATAACTGTGATACAGTGTCGGTTGTCAGTATAACTGTGTTACAGTGTCAGTATAACTGTGATATAGTGTCAGTATAACTGTGTTACAGTGTCATTATAACTGTGATACAGTGTCAGTATAACTGTAATACAGTGTCAGTATAACTGTGATACAGTGTCAGTATAACTGTGATACAGTGTCAGTATAACTGTGATACAATGTCAGTATAACTGTGATACAGTGTCGGTTGTCAGTATAACTGTGATACAGTGTCAGTATAACTGTGATATAGTGTCAGTATAACGATCCACTGCTAAATGCCATGTTTCACTACTTACTGTCATGTCTCACTACTTCCTGTCAGTCTCACTACCTACTGTCATGTCTCATTACTTACTGTCATGTCTCAGTACTTACTGTCATGTCTCAGTACTTACTGTTTCACTACTTACTGTCTGTCTCACTACTTACTGTCTGTCTCACTACTTCCTGTCAGTCTCACTACTTACTGTCATGTCTCACTACTTACTGTCATGCCTCACTACTTACTGTCTGTCTACACTACTTACCGTCAAGTCTCACTACTTACTGCCATGTCTCACTACTTACTGTCTGTCTTACTACTTACTGTCTCACTACTTACTGTCTGTCTCACTACTTACTATCAGTCCTCACTACGTACTGTCATGTCTCAGTACTTACTGTCTGTCTCACCACTTACTGTCATGTCTCACTACTTACTGTCAGTCTCACTACTTACTGTCATGTCTCACTACTTACTGTCATGTCTCACTACTTACTGTCATGTCTCAGTACTTACTGTCATGTCTCACTTCTTGCTGTCATGTCTCACTACTTACTGTCAGTCTCACTACTTGCTGTCATGTCTCACTACTTACTGTCATGTCTCAGTACTTACTGTCATGTCTCACTACTTACTGTCATGTCTCAGTACTTACTGTCATGTCTCACTACTTACTGTCATGTCTCACTACTTCCTGTCAGTCTCACTACTTACTGTCATGTCTCAGTACTTACTGTCATGTCTCAGTACTTACTGTCTGTCTCACTACTTACTGTTTGTCTCACTACTTCCTGTCAGTCTCATTACTTACTGTCATGTCTCAGTACTTACTGTCATGTCTCAGTACTTTCTGTCTCACTACTTCCTGTCTGTCTCACTACTTACTGTCAGTCTCACTACTTACTGTCTGTCTCACTACTTCCTGTCAGTCTCACTACTTACTGTCTGTCTCACTACTTACTGTCTGTCTCACTACTTCCTTTCAGTCTCATTACTTACTGTCATGTCTCAGTACTTACTGTCATGTCTCAGTACTTACTGTTTCACTACTTACTGTCTGTCTCACTACTTACTGTCTGTCTCACTACTTCCTGTCAGTCTCACTACTTACTGTCATGTCTCACTACTTACTGTCATGTCTCACTACTTACTGTCTGTCTACACTACTTACCGTCAAGTCTCACTACTTACTGCCATGTCTCACTACTTACTGTCTGTCTTACTACTTACTGTCTCACTACTTACTGTCTGTCTCACTACTTACTATCAGTCCTCACTACGTACTGTCATGTCTCAGTACTTACTGTCTGTCTCACCACTTACTGTCATGTCTCACTACTTACTGTCAGTCTCACTACTTACTGTCATGTCTCACTACTTACTGTCATGTCTCACTACTTACTGTCATGTCTCAGTACTTACTGTCATGTCTCACTTCTTGCTGTCATGTCTCACTACTTACTGTCAGTCTCACTACTTGCTGTCATGTCTCACTACTTACTGTCATGTCTCAGTACTTACTGTCATGTCTCACTACTTACTGTCATGTCTCAGTACTTACTGTCATGTCTCACTACTTACTGTCATGTCTCACTACTTCCTGTCAGTCTCACTACTTACTGTCATGTCTCAGTACTTACTGTCATGTCTCAGTACTTACTGTCTGTCTCACTACTTACTGTTTGTCTCACTACTTCCTGTCAGTCTCATTACTTACTGTCATGTCTCAGTACTTACTGTCATGTCTCAGTACTTTCTGTCTCACTACTTCCTGTCTGTCTCACTACTTACTGTCAGTCTCACTACTTACTGTCTGTCTCACTACTTCCTGTCAGTCTCACTACTTACTGTCTGTCTCACTACTTACTGTCTGTCTCACTACTTCCTTTCAGTCTCATTACTTACTGTCATGTCTCAGTACTTACTGTCATGTCTCAGTACTTACTGTCATGTCTCAGTACTTATTGTCTCACTACTTCCTGTCTGTCTCACTACTTATTGTCATGTCTCAGTACTTACTGTCATGTCTCAGTACTTACTGTCTGTCTCACTACTTACTGTCTGTCTCACTACTTACTGCCAGTCTCACTACTTCCTGTCTGTCTCACTACTTATTGTCATGTCTCAGTACTTCCTGTCTGTCTCACTACTTATTGTCATGTCTCAGTACTTACTGTCTGTCTCACTACCTACTGTCTGTCTCAGTACTTACTGTCAGTCTCACTACTTCCTGTCTGTCTCACTACTTATTGTCATGTCTCAGTACTTACTGTCAGTCTCAATACTTACTGTCAGTCTCAATACTTACTGTCATGTCTCAGTACTTACTGTCATGTCTCAGTACTTACTGTCAGTCTCAATACTTACTGTCAGTCCCAATATTACTTACTGTCAGTCTCAATACTTATTGTCATGTCTCACTTCTTACTGTCAGTCTCAATACTTACTGTCTGTCTCACTACTTACTGTGAGGTTTGGTATATCTTCCTGTTGAAATGTGTCTATCAAAGTTTTCAGGGGATCACGCCAGTTATCAGGTGTCATGTGAAGAATCATTGATGATAGCTATAAAAATTGGTTTAAGTTTTAAATTACAGACAAATACTGAAATACTTGAAAAATCTTTTTCCTTTTGTTCAAACTTTCCCTGTTTTAACAAACATTTTAAGCAAAATGAATGTAATTTTCCTGTATTTTAAACATATCTTTCTTCTGTGATATTGTGACAAGTAGAATTCCTACAAAATAAAGATATTTAAAACTTCCAGAAAAGGGGAAAAATTCTTTAATTTTCTCATTATTCTATTTCACCTTATCTACACACAGTAAAAACTTGATTTGTAGAACATACTACAGAGTCAGACTTTAGGTTGATGGCTGAAGAAAACAGAACAAACCCCAACACAGAGTCGAGTGAGAACAATCTTTGGTCCGCTGCCAAAGTGTATGATTCTCTCCAGCAGTCGGGTCTTTAATCCTTCGTACTGGTCTTCTGGCACCTCATACCTAGATCAACAGGAGAGGTAATTCTCAAACCTGTTATGTATGAAATCTCATGCATGCTGTGTATAAAATCTCAAACATGCTGCGTATAAAATCTCATGCATGCTGTGTATCAAACATGCTGTGTGTAAAATCTCAAACATGCTTTAAGATAAGGGCTACATCCTTAAGGATGTACAGAATATTTAATACTCTCAACAGCATCTTACCCTAAAGCTTCACCACATAAAGTCTTATGCTATAGAACAGATTGTATACTGTGATACACATGTCATTATATAAGAATTCAATATCCCACAAAAAAAGTTAGTTAAAAGGATTCTTTTTTCAATAATGCATTTGTGAATTTGTGATAGGTAAATGGAAAAAATGGAAAAAAAACTTGTAATATACTATTTATCGCATACCTTAGATATTTTTGCAAATGTGTCTTATTATCCACTAATGTAAATCTGTATTTGCCATATTTTCACTCTATATCATACCAGTAGTTCCTTGGTGAATGTAAGTTCACAATTTAAGTTGTATAATTTAATTCATTACTAACAGTATAACATAGTAATCAGGTGTTCCTATAATTTAAAATTTCTTCAAGTGTCCAAATATTCATAATCAGAGATCCTGCAGAATGGTTCTTTCCAAACTGAGAAAACCAGTACTGTACAACACATCACATAACCTGGTAATCATCCTTTCCTCGTTAAATCTACTGTACAACACATCACATAACCTGGTAATCATCATTTCCTCGTTAAATCTACTGTACAACACATCACATAACCTGGTAATCATCATTTCCTCGTTAAATCTACTGTACAACACATCACATAACCTGGTAATCATCATTTCCTCGTTAAATCTACTGTACAACACATCACATAACCTGGTAATCATCATTTCCTCGTTAAATCTACTGTACAACACATCACATAACCTGGTAATCATCATTTCCTCGTTAAATCTACTGTACAACACATCACATAACCTGCTAATCATCATTTCCTCGTTAAATCTACTGTACAACACATCACATAACCTGGTAATCATCATTTCCTCGTTAAATCTACTGTACAACACATCACATAACCTGGTAATCATCCTTTCCTCGTTAAATCTACTGTACAACACATCACATAACCTGGTAATCATCATTTCCTCGTTAAATCTACTGTACAACACATCACATAACCTGGTAATCATCATTTCCTCGTTAAATCTACTGTACAACACATCACATAACCTGGTAATCATCCTTTCCTCATTAAATCTACTGTACAACACATCAGATAAGCTGAGTGATACTTATTTCTTTGTTGATATTTCCTCATTATTCTTTCAAAATGAAAATGAAACATAATATAATTGCTTATCATTATTTTCCTACCTGGTCCCAATATGAAGGTAAGTCTTTTCTTTGGATTTATTATATCTGTAGAAAATGTTCATGCTATGTTTTTCTACTTCTATGTGGACCAACCAAGCTGTTAAGGACAAATCAACATGAAGAGATCAAACACAAACTGATTTTAGTTTTACTCACCAGTATCGTGATATTTTGACATGTAGAGTGTTGGCACCAAAGTATTGCACTTCTGTATTCTGAGATAAAACAAAAACATATATCATACAATCAGACATTGTAGATGTTTTTATATTCAAAGGGCTCTATTTTTAGCTACTTTCCAGGAGAGAATAAAAATAGATACATTGAAAAGAAAACAAGTAAAGACTAGAGGACCAAGAGGCCTGCATCTCTCACCTGGCTAATTTAGGTATTCAGTCATTTAACAAAGAATTTCAATTATGAAAAGTAATTACTGAAAAAATTTCCTATTGGGTCCAGCCATATGGTCAAACGTAAATTAGAGCAAACTTGGACAATATCCTTGTACAGAAGAAGGATTTTCAAGGACTTACATTTCCCCAATTGGGCCCTCCCCAATTGGGCCCCCCCATCCAAGGGGCCTAAATGCACTGTTTATGCAGAACTTATTACTGTTCACCAAAGAATACTTCAGTTCAAATTTGGGCAAAATGCAATCATTCCAAAAGAAGAGAGCAGGATTTTGATAATTCTTCTCAAACTTGTCACACTGACAGTAAGAAAAAAACAATTTCATGTAATTCTAATAAAGCCTACTACATTTTAGAGAAATTGATGTAAAACTCAGATAAGAAATATGGCTGAAACCTGAAAGAGATCCCTGGACGTATTAACATCCACAACAAAGGGCAGTAACTCTTCCTAATACAGTCCAATCAAACTACCATTCAGGAAAGCACTTCATGTCATGGTGATTAAACATAATATAATTTTGAAAAAAAAAATTGGCTGAAAACTGTGAGAGGAGATATCCAGAATTTTTGAGGGGAATATAAATATCCAGTCATAAGATTCTGTGTAATGGTATACCTTGTCTGTGCTGAGAAGTTCCCAGCAGAAGGACCAGGCATCAGGGGAAATCTGTGCCGCCGTCAGCCATTGATGGACCTGGTGGTGGAGGCAGGCTGTCTGATAAAACTGTAGCACTGCCTGTCATCAATGGAAAACATCAACCTTATATAAATCCTTGCAAAGTGAAGTAAATGGAGATTTTCCAATTATAAGTATTCCTTTAATACTATTTAGTTACTGACACAAATTTCTCTTTGTATTCTCTTAATGCTGAAATGAGCTGAGGAGGAAGATTTAATGTGTTCTGTGTCTTGTGGTCCTGAAAGAATTCACTAATCTTGACAATGTGTCTCCCAATCCAGACATGACGTTTAGAGGTGTCTCTCAAACCTAACATACAGATTATATTGTGTGTCTCTCTGTAAAGACATACATGTTATATTATGTGTCTCTGTCCAGACATAGAAGTTATATAATATGTCTCCCAGTCCAGACATACATGTTATATTATGTGTCTCCTGGTCCTGACATACATGTTATATTATGTGTCTCCCAGTCCTGACATACATGTTATATTATGTGTCTCCCAGTCCTGACATACAGGTTATATTATGTGTCTCCCAGTCCAGACATACATGTTATATTATGTGTTTCCTAGTCCAGACATACAGGTTATATTATGTGTCTCCCAGTCCTGACATACAGGTTATATCATGTTTCTCCCAGTCCAGACATACAGGTTATATTATGTGTTTCCTAGTCCAGACATACAGGTTATATTATGTGTCTCCCAGTCCTGACATACAGGTTATATCATGTTTCTCCCAGTCCAGACATACAGGTTATATTATGTCTCCTGTCTCCCAGTCCAGACATACAGGTTATATCATGTGTCTCCCAGTCCAGACATACAGGTTATATCATGTTTCTCCCAGTCCTGACATACATGTTATATTATTTTGTGATTGTCCTAAAGATGGCATTGGCACTGTACCTGTTCAACAGCAGCAGCCTGGAAAGTCATTGTTTGTCAGTTTCTTTGCTCCTTCTCTACACCATCATTTGTTACCTGTAAATGATTTTTATTGAAATGAACATGATAATTTTTTTCCAATTAGTGACTGGCTATCTTCCAATGTAGCTCACTACAAGATTTTTTAACTTAACAGAATTATCTATTCATGGTCTCAAGAATCTAATTAAGGAAACATATTGTGTCCAGAAATTCATAGCTACTGGAAAAGGGAATCTGGTACTGGATGAGTTTAAAAAAGTATGGAGGAAATGGGAAAAGTTAATTGAGATAACTTAGCATCATAAATTTGTGTTTCTAGTATGTGGTTATACATTCCCAGGCAGCTCCCTCTTAATTTCTCTCTATCTCTCTTTCTCTCTTCCTCTCTTTCTCCTTCTGAGATCTATTCCTTTTATGTAGTTATGTGTATTTGTTCTGTGTTTTTTGAGTGGGTGAAGTATGAGTGATAATAACATGTAAGAATGTTTGTATAGGTGTAGTATAGGTACAGAATGAGGGAATATGTATACATAGTGGAAAAATGAGTGAACACATCCTTCAGGGGAGTTTGTATAGGTGTATGATATATATATATGAAGAATTAGTGAAAATGTAGTGTATGAAATATAAGTGAATCAATCTTTTATGAGTGTTTTTGTTATATAAATGAGGTGCAGGTGAAATATGAGTGAATGTAGTATAGGTGAAGGATGAATGAATATATCCTATATACCGGTAATTAATATACCAGTTGGGAGTGTTGTATAGATGAAGTGAAGGTGCTGTATGAATGTAGGTGTATGATGAGTGACTGAAAGAAGAAAAGCTGAATGGGATATAAAATATAAATGAGAAAGTGTGGTATGTTTATTGTCTTGCAATGTATCCTGTTTGAAGAAAAAAATAAAAAGTTACAAAAAAAAAAAAGATTTTTAAACTTAAACAGAAATCTTTGTGTATGTGTGAGAGGGACTCTTCATATTTCAATTCATATGTATTGTTACAATGATATCCTTTCAAATCACTCAACATTTTAAACACAGAATTGTACATGCAGCTTAATGCAGGCCTATTCTTCCTTTTTACCAATCAAACTTGATGGTGGCTCCCTTTTGCAAAAAAGACAATATACACAACCATAGCTCCTAGCAGTTTAGCAAAGTATAGATTGATAAGTGACAGAAATGACTGTTGTCTTTGAAAGTGGATGTCCCCCTGAGCATCAAAACATGGTATGATATGTGGTACTATGTACGGTCTGTGATAGAAACAATTATTCATTTATATGACAGGATGTCCCCCTGAGTACCATCACATTAAGTTAGCAATCATTTTCTCTCTCATTATCGAACTCATTAGAGAAGTTAAGTTCCCCATCATCCAAATAAACTGCCGTCTTCGCCTTAAGTCTGTTGTTTAATGTAATTAACAAGGGTCCAATATCATATACATCACAAGGGAAGTGCATATCACAGCAACATATTTTGTACATTACAGAGGCAGTACATTTCAAATTAATACATTACTACAAACAAATCAAGTGTCAAGCTGTTTAACGTGCTTGAAGGCGGTGGTTGCCGAAAGTGCAATCGGTGCGAGTTCGAGGGAACTACATTGATCAATGCCTGGCTATATTTCATATGCGCAGATGTTGACAAATTTATGTTAACCTACATTTAAACCTACAGTTATTTTAAAATCCAAATTTCAACGTAATCGCGAGTTACGATTGGATATGAAATAAAGATATTTACAAGAAATGCGTCCGAGAAGCAATCAATCATCCATGCATCGAGTTTGTCTTGAGTACGGCGACCATGATAGATCTCGTTTTCTCTTCAAATCTCGTACAGGTGAGCTTACTTTTACTGAGATAAACTGTTTATCTCAGGAAGATTAAATCTGTGTAATTTAAGGTATTGTCATATAATGTTTGAATATATGAGACAACACTTAAATTGCTCCCAAAATCAAATAATACAACAAATTAATTAACTGCTTATGACTGTCACGTGGTCACAAACGAGAACTTGAAAATTGCAAGATGGCAGCCACCTACGGGAAAACGAGTGACTATGATAGGATCAAAAGAATGATGAATGTGCCTCGTCCATTAAGAAAATATCTGTATTGTCAGATAATAACAGGATTTTTGTTCATATACTTGTGGTACTCTTTCAATGGAGGTATGCAATGCTATTTGTACAAAACGTGATTTTGTTTGTTTAGGTCGTTGGCAAGTTCCAACATCACCGGTAGAAGTCAACTCGGTCTAGGTAAAATATGCAGGTCGAATTGACTTTTTTTCTTCAAATTCTTAAATGGCATACCTGAAGGATAAAGAGTGTGACTTCGACTGAAAATTGCAACATTCTAACATGACAGTGTAAAAGACTAGATTTGCACGTCTTATCTGGAAAAAAATTATGCTGTATAAATTATCACTTTTGACGACTCATTTTTTATTTAAATAGTGATTGTAGACTGATTAGCTCACTGTTTTGCACACTTTTATCTTTATATGTCATGAAACGGTACGTCTCTGATCTTGTCTCTTTTTGCTTTTCCTGCCTTTGCTATACTTTTCTCCTCCTTTTTATAAAATGTGAAAACATGTATTTATGATGTGTGTGTAGTGTGTGGATGTGTGAATGTAATATGAGTGGCAACTATTGACATTATGGATAATTGTGTATAATTTTGAAATGAAAATGAGGTAAGCATACATACAGGTAATTACATACAGTATGAATGAGTGGATTGATGATGATGATGACTTGTTTATGGATAGAATATTTTAGTATTCATGTAATGACGATGTAGCATGTTGCACATCCTTATGTATGTATATTACGTTGTGTGTGAAAGCCAGTTTGTATGTAGAAAAAAATGAAAGAAATAAGAAAAAAATAGAAAGAACTATAGACTGAGAGATGAAAAATCAACTTTATTTAGATAATTTGTGTTATAAAAAAGAAGTTTACCAAGAAATATTGCTCATTTGAGTAAAAAACAATCAAACAATGAAAACCTGAATCTAACCGTTTAGAAAAATGCACACATAAACGCAGATTTTACCACTTTCACACCATAAATGTATTTTTGTTTTCATTTTCATCAAAATGTCATTTCTGTTCAAATGATAAATTTACATAATACATGTGTGCTTCTGGGTCACACTAAGCTGAAACACATTTCATCTAAAAAGAAAGTACATTTATTAAATGTAGTAATGGATAAGCATTTTCATTATCAGGACTTAAAATTCAGAAATTATGTAAGTTGTGCAATTTAATGCAGGATTCAATCATTACGATATCATTAAGTTTATACTTATACTGTCTGTTGCTAATGTACTTGTTTTGGATCAAGTCATAGCTAGATGAGTATGAAACAAATAAAATATTTGTTAATTACAGTACATGCTTATAATGAAATATTATTTGACTATATTTATATTTGATGAAGCAGGCAGTTCTTTTTTTTTTTTTTTTTGCAAATATTTTATCAATTTAAAATGACTTAAAGAGGATTTAGCAAAAGGCAGATCATATACAATTGAATTATTGGGTTATTTAGTTAATGTATCTTAGATCCTTTTTTATATATATCAATAGGTGTTTTTAGCTGGTTATTCCATGACCAGAAAATGTTGGACACAATGTGGAGCAAGTTCAATAATACAGTGTACTTGTATATATGTTAACAAACCTCAACTACTGTGATTGTATTTTATATGATTAAATGTGAATGTATTTGTTTTTTGGCAGGTCTTATTCCTTGGTTCCTTCGTCACCGTATTCCGGTCCTAAAGATGGGACCTGACATAAATGCTCTGTACTTCTTTCCTCATGTAGCAGATGATGGGAGCAAGCTGAAATGGTCTCATGGAGCAAACACGCCAAACCAACTCCAGCGTTCATTACAGGGTATGAATACTGCACTGGACAGTTTTGTCTGAGTGTTCATCAACTCCAGATTGATATAAAATGTCGATAGAACACCATGATGGTAGAAAAGAGTCGATGTTGTACATACTTACTGGACTTATTACATGTGACTAAAGAGAGTGAAAGTTATCTCCCAGTGTAGATTTTTTTAACTTTAATCACCATTTTGTAGTGTACATAAGTTTTAAAGAGAGAGAATAATTGGAAAAACTGTTGTGACTGGACATATAGCCTTTCACTGGTCAAGGTGGTATATAAATCTGCTGTCTGGTGAAAGGAAGTGTGATGTCACAGGAGCACCTGATTAAAAGGAAATATTTCATAAGATTTCATATTTTTTACTTGACCGTTGTAATAATATAGAAAGAGGTATCTATTGAAGTTTTTACAAGTTGGATAATTTGACTTTAGTGATCAAAGATGATTGTGGAATGGTTTGTAGTTGATGTTGACATGATTGAGGGCGACGTAATGCTAAAAGGTCAGGGTACAGAAACCCAGTCTCTGATTCCTGTGATGGGCCAGCCACGCTCTCAGGAAAGTGGGATGCCATTTGAGGATTGGCTCAATAATATAACTCCAACTGGCAAGGGGATTAAAATTGATATCCAGAGTACAGATGCTGTTGAAATCACTCTCCAGACCATAAAAAAACACAAGGATAATGTAAGTTTCAGACAGACTAAGCTTTATTTAATGTGAACCAGGGGTCGGGAAAAGCACTTGTCCAGTCGTCATGGACAAGTGAAAATTGTCTCAGACAACCAGATTTATCTTTGTCAGTTGTCCATAGGACGAGTATTTTTTTCCAATGATATTAATGTCACAAATTTCAATAAAAATGTAAAGAGAATTTAAAACAAAGAAACGTGATTATGGTACTTCGAAAACAAAATATTTCAGTCTGCACTCTAACTTTTGATTACACTGGAACTCCCATGATGTCAAATAAAGCATTCAGAATACCTTAGTCATTTTCCTGCGGTCATAATGATGTCAGTAGGTCTCGGGCGTTACAAACATGTACCGGTCTGTATTTAACAGCACCTAGTCAATGGGATGTAAACAAACACTATGGCTAGGCCTAAGTCGTGCACAATGTTTGACACAAAGCAGCCATCACTGCATAGTTTTTTCACTAAAATTTTGAACAAAAATAGAAAAAAAGTCACATGTCACATCCTCGCTGATTAAGTTGCCATTTCATGGCTGAATTTGGATGAGTAAATTTCCAATCTGGACGAGTAAATTTTTCAGCCCACTAGTCCTGTGCCTAGTGGATTAAAATATTTTTTCAGACCCCTGAGTGAACACATACATTTCAAGACAGAAACAGATCAGAATATAACAACCTGAAAAATTAAAAGTGTTTGTGATAGTTATCTGTAGAGGGGAGCTAATGTTCTTTGTAGAGTTTTCCTTCATTGGGATGTCAAATATAATCTGAAATAAAAAGAAAAAGAGACAAACAAAATATCTATAAAACTTGTTGTTCTCATTTTGTTTGTGTTTTGGCAGATCCGTGTTCCATTATGGATACATGCTGATATCTTCAAGGGACCCCTAGGAGAAGAACCCCCTGTGGAGGGAACTAGGTTCATCAAACACGTTGAGCGCCTGTTTCCTCAGTGTACTCTATCTTTAGGCTGGACGACTGGCACTCATACCGACCTGAGTCTGGTCAGCTACACATGGAAAATGGTCATCGATATGTACCATTTTGTACACGAACACGAACTCGAGCCACCTCTGGTGTTCTCGGTACGCGCCTCTCTGATGCACAACTCTGTGTCCCAGATAAAATGGCTGACAGACAATACCAGGGCATCGTTATTAGTTTGGAATAATCCTGGAGACAAAGTTCTTGTTGAAGACTTCATGCATCTAGCTTTCAAGTTTCCACCACACAATTTGTATTTTGACCTTCAAGACAAACAGCTCACTGAGTATGTGAAAGAAAATAGGCATGTGTCGAAGGAAAAAATTAATCCATTGGTGTTGCAAAGGGAAACTGTCATATTTAAACCAGAGGCTTGGGTGAAGATGGGACTGCACATCGAACAGCACTCGATACTGCCTAGTGAAGAAGCCATTGTCCTTACTACTAAAACAGTGTACATTCTTACCAAGAATAAATACAAACCTCGAAACCTCATTGTTCTCCACGGGCGCGTCCAGTTTTTAAACATTAAAGATAAAGATGCAGTCGGTGGTGAAACAGGATTGAACATCTATATGAGACCGACAGGGTATGCAGATTTTGAAAATATTGTTGGTATTCGTTGTTTCATTGGTGTGGACGGACTCTTACAAATTTCAGGTAGCAATTTAAAAAAGGTGAAAAACTTTAAACAAACTCACAGGATAACACCTGGTACCTCCAATTGCTTTCGGTTTAGTGTCCAGGACACAGGTAACGAGATTGTAATGCGCGTGAATGTCCTTCACAACTGTGAAACACTCGAGAGCACAAGACGAGACGAGGAGGTTCATGCAGAGTTTAAGGTTCCCATTCCAGCTAATGTTGGGATAGATCAACATCCATTTATACTGAAGCTGGAAGACAGCAATAGATATGCTGTACTTGATGAACTTCATGTAAAGTATAATCAATTATAGTGTAGTATTTTATACTTTAAAGGTTGTTTTTATGGGTGAAAAAAATTCTGAAACTGAAAAATTTCAAAGATTGTCAAAGAATTGATATATAAACAGTCAATTAATGTATGATTTTTTTTATGTCTGAGATTTGTTAATCAAAGTATTTTGACAGAAATACATATCAGTTGGATTTAACCATGTTTAGGTAAGCTGGTTTTTTTTAGCTATTCCCAGAAATTTTAAGTAAGCATATATCTACTGTAAGATATGAGAATTAACTATAAAATAGATTGTGGGTTTGTAGATGTTTCCTGTTAATGGAAAGAGACTAAATGAGTTTATTACTTTTATTATCATGAATATAAAAAGGTATATAAATGGTTGGAATGTAAATAGGCTCAGTCATGATACTTAGATGTAAATAAACATTGTATAGGGGGTAGGTGATATATTGAATCTTTACCATTATGACTTTTTTTAAGCTACTGTTAATTGCTGTAGACTTAATCATATATCAAAGGCTTCCTTTTTCCCCCTAACACTGTCAATTCATATTTGAAAGTTGATGCACCAGAAATATTCTCTGATGTGTTTTGGTCACTGATTTCACTTTTTGTGGTATTTAAGTGAAATTTATTGTTTTTCAGAGTTTTGTTCTGTGGAACAAGACTCAAACCTCACTGTGTTACATTTATTCAATAGCAGAGGAGTTACTACCATGCTTAGGTACGTAATTACCTATGATTATAAGCTAATATGTTGCAACTCATGAATGGTTAGGAGAAGTTGTAGATGATATGGCAGCTGTGTTCAGCGGATCTTAAATTTGTTCTTATTATTACATGTAAACATTCTGGTTGGTGTTTTATTGCTGACTGTAGGACTGCAACTGAACACCACACCAATTTCACTAATTAATGAAGAACTATGCTCAGTTGTATCACTCAGCAATAAAATACTCTGTAAAAGGTTGTAATGTAACATCAGAGTATCTAAATATAGAAATATAAAACATATCTGTATTTATACATTCACAAAAATGTTTAAAAGTATTAAATAAAACATGATAACTAAAACAACGCTAGATGATATTCGCAGCATATGCCTGTTTGTTTGGTTAGTTCCTGTTTTATTGTATTATGTACAACCTGATCAAAACTGGTGCTTCCAGTATATTTGACAGCAATTACATCAATTAATCATCCTTGTTTTCAAATATTTTTGTTATCTTTTTCTACAAGCATAATCAGCTACTTTTTTTTATATTGTGCCATTTGTTTACATTTCATTCCAGTTGTAATTAATCATAATGGTTATTTATGATGGTGTAAATAATTTAATTACATATATCATGACTTTGTGTTATCTGTTATCATCAAATGTCACTGTAGATATGTATATACACCTGATCATTAAAGTTGCACGAATTGAGACTCCAGTCAGGATTTGAAAAAGTCGCTATCAATATTCTTTAAAAATTCCTGTTGTGATAACAACAGCCTTTGATTTGTGTCTAAATCGTAAATATCTGTTTCTATTATGACTGGATTCATGAAACAGAAGCTCATTCAACATCCTGTTTTTCATAAACATATACAGCATCATAATTTATCATCTACATATACAATTATTTTTTCACCAATTTTACTTGCTTTACCCTTTGTTATGCTTTTTGTAAGAAATTCATCTACATGTGTCTATTCCACTTGTACATATCAATTTTAGCTATTTCCTCATTGCTTTGATGAAAAGATGTAAATTTTTTTCTCATTTGATTATAGCTGGAATATACAGAAGACATTTGTTATAAATCTTGTCATAACACAGTTAGAATGATTTTTACATACATTGTAGTCTTTCGTTATGTCATTGATACATGTGCTATTATACAATTACATAAATGTATTTTGGCTCAAAACTCCTGGAGTACTTACTCAGTGTTTTCTCTCCTACATGGTATTTGACTTTTTGTCTACCAAGTTTTACTTTAATTCGGAATTGACTGTTGTACCACTGTTATGAATGGTGATAAACTTTACTAGAGCAATGTTATCATTTAATTGGTACTTTTTAAATGTTATTTTGAAATCATATATAATCTTGAGCGAGATGTGTTTCTGAGGGTCTGTTGGCGGGAAGGGGGTGTAAATATATCATAAGCTTGTTACATAATATATTCTAGATATACACAGTTTAACATTATAACATACCACCCTTTGGAAAATGTTCACATCCATATTTTTTTTTTTAAAACATTTATGTATGTATTATTCATGTTTCCAAAACAGCTTTTTGTTCAAATTTCTTTTAATTTACTCCAAGTTGTGTAAATAATTTGATTTACTGAAGATAGGGGTTTTTACAATGTATGCATCTTTTCATATAAAATATGAGCCGTCTTTGTTAAAGTGATTACTATTTACCTACAACACTAATATCTTCTGGAAATGTTGGTCAATCAATACTATAATCCTTCTAATGTTCTGACTTACGTAATCAAATATCAAAATGTCTGTAGTCTATACACATAACACAAATGTAGAGAAGTTGTGATAATCAAGAAATAGAACTGGAATTAATGTGTAATAAATTTTGATATTATATACATTTAACTCAGTCTTTTGTTGTTTTGAATTAGATTTCATTTCACTTATCAAAATTGTGGGTTGGTCTTGTCAGTGAGCTTATGGTATGGGTAAACATCTGTCTGTCTCTTTGTCACCAGTCCTCTAATAGCTTCTAGAAAACTGTTGGACTAGGTGCTTTTATTTTACAAGCAGGTACTTAGGATTAACTGCTGTAGAGTTTCCTCAAACCATAGACTTAATGGCTCTTATCACTCAGCAGGTAATCTTTTCCGTTTCACAAAACGAAACTGGTGAATTCTCCCAGAAAACAACTTTATTGGGCAAATAATTTTAAAAAGGGGCGATAATTCTGTTACAAAAGGATTCAATGCTCTGAATTTGGTACACTGTACCTTGTCTTAGTATGTCCTAGTTTTAATGTAAGCAAAGTTATGCTCTGGACACAAAATTTAAACAAGGCCATCAGACACAGTTTATGCTCCCCAAATGGGAAAAAAATTAAGTACGAAAAGTAACAAAGGGCAGTAAGAGGGTTATGATTCTCGTGCACTGCCCTCATTCTCCTTGAGATTTATCTACATATGAAGTTTCATGTTCATACCTCTTATACCTCTTACCTGGTTAGGTATGACCCCTGGTCCCCAAACTGGATCTCAGACCCCTGGTCCCTACACAGGCTCTGGGACCTCTGGTCCCCAAACTGGATCTCAGACCCCTGGTCCCTACACAGGCTCTGGGACCTCTGGTCCCCTCACAGGATCTGGGACCTCCGGTCCTCACACTGGATCTCAGACCCCTGGTCCCAACACAGGCTCTGGGACCTCTGGTCCCCTCACGGGTTCTGGGACTTGTGGTCCCCACACGGGTTCTGGGACCTCTGGTCCCCACACAGGTTCTTGGACCGTGCTAGGACCTCTGGTTGGTCCCCACACAGGTTGTGGGACCTCTGGTCCCTACACAGGCTCTGGAACCTCTGGTCCCCTCACGGGTTCTGGGACCTCTGGTCCCCACACAGGTTCTGGGACCGTGCTAGGACCTCTGGTCGGTCCCCACACAGGCTGTGGGACCTCTGGTCCCCACTTAAGACTCTTGGATCTTGGGTCCTTACTTAGGCTCCGAGACCTGGTTCCAGCATAGACTAGGGGAATTCCAGTCTCTGACCTAGGTTAGTTTATGGTAACAACTAAGTAGTTCTTACCCTGTTGAGTCGAGATGGTCCATATACAAAAATCTGAAGTTTACATTTCAAGCGCCCCTTCCTACAGACACAGCCCTCAAGAGAGCCAAAGTATTAGATATATAAATGTATTTATTCTGTAATAAGAAGTTGTTTGAGAGTTAGGGTTGTGTTAGAGAAGCATCGGTGAGGTATACAAGATTTCATATTAATTTGTTATGCATATACCTATATCTTACATTGTATAGAACTAGAATAGCAATAAACCTTATGTATCTAGTTTGTTGTGTATAAACTCTGTAAATAAAGGGTCATGAGCCCTGACCTTTGATACACTGCACTTCGTTTATCTTTGACCACTGTATACATCATGTGTCATTATCCAATGCAGGTCAAGGTTTGCTCTGGACACAAAATTTTAACAAAAGACAATAACCGAGTCTGTCTTTAAGGGGTTGTGGGCCCAAACATTGGTATACTAAACGTTGTCTTCATATGATCAATTTATACACCAAGTTTCATTATCCTGGTTTAAATGCAAGCAATTTAAAGTTGTGCTCTGGACACAAAACTTTAAACAAAGGGCAATAACTCTGTAATTGTGGGGTTACAGGCCCTGACTTTGGTACATTGAACATTGCCTTTGTATGATCCAAGTTTCATGATCCTAGCTTAATTGTGGGTGAAGTTATGATCTGGACACAAATGCTATCGGGTCAAACAGATCTCATCCTAATAGTAACCCATAAACAACAGACTTTACAGTTTTATTTCTGTATAAGTTTTATTTCATTACATGATCAAAAATTTAATAAAAGAAAAAATAAATGAAACACCACATTCAAGTTCAATTACACCACAGATTTTTCAAAAATTATATCCCATTTAAATGAATTCATTTACAAATTCCAACAAGTGTTCATGTTCACATCAGACCCATTAGTCTCTGTACTACGAGATACAGCATTCTCCCAACTTCTGTATACACATATATGACTTCTGTTCCAGATAGATGTAATTTACCTCTAAAATGTTGACAGGCCCCATGTAATGAAAATCTATTAATGATTAACTGTCAACAAATTAGAGCAAATCAAATATTGTTCTTATTTGTGGAAATACTTCACTTCAAAAGATGGAAAAAAATAGTTCCTTTTCTTGATGTTGGGAAAACAATCACTCCCTATCATGTGAAGATTGAAGAAAATTTATCACTCCTTGAAAAAGTGAGAGAAAAATGATCACTCCCTACCTAGAGGGTGTAATATATAAATCCCAACCCTTTGGATGAAATTCTTGAATGTCAAATATCCCTATAATCCTGAGCTATTGACCTTCAAGAATCTTACTCCTCAAATTGAGATTTTCTTGTTATGCCCACAAAATTGGGAAAAATTCCATCTAAATTTACACGTAAATTAGTAATCAATGATCAAAAGTCAGTACACAATCACAAAAAATAGACAAAAGATTACAATCTGAATAAAAGTTTGTTTGGATGCAAACTTTGTAGCTATGAAGATATTTGCCATAAGTCCAGTATTGTTGAATCAAAAGCATGATTGAACTGAAATCTAATAACGATTCTCCAGGATAATGCATTTCTAGAGTTATACTTAAACAATTTAAACAATAAATCATTTCAAATCATCATAATACTTACATAAACAAAGATCTTTGTATAACAATTGATAGCTCTTCTTTATTACATGTCTATAAAATATTCCTCCTTTCCAGATGTTGTAACCCTGATCTCAAAAACATGTTACATCGGATAGTTCAGTTTTCATTCAATCCTACATTCAGGTCATTGGAGCTATGAAATGACAGAATACATTTTCATTAATCTGTCTGATAACGTCCCTACAACAGCCGTAACAGTCACAGAGATGTAGAAACCACAGACATTTGTCCAAGGTACAGTTTAATCACATAATCCTATTTAATTCTTTCAGTGGTAAGTAGCCAAACATGTTATTTTTTTCCCCCCAAATCATGTCTTTTTGTTCTGTTTCACAACACTGTTTTATGTCAATTGCTTCAGAGTAAAATAATTTCCCATCATTACAATAAAATATCACAGAATGTTTCCATATACATTCAGTACAGCTATCTGTACATCAAACTTTGTGTAGCACTGCTTGTAATTTGCATAAACATGTCTTGAAACTGATTGTCTCAATTTGTGATCTATAATTTGGATTTTCCTGCCCTGGATTCAAATTCCTTGAGCTTCATGGCCAACCCCATATTACCCTGGATCTTGAGCTTTCCTTGGAAGAATGCCTGGAAAAAAACAAAACAAATGTCAGAAAGAGTGTCATGAAATCTTAATCCTATATGTGTTCACTTTAAATTAATAAGAAAAATATCAATAGAATATCAATAATAGAAAAATTTTCTATCTTGCTCAAGTAATATGTATTTACTGTTGAAACATCCCAATCCAAAAAGTAAAAATCATCAAACAAACTAAAAGATAAAATACAAATGCTAAAAATCTTAAATGGGTATATTATCACAAAAGATTGAAATGGTACGTCATAGTATAATATATATACCAACATCATTCAGTTATGTAAAATTTTAGGAATCTCAACAGTTTCAAAAAGAGTCTTTAGACTTGTACCATTATGATAAAATATTTCTCCAGTAGACAGAAGGTCAATGTAGTCCAATAAAAAATGTTTAACCGTGAATTGCTCATCACATCAAAATAAGGAATTAAGTGATTACCCTCACCCTATGATGCATCAGACCAAATTTGGTTGAAATTCACTAAAGTATGAAAAAGGAGTATTTTTTTGACGAAAAAGTTTATGCACAATGCTTGGCAGATGGCGGACGGTACAACAACGAACAAATACCAGGCTACAGGTCATCTTGACAACCTAAAACATGCATGTGAACATGCAGGTCTGTAAGCAGGTCAGTGACACCCATGAATTCATTACCAGAATATGTGTAGTATCTCAATTAAGATTTTTCAGTGAACAAGAGGCCCAAGGGGCCTTAACGGTCACCTGAGGAATACATGTCAATAATCTGGGGATTTTAAAATGTTGCAAAAATGAAACAACATTTGTGCAGGACCGTGTGTAAAACATCTGTACCAAGTTTGAACATGACCCAGAAATGGTTCTTGAGAGGAAGTCCATAATGTCTTAGCCAAACAGAGGTCAGGGTGGCCATCTTGGATTTTGAATCACCCCAAAAAGTTAAAACACTTGCCAGGACCTTGTGTAAACATTCGTATCAAGTTTCCCCTTTTTCCACCTCCTGGGGCCCCTATTGGGGCCACACCCTTTTTCTTCCCAAATTTGAAGCGGCTTCCCATGGGGATGCTTTGTGCCAAGTTTGGTCAAAATCCATCCAATGGTTCTTGAGAAGAAGTCATTTAAAGAAGGTTTTTACATATGGCCCCTTTTACACCCCTTATGGGCCCCAAAGGGGACATAATCACTTTTTTCAACATAATTTCATATGTCCTTCACTAAGGGATGCTTTCTACCAAGTTCGGTTGAAATTGGTCAAAGTTGAATTTTTGACCCTGTTGAGCACCCCTAGTGGGGCTGTTTTTGACCGATTTTTTTTTCATTCGCAAACTTTGTAGACCATGCCATAAGGACCCTAAATATTAAGTAGGAACTTAATCTGACTGTTGGTTCATGAGAAGAAATTTTTTTAAAGATTTATCTAATTTTACCCCCTTTTTCCCCCTCCTGGGGCCCCTATTGGGGCCAAGCCCTTTTTCTTCGCAAACTTAAAGCGGCTTCCCATTGGGATGCTTTGTGCCAAGTTTGGTCAAAATCCATTCAATAGTTCTTGAGAAGAAGTCGAATATGTGAAAAGTTAACAACGCATGACGATAGACAAATCATGATGGCAATAGGTCACCATGAGCCTTCGACTCAGGCGACTAACAATCAAAAAAGCAATTGAACTTGTACATCAGTCTGCTTTCCAACTTTTTGTCTTAACTCAACTTTGCTCTTGTACCTTATTGGTACCTTAAAAATAATGGTGTATGATTTCACACCTGATGATATGGAAATATTTACCTGCTGAGGGTTCAGTTTTCCAAGCATTAAGTTGAACATGTCCTCATCGTCCATTATAATAGTCACGTCACCCTTAGCTGGAAAACACACACAAAACTCGGAAATCAAATTTAAGTTCAATACATATGAATCAGTTTCAGCATGAAAAACAATCTTGAAAAAAGTCAAGGCTCTCAGACGATCCTAGATACATTGAAGGGAGACAACTTACCTTCGCCACCAAATTTAACAGAGCCATTTCCATTCTTAGCATCCACAACCCACACACCCATTCCATTCTTTCCCTTCACTTTGAAACAAAAGACTCCTTTCATCTTCTTTACAAACATTGGTCCATCCTGAAAAATAACATTTCTTTATATGTTTAATTCAGATATACCTGAAACAGGTACATATACAGTCACCAGAAAATCAAACTATATTTGTTTATAAAGATATCATTGTTATATTTGTCCCACTATCCAGCTTTGTTAATCTTGTTACCACTAATCTTTTTATCCCACTCTCCAGCCGTGGTAATCTAGACACCATTATCTGTTTATCTCTATATCCAACCCTGTTCATCCATTTACCACTATTATGTTTATCCCACTATCCTGCCTTGATAATCCAGCAACCACTAATCTGTTTATCCCTCTATCCAAACATCTAGATAATCCAGTTGCCACTAATCTGTTTATCCCAATATCAAGTCTAGTTAATCCAGTCGCCACTAATCTGTTTATCCCAATATCAAGTCTAGTTAATCCAGTCACCACTAATCTGTTTATCCCAATATCAAGTCTAGTTAATCCAGTAACCACTAATCTGTTTTACCAATATCAAGTCTAGTTAATCCAATCACCACTAATCTGTTTATCCCAATATCAAGTCTAGTTAATTCAGTCACCACTAATCTGTTTATCCCAATATCAAGTCTAGTTAATCCAGTCACCACTAATATGTTTATCACAATATCAAGTCTAGTTAATCCAGTCGCCACTAATCTGTTTATCACAATATCAAGTCTAGTTAATCCAGTCACCACTAATCTGTTTATCCCAATATCAAGTCTAGTTAATCCAGTCACCACTAATCTGTTTATCCCTGTTTAGACCTGCCTGTTAAAGTTAAACCTTAACTACCTTGTCCAAGTTTTCCTTGATCTCTTTGAAGATGATGGCTGACTTGAAGTCTGTCTCTGAGGATGCACTTGCTGGAGCAAACTGGACAGATTTACTGTAAAACAACAAAAAAAAAACTGATGTGAAACACAACACCTGTATTTAGGGCTTTAAAGAAAAGACATGAAGGTAGTGGGAGGCATGGGTCGTACTAGCCCCAGTGTCTGGGGGAATCGAGGATTGTGCATATCTCGGCGTCTGAGGGACGTGGGCTCTCTGTTTTATACTACCCCAACGCCTGGAGAAGCCCTTGATTGCACTTACCTAAATATCCAGGTCAGCCCTAGGTTGTGATTATCCTAGAGTCTGGAAAAGCCCTAGAACTTTAAAAATGTCCAGGTCAGCCCTGGCTTGTGATTATTCCAGCGTAAGGGTGTGTGTGATAGAGATGGTTGTTTTATACTTACCCCACTGTTTGGGGGAATCCATGCCTGTAAAGGGCCACCACTGCAGCTCCTCCTAGACCAAGATTGTGCTGCAAAGCTACCTTGGCTCCATTAACCTGTCGTTTGTCTGCCATCCCTCTCAGTTGCCAACACAGCTCCGAACACTGAGCAAGACCTGGCAACAGCAATAAATAACAATTACCCAAAAAGTTATTATCCGGAAATAGAAATTTCTACTCCATCAGCTAAAATTTACAACACAACGTTAATACAATCCCGGTAGATATGTACTTCCAATCAAAGTGGCAACAATAAAATGATTGATCTTCTTACCTTACACTATACTTAACAAATTTGATGATAGATTTACATGTAGCTCTGAGAGGGTGTCCCTTGGAAATGAGTCCTCCACTAGTATTAATGATAGATTTACCTGTAGCTCTGAGTGGGTGTCCCTTGGAAATGAGTCCTCCACTAGTATTAATGATAGATTTACCTGTAGCTCTGAGTGGGTGTCCCTTGGAAATGAGTCCTCCACTAGTATTAATGATAGATTTACCTGTAGCTCTGAGAGGGTGTCTCTTGGAAATGAGTCCTCCACCAGTATTAATGATAGATTTACCTGTAGCTCTGAGAGGGTGTCTCTTGGAAATGAGTCCTCCACCAGTATTAATGATAGATTTACCTGTAGCTCTGAGTGGGTGTCCCTTGGAAATGAGTCCTCCACCAGTATTAATGATAGATTTACCTGTAGCTCTGAGTGGGTGTCCCTTGGAAATGAGTCCTCCACCAGTATTAATGATAGATTTACCTGTAGCTCTGAGTGGGTGTCCCTTGGAAATGAGTTCTCCACTAGTATTAATGATAGATTTACCTGTAGCTCTGAGTGGGTGTCCCTTGGAAATGAGTTCTCCACTAGTATTAATGATAGATTTACCTGTAGCTCTGAGTGGGTGTCCCTTGGAAATGAGTCCTCCACTAGTATTAATGATAGATTTACCTGTAGCTCTGAGAGGGTGTCCCTTGGAAATGAGTCCTCCACTAGTATTAATGATAGATTTACCTGTAGCTCCGAGAGGGTGTCCCTTGGAAATGAGTCCTCCACTAGGGTTTATAACAAATTTTCCACCGTATGTGTTATCTCCATTATCAACCATTTGGCCAGCCTTCCCTGTAACAAATCAATGTACATAGTCCAAGCCATACTCCTTAAGAGTCACAACAGTCTGACATCAAATGTCATGTCAGCTTCCTTACATATATAGTTACAAATATTGGAATATGACATAGTAATATCTGTTCCTCTTCACTATCAGATAATATCTCCTGACTGTATCATGAACCCTGTACAATAATATCCATGAAAAATCTGAATGATGAAATTCATTTTAAAATCTTAACAATTTCATAAAAATCTTGGTCTAATAAGTGAGTATCCACTTTATCATTGTTCACCACAGTTATACATGTACAGGTATGTCAGTGACTTATCTTATCAGTGACCCACACCATCTTCAGTAACAGTGAAGATAAAGTCTAGGAGCGTGCTATAAACTGACAGCTGTATAGATGTAGCACATTAACATTGGACCAAATGAAAGTAATTAATAAAGATAAACTGTATAATTAAAATCAGGCCAGCATGAGATATCACAATACTAGTGTTACAGACGTACTTATCTAATAGGGTACAGTCAACCACTGATATACTGAAGTAAAACATATTGTGTCAACCATGTATATCCTAACCAGGTGATGGAGGTCTAGTGTCAACCATGTATATCCTAACCAGGTGATGGAGATCTAGTGTAAACCATGTATATCCTTACCAGGTGATGGAGATCTAGTGTAAACCACGTATATCCTAACCAGGTGATGGAGATCTAGTGTAAACCATGTATATCCTAACCAGGTGATGGAGATCTAGTGTAAACCATGTATATCCTAACCAGGTGATGGAGGTCTAGTGTCAACCATGTATATCCTAACCAGGTGATGGAGGTCTAGTGTCAACCATGTATATCCTAACCAGGTGATGGAGATCTAGTGTAAACCATGTATATCCTAACCAGGTGATGGAGGTCTAGTGTCAACCATGTATATCCTAACCAGGTGATGGAGATCTAGTGTAAACCATGTATATCCTAACCAGGTGATGGAGATCTAGTGTAAACCATGTCTATCCTAACCAGGTGATGGAGATCTAGTGTAAACCATGTATATCCTAACCAGGTGATGGAGATTTGGTGTAAACCATGTATATCCTAACCAGGTGATGGAGATCTAGTGTCAACCATGTATATCCTAACCAGGTGATGGAGATCTAGTGTAAACCATGTATATCCTAACCAGGTGATGGAGATCTGGTGTAAACCATGTATATCCTAACCAGGTGATGGAGATCTAGTGTAAACCATGTATATCCTAACCAGGTGATGGAGATCTAGTGTAAACCATGTATATCCTAACCAGGTGATGGAGATCTAGTGTAAACCACGTACATCCTAACCAGGTGATGGAGATCTAGTGTAAACCACGTACATCCTAACCAGGTGATGGAGATCTAGTGTAAACCACGTATATCCTAACCAGGTGATGGAGATCTAGTGTAAACCATGTATATCCTAACCAGTTGATGGAGATCTAGTGTCAACCATGTATATCCTAACCAGGTGATGGAGATCTAGTGTAAACCATGTATATCCTAACCAGATGATGGAGATTTGGTGTAAACCATGTATATCCTAACCAGGTGATAGAGATCTAGTGTAAACCATGTATATCCTAACCAGGTGATGGAGATCTGGTGTAAACCATGTATATCCTTACCAGGTGATGGAGATCTAGTGTAAACCATGTATATCCTAACCAGGTGATGGAGATCTAGTGTAAACCATGTATATCCTAACCAGGTGATGGAGATCTAGTGTAAACCACGTACATCCTAACCAGGTAATGGAGATCGAGGGTAAACCATGTATATCCTAACCAGGTGATGGAGATCTACTGTAAACCATGTACATCCTAACCAGGTGATGGAGATCTAGTGTAAGCCATGTATATCCTAACCAGGTGATGGAGATCTAGTGTCAACCATGTATATCCTAACCAGGTGATGGAGATCTAGTGTAAACCATGTATATCCTAACCAGGTGATGGAGATCTAGTGTAAACCATGTATATCCTAACCAGGTGATGGAGATCTAGTGTAAACCATGTATATCCTAACCAGGTGATGGAGATCTAGTGTAAACCATGTATATCCTAACCAGGTGATGGAGATCTAGTGTAAACCATGTATATCCTAACCAGGTGATGGAGATTTTGGGTAAACCATGTACATCCTAACCAGGTGATGGTAAACCATGTAAAGTATTTAACCTAATAAGGACGCAGGGCACAGGTAATTGAAGGTGAGGACGCCCGTAATTGAAGGTGAGGACGCCCTTACTAAGACTTCAAATTTTAAGTTTTAGGAAACTGACTATAGGTGATATGTATGTAGGAGACAGCTTCCAGTTCAACTAAGAGTAAGTAGAAATTTGAAACAGACTATAGCGGAATTCCCATGAAACTGTTTGATGTTATTGACCTTTGAAAGTGTTTTTGAAAGTCATTCAGCCGAAAACGATGAAAAGTTATGTTGACATAGTCCAGGCTGTTCTTGATAATAAAACTGCAGATGTGCACAATGTGACATTGAACTTTCCAAGAGTAGTGCCAGCAGCTCGAACAGTGATATGGACAATGCTGATGATTACAATGACTGCACTGCCCGGGACATTTAAATCAGGCCTGATTTCAATGTCCACAGTGCAGTCATAGTAATCCTCAGCATAGGTCTATTTATATATTCTGAGTAAAAAGGTAGTTGTAGTAATTTTTTTTTATCATTTCTGAACACGACTGGACACTCAGCCAAGAAATTTTCCTGTAAAAAAGGCAGGAGTGCCCTTATTGAGGCATGCGTCCTAAAAAGGTCATCTAGTTTAAGCTATGTATATCCCTATAAGGCACTACATACATGTCAAATTTGATTTTTAATTCAATGTTTTAACAAATACATACCCAATATTAATTATGCAAGTATACCTTGTCACTAACACAACTAAGTTTATTTCTGTTTCTAATTTCTTGTATCAATAATATCTTGATATAAACTCAAGAGTAAAGAATGTCACAACATTTTTCAGAAAATTATATAATGAGCTTAAGTTTACACACTCATTAAAATCTTCTAAAATATAAACCCATTCCATACAGCCTTATACTTGACTGTTGCGTAATTTTTTCATCAAATTCTATTTAGAAATAAAGATGAAAGATTGAAAACAATTTTTTCTTAAATAGTATTGATGATCTTTACCTTTATGTCACGAGACACAAATTTCTTTAATAATTATCTTGATAATTGTGTGACAGGTTATCAATACCAATGCATCATAGTCTTTTTTGTTTTTGTTAATTTTCTTACAAGAATTTAACATACTGAGATCAATATATTCCACTCCCCACTCAGGGCCCTACACCACATAACAGTGTAACACACTGAAGTGATTTACAAATTCACTAAGCAATGTCACTGCTGTTTTGCAGAATAACCCTAATTGCATCTTTCATGTAAGTGTAAGCACTGTAGCAGTTATCCTTTCCCAGAGGTGAACAATGCAAATTCTTTTTAACCATAATTTTACAAAGTTGTTGGTTAACATGAAATGTAGGTCAAATTCAGCATCTGACACCTTCAATCTCATTTGATTCATTTTTTCTTTCTTGCTTGTTATCTAAGGTCTAAGCTAACTTCAGAAATGAAAAGAATACAGATGAAATTAATTGATTTGACAACTATTATGTGGTACCTGGTTCACACAGTCCAAGGGCTTCATATGTGATGAGTTCATTGCAGGAGAAGCAGTCGTGAAGTTCAACCACATTAACATCATCACGAGAAAGACCTGCAGAAATCATCAATAAATACTAGATATAACCATGAAAAAACACATTATGACTTTGACAAGTTAACAAACTAACAATAATTTGCAGCTAATATTTCAATCTTATTTAGACTTTACCTGAGAAAATAAAAATTCTTTCTTATTTATGTTTACGACATCTCAGACAATTATCAGGCCCAAATTATTACTATGATTTCAACCTAATGACAAGTTAGAAATGTCAGCACCAAACCTCGACTTACCTGCTTCCTCAAAGACTTTGTCCGCAGCCGTCTTTGTCATGTCATACCCAACCTGAAATAATGAACATTCTCTATCACAATACTTAAGGACATTTTATCAAACCACTGGTACTCACTAATGTTACACAGACTTCAGGACACAATCCATCAAATCACTGATACTCACTACTGTTTCACAGATGTCCGGACACACTCCATCAAATCACTGATACTCACTACTGTTACACAGATTTCAGGACACAGTCCATCAAATCACTGATACTCACTACTGTTACACAGACTTCAGGACACACTCCATCAAATCACTGATACTCACTACTGTTACACAGATTTCAGGACACACTCCATCAAATCACTGATACTCACTACTGTTACACAGATTTCAGGACACACTCCATCAAATCACTGATACTCAGTACTGTTACATAGACTTCAGGACACACTCCATCAAATCACTGATACTCACTACTGTTTCACAGACGTACGGACACACTCCATCAAATCACTGATACTCACTACTGTTTCACAGACGTACGGACACACTCCATCAAATCACTGATACTCACTACTGTTACACAGACTTCAGGACACACTCCATCAAATCACTGATACTCACTACTGTTACACAGACTTCAGGACACACTCCATCAAATCACTGATACTCACTACTGTTACACAGACTTCAGGACACACTCCATCAAATCACTGATACTCACTACTGTTACACAGACTTCAGGACACACTCCATCAAATCACTGATACTCACTACTGTTACACAGACTTCAGGACACACTCCATCAAATCACTGATACTCAGTACTGTTACACAGACTTCAGGACACACTCCATCAAACCACTGATTCTCACTACTGTTACACAGACTTCAGGACACACTCCATCAAATCACTGATACTCACTACTGTTACACAGACTTCAGGACACACTACATCAAATCACTGATACTCACTACTGTTACACAGACATCAGGACACACTCCATCAAATCACTGATACTCAGTACTATTACATAGACGTCCGGACACACTCCATCAAATCACTGATACTCACTACTGTTACACAGACTTCAGGACACACTCCATCAAATCACTGATACTCCCTACTGTTACACAGACTTCAGGACACACTCCATCAAATCACTGATACTCAGTACTGTTACATAGACTTCAGGACACAGTCCATCAAATCACTGATACTCACTACTGTTACACAGATTTCAGGACACACTCCATCAAATCACTGATACTCACTACTGTTACACAGATTTCAGGACACACTCCATCAAACCACTGATTCTCATAAACTTATGGACACACATTGACACACTCACAAAACTAAAACACAGTACTGCATCAAACTTAGTTCTACCATTCTATTTTGCCTATTAACTGCACCAGGACATCAGCTGCACCCTTTCTTACGATGTTGTAACAATTATGTTAATTGATATAACAGACAATGGAAGCTGCACCCTTTCTTACGATGTTGTAACAATTATGTTCATTGATAAAACAGACAATGGAAGGCAATTTTGCAGATTAATTGTACACAGTCTTTTATTTCATTGACGTGTTTCAAAAACGTAAAATAGCATTTTTTTTTATCTATGCACAGAAATAGCCGCACATTTACTTAACAAAATCTCCATTTGTGTCTGTACTGTTAAATACTAGCGAAGGCCCTTATATGCTGACAAAATTCTTACAGTCCCATATCATTTCTTGTAAGTTACATGAAGCTGTTCTTATTGTAAATAAACATGGCAATTGTTCTAGAATTTGACCCAATGACTTATCGATTCCAGGAAGCAACAGGCTATTGTAAACTTCCGTTATGACTTCAGAAGCAACAATGATAGTTAAGAAGATATTACTGTGATTCATATTAAAAGGTAGGATTAATTAAATCCATGAGAAGGTTATTTTTATTTCAATCATAAAATCATACTTTATATGGTTGCAAATAATGGTTCTAGATGACCTGTTTCAGTCACAAACACATGATGGACAGGTACTCGTACTTGGTACCAACATCTCATACTGGTGTACTGGTATCCTTGGTTTAAATCAATACTTTTTATTCTTTCTGCATAACAAAAAATTAATAAATGGATTTAAAGGACTTAATGGGAAGATTTTGCGAATCAGAAATGTGAAAACTGACTACTAGTAAAATGTACCATTTTCATGCAGCTTTTGTCTTCAAAAGTGCTGGGTAGGTCTGTAGCCATCTGCATGCCAAGGATTTCTATAGCCTGTGACTGGAGATTGTGTTTAATCACAAAGTCTTCACTGGCCAGGATAGCAGCTGCAGACCCATCCGATGTTGGACTGAAAGGAAAACACAACAATAAATATTTTTCATATTTAAATGAAAAAGATAACAAAACAATACTTTTTAAAGTTAGTTTTTACACATGCCCCAAATTTTCAGCGCAATGATGCCAGTACAACAGGAGAAGAGGCAGCCATATTGGACTTCAGACTGACTTTATAACATTAGGAACATTCATGGCAAGATTGAGCCGAATCCCACAAGTGAAACTTTAAAAGTTTGAATCATGTTTGTTGAGGTGAAAAAAATGGACATGTTGTCAGCTTCCTTTCCTTAATATTGCCACCAATTTTCAGCTCAATAATAGCACCAGTTGAACTAGTTGCTCTCCAGACAGGTGAGCTTAAAACTGTCGAAGGAGAGCCTTCTTTTTAACCTCTCTCCTTCATTTTGAATACAATTTTTCTTGACATGGGATTCAATACCTTTGGTACAATAATGCTTACCAACACTGTAGTTTGGTCAAGGGATCGTGGATTTTTGCTGATTCTTTGATGGCGTCTAAACTGTATTCTTGCTGGAATTGGGAATATCTGAAAATAAATAAGGGGAATTATTCAAAGATACATTTATATATATGTTATATACCCCCTCCCCCCCCCCCCCTTGTGACCAATAAGGATTTGTAATGACTACAACAATGCTATGATTAGGAAGTTAGACTGTTCACCATCAACAGTACCTAGTCTTTATATCTGAAGCAGTAAAATCACTATTTTGTCTGAATAAAACTTCTCAAAAGATCTGTTAAAAATACAACTTGTCAATCAATGTTTACAGCAGTCTCAATGATCAGACCGCAGTTGCCATGATCACACAGCCATCTGACTGATCAGACAGCAGTCTCAATGATCACACAGCAGTCTCAAAGATCAGACAGCAGTCATAATGATCACACAGCAGTCACAATGATCACACAGCCATCTGAATGATCAGACAGCAGTCATAATGATCACACAGCAGTCTCAATAATCACACAGCCATCTCAATGATCACACAGCCATCTAAATGATCAGACAGCAGTCTCAATGATCAGACAGCAGTCACAATGATCACACAGCCATCTGAATGATCAGACAGCAGTCTCAATGATCAGACAGCAGTCTCAATGATCAGACAGCAGTCTCAATGATCACACTGCAGTCACAATGATCACACAGCCATCTAAATGATCACACAGCAGTTACAATGATCACACAGCCATCTGAATGATCAGACAGCAGTCACAATGATCACACAGCCATCTCAATGATCACACAGCCATCTGAATGATCAGTCTCAATGATCACACAGCCATCTGAATGATCAGACAGCAGTCTCAATGATCACACAGCACTTTCAATGATCAAACAGCAGTCACAATGATCGCACAGCAGTCTCAATGATCACGCAGCACTCTCAATGATCACACAGCAGTCACAATGATCACACAGCAGTCTCAATGATCACACAGCAGTCACAATCCTTGCTATTTTATGAAGTTGACAGTTTGTAAAAATCAGTTCTTACTGATTATATAGATGTATTGGACCAGCAATCAATCACAAATATCGAACCTTACAGATTCTGTTTCAGAACACTAACACTATTTGTTTGCAGTGCAGTTTCATATATTTATCATTTTATCTCATCATATCTCTGCAGATGACATGATTTGGTCAAAAGAAAGGAAATGGGTACAACAATTTATAACTTCAATCTTAGAGTACTTTGGAGATGCAGTTTGTTCAACATAATGCAAGAATTTTTCATCTAGAGCAGGTGACCAATAAAAATGAAATCTAAGAATGTTTACAGATTTGGAATTATGTACTGGTCTGTGTACTTACGGGTTGTTGGTTGAGTGTTTATGGTTCTTGTAGGCAATCTTGGCAAAGTGCTCAGGCTTGGTGCCATACTTCTGCATGTGTTCCCTTCCTGCATTTCCAAACATCTGAGCAGCCATGGGACCTTTTTCCAAACCAAAGATGTCCATCATCACCGCAACATGTTTGTCTGCTGGGTTTGTCCGATCATTGAACTGTAAACAGCTTCATGTTACAATCAATCTATTTCAATCATGGTTATACAATACTTAATGTGAATGTTTTAGTAAACATATTTGTTTATATCAAAAACACTAATTCATTGATTCCAGTCTTTACTAATAATTACAACAGCAAAACATTCACTTTCAAAGGAGCAAACTTTATATCATTGTAGGAGTTGTGAAGATATTCAACAATTTTTCTAGTCATGTTACTTTGTCTTTGCTTTTTTCTGTTATATCTCATTGAGTGGGGTGAACATTTTAATATCTTGCATTAATACACAGCAATTGTGACAAAATGAAAAAGATTAAACATGCACTGGGTGTAGTAGAGGTTGAATGAAGCAATAGCCTAAATATGGTGGGGACAAAGCACACTAAAACAGGAGGCCCCAAAAGTCATGTATCACTCTTCTGGATCATAAAGCCTAACAATGGTACATCTCAACTGTTTCAAAGCTATAACACAGAAACTATATTGCAAGGGGTGGGGCCACACCCTGGGGCACATTCTTACATCAAGGGGTGGGACCACACACAGGGGCACAATCTTACATCAAGGGGTGGGGCCACACCCTGGGGCACATTCTTACATCAAGGGGTGGGACCACACACAGGGGCACAATCTTACATCAAGGGGTGGGGCCACACCCTGGGGCACATTCTTACATCAAGGGGTAGGACCACACATAGGGGCACAACCTTACATCAAGGGGTGGGACCACACACAGGGGCACATTCTTATATCAAGGGGTGGGACCACACATAGGGGCAAATTCTTACATCAAGGGGTGGGACCACACACAGGGGCAAATTCTTACATCAAGCGTTGGGGCCACACCCAGGGGCACATTCTTACATCAAGGGGTGGGACAAAACCCAGGGGCACATTCTTACATCATGGGGTGGAGCCACACACAGGGGCAAATTCTTACATCATGATTTTGTTCATCTCTTGATGCCCACCACAGCTATATATGGTTATGGGTTGGGGATCTTAACTGTTTCAAAGATATTACCCAGAAACTCCTCCAGTCCCTTGAGGTGGGGCACACCCCAGGGATAATTTTTACATCATAGATGAGTTTATCTCTTGTTGCCTAGCAATGCTATATATGGTAATGGGCTTGGGATCAGAACAGTGTCATAAATATAACTTAAAAATTAATTCCAGAGGAGTGGAGCAACAATTAAAAGCCAGTTCTTACATATAGAATATGTTTAGCTATTAATGTCAATCATTGCTATATATGGTTAGGGGATGGAGATCTCATGTGTTTCAAAGATTTAACACATTTTCCCTATTGAACCCATCTCCTCCGACCTCTAGGGGGCCCAAGACCAATAATTTACACAAAATTGATTCCCCTTCACTCAAACATGCTATAGACCAAATATGTTTAAAATCCAATCATTCCTATAGGAGGAGCACGAATTCACTCCAATTTCCCCTCTTGGGCCTCGCCCCTTCTGCCCCAAAGGGCCGAGACCAAACATTTAAAAAAAACAGATTCCCCTTCACCCCACAATCCAATAACTCCCACAGAGGGAGTAGGATTTTAGAGATTTGTTCTATATTACCCCTCCTGCCCCAAAGGACTGAGACACACCATTTCTACAAATTAAATTCCCTTCACTGGACAATGATTCAGACCAATTTTGGACAAAATCCGTTCATTCTACAAGAGGAGTAGGATTTTAAAATTTCCCCTTTTGCGCCCAGCCCTGCAGGCCCTTAGGGCCCGTGACCCATCATTTATTAATAAAAATTGTTCTGCTTTCTCTTGGGATGCTTCTGACCAAATCCTGTCAGTCATTTACGACTAGTAGCGATTAGTATCAAAAAGTTGTCATGTGGATGATGGGCAGACAACAGATGGACAGACACAGGATGCCACGGTGTGCAATAAGCTCACTTGGCCCTAAAACCTTAAGACTGCTAATTTGGTCATAAATAAAACTATAATTTCTCATCAAAGCATTTGGTTATAAATATTACAGTAATTTCTCATTAAAACATTTTGTCTTAAATATAATTTGAATTTTCATTAAAACATTTGGTCTTAAATATAATTGTAACTTCTCATTAAACACTAGGTCATAAATATGATTGTTATTTCTCATTATAATATAATGTCATAAATATAAATGTAATTTTTAATTTAAACATTAGGTAGTGAGGTACTACATAGAGATTGGTCTGTGTCATGTCACATACTATTTAGTTTTTACTGAAAATGTTTTCCAATGAATTCCTTTCAGTGAAGAAAAAAATGGAAGAAAGCTTCTTCTTGTACAAACAAAAACAGCACAAAAGGTCAGGTAAAATAATAACTAAGAACATTTATTTATATAAATTCCATGTTAAAAGTCATTGTATTCAAAATTGTAGTCACTCTGATAGATTTAAACATTCCTGTAAGACAGTAAATTTGAGTGAACAGTAACAGATACATGTATAAGCAGGTATATTATAGGCGTGGGCTCATGACCAGATAAGTGTGTGTACATAGTGGTGTGAATTTTGAGGAAAACTTAGCTAAAGTATTTCAATTTCTTGGATTATTCTTCTTGGATACATTTTAACATAAGAAAATAAAGTGCACTTACAAATTTTTTGAGGGATCCTCGAAACATTTTCTCAAATCCCAAAGCCAGAACACAATCTGCTAATCCTGAGTAAAAGATATCATTAAAGATACAGGTATTTCACATTTATGATTATAACTTACAACAGAACCAAGGGATCCTCTGTTCATTTTCTCAAATCCTAACACCAGGATACAGTCTGCTAGTCCTACAGAGACAGAAATGACATCATATGTACACAAATCCTAACACCAGGATACAGTCTGCTAGTTCTAGAGACAGAAATGACATCATATCTACACAAATCCTAACACCAGGATACAGTCTGCTAGTTCTAGAGACAGAAATGACATCATATGTACACAAATCCTAACACCAGGATACAGTCTGCTAGTTCTAGAGACAGAAATGACATCATATGTACACAAATCCTAACACCAGGATACAGTCTGCTAGTTCTAGAGACAGAAATGACATCATATGTACACAAATCCTAACACCAGGATACAGTCTGCTAGTTCTAGAGACAGAAATGACATCATATCTACACAAATCCTAATACCAGGATATAGTCATCTAGTCCTAGAGACAGAAATGACATCATATGTACACAAATCCTAACACCAGGATACAGTCTGCTAGTTCTAGAGACAGAAATGACATCATATGTACACAAATCCTAACACCAGGATACAGTCTGCTAGTTCTAGAGACAGAAATGACATCATATGTACACAAATCCTAACACCAGGATACAGTCTGCTAGTTCTAGAGACAGAAATGACATCATATGTACACAAATCCTAATACCAGGATACAGTCTGCTAGTTCTAGAGACAGAAATGACATCATATGTACACAAATCCTAACACCAGGATACAGTCTGCTAGTTCTAGAGACAGAAATGACATCATATGTGCACAAATCCTAATACCAGGATACAGTCTTCTAGTCCTAGAGACAGAAATGACATCATATGTACACAAATCCTAACACCAGGATACAGTCTGCTAGTCCTAGAGACAGAAATGACATCATATGTACACAAATCCTAATACCAGGATACAGTCTGCTAGTTCTAGAGACAGAAATGACATCATATGTACACAAATCCTAACACCAGGATACAGTCTGCTAGTCCTAGAGACAGAAATGACACAATTATACACAAATCCTAACACCAGGATACAGTCTGCTAGTTCTAGAGACAGAAATGACATCATATGTACACAAATCCTAACACCAGGATACAGTCTGCTAGTCCTAGAGACAGAAATGACATCATTATATAGAAATTATAACACCAGGATACAGTCTGCTAGTCCTAGAGACAGAAATGACATCATCATACATATATAGATCTTAATATCAGGGCTTTTTGGTTTCCTTACCTCCTTGAATAAGCTGTTTCCCCATGACTAAGGCAGTAGATCCAGTTGCACAGTTGTTGTTTACCTAAAATAAACAGCACTAAAATGAAACAGCACTAAAATGAAATATCATAGGATTGGTGTAGTCAACTCAAGTAAGATTTACCAATAAGTCAATTAAGAAATTGGCAAATTCATCAACTATAATCATAAAGTTACTTATTGAACACTTTTTGAACTAGTCCTAACATGGTTACCCCTGCAGCTTTAAATCGTATTTCTTCATAGACACTGTCTTCCCATTATGTACATCCACAAAGTCTATACAGTTGCCACGATATATGCTCTGGAAACCAGTAAGATTATTATGGATGTCCTTAAAAAGCAAGGTCTAATGTCGTGTAGAGGTTTAAATGATTACCACATTAAGTGAATGAAAGAGTAACTAGGTGAATTTGTCCATACTTTGCACCAAGAGATCATCAAGCATCTGCATGAGACATTTAAGAATGATCCATCAAGCATGTTTAAAGAAATTGTAACTGTAAAATCTGTGATGATGTACATGTCAGCCCCCCAGCCTCTCCCACTTCCATCCTATAATGACATCCCCATACACACACACATAACCCCTTCCAGTTTTTTAAATTAGTACTGAAATGGACACAATGCCTAACTAGTTATAAAGAGGAATCTCAAGAAGAATTGGTGACAAGAATTGATTAAAGAATGAATGACAAAGCAATAATAAATTATATATAAATCTAATTGGACATTCTTTACAGACAAGAAAGAATTCACATAGCTACTGTAAATATTTAAGTAAAATTTAACAGTAAGTCACACCATGCTAGTCTTTACTACTGTTACGGAGTTCACTGCTTTTAATACCAAGTACACACACACTCTTACACATGCACAACACATTCTTAAACCCGCACAACACATGGGCTGGAACATCACAGTCAATTCTGCACAATTATGTGTAGAGAATCACATTGTAACTGGAATCCTACAATTCTGCACAATTATGTGTAGAGACTCGCATTGTAAACTGGAATCCTACAATTCTGCACAATTATGTGTAGAGACTCGCATTGTAAACTGGAATCCTACAATTCTGCACAATTATGTGTAGAGACTCACATTGTAAACTGGAATCCCAGTCATACCAAGCTGGTACACAGCACGCTGTCCACAGGTAGAGTCACCTTCAACATCAAACAATATATTAGAAACTGCATATAATTCAGCATTTGTGAAAAATATTATATCAGTTTGTAGTGATCATACTTGTTGCCCTGGATTGAAATGGGCAGAGGGATCCTGCTTTGGAAGGATACATGAAGATGCAAAGAAATTCTATTTGGTCAGACCTCATACCATTTAATGAATAAATCAATGGTAATTGATAACCATTGCACCAGTTAAACTCTAATTTCAAAAATACTGTATAGTAAATCCCAACTTAGATACCAGCATACCTATATCACCTGATTTTCTCAAAACCAGAAAATGTCTCCAAGAATGCCCCCATTCCTATGTAAACTAAAATTTGATATGTAAAACTTTATGCTGAGTTAAATGTGAACCGAATCTGTTTAGAGACTCAATTAGAGAATTAATGCAACATGGATGGATAAGGAGAACCTTAGAGTTATGCCCCCTGCCCTACTAGACAATGTTGAGAAAGACACAATGGTAATGTAGCTAAGAGCTAAAAGGAAATTCTACAATTAGCTATAGAACTGGTTTTCTGAACATCAAAGAAGCCTTGATTTTGAACTTCTGACCAAAATCCTACATCTTCAGGCAGAATATCAATATCCATCATATTCTCATATGATAGACAAAGTAAACACCCTTTGTACCTGGAGATTAGCTCCGAGTAACTACAATAAATTTAGTCAGCAACACATCTCACCATATACATATCCTACACAAGCTTGCTGCACTTCTTCAAATGATATCCCAGCATCCTGCAGAGCTTTTGTGCCTGAAAATAATTCAACGCAGTTTGATATTTAAACATCACAGATTTCAAAATCTTTTTCATCAACACCAGAATTTTTAAGTCCTTTTTTAACAGATCCTTTTCAATTACAAGAGCTCCACACTTTTTTTAAAGTTGAAGAACTGCATCAGCAAGAACACAAAAAACAAATCAATGTAGAATTTTACTCACCAGCTTCTTTAGCCATCTCAGGGTAGTCAAAATTTTCTCTGCGACCAGGTTTTTCAAACTGTGACAAAACATTACCATTTCAGTAACAAGCGATTTGAACATACACAATACAAAATTAATCATTACAACAAAATTTGGAAAATTCACTTAATAACAGAAAACAGAAGAAATGAAAAGAGCACTTTATAAACATGTTGACAGCATTGAAGCACATAATCCTTGAAAGGAATTAACCAAATTAAGCAAAAATTTATGAAACATTTTCGATGACATAAAATTACAGGTCTGCAGAAGTGTTTAGGAAAATTGGTTTTAAAAGCATTGCTGCCAAATTAACTTTGCGAGTCACTTTACTTTCCTAGCTTAATGTGTATGGATAGAAGGGAAACATAAATCTCTGATCTATTTCAATTTTAGCAACCAAGTAGATTATACATAAAATGGACTTTGATGATACATCGTATATCTACTTATTCATTTGAGTCATACCTGTTATGATCAACTGATAACACTTCCTAACTGATAAAAATCTGCTAATGTCCAGCATATTACACCCTGTATTGACTATATCTCACTCACTGATTTCTGAATAGTTTAAATCAAGCGTTCTGTTATTTTTTATAGTCTATGTTTTACATCCACCTTTTAAGTATCAAAACTTTTATAGCAATTTTGAAAATGAGTTCAAAACTGGTTATCAGACTACATTTATGTCATTTTTTTATATACTTGCTATTACAGTATTCTTATTGAGAAACTATTACATTAGTTCAAAATATCATAATTAAACTGCTTTTTTGAGCAAAATAAGGAAGGAAGGTTTTAGATAGCAGCTAGTTACCAAGTACATTTGTACCATGTATGCAATTAGGTGTGATTTGCTTTTAACTGTTACTCAAATTTGTTGATGTCTAATTCTGAAACAATAAAAATGTTGTAGGAAAACTATTTATGATCACCTCTAGTTCACCTTGAGGAATACAATTTTCAAATGTGGTTTTATAGAACAATTTTTATAATTGCTACTGGATTGTGATGAATAATACAATCGCACAAAAGAACAATTAATTATCTGTAGTCATTTTTGTTACATGGACATATATTAGATTTGTATAATACCTGTACTGTACATGAACTACATATGTATATGACCTTCTTTCTTTTTGGTGGCTTGGTAATCATAGTATCAATATGTAGACAATTTTACTGTCTTAACATCTTAACATGCAAGCTTTAGTTCATCCTCCCCTAGTACATGCATTCAAGACATATTCTGCTGGGTTAGTATTCCTTTCAATGACACATCCCCCCCCCCCCCCCAGTTGTTTTTTCCCTAACATCGAAAACATTATTTATTTGAATTTCTTTTACCAATGTCGTAGTAACGGTTTATGTTAGAGCTATGGGATGTAGGTACTTCTCTATCTCTTATAAGAAAAGCTCTCAAACATACCTGTGGTAATCTGAATTCTAGCTGACACCTGCCTAATTTAAATCATTTACAAGTATTCATATTAACACAACAAAAACCTTTGTTTTGTGTTCGAGCAAAAGTCAAGTGAGTTTAAATGTTCTTTTCACTTTATCTTGTATTAACTTTAATGGAAATAACAAATGTCATCAGGAAATGTGTTCTTAATCACGTGTTATTTTCAACAATGAGTCAGAAAATTAAAGTAATACAGCAATCAGAGAGTTTGAAAAAATGCGTAAAGGTGATTTTGCGCTCTATGTGTCGTAGTATCACTCACTCCACAAACTCACGGCTGTAATAGCTAGTACGGTTCAAAGATCATTGCAATTGCTACCTCCCCTTTCCATGTCACTTATGATACCATTAACAGCAGGAACTTGATAAACTACACCGATGAGTTATTTTCAAACGGTCACACGAATAAATTCTTAACAAACCTTGGTCATTCCTACCCCAACCACAAAAACACGCCTTGACAGCATACTCGTGCTTCTGTTTACTGCTGCGGCTGCCATCTTGCAGATGCTTGAAGACCCGGATCGAACTATTTTCAGACGTGACCTCAACCTCATAAATTACTGCGCTAAATTAATTTGTATATTTCTACCTCTATTTTAAGTGTCTAATCATTATAATAGCGTGAATATAATCAATTTTCGCTAATTATATAAAGCAATACATTTTATACTCACGATCATGGACACGTAAGGATTAAGTCGAACTATTTCTCATCGCGAATTTTTGTAATGATAAGTAATCAGTCTGTCGTAATTTTGGCGCGGGTCATTGTTATGATTCCTGAAATATTGGATAAATTCGGTATTTTTTCTAACATTTGACGACCCGAGATGGATGTCAATTGAAACTTTGGACATTATTCTTAAAATACGACCGATGATTCAAATGAATAATCTGCAATTTGATCGTATGGTTCATCTCTGAATATCAGACAGGTGAGACAAGTTTGATGCCAAACCGAGAGATAATTTTTGACAATTTGTTTACATTATCGCCCTGTGGACAGTGTTGCACCAAACTCGAGAGGCTTTTTAAAGTCAGTATAATCATGTACATGAATTTCTAACAACCATTGTGTCGGGCTTATCGATTAATCGTATTTGCCATAAACTTGATAGATGTCGTACATGGCGCATCTTTTACCGGGAGCTTCCATTTGTTGATAAACCTTCGACGAGTAAGCTCTAGAGGATCCATACACCTTTCCGAAATGTTGACCCATTTTCGGCATTGTTTATCGTACAATATAAGTTGTTGAATGCTGTTATATATTGGTTTTTAGGTTATGTTACGATAACCCCATTTACAAATATTTAGCATCGAATTTATACGACCGCATTTACGGCACCTTCAAATTGGGACATAATTATAATTGAAGATAATGAATGAACTTGGTTAGCCAACAGAACAGCTTGTCCTACAAAGTTCATTGTGTGCACCAGACTCGAACAACGATGTAGAGTATGTATGTGAAAGCCTGTTGGAAACATCAAGATTGATACTTTAGTAACAGTTTGCAAGTGCCTGTTTCCAGTTAACTAACAAGATCATATTTTGTCACAGAATAGCATTAAGTCATAGTTTAAAAAAAACCTTATTACTGATTTATATGCAATGCAAGATGCTTTCCAACATAAAATTGAGCTACCACATTTTAAAAAATACTGTGTATATTACAAATTGTAGTTTACTCTCCAGATATATAAAAACATGTATAACTTACTAACTTAACTGTTCTGTAATGTTAATATGGTTATTGTGTATGACAACATGTATGCTAAACCAAAGAAGTCATCAATTTACCTAGCACATCATGCTTGAATTTGGTAACCTATTTTATTATTTTATAGTTTTAAATGTAACAAACAAAAATCACCATATCAATATTTTGAATTGCATATAATAGTCTACAGCAACAGTGAACATGATTCATTAGGATATTTTCTAGTTGGGAGTTTTACACTACAATGTGTGAGGCAAACAGATGTAGGTTGAAAAACTACATACAATTATCACTTCATATGACTTTTAGCTAATTATGATATAATAATTCACATAACTTTTTCATTTATTAATCGTATTGAAAACTTGTTGTTGAACATTTGAAATCATTGCTAATGCAATGGTTTATTTTCTGTTTTTTGACTTGAGACATATTAATTGGAACATTTTTGGATCTTGTTTATTCTTCCATTTTGATTGTGGCAAGGGAGGTAACTGTGACACACTTCCTGTTAAACAATAGAATTTCATATAACAACCTTAGACTTATTTTTTCACTCCATGTGGATTTCTAGCTCCTGTTCTCTTAAAACTGTGCATGCTTTTTCTGGTTTACTTCCTATTCATTATGTTGTTTTAAAAGATTTCTCCAATGATACAATATATAAATGATTTGTCATGGTTTAGCCAGCTGCTTTGTCTGGGGGTACAAGACTTTTGCACCCTCAACCAAAAAATGTCATATATTCCCAATATAATGAACAGATGTGATACCTCATATATGTTTATTTTGTGTGCGCCATTAAAAAAGAACCCATATCAGATGTGTTGATAGTTTATCCTTAGTAAAAATTGGGTATGGGTACAGTAGAATTCTTTGTTAGGGGATCCTCAGTAGAAATAAAGAACACAACATGGTAATTTCTTGTACTAAAACTAATTACCAAAAATCTGTTTTGATCTATCCTCAAATTTTATTTGTTCATTAACAAGATATTGCAGAAAAGAATGCATGTTTCATTTCATTAGTAAACATTATCTTGTTCTGATTTGAAGAGTACCAGAAAAAGGTGTAATCTTAATCAAAATTTGTGCAGTCGATATATCAGGTCTTAACATCTAGTGAAATATTACCATACCTTATGAACCTCTTGAAAATAAATGTGCTTGTGTGAACAAGTAACGTAGATTGATGACACAGTACTGATATTTGATTTAATAATTAGTGTCTTTGTTGATGTTTCAGATGTAGCTATCAAACCAATGGTAATCATGAATGGTGAAGTTCCAAGTGTTCCCATAACAACACTTGCGGGAATTACAAGTTTGACAGATCGTAAGTTGTAGCAAAGCCATGGCAGTAGTATGTGTTAGCATCTTGAGGAACAAATTAATGTGTGTCAAAATAAAGTATAAGTGATTTCTTTTTCAAGTAACGTTGGATAAGTTATGTTAGTGAAGTGATAGTTTTGATATGAATCAAATTTAAAAGAAAATAATCTGAAGTGCTACACAGTGTTACAATACAATTTGATTTCTTGCAATGTAAGAATTAAATTGATTGATTAAGTATTTTTGGTTTGGTTTTTTTTTTTGTAGTATTACCAGAGCTGCCATTACCGACACCATTGCCATCAACAGTTCAAAACAAAAGTCTCCTCTATCATGCCAGATTAGCAGAAAGTGCGAAGAGGCACTTGTCCAAAAGAGATGATGGATTGACTCAACAGATTGTCCATGCCTTGCGACAGACGTCTACTGATCATATGTAAATTATTTCTTTGACTAGACCTTGCTAATTGATGTACTAATTTCACAAGGTTGATCTCAGTTATCTTGTCCTATGACTTGTGTAAAATATTTACAATAAGTTGTAAGAGAGGCATGTGAAAAAAATTGTATTTTAAGATCAACATAGACTCATGAAGATTAAAGACAAGGTGTTTGTTTTGCTCCCAGTTGCATTCTATTCGTCCTAGTTCTTTAGAACTTAAGCACAATTATCATCATAAAAAGGAGATCAAATACCCAAGAATTTTTCTTTCTATCTGTTAGCTAAAATGCTATATAAGTCATTTTTGTGTGTGGAAAGTAATATTGTTATAGATACAGATTGATTGTATGATAATGTCCTATACAAACTTTGTGTTTTTGTTGTTACAGAGAGCTAAAGGACAGTTTGGTGGGTGATAGTATTGAAGGTGACATACCCGAGCTTTTGCGAGGAGTGCTAGCCACAGATCCAAATGTATTCAAAGGTAAACCTTCTACATAGGCTTCTACTCTAGTAAATTTGGTCACTGTACATACTGAAAAAAATTTCCCCATTCTTCCAGACACTAGAATATAAGCCTTATAAAAGTATACTATATTCTTTTTCATCCCAACAAAGTAATCCATCAGAAATGAGCATATGTTTATGATTTTATCAACCCATTTAAGCATGAGCAAAATAAATGTTCATAGTAAATACAGATCAACAAACCATACAAACATGAAAGTTGCCATACACTCGGTTTTCATGAAATTTTTCGCATTGATTAAGAGAAAATGGTGAAACTGAAAACTCTTCAGTGTTTTAAAAATTGCCAAAATACTCTAATGATATTTCACTGTCTCAATAATGACTAAAATCGGCAGTCATGGGCATGTAAAGCCCTACCCACCCAGACATCTTGGCACTGATTTCATTATGTATGCATAGGGTCGCAGGTAAGAGGGCCATTGGGCGATCACTATACACATTCACGGTTTATAATCATTATCCTGTGATTTCAATTAGGGAATTCAAAAACAAACACTGTTTATAACCGTCATCAATTTACTAACATAAGGGTGATCTCTGGTTTACTGAAAACGTAGGCAGTCAAACTGCCTTTGTTAAAGAAGAAATACACATATGATGCATAATTTTAAAAAAAAAATGAAAATTGGTATGAAAAATCTTGATTTTCAGCATCGATCATAGAGTATGTTTAATACACAAAAAATAAATGTTAAATGTTAGTAAAAGTTATATCAATAATTCAGCCAGTAATAAATAAATCTTGATTTTCTTTTAACTAAAAAAAAATTGTTTTTCTTTTTTTTTTTAGTTTTATCCATTGTCCCTTTTTCTTTTAAAATTTTACACAATACTTACATATCACTCATGAGTTTAATAAAAGAAAAAATCGTTCAAACTATTTTTTTAACTTTAAATGAAATAACTATAAAAAAAATCATAAAAATAACACAAATTGATTAAAATGTCAGATTTTAGAGCCAGAGCTAGCCCTGAGTTTGAAACATACATTTTGCAATGGAGACTTACTAATGTGCAGTGCTCGAACAAGCTATGAACTGATGATAATGGTCACTATTGTTGATTGGTTACTAGCCAGTTAAAATAGACTTATTATCATTGTTGAAATCTCAACCCAACTCAATGAACACAGTAAAATATTCATACCATTAGTGGCCTATAACCATGCACTAAACTGCAACAGGTGCAGATTTCAGGGTCACACTTGACCGGACATGATCAGTTATTACCTCTCCAGTCACACTCATCCACTGTAATATCATATGAAAATCTTACCATGAATCTTCATATAATATATATATAAATAATCAACATGACCAATCACACAAGATTACATGTCATTCTATATTGATATACCACTCTCTTTATTCCTTTGTTTCAATACACTGTCTATTGAGTGTCTTTGACACTTTCATTAATGTTCAGTTTTGTTCTTTCAAATGCTCTTGCTTTTTCACCCGTAAATATAGTCAATAGCATCAAATTGTCATCAGGTTAAATAGATTTCTAACCTTTACATTCCTGAGACAAAATTTAGTTTAGAGGGGGAAAAAACACATTTTTCAGTTTGCCTTGAATTTATAGTACAAGTGAAACAGCATATGTTGTTGAGCTGCTTAAAAATCTCGAAAGTAAGATTCATCATTTAATTTCTTGATGTAACTGCTGAAACATCTCAGATTTGAATAATATTCTGAGTAGGATTACAATTGTTCAAAACTGTAATAATTTGTGTTAAATGTTTATTTCTCAATTTCCCAGGAACAAGAAGTCAGACAAGTGGTAGGACTGGGAATCGCAGTCAGCAGAAACAGCAGCCTTCTGTGGCCCCCTATCCTGTCCAAAACTTCCAGAATTTCCCACAAAATAATACACCAAGGTACAAGAGACTCTGGCAATCTTTACTGGAATGAAAAAAGAAACAATGGAATCATTTTCTGATATGAAAAACTGCCATTGAGATATTTTGTTAGCTTTGAAATGAGCTGAAATGTTCAGGGACACATTTCAAAATTGTTTTCTCTTGAGCAAGCTTTATGATATGTTTTGTCCATTTGATTTACCCTCAAATAATGAAAAATCTTAGAATTCTGACAGTTTTCTGGCAAGATGTTTCCATACTTTTGGTTCTTTTGTTTGACAGAATTAACCAGCAACACAGTCCTGCAAGAGCAACAGATCATTCAGGATCTTATCCTCAAAACTCGTCATCTAAGTTCCAACAGTCCTTTCAGAACTTTGCACAGACATCATATTCCAATGTCGCAGGTCAGTTGAGTAGTATTTTGATGCTCCTCGAAGGGAGAGTCAGCACTTTGACAATCCATCAGTGTATACATTGATCATACTAAGAGATTGTGCAATATACAAAATTCAAGAGTCTGCAATGTCTTAATTACAGAATTATTTCCCTTTGATTAAATTTTGTTTCCAGTAAAGTTATTTTCGGGGAACATCCATCAGTTTCATTCATACTCTTGTAAATATTTTATTGTGGTTAGATATAAAAGAAGAAGAAAAATGTAAAACTCTTAATGCAGATTGTAAAGAGCTGTTGAGTTGGTATTGCAGATAAAAGAACAGTTCCATATTTCCTTCCTTGAAATGCTCTGCTTTTTCTCATGCATATTATTTTCCTCTTTCTGATTTCAATGTGTTATTTTGTCCCCAGATGTTCTTTCTTAAAATGCAACTTATTGACAATTAGACTAATCAAATGTGTCAATTTGTCAGGTACAATGAATGGGGAACACCCTGGCACTCCTGAGGGTCATTACATTGGCCGGAATGTAAACCAAAATTCAAGAAACACAGCACCAGGTATATAGAGGATATTTAGTAGTGTCTTCTGGAATAACAAATATATTTCACAAGTGTGCCTATTATTTTAGTGTCTTTCACAAGTGCACTTAGACACACTTGTGAAATATATTTGTTATTACTGAAGACATTACTGAGTATTTTATTTCATTACATTTTCACAAGTAAAATAAGCAAACTACTGTGGCATATTTAGGACAGATATAAAAGGCTGAAGCTGACTATGCTTTTCACATACTATTCACTCATTATAACTTAGCACTATGTGACAAAACATTGTCTGGGTTTTTTTTAATCATTAAAATATATAAATACAAAAGTATATTTCAATGTAAAGGTATATTATAAACTGAATTGAGAAGGGAGACATAGCTGGAAGCTGCTGATTACAGAATACTTCTTTTAATTGTAGAGAGAGTAGAATATTAATTTGTGTGCACTGACTGAAAGAATTTCTTATATTTACATAATATGAGATAAACTTCAGATGATATGTGACTTAGAGTTTACAAACATTGATACTCTTGTTTTCTTGTGTTGAAATAATTAAAGAGGAAATCTAACAAAAAAATGACACTGTAAAATAGAATATAATTGGCAAGATCAAAAGGTGCAAGTCTGACTTTACAGTGGCCTCTCCTGCCCAAGCCACAGTAGCTGAACCTTTAATACCAGTTGCAAAACAGCCAGAGTCATTGATGCCAAAACATACTACAGCTAATCCCCAGAAGTATCCACCAATGAAGCAGCCTATTGTCCTATTGGAGCAACTATCACACCAATCCCTTCCTTCCCATGGTAGTAACAAGAAGAAAAGTACAGGCCAGCCATTTGTAATGTTGGAGCCCCTTGATGAGAAGGTTGGTTGACTTCTAAGAATCCTGGAGTATGCTTCTGAATTATATATTTATTTCACACCAAAATTGTTTGTTTAGCACGTCATAGCAACATACTGTCCCTACTTTGTTTGTCATTATTTAATGACATTAATCACTATAACTAGGTTCTTGTTACTACTACAAAATGTATAATGCATGTCTTTTAAGTGACAAGATGACTTAAAACCCTGTTTGGATCTAGTGAAGACTAAACTTTTGTCATTTGTTTCTTTATTTTAAACTCGTAACATTCTTTTGATAACTATATATTGTATGCCTAGTAATTTCCAACACCAGCCAAATTGTGAAGTTCCTCCCATTGTGGATACAACCATTGTATGCCTACTAATTTCCAATGCCAGCAAAACTTTGAAGTTTCTCCTAATGTGGATACAACCATATTGAAATGTTCCACACTTTGATAATTTATAATGGGATTTTTTTGACAGGCTAAAGTGGGTAAAAAGGTATTGTAGATTTTTGGGAAAGCAGTTTTACTTCAAGGCTATTATGCCAATATTAATAAAACTAGTGTTTGCCTAAACAAGACCCAGGATTTTTCACTGGTTAAGAAATATCCTATTTTCAGTAAATATATACTTGGGTATCGGTTGAAAATTTGATACACAGGATTTCATAATGAAATGTAAAGGATAATGTTCACTAACATTTCCAGTTTTGGTTGAATTACTAACATTCACATCCAAAAGCTTTGTTGGGGTTTATTTATTCTCAGGGTCAGTAGAGTTTAGGCAAACAATGAATTTATATTTCATTTTAGGCCTTACTAATATCCAGTACTGCTATACATTTTCAGTTTTTTAGCCATGTGTTCTGAGTTTCTTGTGCTATATTTTTTTGTCAGTGTTTATCTTGAGGAACAATTGATTTAAGAGTTATTTTGCTCTTTTACACAGCACACTTTATGAGACGCAGTGAAATATTAGCCATTTCATATAATCACCATCATTTGTTCAGTGTCAAGAGTTGTAAGTGGATGCATTACTGAAGTTTGATGTCGGAGTAAAGTAGAATGTCCCAAGTGTAGACTTCATTGTTATATTAGGTTGAAGAAAAGACACCTTTGCTGAAAAGTTGATGTTGAAATTCGGTTCTAAATAAAGAACATTTTCAAGACTTATACACACTGTGAAAAATGTTAATTGATATTTTTGATCATTAATTATACATGCCGACAATATTTCATTTGATTTGTATGTGCCTGCTGATTCAATAATAAAAGCTCTTGTTTGATATTGAAGAACAAAGAAATATGAAGTATTTGTTCACTGCCAGGATCATGTTATTATTTCACTGAGATTAATAGTCAAGTCAAATTGTCATCACTGAAAGTAAATAAATGCTAAATAGACATATAGGTCTCTTTAGTTATCACAATGGTTATTCTTCCTTGTACATAATGCATCCATTTCAACAACTTGAAAATTTCCTGTTCTGTTTTATAAACTGCATGCATGCATGTTGGGAGTTTGTCTTATCAATACATTGGATAATGTGACCACAGAAATAATTTTTTAAGGCTGTTCATATCATCACAAAGTATAAAGCTTTCATAAGGTTTCTCACATCATCAATATAAATCCTTTTTTTGTTAACAACTTATGAAAAACTAAAAATAAACAATGATAATATTGAGTAAAAATAAGATACCTTACCACGTTGTCTGATGTTGTAATTATATGATAGGATTCTGTACCAATATATATTGCATTTCTGTTTCCAGACCCTAAAGTCAATCAAATATGGAGGCTCAGGTAATATTCTTTTTCTTTTTATGTATTTATTGTTGGAATGTTAATAGAAATGTCATTCCATTGAACATAATTGCCATTAAGTTGTCAGAAATCTCTTAATTATAATCTTAGAAGGCAGTTGAAAATTTTTATGAGAAGAGTATTGTATTTTTAAAAAGTAATTGAAAATTTTTATGAGAAGATAATCATGTATTAATCATAATAATATTTTTATCTTGTCTCAGTGAAAGCCAAGTCTGACCGAAGATCAGGTATGCTTGTTTACTTTCTCAATAAATATGTAACAGTATAACTAAGAATGGAAAATGTTTCTCAGAAGTGCTAGTGAATATGACAAGACTATTTAAACCCATATTCTATGCTAAATTAATTTCCTCCAAAGATGTTAAATTTATGAGAATATTTTTTCAATCATTATTTGAGATTGTTGGTGCTCTGTACTTTAGGTCAGACTGAAATGAAATGAACATTTATAAAAACTTGTTACAATGTGTAATGTAAAACTTGTTTAGGAAGCAAGAGACGTTACGATGATGATAGCGATGGCTATTCCTCCAGAAGAAAGAGAAGGAGAAATTACAATGCAGATGACGATAGTGATGTGGAAATGATTGAATCCGATTCTGATTCAGAGATGGAAGGTACTTGTAAAATAAAGCAGATAAATAATGTCTTGAAATGCAACAAAATTATATTGAATCAATGCTTACAAACTGCACTGCAAGCTTTATTGTTATAAAGTGTTCGTCTTACAGTAAACATTCAGCATATCAATTGTCGCTGTTTTGAAATGAAACAGAACCATGTTCACTTATTTCCATTTTTTTTTTTTTGAGAAAATTAATTTTTGAAGAATAAATGAGTTGTAGATATAGAAAAAACAGTATGTGATATGGAAGCTAAATTAATCATAGTGTTAAGTACAAATAAAGATACATATCAAACTAGGGTATTAATTGTGCTTTGTGCTGTTAAGAATTAATGTTAACCATTAATTTTGTTCAATGGAAATCAATTTTACTTCATTCATTTTCCTCACTCTCTTTTCTCCTTGCCACATCTTAAAATTTGTTTCACAGATAAAGACAGCCCTGCAGCCATGTTTTCATAGTGTTCAATTTGACCAAATTTTCTTGTTGTCAAGAACGGGGATAACAACACCAAAAATTCATTGTGTTCTTGACAGAAATTCAGAAATGAATATGTATTCTCATTACAGTTGCAAGAAAAAAGAAAAAAGACAAGCGACATAAGCGGGTGAACCAACAAGCTTTGTCTGTAGAAGAGCTGCTTGAGAGCCCAACTTTTAAGAAGTTTAGCACGGCCATGGAATATATCCTGGACAGTGCAGAAGACATAAATTTTGGGTCTTTGGATCCCAGTAAGTTTAATTTTTTATGTACAGAAATCACTTTTAAATCTCTGAATTTCAATGAGTTTGGTATGGTTTTTAAAAAAAATCCATATTCAATTTGAGATATTGTTGCCAATTGAATTTTGGTTGTCTCAAATTTCATACATTCAGCAAACTTTTTGTTTTCATTTCAGATGATGAAGACACAGAGTGTCCACCAGAATCTCTTATATCAAAACAAATCCTTACAGAACTTGTAGGAGAAACGGCCAAATTGAAATCTATGGGTGTATTAAACCAGGTCAGTAAATCGAATCAAAGTGCATGAAAGGATCCTTAGACAATAAGCTTTTTATATTACATTCTCAGGATCATAGTTAATTCATTCTTTGCTGATGACGGCACAAAAGTAATTTTTACGTATCATTCATGATGTCCTGTGATGTGATAAACATGCCTCCTTTGTGATGTCTGTGAGACTTGATGAAACATGTTAGTGTTATTCCTTATTTAAGCATGGTTATATGTAGGAATTGGCTGACAATGTTTATCTAATATGATAAGTGTCAAACATGAAATATTAATTATTAACTGGAGGTGTCACAAGCATATTCATTCCTGAAAATGATTTTTAAAAACCTAAGAAATCAGATTATTTACACAGTAGGTACCAGCTGACAAACTTGTGAAACTTCTGACAGTGTTAGAAATATTGATTACTTGTGAAACTTCTGAAAGTGTTAGAAATGTTGATGTCTGTTGCAGGTACCAGCTGACAAACTTGTGAAACTTCTGACAGTGTTACAGTGGAATATAAGAGATGGTACAAAACTTTTACCAAATATGACACAGGTATGCCTTTTCACATACCATAGAAAACAAATTTGTAGTAAAACTTAATAATAAGTTCTTTTTTTTCATGAACAAATCTTTTGAAATTATAACAAATATGCAGGAAGAAGGGAATACCAAAAAGAAAGCTTTTGTGATATTAGATAGACGCAGTGAGATCATTAGTTCCATCTTTGCATAGGCAGCCAAATTTTTCTCTGAAGCAGGTAGTATAGCTTGTCTGTTTTGTTTGAAGGACATAGACGATGAAGAAGAACAAAAATTATGGCGTCACTTAACTATGGAAAGAGTAATGCGTAGCATGGACTCCTCTCTCACTGCCCTGTACATCATGACGTCCAAGGAAATGCCCAAAAATGTTTACCTGGAGGATGTAATAGAGAGGGTCATCCTGTATGGCAAATTTCAGTTGCAGAATACTGTGTACCCTGAGTATGATCCAGTGTACAAGGTGGACCCAAAGAAGGGTAGGTGTAGACTGATGGGTTAAAGCTAGGTTTGATCAAAGAAGGGGAGGTTTAGTCTGATGGGTTAAAGCTAGATTTGATAAAACAATGGGAGGTGTAGCCTGATGGGTTAAAGCTGGGTTTGATCAAAGAAGGGGAGGTAAAGCCTGATGGGTTAAAGCTAGGTTTGTTCAAAGATGGGGAGGTTTAGTCTGATGGGTTAAAGCTTGGTTTAATCAAAGAAGGGGAGGTTTAGTCTGATGGGTTAAAGCTAGATTTGTTCAAAGATGGGGAGGTTTAGTCTGATGGGTTAAAGCTAGATTTGTTCGAAGATGGGGAGGTGTAGCCTGATGGGTTAAAGCTAGGTTTGATCAAAGATGAATGTTTCTGTAGACCTTTATGAAAATAATAGAAGGTAGAATTTAATGTATTCATATTTATATATTTTGGAATATATACAGCTATGAGCTTGTCATAGAAGACTATATAATTTGTGTGCTGAGGAATGAAATTGTGAGTCATCCTTATCAGGTATTTTTAAAAGTGAAATCTTTTAAACAACAGAATCTGCTGTCATCATAGCACTTTACTTAGGTAACAGTCAAATTATTGTACATATGACTTCAGATGGCTACCACACAAGTTCTAAGTTAAAACGAGCTCGGGCAGGACAGGTGAAGCACAAGTCCACAATCAACCTCTACAATAAAATGGCAGACTTGGTGGATAACCTAGGACAACTGATAGACATACAGGAAATGACAGACACCACCATATTACAGGTACATCAGTGCTTAGGTTTAAGAATATGCTGAGAACTATGTGTATGACTTGTTTTAGCCTTTATTGAAAATGGAGAAAATTCAGTGCCATTCTGAGGAAAATTCACCATGTTGAAGATAATGCAGTCAATTTTAGTTAATCAAAAGCACAAGTTAAAGGTAACTAACTATATCACCTAGTCATCAACCTCTGCTTATGTAGTTGTAATGTACTTCTTCAGGTGTCGACTTTAGGAGTATCCCCTTTCTTTGTGGAAAACATCAGTGAACTGCAGTTGAATTCCATGAAGCTGGTAACGACGGTAAGTTTTTGAAAGTCATTATTTTCATGGTCATCATGTTCATCTGTCTGGGTACAATGTTAGCTGTGCTTAAACTCTTCAGATTTTGAAACTTCACCTTTCATTAAGGATTTATAGCAGATAGAGCGTAGTAGAGCAACAGCAGATTTATATGTCTCAAGTTAGTAAAACTGGCAGATTTATGTCTCAAGTTAGTAAAACATTGACAGATTTATGTCTCAAGTTAGTAAAACTTTAGCAGATTTATGTCTCAAGTTAGTAAAACTTTGGCAGATTTATGTCTCAAGTTAGTAAAACATTGACAGATTTATGTCTCAAGTTAGTAAAACTTTGGCAGATTTATGTCTCATGTTAGTAAAACTTTGGCAGATTTATGTCTCAAGTTAGTAAAACTTTGGCAGATTTATGTCTCCATTTAGTAAAACATTGGCAGATTAATGTGTCTTGAGTTAGTCAAAATGTTGTTAAGGTATGCAGTAAAATGTTACCCAAGAAATGATGACATTTTACAGAATTTGAAATAACCCAAATCAAAGTTATAATGTCAGAATGCCTTGTACCAAATTTAACAGGAAGTAAGATTTCTAATTTTTATTTGATTTTTTTATTTTAGATCTTCACACACTATGAAAAACATAGGCAGCTTATATTAGAGGACATATTTGCCAGTCTGGCAAGGTTGCCATCAAGCAAACGGAATCTCAGGAACTACAGGTAAAATTTGGAAAAACTGGGGGATAAATTAAAAGATTGATCAGGAGATTATACAGCTATACCCTAGTAGTTACTGCTGCACAAGAAGGTGTGTTTATAATATTGATACCCAAACAGTTGATCTACTGTATTAGTGGTAACTTTTGTAGTAACTGATCTCTGTAGTCAGGTGTGTTGATGAAGTACTATGCTTTTCTTACTTTTCAATGCCTTCCATCAGGTTGAACTCGGAGGAATCAATACAGATGGTGACAGCCTTGGCTCTCCAGCTAATACAGTGTGTGATCAAGCTGCCATCACAGTTTAACTCTGGACCGGAACCCATAGTAGAGGAAGAACCTGTCCCATCTTCCTCCTCCTCCTCCAAACGAGGACACCAGAATCAAAAGAAGAAAAAGCCAGAGGTAAGAGAATTGCCTTTAGATGTGAGTGAAACCCTGACAAATACAATCTGCAATATACAGCGCAGCTAGGGAGAAGTTCTCTTAAGCTTGAATGGTTGAGCATCAGACTAGTATGTCAGGGGTTCTGGGTTCAAATCCTAGTGAAGGCATTGAAATAAATAATGACCTCTGTTACATTTGCACCCAACTTGGAGCCTCAGAAATAATACTCAGCATTGTCCCTCAGACATCACTGTGATGCCTGGAAACTTGAGAACAAGTTATTTCCTAGGTAAAAACTAGCTGTAATATACCGCTCGGCTAGACAGAACTTCTCTTGACCTCAATCAGTGTAAGACTAGTAAGTCATGGGTTCCGGGTTTGGATCTTAGCAATATTCATTGCAATAGATCATTAGATCTCTAACATGAGCTAAAAGTTGTTCAAAAGGTAGGGGTTATTTAGTCATTACTTTTGGAATTTTACATTAAAGGCATCAAGCATTATATTTTCCATATCTTCTTTTTCAGAATGAACAAGATGTTTTAATTGTCACGTCCTTTGAGAATGCTATGAGAACAGGATATAACTTCCTGTCAGTCTTCTTAAAAAAGTAAGTTTTAATTAAGACATTAGAATACAAGTGGAAAATGATGTTGTATCCTAGAACTATACTAGATCTGGTAGGAATTTGTTGAACTTATTCTATTTACAAAAAACTATTTTTCTGAGATATGTCTGTAATTTTTATGTGTAGTTAACCACTGAAGTGAGATCAAGTGAAATATTTAATATCTTGATATTTAAAATGTGCAACTGAACTGAAATCTAATGTAAAATGTCAATTTAGTTATTTGCATTCTTGGATAAGAACACTATATTCAAGGTGATATTTCAAGGCTGCATTTAGTCGGTTTTTCTTTGACACAGCAAACTAGTACTGTCATGAGTCTTTTGTTGGATATTTTAGGTGTACTGTGAAAGGAGAGGAAGATTATCGACCTTTGTTTGAAAACTTTGTCCAAGATCTCCTCTCTACCGTCAACAAACCAGAATGGCCCTCATCAGAGCTCATGCTCAGTCTCCTTGGCAGAATCCTTGTAAGTGGTACCCACATACTATTTAATTTATTACATAGCCAACGTTTTGGGGGGAGAGAGAAACATAAACATCAGACTCTCCAGTCTAGTACTTCTCAGTAAGAGTAGATCTAAACACAGTCAAACTTTGATGTACCTAAGTTCAAAGGACAAGCAAGAAAATGCTTTGAATCATTCTTGGTGAATTATGTTCATGATTATATTTGATGACAGACTTTTTCTACCTGAACAAACAACAATTATGAAGTTTAAATGACATCAGACATTTTCTATCTTGAAATTGACAATGCATGATTACGTTTGCATTCATGCCTTCAGTATGTATTTATACAGATCAATTTTAAATGAAATGATGCTCAGCATTAAAGTGATCTTCACATGTTACAGTAATTATTTCAAGACTGATACATAAATGTTATAGGCACTAAATGAAGGTGATTCTCATGCTTTTATGGTGAAAAATGAAAAGTGTTGCTTTGGGAATGAGTGAAATCATCATATAAGTGTGGAATCTTTTTTCCAATTGTTTTCACAATTCCATAAATTAGACCTAATTACATGCTATTACCGCAATGGCAGTGGTGAATTTCACACGACATCCATTTATCTTTGATTAAATGTCATAGCTCATAAGTAATCAGTTAAAATGTAATCTTTGTTTAACCTTGTAACACAGAATAAATAACCACATACCATTGTAATCTAGTTGTCAGATAGTGCTCTTTGTTGAAATTCATAAAATTTTGCCAAGAGGCAAAAGTACTTGTACCTTACAGGTAAATATTTTGTTCGTTCAATACATTGAAAAGTTTGATTTCTAAAACTTTGGTTCATAAAGGGGTCAGTTAGTAGTAATATATAGGGACAAAATTTGGGATCAGACAAAAACTTGGATACATCAAGAAATTTGAATTATCAAATTTCAATTCATAGAAGTTTAACAATATTTGTTGGATCTGAATGAATGTCTGGATTTTTCTTTGAATAATTTTGAAACATAATGGCAGTCTTGGAACTAGATAAACATAAGATTATAAAACTGTGCACATCAAATGAAACATTTGAACTGCAACTGTCAAAGGATAAATTGTTAACATATTTGAAAGCTTTACAGAGTTGACAACTTGCATGAATTTATGAAATTGATTCTTTTGTTCTCCACAGGTAAAGCAGTTCAGCAATAAATCTGTAGATATGTCTCTCAGGGTAGCGTCTTTAGAATATCTGGGCATTGTTGCGTCCCGGTTACGTAAAGATGCTGTGTCTAGTCAACTGAACCAGGAATCCATTGACGAGATTGTTGCCAAGGTGATGCCTCCATTGTTAACACACGACCACATAGAAATAGTATATACACTGCATATTAACTTGTCAAGATATCTACCCAAGTTATTGTAATCCTTCACCAAATTGAGTAAAATGTTACAGGTAGACATACATCTTCAAACTGATATTTTGCTTTGTCAAGTCCTATTTATGACAGGCGATATTAGTTAACACTGGTTTATTTCAAAATATTTATTTGGAAGCAGATAAGGTAAACGGTAGAACATTTAACTTGCACAGTATTAAACCACTGTATTTGACATTGTTGCCCATTATGTTTGATTGACAGGTGAATGAAGTGGACAGTGATGATGAAGCCCCACGGCGATCCTCAAGGGGAGGCAAGACTTCACCTGTGGTGAGATTTTACTGCACATAACATGTTACTCCAGCAGCTGAACTAAGTGATTTATGTGAAATTTTCAGTGTGTTTCAGTGATGATTTGTTGGCAGATTTTTATAATATGATTATGTATTTATTTCATAATATTGTTATATTGAATATGGTTGATCAGTGTAGTATTTCACATTTGATATAGGAGGAAATTTTGAGGACTCATTATGCTTGTATTTATGTTGCTTTGCAAAATGTCTGTTTAGCAGGAAGGTGTAAATGACTCAGCTGAGGACCAAACACAGAGTTTACAAAAGGCTATGCTAGAATATCTCACTTACAATAGTGAGAGTGAGCCGGCTTACTGGGTAAGGCTCAAGAAGAATCATTTTCATATTTGATAAAAGAATTTCTTTTTCAATACACTGTTTAAGAACATTTATACTTTTAAAAACACCAAGTTACAAAGGAAAAACTGGTCATGTCTTAAGTTTTTTGTTCAAATCAGTGAAATAAGTGTTTTCAGCTGGAAAACTTGAGCACTGAATTACATTTGAAAAAAATATGACCACTTTGCTGACTAGTTTTTTTGCACTTAAAATATAATGGTATTTTATTTCAGTTTGCTTGTCAGTTCTATATCGCTCAATGGTATAGAGATGCAACAATGGAAGCTGAGAAGTCTGGAGCTTCTCATGATGAATTTGATGAAACTGAAGCGGAAATGACAACTGAAGTCCTCCAAAACACAGAAAGGCGGAAAAATTTCCTCCTGAAACAAGTGGAACTCACTATGCTAGCACACAAGTCAGGAAGGTGGGTTTGATGTTAATTTAGTAAACATTTAAGCATGTCAAGAAAATGTGGGATCACAATGGGTTCAGGCTTTTATGCCATTTCTAAAGAAGAAAGAATTTATGAAATTTGAGGGGGGAAAACGATCTACCTGAGATAATGTCAATCTCTCATTCTTTCTGTAAAGCCAACTGGTTATGAGTCTTGTTACCAATAAATTGTTCTAGTGAATATGATGACAGCAAAAATTGTCAAGATGAGCAAACTAGTTTTCTGGGCTGAAGCTTACAAAGTCTTGTGTATTTGCCCAAGAAAGCATAATTTCAAGAATATAATTTGATGAGAAGGGATGTTCATATGTAAGAATTGTACAAAAGACACCCAAGAAAAGCTGCAATGATTCTCATTATCTGTTTTTATAAAATTCCAATATTAATTAGACATTTGATGATGTTTATCACAGAGTACATGTTCTATTACAGACCGCCACCGAGCAACTTGGAACATGACAGTGCATGTCTGATAGCCAGATACCTGTCCTCTAAACGCCCATTTGCACAAAGTTTTGATATTTATTTGACACAGGTAAGCAATATCACTTTTTCCAAAATTACTATGATGTTTGAGTATTTTTTATCCTTGAAGAGAATATTTGATACTGGAAACCTTTAGTTAGATAATAAATTGTATCATAGCTGGAGTATTTGTACTGGTTTCTCTCGGCTGTAAGCCCCTTAACATTTATTTTATATCAGGTTTGTTGTTACAGCCTTTTTTTTTTTTTTCCTGATTTCTTCATTCATGAAATGCTTGATTTTAGATTTTGCGGGTACTTAGTGAAACAGCTGTGGCTGTGCGGACAAAGGCGATGAAATGTCTGACAGCTGTGGTGGAGTCTGATCCTGGTATTCTGGCCAGGGTAAGTTAGCATGTGTTCAATCTAGTTTTCTGACCTAAGATTTTCTACCTAGTAAATAACACAAGCAGTGATGATGTTTGATTAGATCTGATGTAAAGACATTTCTAACATGTCTGATAAAAAGAAATCTTTTTTTTTTTCTCTCTATTATTGAGACTTACAAATTCTGACTTCAGAAACCTTGTACATAGGGATCATTAAACATTGATTGTTAATTTACATTGACTGACAAGAATTGCACTTAGACACTCACAACATAGATTTATTATATAGAAATATGTGTGTATATATTCGATTACAACTATAAATAGTAAGTTACTTGCTACAGACTGACATGCAGAAGGGTGTTCATGGCCGGTTCCTAGATCAGTCAACGATGGTACGAGAGGCAGCAGTGGAATTAGTGGGGAGGTTCATCCTTATCCGTCCAGATCTCATTCCTAAATATTATGATATGTTATCAGACAGAATCCTGGTACGTATTATACATTATGTAAACAAGATATCTTAGTTGTAATAATTATTAATCATTTAACAAATGCGTTTCTTTAAAATCTGAAAACCTGAGCTTCAGGAATAAACAACTCACTGTTAAGATGTTCTCAATAATTAACACATAAAAACTTCTTTAAAAAATTTTTGTCATGCCTTTATCAGAATTTTTCTATATAAATTTTAAAATTGTGGAGTTTGAAGAGCTGAAAACATTGAAACTGGAATAAGTCATGCTAAAAATATTGCTTTCCTTTTCCAGGACACAGGAATTAGTGTACGCAAACGGGTGATAAAGATATTCAGAGATATCTGTATAGAGCAAAGTGACTTCCCAAAAATTCCTGAAATGTGTGTTAAGATGATTAGACGGGTGAATGATGAGGAAGGCATCAAGGTAACATCTGGTTTTCTGTTCCATTGTTTGTGTAAAGTTTTCTTTTATTACATGATAAATGTTGTTACAGAGAAACACTTGATGGCAAGATGATTGATTTGAGAACAGAACTGGCAATGAAACATAATGATGAATACTCACTCCGATTTTGTCGTTTCTCTTTCAGAAACTAGTTAACGACGTGTTTCAGACAATGTGGTTTACTCCACTCAGCACCCGAGACAAAGATACCTCAAAGCTGCTCCAACGAGTGGTGAATATCACAGATGTGGTGAGTGAAATTTCGATAAAATTGTTCTGATAGACATGTGTACAAAGCAAACCTGGTTTGATTCCCCAATAAGCCAAATACAAAATTGATTTCTCCCAAAACAAGACCTTGTTCATGTAACTAGCTAAGTTTATTGTGATTACTACATAGTACTCTGTGTTCTACACCAATGCAGTAGAACTTATATTTCTTCTTCTCAACTAAAATAGCTGGGATTTCTACATTTTTGACAGTAAGTAGGACAAAAAATGCACCACATGTTGTAGTTAAGGGGCATTCTGACTCTGCTAGTGTTTTTGTCCAAAACGGAAGGGATTCTTCCAGAAACAGAGTTATGTCTTACTATCATAATAGATCAGACTTCCCTTACACATTTTGAGGTAAAATATTGTTATTTAGTCACTAGAAACTGTTGATTATTGAAATGACAAAATGACGGATCAACCGTGTAGAGGCTCTAAGTATTACCAAGGGCTATTCCTTTCATTTGTAATCAACATCACTTTCAGATATATATCAATATTTCCTTGTTACAGGTCGCAGCATGTAAAGACACTGGTTTTGAATTCTTTGAGCAGTTGTTAGAAAATGTAAGTTTTAAGAATGAAAAAAAAATGTTGTAAATGTTATTAATTAAAAGTCTCACAATAATTTCACATCAAAGTAAGCTTACAGTAATTTACATCAACAATCTTTGAAAAGATTGGTTTTTAAGTATTTGAACAACATACTAACCCATTTTACCAACAACTCCATGGACATTAGTCAGAGTGATTATTTTTCTCTATCATAATTATCAATGTTCAAAACTTGATTTTAGCTTTTGAAGAAGGATGAAGAAGGCAACTACAACAAGAGTGCAGTGACATCATGTCGACAGATTGTGGACTGTTTAGTGGAAAATGTCCTTTCCCTTGAAGAGCGCAGTGTTGGTTCGTTCCTGAATTGTTACTAAATCTACTTTCTAAAAATTGTTTATAGATTCAAATCTGAATTTCACATAATGCTAATGGAAAGTATATGCGAAATGATTAAAAAAAATCAGAATAACACAGATGTGACTGAAATAGTTTTGTACAGGGAGCACACTTAACAAATATTTATAAATACTTTACAAGGAAGAGGATTTATTTGCAGATGTGGATTCAGTGAAGGGTTGCAGTCAGCGACTCGTGGCCTGTCTGTCCACTCTGTTTCTGTTCAGCAAGATTAAACCTGACCTGATGATCAAACACGCCACAACACTTCAGCCATACCTGGACATCAAGTGCAGTGTAAGTGTTGTAACAGCATTCACCTAAATTGAATGTAATATGCAGTACATGCAAAATTCCACTGGCAGACATAAAAATATCCTGTGGTTTGATTTGGAATTAATTTGTTATGTATTCATATTAGAACACTTAGGGCTGTGTTTTTTATTAGCAAAAAATATTTGGTAAGAGTTGTGTTTAAGGATTAAACATCTTTGTTAGACACAGTACATTACAAAATAATGTTGTTTACAGACACAGGGAGACTTCTATGTACTACACTATGTAGCCAGGATCCTGGAGGTGGTCGTGCCATTGATGGACCACCCCAGTGAATCATTTCTTGCCCAGTTAGAGGAGGACATGATCAAATTAATCTTAAAACATGGCATGATGGTAAGTTTGGTATGACAGACATAACAGTAATGCAATACAGAAGTACACTTAACAACCTGAACAGAATGATTTCTGGAAAAATCCATCCTTTATGGCGATTTATCCTGTTAAACAAGTTGATCGTGTTCACTTTGTGGAATGCCATCAGTATTACTCTGAATTTCTTGCTTTCTTCACTGAAGTCAATTTACTGATTTGTTAAATTTTATGGTTCTCTTTGCTAGAATTTTCTTCATGTCTATATATAGATACCTAAGATAATTCATGATGTAACTGTTAAATTGCTCTGGTTTGATGTCTATTGTTACCATGACGATAGTGCTGTAAAGCTTTACAATCCTAATTCTCTACTCGCCATATCCTAAGGCTTCTGTTTACCACCAGTACATACACATCTGTCTGTCCAGTTTGTTATGTAATTTAATGATGCTTTGTTAATACAGGTGCTCCAGAGTTGTGTTCGGTGTTTAGGTGCTGTTGTAAATAATGTTAGCCATAACTATGCCTTAGTCAAAGACTGCTTCCAAAAGTTCTTCGGTAAGTTGTGATTATTTGTGACAAATCTGCAAGACATCTATTATTATCTTGCATATTAAATTTTCAATGTAGCTAGTTTTTAAACACTTTCTGGAATATGCTTTGATAATGAATACATCATAAAAATTAAGATACTGTAAACCAACTTTTCTGCGCAGTTTTTAGCTTTCACAATTTTAGCAATATAATATTTTAAATAGTCATTATTATAAAACAACAGATGTTACTATGAAAATTGGTGTTCATTATCTTTATTTTAGCTTACAGTGATATTTTACATGACTTTTCCTTCATTAAGAAATGGGGAGAAAAAATTAATTGTATGGGATAAATTGTACATTAAGAAAGTAAGTTAACAGTAATTTTATCTGTTATCAAGGGTCTAACATTATCTCACGACTATGATCTGTTATCAAGGGTCTAACATTATCTGTCGACTATGATCTGTTATCAAGGGTCTAACATTATCTGTCGACTATGATCTGTTATCAAGGGTCTAACATTATCTGTCGACTATGATCTGTTATCAAGGGTCTAACATTATCTCACGACTATGATCTGTTATCAAGGGTCTAACATTATCTGTCGACTATGATCTGTTATCAAGGGTCTAACATTATCTGTCGACTATGATCAGTTATCAAGGGTCTAACATTATCTGTCGACTATGATCTGTTATCAAGGGTCTAACATTATCTGTCGACTATGATCTGTTATCAAGGGTCTAACATTATCTGTCGACTATGATCAGTTATCAAGGGTCTAACATTATCTGTCGACTATGATCAGTTATCAAGGGTCTAACATTATCTGTCAACTATGATCTGTTATCAAGGGTCTAACATTATCTGTCGACTATGATCTGTTATATGATCTATGATCAGTTATCAAGGGTCTAACATTATCTGTCGACTATGATCTGTTATCAAGGGTCTTACATTATCTGTCGACTATGATCTGTTATCAAGGGTCTAACATTATCTGTCGACTATGATCAATTATCAAGGGTCTAACATTATCTCACGACTATGATCAGTTATCAAGGGTCTAACATTATCTGTCGACTATGATCAGTTATCAAGGGTCTAACATTATCTCACGACTATGATCAGTTATCAAGGGTCTAACATTATCTGTCGACTATGATCTGTCGTCAAAAGTAACGATATCAATGGATTATGATTGTTTTACCCTCAGGTGTGTTGTCACGTTTAATGGCAGACCACAAAGACGACCCTGATAATGCTACACTGAAAATCAGAAAACCAACGCTACTCAGGTCCCTGTTCACAGTGGGGCTTTTGTGCAAACACTTTGATTTTGATTCCAGTGAAATGGGTGAAACCAAGGTCAGTTATCTCCAGATTTTGTGGTAACCGCGACAGCTAAGGTTTTACTTAGAATTCTTTTGAATGTGATTGACAATTATAATTCAAGGTTTTCATGATAAAGACTGATGATAATAATTGTCTTTAAATCATTACATTGGACTCCTATTTAATTTCATGAGACAACATCGTCATATAGTAGTTGGACTGTTATTTTGATTTTGCAGACATCCGTGAAAGACAAGGTGTATGATGTTCTGCATTACTTTGTCTTCCATGAAGATGAAGAAGTCCGTACCAAAGCTTTGACTGGTTTAGGTAAATAGCAGATTTGATTTACTCAACTCAAGGATATTTGCTGCTTTAATGTCCAGAAATAAGTTAAACAAAATTTCATCTTGATGTTTGACCTATGAAAAATGTTGTTGGCTATTCACTGTAAGTGTAACACTACAAATGTCATTGTAAGTGTACGGCTACAAATTCACCGTAACCCACCCTTACACTTATGAAAAGTTCTGGAATATGTACAAACTGTAAGTTCTGAAATTCTAAAAGACCATGATATTTTCAATAAAATCCTTAAAGCACACCAATATAAAAAGAGGAAAATCTCAACAATTAATGATCATGTTGATGAAGCTTGTTCATATGTATCTAGATGACCCATTAAAGTAATATTTCTATTGTAGGGTTCCTGTTTGTGCGTCATTATGAATTCATGCTTGGATCTAAGGCGAAGGAGTTGTATGTTGACTTTTTAACAAACGACAACACCCCAGTTCGATTAAAAGTTCAGGTAACTTCAATGTCTTTTTTTTTTTTTTGTAGAATTTGAAAGAGTGCTTCGATTAATCATCGACGTACACCTCATTTAATTTCTCGTTTCACAGATCAGCAGTCTATTTTTTAATGAAACAATCTTATTTAAGATAGTGTCTTCTGTATTGGGGTTTGAAAATGCAGCTACAGCCTTCAGAGCCATTGTGGTAACTGAAATACTGAGAACCGTAAAATGCATTAACCCCTTGTCTATGAAATTATTGCATAACTCTTTATACACAGTCATTGAAATGGCTTATACATATAGTAGCAAACTTGCATTGTTGCATTCCAGCTGATTGAATAAGGAATTGACTGATACTAGGTGAACTTAACTCTGCTACAATTTGAGCTGTGCAAGTTTTTCACCATAAATATCCAAAAAGAAAATCTGTCAGAACAAAGTATACCCATCAAGTTTATAAATCATACTTATACTGAAGAGTGACCAAACAATACCTTTTTCTGCCAACACATACATTAAAGATCCTCTTCTGCTATCACAGAAACTACATAAACTAATGATCTAGCCAGTGAATGATACATCCAAAATATCCCTTTTTTTTTTTTTTTTAAAAGATGACATTATAATTTGGTGTGATAAACCGTCACCAAAATGTTTACAGTGGCATGCTGTGATCAGTATAACTGTTAGTCGACATCAGTAACCTTGACCCACATTTTAGGTCATAATGGTCAAAGGTCTTGTAGTCCAAAGTATTGGAGCAAACTTGATACTGTCTTGACAGCTGATTTAAAATCTGCTTCAAAGTATTATCTTATTAATTTATTTTTAATAGGTGTTAAAGAACCTTCAGTATTATCTCCAAGAAGAAGAGGTCCGTATGCAAAAGGCAGATGCAGAATGTAAGTAAAAAATCATGCTTTACCAAGTGTCTACATTATACTGAAACACAAACCATTACCAAGTGTCTAGTATACTGAAACACAAACCATTACCAAGTGTCTACAGTATACTGAAACACAAAACATTACCAAATGTCTCTAGTATACTGAAACACAAACCATTACCAAGTGTCTACAATATACTCTACAGTGTCTGTAGTATACTGAAACACAAACCATTACCAAGTGTCTACAGTATACTGAAACACAAACCATTACCAAGTGTCTACAATATACTGAAACACAAACCATTACCAAGTGTCTGTAGTATACTGAAACACAAACCATTACCAAGTGTCTACAATATACTGAAACACAAACCATTACCAAGTGTCTAGTATACTGAAACACAAACCATTACCAAGTGTCTACAATATACTGAAACACAAACCATTACCAAGTGTCTGTAGTATACTGAAACACAAACCATTACCAAGTGTCTGTAGTATACTGAAACACAAACCATTACCAAGTGTCTAGTATACTGAAACACAAACCATTACCAAGTGTCTACAATATACTGAAACACAAACCATTACCAAGTGTCTAGTATACTGAAACACAAACCATTACCAAGTGAAACACAAACCATTCAAGTGTCTAGTATACTGAAACACAAACCATTACCAAGTGTCTGTAGTATACTGAAACACAAACCATTACCAAGTGTCTGTAGTATACTGAAACACAAACCATTACCAAGTGTCTGTAGTATACTGAAACACAAACCATTACCAAGTGTCTGTAGTATACTGAAACACAAACCATTACCAAGTGTCTACAATATACTGAAACACAAAAATATACTGAAACACAAACCATTACCAAGTGTCTACAGTAAACATGAAACACAAACCATTACCAAGTGTCTGGTCTACAATATACTGAAACACAAACCATTACCAAGTGTCTACAATATACTGAAACACAAACCATTACCAAGTGTCTAGTATACTGAAACACAAACCATTACCAAGTGTCTGTAGTATACTGAAACACAAACCATTACCAAGTGTCTACAATATACTGAAACACAAACCATTACCAAGTGTCTACAGTATACTGAAACACAAACCATTACCAAGTGTCTGTAGTATACTGAAACACAAACCATTACCAAGTGTCTGTAGTATACTGAAACACAAACCATTACCAAGTGTCTACAATATACTGAAACACAAACCATTACCAAGTGTCTAGTATACTGAAACACAAACCATTACCAAGTGTCTAGTATACTGAAACACAAACCATTACCAAGTGTCTACAATATACTGAAACACAAACCATTACCAAGTGTCTGTAGTATACTGAAACACAAACCATTACCAAGTGTCTAGTATACTGAAACACAAACCATTACCAAGTGTCTACAGTATACTGAAACACAAACCATTACCAAGTGTCTAGTATACTGAAACACAAACCATTACCAAGTGTCTACAGTATACTGAAACACAAACCATTACCAAGTGTCTGTAGTATACTGAAACACAAACCATTACCAAGTGTCTGTAGTATACTGAAACACAAACCATTACCAAGTGTCTGTAGTATACTGAAACACAAACCATTACCAAGTGTCTGTAGTATACTGAAACACAAACCATTACCAAGTGTCTACAGTATACTGAAACACAAACCATTACCAAGTGTCTACAATATACTGAAACACAAACCATTACCAAGTGTCTAGTATACTGAAACACAAACCATTACCAAGTGTCTGAAACACAAAATATACTGAAACACAAACCATTACCAAAATATACTGAAACACAAACCATTACCAAGTGTCTGTAGTATACTGAAACACAAACCATTACCAAGTGTCTGTAGTATACTGAAACACAAACCATTACCAAGTGTCTGTAGTATACTGAAACACAAACCATTACCAAGTGTCTACAATATACTGAAACACAAACCATTACCAAGTGTCTACAGTATACTGAAACACAAACCATTACCAAGTGTCTGTAGTATACTGAAACACAAACCATTACCAAGTGTCTGTAGTATACTGAAACACAAACCATTACCAAGTGTCTACAGTATACTGAAACACAAACCATTACCAAGTATTACCAAGTGTCTACAATATACTGAAACACAAACCATTACCAAGTGTCTGTAGTATACTGAAACACAAACCATTACCAAGTGTCTGTAGTATACTGAAACACAAACCATTACCAAGTGTCTACAATATACTGAAACACAAACCATTACCAAGTGTCTGTAGTATACTGAAACACAAACCATTACCAAGTGTCTGTAGTATACTGAAACACAAACCATTACCAAGTGTCTACAGTATACTGAAACACAAACCATTACCAAGTGTCTGTAGTATACTGAAACACAAACCATTACCAAGTGTCTAGTATACTGAAACACAAACCATTACCAAGTGTCTACAGTATACTGAAACACAAACCATTACCAAGTGTCTGTAGTATACTGAAACACAAACCATTACCAAGTGTCTGTAGTGTACTGAAACAAACCATTACCAAGTGTCTGTAGTATACTGAAACACAAACCATTACTAAGTGTCTACAATATACTGAAACACAAACCATTACCAAGTGTCTACAATATACTGTATACTGAAACACAAACCATTACCAAGTGTCTAGTATACTGAAACACAAACCATTACCAAGTGTCTACAATATACTGAAACACAAACCATTACCAAGTGTCTGTAGTATACTGAAACACAAACCATTATCAAGTGTCTACAGTATACTGAAACACAAACCATTACCAAGTGTCTGTAGTATACTGAAACACAAACCATTACCAAGTGTCTACAATATACTGAAACACAAACCATTACCAAGTGTTGAAACACAAACCATTACCAAGTGTCTACAGTATACTGAAACACAAACCATTACCAAGTGTCTACAATATACTGAAACACAAACCATTACCAAGTGTCTAGTATACTGAAACACAAACCATTACCAAGTGTCTACAGTATACTGAAACACAAACCATTACCAAGTGTCTACAATATACTGAAACACAAACCATTACCAAGTGTCTGTAGTATACTGAAACACAAACCATTACCAAGTGTCCAGTATACTGAAACACAAACCATTACCAAGTGTCTACAATATACTGAAACACAAACCATTACCAAGTGTCTGTAGTATACTGAAACACAAACCATTACCAAGTGTCTGTAGTATACTGAAACACAAACCATTACCAAGTGTCTACAGTATACTGAAACACAAACCATTACCAAGTGTCTACAGTATACTGAAACACAAACCATTACCAAGTGTCTACAATATACTGAAACACAAACCATTACCAAGTGTCTACAATATACTGAAACACAAACCATTACCAAGTGTCTACAATATACTGAAACACAAACCATTACCAAGTGTCTAGTATACTGAAACACAAACCATTACCAAGTGTCTACAGTATACTGAAACACAAACCATTACCAAGTGTCTGTAGTATACTGAAACACAAACCATTACCAAGTGTCTACAATATACTGAAACACAAACCATTACCAAGTGTCTACAATATACTGAAACACAAACCATTACCAAGTGTCTGTAGTATATACTGAAACACAAACCATTACCAAGTGTCTGTAGTATACTGAAACACAAACCATTACCAAGTGTCTACAGTATACTGAAACACAAACCATTATCAAGTGTCTACAGTATACTGAAACACAAACCATTACCAAGTGTCTGTAGTATACTGAAACACAAACCATTACCAAGTGTCTACAGTATACTGAAACACAAACCATTACCAAGTGTCTACAGTATACTGAAACACAAACCATTATCAAGTGTCTACAGTATACTGAAACACAAACCATTACCAAGTGTCTACAATATACTGAAACACAAACCATTACCAAGTGTCTACAATATACTGAAACACAAACCATTACCAAGTGTCTGTAGTATACTGAAACACAAACCATTACCAAGTGTCTGTAGTATACTGAAACACAAACCATTACCAAGTGTCTACAATATACTGAAACACAAACCATTACCAAGTGTCTACAGTATACTGAAACACAAACCATTACCAAGTGTCTACAGTATACTGAAACACAAACCATTACCAAGTGTCTGTAGTATACTGAAACACAAACCATTACCAAGTGTCTAGTATACTGAAACACAAACCATTACCAAGTGTCTGTAGTATACTGAAACACATTACCAAGTGTCTACAGTATACTGAAACACAAACCATTACCAAGTGTCTGTAGTATACTGAAACACAAACCATTAGTGTCCAAGTGTCTGTACAGTATACTGAAACACAAACCATTACCAAGTGTCTACAATATACTGAAACACAAACCATTACCAAGTGTCTGTAGTATACTGAAACACAAACCATTACCAAGTGTCTACAGTATACTGAAACACAAACCATTACCAAGTGTCTACAGTATACTGAAACACAAACCATTACCAAGTGTCTACAATATACTGAAACACAAACCATTACCAAGTGTCTACAGTATACTGAAACACAAACCATTACCAAGTGTCTGTAGTATACTGAAACACAAACCATTACCAAGTGTCTACAATATACTGAAACACAAACCATTACCATGTGTCTACAATATACTGAAACACAAACCATTACCATGTGTCTACAATATACTGAAACATAAATCAAATTTTGCATGTTATCTACTCATACACAAACCATACTTTGCCAGTGTGTTGATTCATGACTGATATTTTCATGTTTTATAGGGAGAAAACATTCTAAGGAGGAAGATTTGAAGGAAATGAACGATATTCAATCTGGGTAGGTTTCAAGTTTTCAATTGTAAAACCTTTTTTTTTATCTCCTCAATGTGACTATGAAAGGAGAAATGAGTGATTGATGTCTATGGATCTACTTTCTGAAATGATGTTAAGTATTACTGGTAATGCTTTTCATGTGTTATAAAACCTTGTCATACAGCCTAAATACAAGGAAATGGAATATCAACATTGTAAAGTATTGATATATCTAGGAATGAGGTGATGCCAGTGTTTTTTAAAGGATTTTTTCTCACATGCAGAATGGCCAGTACAGTGATGCAAGTTTATCTGAAACAAGTGCTGGAGTCCTTCTTTAACCAGCAGTCCCAAGTCAGAATGGCAGCTCTTAGTGTGATAAACCTTGTCCTCCGACAGGGGCTGGTACACCCTGTCCAGGTAAGTAATTAACTTTGTTAGTGATACACCTGCCCTGGTCAGTTACTGTACATCCTGAGTAATTATGCTATGATATGATATATATACACATACTGTAGAACAGATTTTTTGTGGACATCAAATTCAGGTGTAATCATGACCTATTTTTAGCATGAAAATTGGAATCACAAATTATATCATCAGATTTGTCATTTGTATTGGTATATTGTACACCTTTATTTACATGTGGCATTGGTTACAATTTATTTAATGGCAAACAAATTGAATATGACGCCAACTACAATTTAAACAAACATCTGGTGTCATGGATTGACACAAATATGTATATTACACCTGAATATCTGTGTATATTTCAGTGCAATTGTTTAAAAAATGTTATCAATCCATCACAGCATAAAAATTGGTTCTCTTGAATTTTGTATCATAAGATTATCATAAAAGTTGATGTAATTTTCATGTTTCACAAACAGCCAATAATTCATTTTTGTGAAGTCTATATTTCATCCTAGCATTGTAACAGAAAGCCCTACAGGTGATCAGGTTTTTGTAGCCATCCTTCATTCTATTGCAGAGTCAGAAGACACTTTCATTTATTTAGGAGCAGAGTAGATCTTTTCTTGCAAATAGGTCAATTTTGACATTAATTGTGTTTCAGTGTGTGCCGTATTTGATCAGTTTTGGAACTGACTCAGAGCAATCAATCAGGGTGAAAGCTGACCAGCAGCTACAGGAAATAGAAAAGAAATACCCTGGCTTCATACATGTACGTACAAAAAAACAAAATTTATCTCTAGTCATCATGTTCGTTGGTATACTGTGAAATATTAAATCAAAAGCTGTTCTATTCCATGTTTATTTTGTTTTCTGTTTGGGTGCCATTTGAGCTATTCCCTTATATCTTGGTAACAAGTGTTTTTTTCAGTATCAAAATCACTTCATTTCAGTGAGCAACACTGTTGAAGTGTGGATTTTGTTTTATTGTTTACAGATGAAATCATTACATGGACTGAAGCTATCCTACCGCCTTCAACAAATCCTCCAGGATGACCATTCAAAACCTATTCGAGGAATGAGAAGTCCAGATGAAAATGTACAGAGTCTGAATGCATACTTATATACAGTGCTGCGGAGTAATCGTCCACATCGGAGAGCTATTCTCACCACTCTTCTCAACCTGTTTGATGATTCTGCTGTAGGTTACATGATTTGTAGAACATAGATAAACAGAACACTACTGTTGAGTGATAGTAGACATTTAATTTGTATCATATTTTGTTTCACTGTTCTATCAGTTAATACTTGGACATGAGATATGTTACATTTACCATGGTATTCTATTGCTTTATATGTATTTTGAAATATTCAAATAAATCTTAATTAATTACAAAACAAAAAATGCTCTTTGTGCAAGATATATATTCTTTTTACCAAATTTGATATTTGTTTTCTTTTTTATTGTGTTCACAGAAAATAACGTTAGCAGAGCAAGTGTATATAGCAGACAATTTGTCCTTTTTCCCATACCAAACTCAGGACGAGCCTTTGTTCATCATTCACCAAATAGATATCATAGTATCAGTGTCGGGTTCCAACCTGCTGCAGTCTTTCAGGGAGGCAAGTATGGATAGTGACATTTAGGGCAAACAGAAATGAAAAATACTGTTGATTCATATTTTGTTTCTGAAAAATAAAAGACAAAGAAATGTGGTGTAAAAGCTTAGCGAATCATGTATCTGTTCTCCACAGAGATAACATGTTTGGGCTAGAGATGGTCCAAAAACAACAAGTGTTGTCAACTTTCATTATTGCTGTAACACCACTAGATTGGATTATGTTAGTTTGCATGTGTGTAATTTATTGTGGTGAAAGAATGGTTGCTTTTCCCTATGATATATACTGCATGACATAATTGATAGTTGATTACTGGTACTAGTGCCATCATCTTTTACTGGGTCTGTTAATTATGGGTAACCCCCAACCCCCTCCCCCATAGAATCAGCATCACATTGTCACATATTGAAATTAGGTGATATGTCCTGCAGTATAGAGTCGTTAATTTTTGCTTTTGATACTTTCCCAGTTTTCCCAGAAGTGGAATCAGCCTGACGTAAAATTCTAATTGTTTATTCATTGCTCCTAGTTGATTGTCATGCATGCATAATCATTGCCTTGTGACTTATCATCATTAATATATAGATGTCCTTGAAGGTGCCTCCTTCAGCTAGACTCTTACATAATTACAAACATCTCCTTTTGAACAAATGTTTCCACCTTTTTGGGTCAAAACTATTATAACATCACTTTTTTTTTAAATTCATTATACTCCCAACAAAGATGGATGGTTTAACTGGAATCACTCTTCATGTTGTTAACAAATTATGTCTGGACAACTCTTCTTAAACTTGTAAGCTATAAAGGACCATTTATAGGTACGCATGTAATTTTTTGTCCCAAATGTTAGTTGTCATGACAACTTAGCAAATTTAAAATGTTTTTCTATAAAAGGCTGTAATTCCTGTCTTTTGATTCATTTTAAGAAAAACCTGAAACTTAATTGTTTCCCTATTTTTACCATGATGGGCAATGGGGGGTTTTGAATGGTCAAATTGTGATATCTCATGAATAAGGTGAAATAGTTTTATATTTAAGGAACTGATTTAGAAAAAATAGATATTGCCATCAGAACCAAACCATTTATGAAATATTAAATCTTTAAGAGGTATTGATAATCGTACAAATAATAGTCATAATCTTATGATATGTTTGTTATGAAATAATATGCTAAAATTAACTCCTGGATTGAATTTGGATACGATTTGTTTGGGTGAAAATCCAGGTCACATTGACTTTCTTTCTGGTGTATCATCAGCATGTCATTTTACACACAGATAACACATCTTGTAAAACCAGGTCACATGCAACTTATTACATCAAGTTCTTATGAATCTAGGAAATAAGCAGGCATCTTCTAAAATCAATGTCTTTGTGAATTGAATATTAAACATTAACACCAGCTATCCTGTTCCACCTTGGTCATCTCCTAGCCGTTTCCAACTGACACAGAATTCCACTACAGCTCATTCTGTAACAATAATAAGATTACTTTTTTTTCTGGTTACTATTGTACCAATATTGCCCATGATACCTTATGACTCTGGGAAGGAACTTAAAATGTCTTTCCACCAGCCACCATGTTTGCTTCCTTAGTCTGGTAACCAAAGTGACATATAATGGGAAGGATGAATAATGACCTAACATATTTTTAATCCTCAAATTGCAGCATTACTATCTCATATATCATAATAACTGTTGCTGTAAAATCCTGTTTCAGTGGGGGCTCAGATTTTATGGTTTTCCAAAAAGATTTTTTCGTACTTGTTCCAAAATGTTTTGTGAATACGTGTATTTTAATGTCATGGATAAATAAACATTTGTGAAATCAACTGATACTAAAATTTCTGGATAAAGACCTGAAATCAAAGAAAATGAAACTTCATCTATAATTACTTACCTTAGAGTATAACAACTGTATAGACTGTTGTATCAATCTGTAGGATTATCTACTACAAGCCAGAATTATGTACCGAAAAAAAGGTATTGTCAACATTGGACAAACAGGAAAAACTTATCACAGATATTTTCAGCTGTTCGTCTAGATAGATTTAAGGACTTTATGACATAAGTTCTGTAGTGTAAGCTTTTGTATATTTTGTTTTTCCTGCATGGTTGTATTTTTTTGCTTAAAAGTTTTGTTCTATTTTAGAAGCTGTACGGCAGTGAGCGGGAAAACCATGGGGTACAGTTTGTTTTGTTATTAATTATGTAAAAGCTCAATTATGCCTCTGCTTGTATATACCTTAAGTCATATATTCATTACATTGAGTTTTCTTTGTGTCTAGCGCATGTGATTATTCAAAACTTTTAAACTGTTTCAGGCATTTTCATAACATAATCACCAATATGTTTAGAAAGATATTAATGGGAAATTTTTATTTAAAACTTATGGTATACCTTTTGTTTTCTTTTTTTCTTTTTTTTATTTTTACACCATTCTTTTTTCCAAGGTTCACAAGTTTGATATATTTTGTTGACAGGGTCTTATAAACAACCAAAACGGAACACAAAAACCAATTGATGAGGAAGAGGATGATGACCCAGAAGCTTTACTAGGTAGGCTATTGAGTGCACCTGATATGTAGGTTCATTTACTAACAATTGATATCTATCATGGAGAGTTAATCCACAAGCTTCTACTTGACTATATACAGGAAGAATCTTGTGAAACCTATCTTAAAATAGTTCAAACCTGGGGAGAATTAAAAGTTTGGGATGACACTTCAATGAGATGCACATATTGATCTCAGCTGACCCCCAGGGGCTGTTTGGCGGTGTCAGAAATGGGTCAAATAGATTGAAATTTCAAAAATCTTCTTTTCAGATCAAAGGTATGGTAGAATCAAATACTGTTCGTGGATGGAGAAACTTTGAGATGGTTTACCAAAATTGTAAATTTCATGACTCCAGGGTCTCACATTTTTTTCCCTGGGTAGGGGGTAAAATTTACTGTAGTATACATAGGAAAATGACATTTTTAAGGAAAATTTGTTTATTTTCTTTTAGAGATAGTTCAAACTTGTTTAGAATTATTAGTATCAGCTGATAATTTAATAAGATGCATATACTGACCTTGGTTGACCAGCAGGGACTGATAGGCGGGGTCAAAAATTGGTCAGATTGATTGAAATTTCAAAGACATTCTACTGTTTCTGGTTGGAAGATTTCATATAGGAAAGTTCAATTTTTAAGTGAAATTTCTTTTAATTCAAACTTGGTTAGAAGCCTTAGCATGGGACAGCAGTTAATGTATACACAATTTATATTTGTATTAGTATATAGTTGAAGTTATATCACTTTTACTAACAAAATCATTTCTATGACATGTAACAAGAACCATTGTGACTCAGGTGACCGTTAATGCCCTAGGGCCTCTTGTCATGAAATTTGTGGGTCTATCAAAACAAGGAAATGAGAACTTTGTATATTACACAAACTTATAACTAATGTACAGACTGACAACTGTAGGTAACTACTGTGTATCAGGTTTATAATATACAGACAACTGTAGATAACTACTGTGTATCAGGTTTATAATATACAGACAACTGTAGATAACTACTGTGTATCAGGTTTATAATATACAGACAACTGTAGATAACTACTGTGTATCAGGTTTATAATATACAGACAACTGTAGATAACTACTGTGTATCAGGTTTATAATATACAGACAACTGTAGATAACTACTGTGTATCAGGTTTATGATATACAGACAGACAACTGTAGATAACTACTGTGTATCAGGTTTATAATATACAGACAACTGTAGATAACTACTGTGTATCAGGTTTATGATATACAGACAGACAACTGTAGATAACTACTGTGTATCAGGTTTATAATATACAGACAACTGTAGATAACTACTGTGTATCAGGTTTATAATATACAGACAGACAACTGTAGATAACTACTGTGTATCAGGTTTATAATATACAGACAACTGTAGATAACTACTGTGTATCAGGTTTATAATATACAGACAACTGTAGATAACTACTGTGTATCAGGTTTATAATATACAGACAACTGTAGATAACTACCGTGTATCAGGTTTATAATATACAGACAACTGTAGATAACTACTGTGTATCAGGTTTATAATATACAGACGGATAATTTCACCACATAAGCAAGTAAGTTTGCACTTGCTAGAATGAAAACAGAACACGACAAAACAAGCATTTCATTGAATGTGATTATGGTACATTTCTTTGATTTTACACCTCACAAAATATACAACTCTGACCAGTGTTATTTGAATTTTTAGAGCGCCTTCCAGAACGTATCCAGCCCTTACTTGAGATCTGTCGTTTCTCCCAAGGTTGTATTTTATTGCTCCATCTCAAGCAGCACCTAAAAGAGCTTTATGGTTTCACAGATAGGTAAGTAGGTTCTGTATGTTCTCTCACATACCACCTTACTTTCTGTCCAGTTGTAAGAGGTGTTTTTAAGTCTGTCCTTTGTAAGTCTATCAGAAATCATGGAACTCCTAATATTAATGTAGAAAGTGAAACAAATGTTTTAATAGTTGCTAGCTTTAATACTAATCTGTCACTTCATATATGTTTGTTTCAGCAAAATTCACAACTATTCCCCAGCAGAAACCAAGTTGTATGATAAACCTGTTTCAAGAAAGTTTCTGGTCAAGTTCAACCCAGAAACTGTGTTAGAAGTGCTTGCTGAAGGCACGCCAAAATCTTCAGATGACATCGAAGTGCGGACAAAACTAGTCAATGATTATTTGGAGGTAAAAACAGGATCACTTTCTTTTGTACATCCTATTCCAGTGTACTGGTGTTGATGTTGTAGTGAAAATATCTCAAGTAAATAATGATGAACTGTTGTAAGAGCAGTGAAATATTCACGAAAAGTTTGTCAAAAAGACACCTTCAAGAGAAATGATTAATTCAAAACATACTACATATAGTAAGCTGCTTTTTCTTCGAAGTCAACTGTTCTAGCATAAAATCATTTATTTTTTTCAAATCCATGACTTGTCATCATGTGTAAACAATTTTTTTTATCCATATTTTTCATAAAGTATTAAAGTAATCTTTCTCAAATTTCATGTGCAAGTTTTCTTAACTCCTTGTTTGTACTCTTTTGAATTTAGGACCAGATGGTAAAAAATTATGGCTATTTTTTATTTTGGCCACGAAAAGTTTGTTTTTGCTATTTCTTGAGAAGTATGGGATGGATGCGTCCCCAATTTCCCTTAATCCCTAGTCATACTTGTTTGATTTTGTTACTGAACAGGGAAGAAAAGTGGCATGTATCAGATGGATCTTTCTCAAAGTTTCCCTTGTTCCCTAATTATACCTTTTTGATATTGGGAGGACCATTCAGAACAATGAAATTGCTGACTGGTGGTCTATTTGGATTCGATGATTATAAAGATTATTGTAATTTTTTAATAGGACATTTCAAATTTCGTAGAAGAAAGCACAAGAATAGAGGAAAGAAAAGAACAAATAAATATCTAATAGTGATGGATGCCAAAATCCTTTTGGTATCACTTGTCTAATTCTCCTCGGGGGTAGATGTTGCACTAGCTGAGGTCATATGAATAAATCGCTAGAAAATTATAAGGTTTGATTAAAAATATGAATTTAATATGAAGGTAGAAGTTCAGATTTTAGAATTTAAAATTTAGTGTTTCGAAATCACATATTTAATACGGACAATCCCATTTTAGTTCAAAGAGCTGATGCTGTGTATAGATCCGCCTGATGAAGATGAAAGTGATGGTGAGGGTAAGGCTGGCACACCTAACCCCGCCAAGCCAGATGCAGCTGGAACAGCCAGCGCCCCCGCTGGCACTGCAGGCGAGGCAGCTAAGGAGGGCACAGAGAGCAATCCTATAGAGGCCAATGCAGAAGCCAACTCAAGTGAGACGAGCAAACCTCACCATCCCCCACCACCGCCCACACATCACACAGGACATGTAAGAGTTTTCAGTGATTTAAAGTCTAGTTATAAGAATTTGTCATGGAGAGGCCTCATATGTTCAGAGGTCTTCATCAATAACATTATATTCAGTTTGGTATTGGTAAAGCTCAAGTTCTAGTCAAACTAGGCATTAGTTTTCATAGAACACTTTTCATTATGTGATGGTTGAACTTTGCTACATGAGATATATCAACGAGATTGAAAATTGAATTGAAGTCACAGTGGCTGAATATCTTTCATTCAATTTGGTATTTGAATTTTACATCAAATGTATGTGATTCTAAGCATTTTGACATTGTGATTGTAAAGCTTGATTATGACTTTGTCTTCTTTTACAGCATTCAACACACCATCACTCCTTATCATCAAGACTCTCAAAGCATCACCATTTAATACATGGTACATCCGAAAAGAAGAAAATTAAAATTCAAACACCTTCATCTACAAGGACTTCATCTAGTACATTTAGCAGTTCATTTTCATCCACACCTAAACCATCCTCATCATCAAAAGACAGAAAGAAACACAAAAAACGGAAGCGGCGATATAAAAGTGACAGTGAGGACGATAGTGATGATGATCCTGATTTTGTGTTATAGTTTTCAGCGAGTTTTTTTTAAGTGATGCGTGAGTGATGTGTGGATGTCCCGTTGGCAAGAAGAATACCTTGCATAAAGCTAAAGCTAACTGGTATGCACCACAGTTGTAAAGGACATCTTCTACAAGGCTGTGGTCCAGTTTTATAGGCTCAGACAGGACCAGAATTACAAACCAAGTTTTACAACTCAGCAATATCATTTTTGGAAATAATTCAACTTCTTGTTACCTTTTTATGTGAATTTGATTTTAAGAAAATATATTTCAATTATCCAGGGTCTATTTGTTTTATGTTTACTGAATTTTAGAATTCGGTTTTAGTACTTCTTAGTCGTCTATATCAAATGATATTTTAGTGTGAATTACAGTCTTTCAGAAAACATGGTTGGTACATTGGTTCCTGGAAGACAAAATTATCAACTACAATGAAGACAGCTGATCAGTATAAATGCTGAATTTTATGTCAGATATATATTTAACAGAAACCAAAATTCTGATATTTCATCATCCAAAGACTATACCTGGTATTGTCCAATAAAGTAACAGACATTCTATTTAAAGAAGTTTCACCATATCTGTATTTAAAAGGAATCTCGCATTTTTTTTTTTTTTTTTTTTATAGCAATGTACATTTTGATTTCAGAGTTCAACTGATATCAGCATGTGCCAGTTGAGTTTTTTCATGTTTTTGTCTTCTTTTTTTCAAACGTATATGGGACAAATATTAAACAAAAACCATGGTGTGTTTGCTGTTGACACTTAAACGGTCTGTGATATGCACTCTTTGTTGCGAAAGACTTGTTAATATCAATAAGACTTTGACTATGGTCTAGTTCTGGATATAAATTAGGCACATATGATCTTTTGACTTGTTCAAACAATTTAAGTTTAGTTCATAAGAAGGAAACAATTTCTTTGATAAATTAAATTATATCTTATCGAATTAACAAATATATTTATCTACTTTCTCAGTTGAGAGTCATCAGCCTGAACACAAATTTGTTTTGACAGCTGTGATAATGAGGCACGAAATCAGTGGACTGTTAAGTATTTGCGAGTGAATCTTAGATACAGAAGTGAAGGTAAAATTGCAGTAGATTTTTGAGAAACTGAAATGACTTGACTTTGAATGTTAATATTCGGACAGTTTTAATTTAAAACCAAAATGAATTGAATAACAAAAACAACCGTAAATCACTTATTAAGATAAATGTAACAAATGTCTCTAAAGACTTACTATCTTGTATAAGTCTGTACCGACATGTTATATGATTTGTGTAATGCCTAAGTGATGCCTACCCTTTATTATGTAACATTTGGGTTTACAAAGATAAAATGGTATCAATATTCAAAATGGAAAGAAACATGCTAGCTGATAGTATTGTGACAGTGTTTCACAATAAAAAAAATTTCTTTCACCATTCCCAAAAGAATTGTTAAATTACAGATAAGTGTAATTTTTTTTTTTTTTTTTGTTGGTTGTGAAAATACAGTGAATTATGATATATACATTGATTTGTTGGTCTTTTTCCTTTATTTTGATGTTCAAAGTGATAAACTCGAAGAACCATTCTTAGATATACTTAATCTGTAGTAAAGTACATCAGAAATACAATATCCATAACAACTTCCTGTAAATGTAATATATATAGAAAGAAAGCAGGCTTTCATTTTATTAACAAAATGTTTTATCACCAATAAATGGAAAAAGTGCAAGATATTTTTCTTAGCTGTTTGATGAATGTTGGTGGAAAGTCTAATATCTAGTGTGGATGTGAAAGTTTGCGATACACATGGGCATGAAAGAAATTGAGCATAATTGGTACAAATTACACATACATCGTTTTTGTCCTATTTTATAATGTAAATACAAAGTTGTTTATGTTGTCAATCTGCTGCTGTTCATATTTATCATTACATTGATATGTTAAATACTGCATATTTTATCAAAATTCATCCGATTGCCTCTTTTTTATCAAATATCATGTCATGTTATGTTTCATTGTATGAAATCTCTCATTTTCTCACCCTGTAAATCTATAGCTGTCATGAAGTATTTATTTTATTATAAAAAAAGACCGTTGACTCTTTAACAAATCATCTTTCTTATTGAATCCATTGAATCACAAGTGATGTCTTCATTCCCAAAAGTTTGTGAACTGAGAAAGTAGATAAAAAAAGTTATTTGAAATAATAAAAAAAAAAAGTTATAAATTTTGTATTATTTGTTGTTTTCTTTTCAAATGGTAGCACAAATAAGATAGTTTTAGTGACCTATATTAAAACACACAGATGATTATGTTCATTAGTTACCACTTTCATCAATGGTTTCTTTGTAAATCTGAATCTTGGTTGAGACTCTGAAGCAGGATAGTTCTTCAGGTTTGTTTTCATTTCGAAACAGTTTGCAAAGCCGTTGTTTTGTAGGTAGCATACCTGAATTGACTTCTTTTTGGAATGATCAGTGATGTTCATAATTAGAAGTATGATGCAGCCATGTACTGCTTTGGCACTTAAAGCTTATATGAATGCCATCTGACTTTTGGTAGTTAACATTTTCATGTAGGATGTGGAATAATTCTCAAATTTCAAACGTTCCCCCTTGGTTCTTAATTTTTCTCCTATGATTTTGGGACTGATCAGAGAAAAAAATGGCTGACAAGCAGTCATCTTGTAATTCGACACTGAAGGTTTGTTATATCTCTGAAATTTTATTCATCGATTCCCCTTGGCTCTGAATGTTGTCCCTTTGATTTTGGGACTTATCAGGAAACAAAATGGTGGCCAGGCAGTTATCTTGTACTCTGACAATGAAAGTATGTGATCACTTTTTCTTGAAGACTTGATGGTTCTTTTTGAAATTTCAAATGCTGGTCCCCAGCTATGACCTTTTAATTATGGGACAAATGAAAAAATGCAGACAGGCAGCCATATTTGATTTGATAGGTTAGATTATCATTAATTTTTCTTTGAAGGAATTCTCAAATTTCATATAATTAAGATGAAAAAGATCTTGTTTTATTAACAACATCCAAATGGGATCTCTCACAAAACAAAGAAGGCTGCCAGATAGTCCTCTTGAATTTGGTTATTAAATAGGAAATCTAAGATTTTACATATAACCATTAAGTATAAGAAATTAACTTTGTTTTCATATTGTTTTTTATTATTAAAAATCAGATAGGCATAATCATTCGTTCTCTGTTTCATAGAGGGCAATGGAAAGATTTTTCAAAATTTCCTGCATACATAACAGGGTTGCAGGATTTACCATAGCGTGGATGTTGATAGCATTTCAGTAAATAAAATTAAATTATGTTGTTTATATATATTATTCATCATGAATAATGTGTGGCATTTGAAGTTTTAAAATTTAAATGTGTCAAATAGCTGGGAAATATGATAAAATATGCCAAAGTAAAGTCGCCATCAACCCCAAACACTACAAGACTTACAAGTCACTGGTGTGAAAATTATTTCTGCACTATCTCCTGCAGAATGTCTGCGAGCAAAGAATCCTTCTTTCCTCAGACAATCAATAACTGGAATACACTTCCGCTAGAAATTTCAACAGCTGACACATTATTTTCCTTCAAATCAATAATCTCCTCATTCTGTTATTAATTCTGTTTCCTCTCCATTTCTTGCCGCAGCTAACCATACATGGCAAAACCTTCAATCTGTTGAAGTTAGTCATTATCTGGTAGAGGAAGAAGAAAAAGTCGAGATTCGTGAAGCCATGGTTTTGTAGAAGCCAAGACTTCAGGTCGCCTTACTAGTCTTGACTAGTTGGAATTTGCCTTTAGCCAAGCGGTACAGTGTCTGGCTAGAAACTGAAGGGTTGCTAGTTTGAACCTCGCTGGGGGCAGTGTGTTTTCTTTACTCCTTCGTACTACAGTAACTTTGACTGAAAAAAAACTTACGTAAAATACAAAAAAAAAAAATCACTTTCGTTGTTGAATATAGATGAGCTGTGATAGCTTTGGTGCCTTAAGTAGCAATGTTGTCACATCTTGATCATCCTTTCATTTTAAAAGACCGTATAAAAATTTTCGGAAGACATTTTTTCGTATTTGATTATAGTTAATCAGGATTATTAAAATTAAAATATTTATCAACTGAAATATAAAGATTATGATTCGTGTAAAATTTGCTAAAAATACAGTTGTGAAAAGTTTCCAAAGATTATCGTTTTGATCATCCAATTGTATTATGCTGATTTAAAAACGTAAGATATAAACGAAAACTAAACTTGTTTGCGAGGTAATGTTCTGTCGTCTGTGCGTGCACGTGTCAATTTTAGAGTTACTTCCCTTGATAACAATTAATTCCTTCATATTTCAGTTTTGTGTTGCTTTTAGTAAATACTAAGATAAAGTGTGTTCAGTTATATGGCTTTCTGTTCAAGATTTTATTTAGTCGTGATAAAAAGTGTTAAGAAAACGATATTTCTAGAGTGTTTACTTTTTCTTCCACTTTGGGTTAGAGAGTAGGCTTGATGTTGCCATGTGACGTGATCGCTGACAACTCGGGACGAGTGTAGGGCTATATGTCAATAATTTTACTACCATGTAGGACGATGAAAGGGGTATGAGCTTAAGAATAGAACAATTATATACACAGTGATTAAAGGAAGGAATTATGGCAGAAAAGAAATTTAACGGAGCTCCGTTCGGTACACAGACAGCAAGGCAAGTATGAAATAAAAAATACAGAGATCTAAGCTTAACCTGCATTTATAATATATTTAAAGTCAGCTGTAAATCATCGTGTCACAAGACTACTTTAAATCGTGGCGATTTCTGCAATAATGTTGTCATAAATCTTGACCTATGTCTAACCGACCATTTCTATGGAAATATGGTAAATCTGTTTAATAACAATGATATAGCCTAGTTGTGACACTTGGCCCTTTTGTAGAAGTCTAACTATATCCGACAGCCCGTATACTATTGATGCAATATGTCATGTTAAATGTTCGTTGATAATTATCTGTCGAGTCCTATCTAATACCATTGTAAATAATTGCGATGCCGTTGCTTGTAAATTACGTTTGATAAATATAAGCCACGGACATTTAAATAAACTGTTGTATTATTCCAATTACGGTTTGAAAAGTAGTATCAGATTGTAATCTAATTGAAATTAAATACACAGCTGTCTTGCAAATATATTGTACACGATAGCGACTCCAATATAAACTAACAAAGGATTTCAGCTTAATGAAGTAGTTATAAAGGAGTGTGTGAACCACACGTTTTTTGACAATATGTTGATACGTCGATCACATTTTAGTACATTGTTTTCAAAAATGCGATCATTTATGTGATGTGATCACAGAGTATTGAGAAGTTTGTTAAATAGGGCTGACAAAGACATATTAAAACAAGTTATATATTAAAAAAAATACCGTAAGTTAATTTTTCTCATTTATTTTTTGTATATGTATTAGATATAACATCTGATTTTTATATTATCTTTTCATTTTTCTCCCCAGGTTTGATGTGTCTGGAGTTCATCCAAAAAGCAAATATCCCGGCACATTTACAGAAATTCCTTATGACAAAAAATCTATTGATGTACTGGTAAGTTATATTTTTATTGATTAATTAAAAAGTAATATATTTTAGATTGAAGTTACGATGTTGACGTGTGTGGTAATCACAGTGTCCCTCCCATCACAGATGATGATGTGTGTAGCGATCAGTGTCCCTCCCATCACAGATGTTGGTGTGTGTGGTAATCAGTGTCTCTCCCATCACAGATGTTGATGTGTGTGGTAATCACAGTGTCCCTCCCATCACAAATGTTGATGTGTGTAGTAATCACAGTGTCCCTCCCATCACAGATGTTGGTGTGTGTAGTAATCACAGTGTCTCTCCCATCACAGATGTTGATGTGTGTAGTAATCACAGTGTCCCTCCCATCACAGATGTTGATATGTGTATTAATCACAGTGTCACTCCCATCACAGATGTTGATGTGTGTAGTAATCACAGTGTCCCTCCCATCACAGATGTTGATGTGTGTAGTAATCAGTGTCCCTCCCATCACAGATGTTGATGTGTGTGGTAATCACAGTGTCCCTCCCATCACAGATGTTGATGTGTGTGGTAATCACAGTGTCCCTCCCATCACAGATGTTGATGTGTGTAGTAATCACAGTGTCCCTCCCATCACAGATGTTGATGTGTGTAGCAATCAGTGTCCCTCCCATCACAGATGTTGATGTGTGTAGTAATCAGTGTCCCTCCCATCACAGATGTTGATGTGTGTGGTAATCACAGTGTCCCTCCCATCACAGATATTGATGTGTGTAGTAATCACAGTGTCCCTCCCATCACAGATGTTGATGTGTGTAGTAATCACAGTGTCCCTCCCATCACAGATGTTGATGTGTGTAGCAATCAGTGTCCCTCCCATCACAGATGTTGGTGTGTGTGGTAATCAGTGTCTCTCCCATCACAGATGTTGATGTGTGTAGTAATCACTGTCTCTCCCATCACAGATGTTGATGTGTGTAGTAATCAGTGTCCCTCCCATCACAGATGTTGATGTGTGTAGTAATCACAGTGTCCCTCCCATCACAGATGTTGATGTGTGTAGTAATCACAGTGTCCCTCCCATCACAGATGTTGATGTGTGTAGTAATCAGTGTCCCTCCCATCACAGATGTTGATGTGTGTGGTAATCACAGTGTCCCTCCCATCACAGATGTTGATGTGTGTAGTAATCAGTGTCCCTGCCATCACAGATGTTGATGTGTGTAGTAATCACAGTGTCCCTCACATCACAGATGTATATGCGTCTGTCTCAAGATTTCTCCTGTTTCTTTTTTGTTCTGACAGAAAAAAATAAAATGTAATGTGTTATTAAGCAATGATCATTGTCAGGTGCTAGGTATAAGTCTTCAGTAAGAATATTAGAAAAACATTTTAGTCAATTTGAAGTAAAAAAAATGTTTTGTATAATATATTTTCATTGTTTTAATTGATATATGTAAAACCTCGAGTAAATGGTTCATTCATCGTCAGAAAGAAAGTCCCTATTCATTATCTATACTTGTTTCAATCATTTGCATCAGTTTGTGTTAGTTTCTGCTGTCTTGTGCTCCTATGTGCTATATTGCAGTTAGAAATGACTTGAATTTGACTTGTATAGAATCGCCGACTTGGACCAGGATCCTACAAGGTGGACCATGGTGGCTTCAGCACCAAATCTGTTGAAGAACGGTCAGCAGGACCAGGCTGGGCACGCGCCTATGAGGTGGAGAGAATGGCAGCCTTACCTCACCTCCTGCACAAAGATCAATGGGAACTAAAAAAAATGCTGGTAAGTTTATTTCTTGTGGAATTTTGAAATTCGTATAAATATTGCTTTATCCTGAACAGAGTAGGTTTGAATATTTTCATTGTCAATCTGGGCTGGTGGATTTTACCGAATCATCCTTGTCAATACCTATTACAAAATTTTAATAGGTTCTGCTGTATCTGGCCAAGTTTTAATGTAGTTATAGTTTCATGGCATGTCTCTAAGTTATGACTTCTACATTAAAGCTGAATTCAAATCATAAACAAAATCTAACTTTCTTTTGTGTTTTACATGAGAAACATGAAACCTTCATCACAAATGTTTTGTGTATAGTTATACCTTGTCAGGCTTCTCATTTTTACAAAGTTTAAACTGTTAGTATGAACCTTGGAGTCCACGCATTACCTTGTCCTAATACCACTTAAAACTGTAAATACATAATTACAAATCCTGTATTTTTGTGAGGCTCTAATTTCCAGGTTTTACAATAATATGGACATTATGACACTAGAACTGGGATTTATGTCAACCTTTATACAAGGACACCCATTGTAAATATTGTGTTTTATTGTCGACCTCAAAAGTATTATTGACTCTATGAATAAAGTCATTTATTGTTATTAAGATCTGTGATTTTTATACTTGTTTCATTTTGTAGGGGACAGAATGTTGTTGTCCCATCCCTCCTTTCCCATCCCATCTTGTTCAAATTCAATCTAGCAACTTTATTTCATCAGGGATTGCAACTTAACTTATAGGTCACCATTGAAAGTACCCTTAAGGAATTCCCAGGTCAAGGTCACATCATTACTATTTAGAGAAAAAGATCAACCAATACAATGCCATCACTACTGACTTCATGTCATGGAATTTAATCAAACTTTATACCAACATAACAATACCTCAATTGGTTTCATGTTTAAGGGTTCAAAGGTCAGGGTCACTATTACTTTTTATAGAAAACCATCAACCAATGACATCACTATGGAACCCATGATAATAAGGAGGCCGTTTTCTGTTTAGATGATTTTTTTTAAATGAGTGCAGTATAGTTCACTAGTGTATACTATATGTTATTTAAATCTACCAGGTATGTAAACATGTACACTAAACATATAAAACTTAAGACAACCACCTACCTGTAAAATAGGATTTTTTATCAGAAAGGTGACACATCTGTGAGAGAAAGTGTTAACAGAACGATTTATAACAGCACATGTATCCTCCACTGATAAATAATGAATTTGTCGAATTCTTTTACCTGTAATTGTTTAGCTGTGTAGAGTTGTTATCATTGATTCATCGATAGAGTTAGGGTATAATTTCAGACTTTTTGTACTGTAAAGGACAGGGCCTAAATGGGGAAATAGAAGTGAATTTTCATTTATTTTTTGTCTGTTGGAAATGACAGGATTTTGTCCAAATTTGACCTGAAGTATCCTTAGATGAAGAAACTTCTTATTGCAGAGTTGCAGGACCAATATCGGATAATAGAAGTACCTGATATCTTTAAAATTCTTAATCCATAGGAATCCATTTTAAACAAAATTGGTCTGAAGCATCATTAGATCACAGATGTTTTTTTCTATGTTAAACAAGATCTGTACCCCAGGAGGTAGTGGGGTGGATGCAATGGGAGCAAAACATCTTTTATCAGTTTGGATCAAGCAGTTGTAAGGCCTTCATACTCTGATTTAAATCTTGATAGATTCATTTTTTGTATAAAGCGTTTTTTGATAGTTTAAGTGCAAAAATAAAGACTTGTTTTACCTTTGTTTATCTGTTTATTTATTGTCTGCTTTAGTGACAGTAAAAACAAGTTTACCAACACACACCACCTTATAACACCAAATTATCTCACATCAGACAAGTAAAGACAAGTCTACAGACATTCTCTTACATGTCCAGGGCAAGGAGGAGGTGTGGTTGTCCCTGTCCAGATCAGGGAGAGGGCATGGCTGATCCCTGTCTAGATCAGGGAGGGTGTGTGTCTAGTCCCTGTCTATGGCTAATCCCTGTCCAGATAAGGGAGGGGGCAATACTGACCCCTGTTCAGATCAAAGAGGGAGTGTGACTGATTCCTGTCCAGATCACAGAAGGGACGTGGCTTTTCCCTGTCTAGATCAGGTAGGGGAAATGGTTTATCCTTGTCAAGATCATGGAGGGGGAAATGGCTTGTCCCTGTCCAGATCAGGGAGGGGACATGACTGATACCTGTCAAGATCACAGAGGGGTGTGTGTGGCTGATCCCTGTTCTGATCAGGGAGGGAGCATGACTGATCTCTGTGTGTGTGTCCCTGTCAAGATCACAGAGGGGGGCGTGTGGCTGATCCCTGTTCTGATCAGGGAGGGAGCATGACTGATCCCTGTCCAGATCACAGAATGGACGTGGCTTTTCCCTGTCTAGATCAGGTAGGGGAAATGGTTTATCCCTGTCAAGATCATGGAGAGGGAAATAGCTTGTCCCTGTCCAGATCAGGGAGGGGACATGACTGATACCTGTAAAGATCACAGAGGGGTGTGTGTGGCTGATCCCTGTTCTGATCAGGGAGGGAGCATGACTGATCTCTGTCCAGATCAGGGAGGGGATGGCGCTCGTCCCTGTCAAGATCACAGAGGGGTGTGTGTGGCTGATCCCTGTTCTTATCAGGGAGGGAGCATGACTGATCCCTGTCCAGATCACAGAAGGGACTTGGCTTTTCCCTGTCTAGATCAGGTAGGGGAAATGGTTTATCCCTGTCAAGATCATGGAGGGGGAAATGGCTTGTCCCTGTCCAGATCAGGGAGGGGACATGACTGATACCTGTCAAGATCACAGAGGGGTGTGTGTGGCTGATCCCTGTTCTGATCAGGGAGGGAGCATGACTGATCTCTGTCCAGATCAGGGAGGGGATGGCGCTCGTCCCTGTCAAGATCACAGAGGGGTGTGTGTGGCTGATCCCTGTTCTTATCAGGGAGGGAGCATGACTGATCCCTGTCCAGATCAGGGAGGGGATGGCGCTCGTCCCTGTCCAGATCACAGAGGGGGCATGGCTGATCCCTGTCCAGATCACAGAGGGGGCATGGCTGATCCCTGTCCGGATCAGGGAGGGGGGGGGAGCGTGGTTGATCCCTGTTCTGATCAGGGAGGGGGAAATGGCTGATCCCTTTTCTGATCAGGAGAGTGCAAGGCTGATCTGAATCTTAAGTAAGATGTTCTATGTAGATAGTCTTGGTGAAGATTATTGGTTTGTTCAGGGTCAGCTTACCTGAAATGTGTCAGTGATTTTAGTCTGTTTGTATTGTCGTGTACTTGAATCACTGTCTGAAGTGTCTGGTAAACACTGTCTGAGTGCTGTAGGATAAAGGTCATAGATATTCTACAGACATGAAGAGCATTATGGCCTGGAGAGGACAGGATGAAGTATAAATTAACAGTACAGACATAACATAGGTGTATTTACATCTACTTTATCGCTATAATTGGTGCAAAAGGATTCAAATTTAAGTTAAACATAATTGTTCAGTTTTTGAATTTCAATATGTATTGTCTTTCATTGTCATGGTTTTCTCTTCATACACTGATACAGCCAGCAATAACCAGATTAATATCATATCCAGTTAGTAACAGGTCTGATACAGGCCTCAATAACCAGATTAATATCATATTCAGTCAGTAACAAGTCTGATACAGGCCTCACTAACCAGATTAATATCATCCAGTTAGTAACAGGTCTGATACAGGCCTCACTAACCAAATTTATATCATATTCAGTCAGTAATAGGTCTTGTACAGGCCTCAATAACCAGATAAATATCATATTTAGTCAGTAACAGGTCTGATACAGGCCTCACTAACCAGATAAATATCATATTCAGTCAGTAACAGGTCTGATACAGGTCTCACTAACCAAATTTATATCATATTCAGTCAGTAACTGTCTCACTGACTTGTCCTGCTGTGATTCTTCATTAAGACATTATAGAGTTATGGACAATTTCCTTTTTGGTGATATACACATAAGTGGTGTCGTTGTTTCTGATTTGTGGTTGATGATCTGATATGGTAAATATTTCTGCCTTAAATACTACATTGACAACTGCCGTTGTTAAACCAACATATTTATGGAGGCACAGTTAACAGTTGATCATGGTATATGTGGTTTTGCTGTTTATATGTTTACTGTGTATTTAGCCGGTCAGAAAGGAGTATTGATCAGTCCCACTGTAAAGCTACCCTTAATTGAGGGTGTGTCAATCAATGTAATTCTCCATCAACATAGCAGTGCCAGTAGACTGTTGATACTGGGATGGTCGGCCAGGTAAATGTTGGTCTGGCTCTCTTTCCTGGGGGTTAATCAATTATTAAGTTAAATATTAGCCATTATTGTCTGTGATACATCAGATGTTACACTGACTAACCTGACCTGTTTTATCTCTTCAGTTATTGAAGGTTATTGCCAAGTACCTGAGTATATGGAGCTAGAAAAAAGCTATTGTTCCAAAATTCCCTGAAATACTGAAATTCCTGTGAAATGATGTTATGGACTATAGTATTAAACTTAAAGAAGTCAAACATTCAGTGTGATGTAACCTAGTTATAATACCAGTCTGTGAAAATGATAAACAAAGAAATAGTTTTCATTTATGTTGTTAGAGAATCTTTTTAAGGACATTAAACATTTATTTATAATCGGTAAGTAAAATACTGAAACTATCCATGAAGTTTATACGTCCACCTAGGTCAGGCTTACTGATGTACATTTCTCTATGATCATAATTTATACGACGACATAAGTCATATTCCTTTATACTATTCTAAATTTCACTCCCTCCCCCACCCCATCCCCATTATTTCCTCGATCAGACTCAAGGAATCTTTATGGCTTAATTTTCAGTTTGAAACATTTTCATTTTTGGTCCTAAATTAGACGAAATTGTTTATTTTTTCAAATCAGGTTTTTGAGGCTTGGAATCAGGAAACTTTGTTAATGACATTTTTTTTTGTTTTTGTCTAAGGCAAGAAAACTTGGTCCTGGCTCATACGACATCAAGGATTTCTTGCAGCATGGTGATGAAAAACCAAGGAGCTACCGAGGAATCTGTCAAACTTTGTCACATCGCTTCAAGGACCAATCAGTGGTTTGTTCACTTCATTTCCTCCTGTATCTCTTTACTATGTATTCCATTAGCTTAGTCATTAGATAATTGGTATTTTCAACCTCGAATGAAATTCTGAGGTGTGTGCAGGTTCCACATCCCTTAACTCCCAACCTGCGACAGTTTGTGATTCTTAAGAGAAACCGACGAGTCTGTGCTTTCTTGGTTGTGTCCTTGGGCAAGACACATTACCGTAATTGCTCTGAATGGCATACAATGGGCCTCCAGTGTGTTGTTCATTGGAGAATACACCACTAGAGGATTCCACCACAAAATTACACTGGCTATTCACAGGAAACAAGCTCATATAAAACAATAAATGTTCTCCTTTTTTCTTCTTCTTAGATTAGATTATAAAACTGACAGAAGATTAAAGTGACTTCCCCATAATTGTCTAGCTTAATTACATTGGGATGTAGTAAAATATTATTTGTTTTGTGGTTCCCAGGATGACACACCAGGGCCGGGGACATATGGAGATGGGGGTGTTCCTCATGCTGCCATCATCCAAAAGGAGAAGAAATCAGCCAGTACAGTTGGCATGTTGGACGCTGGATCATCAACACCGAGAAATCTTCCCTCTGTGGTTAATATCTTATGTTATCTATTACAGAAACTTCTCAATCATGATTCTTTCGTTTTAAGCTAAACAGACGTCGACTTCTTAATTTAAATAGGAAACCTTCCTAGTTATACAGAGAACACATGAGAACAGAGTAAACGTGAAAACAGAGTACGTGTGAGGATAGAGTACACGTGAGGATAGAGTACGTGTGAGGATAGAGTACGCGTGAGGATAGAGTACGTGTGAGGATAGAGTACACGTGAAGATAGAGTACGTGTGAGGATAGAGTACGTGTGAGGATAGAGTACACGTGAAGATAGAGTACGTGTGAGGATAGAGTACGTGTGAGGATAGAGTACGTGTGAGGATAGAGTACACGTGAAGATAGAGTACGTGTGAGGATAGAGTACGTGTGAGGATAGAGTATGCGTGTGGATAGAGTACGCGTGAGGACAGAGTACGCGTGAGAAAAGAGTACGCGTGAGGATAGAGTACGCGTGAGGATAGAGTACGTGTGAGAACAGAATATTTCAGAGAACAGAGTAAATATGAAAACAGGGTAAACGTGAAAACAGAGTACACGTGAGGATAGTGTATTTCAGAGAACAGAGTACACATGTGAACAGAGTTCTTGATAACATCTTCATGTTTCTAGTTATACATTTTGAATTTCCAACATTAACAGGGATCGGAACTGGGACCCGGTACATACAACTTTAAAAGTTTCGTGGAGGAGCGAGTAAACAAAGTTACAAGTCTACGTGGCCCATATGACTTATTCTCCGGGGATAGAAACAAACCAATCACAGTAGGACATCTAGCAGCACCTGTAAGTATATGAACAGCCAGTCAGAAACAATGTCACATATTAATGTATTTTACCTGGTGCCATGGGAAGACCTAGCCATTAAGAAAATCATCAAAGGTACAGTTATCTGATATGGAGAGTTACTATAAATATGCTTATCTTAGCATAATCTTATTTTAGTGGTATCCTTATCTTATCAGTAATCTTATTTTAGTGGTATCCTTATCTTATCAGTAATCTTATTTTAGTGGTATCCTTATCTTATTGGTAATCTTATTTTAGTGGTATCCTTATCTTATCAGTAATCTTATTTTAGTGGTGACCTTATCTTAGCATAATCTTATTTTAGTGGTGACCTTATCTTATCAGTAATCTTATTTTAGTGGTATCCTTATCTTATCAGTAATCTTATTTTAGTGGTGACCTTATCTTATCAGTAATCTTATTTTAGTGGTATCCTTATCTTATCAGTAATCTTATTTTAGTGGTATCCTTATCTTATCAGTAATCTTATTTTAGTGGTATCCTTATCTTATCAGTAATCTTATTTTAGTGGTATCCTTATCTTAGCATAATCTTATTTTAGTGGTGACCTTATCTTATCAGTAATCTTATTTTAGTGGTGACCTTATCTTATCAGTAATCTTATTTTAGTGGTATCCTTATCTTATCAGTAATCTTATTTTAGTGATATCTTTATCTTATCAGTAATCTTATTTTAGTGGTGACCTTATCTTATCAGTAATCTTATTTTAGTGGTATCCTTATCTTATCAGTAATCTTATTTTAGTGATATCTTTATCTTATCAGTAATCTTATTTTAGTGGTGACCTTATCTTATCAGTAATCTTATTTTAGTGGTGACCTTATCTTATCAGTAATCTTATTTTAGTGGTATCCTTATCTTATCAGTAATCTTATTTTAGTGATATCTTTATCTTATCAGTAATCTTATTTTAGTGGTGACCTTATCTTATCAGTAATCTTATTTTAGTGGTATCCTTATCTTATCAGTAATCTTATTTTAGTGGTGACCTTATCTTATCAGCAATCTTATCTTAGTGTTTATCTTATTTTAGTACTTTTTGTACTAAACTGCTGCCCTAAGATATGATTGTGCTAATTGCAGTGTTTATATTTCGTTTTTATATAAAGCAATTATTATAGATACACAAATAAATCATTGAGCTAATTCATCCAAAAATATGTTACATGTTTCATTTTTTGATTGTGTCAAAATAAGTATGTTTACAATATAGCAGTCGAATATATACGTAACATCTATTTATCATACACACAGATATATACGTAACATCTATTCATCATACACACAGATATATACGTAACATCTATTCATCATACACACAGATATATACGTAACATCTATTTATCATCCACACAGATATATACGTAACATCTATTCATCATACACACAGATATATACGTAACATCTATTTATCATCCACACAGATATATACGTAACATCTATTTATCATACACACAGATATATACGTAACATCTATTCATCATACACACAGATATATACGTAACATCTATTCATCATACACACAGATATATACGTAACATCTATTTATCATCCACACAGATATATACGTAACATCTATTCATCATCCACACAGATATATACGTAACATCTATTCATCATACACACAGATATATACGTAACATCTATTCATCATACACACAGATATATACGTAACATCTATTCATCATACACACAGATATATACGTAACATCTATTCATCATACACACAGATATATACGTAACATCTATTCATCATACACACAGATATATACGTAACATCTATTCATCATCCCATCACTAGATTATTCCACACAATCTCACACTGGTGCCTTCATTGTAAAGGTTGAATGTGTGTTATGCATTTTCCAGCCATCAGCTGTTTTATGTGCCACTGGTCATGTTACTTTTTTGTTTTGTTCCTATTTCGTGTCTTTGGACATGTATTGTAAGTATTTACCAGGTAATTGTTACCATCTTCCTGGCTACACAGGGATATTAGATATTGTGATGATGAAAAACTTCTAGATACAATACACTTAACCAATGTGTTTAACAATATGTTCCAGAAACTAGCCAATCTGGGACCAGGGCAATATGATTTACAATCGTTTGTGGACGATCTGAAGACAATTCACAGGAAACGTCAGGGCAAGTTTGGTAAGGTGAAACAACCGCCATCTAAAGCAACAGAGAGAATTTTCTGTCACACTCTCCCACAGTGTCCGAAAGAGGAGGTGAGGAAGAGGTCCATTACAGATCATTAAATAATCTTTTCTATTTTGACATATGAATCTAGAAAAATGCATCTAACAGGATGTCAAAAAAATAATCTGAATTGCTGTTTACAGGAAAATGATATATGATATATATATTTTTTACCCTCCAAATGAAACTATAATAATTATTATTTCCGTTCAAATATACATTTAAACTTATATACCAAATATTAGCCTACCTTTTTGTTTTCACTCTGTAATGACTATTAATGTTTGACTTATAGTCCTTCCCGGGACCTGGCAGTTATGAACCAGCAGAATTGTCCAAACCAGGATCTAAGAATGCACCAGGATTCTTATCAACTGCACAGAGAAACGATAAGATGTCTCAAAGGTTCTTCACTAGAAATTTCGTAAGTCTATCTTCCAGCTAGGTTTGTAAAATCATATATTTTTGTCAGGCTCAGTTTTTCAAGTTTTTTTTTTAACTGTTTCCTTGACACTTAATTGATTAAATACAGTTCAATAAAACTATTTATACTAATCAACAGATTGTGATCATATTGATTTGTATAGTACCCACAAAATCAACAAAAAAGAAAAACCTGACAAAAACTTTAACATCCCCTCAGCTGAGTTTATAGGATGGTATCCTTCTAACAACATTTTATGCCCAAGATATTTAAAAGTGTTATCACATCTGCCTTGAACCTTGTTTTTCGTTCAATGTATTCAGTTTTGATCAAAATTACTATACAAATACAATGGTCTCATGTAACGTGAGAAGAAAAAAATCAAGGTTAGTTATCATATTTGACCCCAATGCCCTTGAAAAAATTCTTTAAGTCAAAGTCATTGATATTAATTAACTTGATAGCATTCCACTGGCCAAAATATAGTGCCCAGTTCTTAAGACTTTTCAAGAAAAAAAATTCAAAAATGAAAAAGATGATAATAAATAATGCCTATTTTGGGTGCCATTATAATTATCCAATCCTTGTTTGTGTTGTAGAACATGTGGGACCTTGTCAGTACAACATCAAGAACTGTATTTCATCATTAAATCCTTGTTTGTGTTGTAGAACATGTGGGACCTTGTCAGTACAACATCAAGAACTGTATTTCATCATTAAATCCTTGTTTGTGTTGTAGAACATGTGGGACCTTGTCAGTACAACATCAAGAACTGTATTTCATCATTAAATCCTTGTTTGTGTTGTAGAACCCTATGTGAACCTGGTACAACACCTAACTATATATAATTATTTAAATATTTCTTTGTGTCATAGAACCCTGTGGGACCCGGTCGATATGACATCCAGAAATGGGAGGAAGCACAACATAGAAATGGAAATGACAGTGTGTTCAAGTCACGAACAGGCAAACTTAACGCAGCCATGGAAAAATTCCTCAAGTAAGCCAAAATATTTCAATTTGGTGAAAAGTTCAAGAAAATTTGTGTAGCTTCCTAGCTGTTAATCACACTTAATTTACATCAAGTTTTTTTCCTGTCACCAAATGTTCCTGCTCTCTAAGGACATGGGGAAACAACTTTCAGCTCTCAAGCTGAGATCAAAAGGGCATTGATTATTTTAAAGACAGGTTTTAATAAGTAAAATAATTTCTAATCAGCAATAATAATTTTATATAGATACATTGCTTCCTGTGACCATGTCAGGATTCATTAAAAATAGACTCCATTTCACTAATCAACCAAATATTGACAGATGATATCATTTAGTCAAAAAGAAATCAACTTTTCATAAGGAGAATAAAAGAAATTAATTTCGTTCTTGTTCAGACAGTGAAATAAAGGCCTAAATCACTTCATTTGTAAAATAACATTGAAATCATGAAGAAGTATTTAAGCAATATGAAAATCAATATAATTATATCATGACAGAAAAGAAAATGATTATAAATGAAATTTAAGTTTTAAACAGTTCCACACTACAGGTGCTTAATTGTACCACATGAAAAAAACTTGATCAAATATTACATTATTATTTCATTTTCAAATTTATCAAATCCTAGCTAAGGTTGTTGGTACTATGGGGTATATATCATTATAACTGGTACCAGTTATTATTTATTATTCCTGGTGAGAGGAGCTTATACTGACATACCTATTACATATTACAGTATACTGCAAAGTGTTTTACTTTTTTCATCTCAAATTAAGGTTTTGGTGAATTTGGTTGTAGACTGTGTAATACATTATCAAAGCTCTATATTTTAATCGCTAGATTTCAAAATCACTAACAATTTGTTGACAGGGAACGAGTTCGAGCCAAGGATGTACGATTAGAAGACAGAGTATTTATAGTAACACCTGAACCTCCAGAAGGTTATATGTTACGTACAAAAGAACAGATGAATTTTGCCGCACGGAAAGCAGCCACCGTGGTATAAATCATTCCGACGTAGATGTTCCGTGCACAAGGCTAGACATAGTGCTAGCCTTTCTTGTTCCTAGCAGTTTTTGTGATGTCTACCTTACCGCATGCACTTTGTGGAGATTTGTAAACCTGATGTATTTCTCGAACATAATGAAACATGCATGTTTTTAGTGTATTAGTTTGATCAGCATATCTTATATGTCCTTGATAACAGTTTTAGAAGCAAAATTTGGAATGATATCAGGAAGGAATTCTTAATTAAATCATTCAAGTGAGTTTTCTGTTTTTGTATGTAGGAACCTCATGAATGCTGTGTATACTAATGAACTGATAATGAATAAATTTAACGGGGTAAAAGTATAGTGTATAGTGAGGGGAAAAGATGGTACATTAAACGTAAGTCATTGGTCAGCTGTTTAATAGCAGTGTGGTGTATTACTATTGTCTATTGTATCAAAGTCTATTTCTGTATAAAAATCATTCTCACATATTTTGCCTATACTGTGAAGACAAATTGACAGAAATATGCTTTATGTATGTGTACAAAATGTAGCTGTGGAAGATAAGAGTATTAATGCATTGAATTTTATTTTTGTTTCTGATTTCGTTCTTATTTCTTGTTATATTGTTTTGAAGAAGTTTGTTGTGCTGTTGTTTCCTTGTCACTTTTACTTTGTTACCCCAGTGTTTTTAGCCAGAATCTGATATGTATACTCGTCATCCTTGTGATTTGTGAGTAAAATTTATCAGATACATGTTTACACTAGTTTAGCCCAAGGGTGTATACATTTACTGGTAAGAAAAATAATTAATGCTCACACATCACTATTGAATATATATTTTATATCTTTAATTTTGATTTTGTATCGTTTAGAAGATAATTTCAAGGGAGGTTACTTAAATAATTTGTATGACTGCCATCTTGAGCATCAAGCTTATACTTACATTTGAGAATACTGAAAGAAAATATCTATAATTGAAGAAAGAGGATTTGAAACCATTTTTTATAAAGATATAAAACAAAAATTTGGAAAGATGATAAAAATTCCTTTATCGAAATTGATGGTCATTGATTTTTAGATCCATAAAATACAATATATATTTCATGTTAATTATACAACCAATTGCCATTTGTTGTTTTGATTGCTTCAAGTCCAGTGTATGGTCGACCATATGAACTACTTATATGGTGTAATATTATTGATGTGTTATGTTTTAGACACAATCAAGATTATCACACTATGAAAATGTAAGTACTAAGATATATATAACAAAAATTGAAGAACACCTTTGAAGTTGAATATGGAAGCTCTGGTATGATAGCCACATTGTGTGGTTTAGATATAAACTATCCAATTTCAATCATTTGCTCAGTCCATCTAGAAAATGATACAGAAATTTATAATATTAGACTATATATATATATATTGTTTTCCCCCCCAAACACCTGCACATTTTTCCAATATTGTAATTTTCTGTATCCTTGTTTATGGTGATTTTTTTTCTTTGAATTTTTCTCCAATTCTTTTTTATTCCCTATATCACAAATGGGTTTTGTTTTAGATAAAGTCAAGATTATCAGGTAGTGAGAATCTGCTTGTAAGTACTGGTTAAACTTTGGAGAGCTTTGTCTTGCACCTTCACTTCCAAAAAAAAAAAAAAAAAAACTGACCTTCCACAAACATTTTAAACCAACACTCTCCATAAAACACTTGTGTACATTAACTTTTGCATAGTTGAAGCAGTATCACTACTAGTATTTAAAAAAAGTCAAGACATTTTAACAAAATCTCATAAAAGAAAAATTCCAAACAAATCTTTATATATCAAAACCTGATTTTTACAGAATCAGTCTTGAATAACTGGATCTTTTTTCCTTCAGAAATCAGTAGGTACCCATTTTATTGTGAATTTAAAAGGAGTGCAATGATTTGATACGACACAGTCTTCAGATATTGCCCAGCATTAATCTTGGGAAAATATCCAATAAATAAATTATTCTAATAGTTGCTTGGCAGTAAAAACAAAACAAACCAAAAAAAGAAAAAGGGGCAAAAAAGGTTCATAATCTAGAAAGAACACCTCCCGAACGTCACCAATACATGACAGTACAGGTGTGTTATATGATAAGTTTGACTCGAAGAATAATGTACTTCAAATAAAAAAAATTGTTCTTGATTTTGTCAAATTCAATCTATCTAACTTGCTTTTGTTTGCCAGAGATTGTCAATGTGTTGATTTGTTTGTGTACTGTATGATCTGTTAAAAAGATTAATCTAGCAATGGTTTTGTTACCCATAGGTAGATTTACTGTGTGTTTGTTGTGTCTTAACATGAAACCTTCAAAACAAAAGTTAAAGAATACTATCATAATTATTTTACTGCTGTATTTAATATTCATTGAAATTTGTAAGAATGACAGAAATCCCAAAGGAAAACTTTTCAATTTATGTTTGAATCAACACCAGACAAGGGAAAGTTGTTCTGAGAGATATCAATTTCACAGCAGTCCGATGCTGAATCATCCAACCACTGACATAATTTAGCGAGACTTTTTTTCAGTGTTAATTTTGTTATCCAAGAAAGTTATCATGAGTAAATTTTTTGTTTCTTTTCAGAACGGACGGTCCACGGTCTAAGGTTTAACTTTGGAAATAAAATACTTTAAATAACAAAATGAATTGCACATACCCAGTATGGTTAGATCACATTTAAAATAAGGTTATACTAGTTATGAAACAATAATGGAATCCATGATTGATTTAAACAGATGCAAGTGGCACTTGATGTAAAAATCTTTGTTTGAATCAACACCAGACAAGGGAAACATTAATGTTCTGAAGTTCATTTATCTCACAATAGTCAGACGCTAAAACATCCAACAATTGACAAATTTTAGATTTCAAATATGGTTTGTTTATTTACTTACTAGTGAGACTTTTAGCACTGTTAATTTTGTTATCCACAATTTTGAAATAAGTGGAAATAGAAATTCACGTAAAGTTCTTTGTCAATTTGTTCTTATGAAATAATGAGGATTTCAGTCTTATTTCTATAGTTTTTATATCTTGTGAAAACTGATTGAGCCGTTTCAACAGGTTTGTAAAACATTCCTTCAGACTGGATTCTTGTCTGATTGGTAGGACTGTATATAATATTTATGTACTTTATATATAACTCTCGTCAGGTTAGAGAAGTTTGAATTCCTTCATGTCGAGGTTTTTAAAAGTAGACGAAGCATGAAAGTTTGTTAGGCGAGTGGATGATGCCTTCCAATTCACTTAATTATAGTATTGATATTATATCAATTCTTTAAAATGATGAAATTTTACAATGTTGGTGAAATATAATTTCTTTTGTAGTGAATTCTTACAGTGACAGTGAAATAATGATATTTTTTCATGTTGAAATATTACTGTGTTGGTGAAATATGATTTCGTTTGTTGTCTAATGGTGTAGGTGAAATAGGAATCCTTCAAATTTTTGAAATTCTATGTTGGCGAGTTACAAATTCCTTCCTGGTGAAGTAAGGGTAACTGGTGCAGTGGTTTCTATCAGTATTAGGGAATCAACTTTATACAGGTTTTTTTAACAAGTCTAGTACCAGGTGTGCACGTTAGACTTATGCACATGTTTGAACAGAATGATCTTGCATTATTACAACTGAATCTAGTCCTGATCTATAGGAAGTAGAGAGGTCGGCCTCATTCATCCATTAAAATACCAATATTTTTAAAGATTCTTTATGCTTCTTTATGCTCTGCTCTGTCAAAATTTTAGGGTTGTGTGCAGTGATGCTGAGAAAAGTTTCATTTCACAAATAATAATTAAAAAAATCAACACATTAATAAAAAAAAAAAATATCGCAGTCATTCAAAAAATAATGTTTTCTTCATTTCATCAGTATTATATAATTCACATTTTGTGTATTTTACAGAATTGTTGTCATTAAAATTTGAAATCCTAGGTTCATCCTAATGCTGATCCCACAAATGTTGACAACCCTAATCTTAGCACAGAACAACAATATATATGTACAGTATTATATGTATATTTTGCATGTATGTAATTCAGGATATACTGCTGAGAAATGTGACCATCTTATAACAAAATAATGACATTTCTTCATCAACAAAATTGTGTCATGGTGATCATGTCTGGTAGAATCCTGTACTTGTATGATGTATACGACGGTTTCATCATCGTTCTCAATATCATGCCACCGCTTGTTTTTACTTACTGACCTACAGGTATGTTTTATATTCTTATTATAAATCCCTTGTTCCTGCTCCATTACCATTGACACTTTTTAACGTGAAATATTTTCCAAAACTAAAATTAGTACCTTTAAGGTGGTTGAAGCAGTTGTAGACATGCAACAATGGAGGACTTTTTAAATAATCGTGTACAGAATGCTCATACAATTTCCATCAACATGAACATGTTACAGGTACAAGCTGGACTATCCATCAGTATTTGTTTGAACAGGATAATGCAGAAACAGTATCATAGATGAAGATTATGACCATCAAGGTCAGATGCTGAAGGCCTTGGAGCAAAGCTCGACTGACCATACGTTATAAAAGGCCAATTGTTGGATGATTAAATTATATTTTTTACTACATTTATTTTGAATTGCTACTGCAATATGTCACTTGTGACACTGATGTATAATAGTTTATAGATTTGTATAGAAATAAGTTACTATCTTTGTAAAACATATATTTAATATATTAGATTTAATTGTATATAAAGTTTGTTGCCTGTGATAGTATTATACACTTTGTTTGCACCTGTTTTTTATTATTATTCATATACGATATACATTATTTGTAGTCATTCTTTTTTCGTTTAGCAGGAGTATAGGTCAAGGGTTATAGAATTAATTTTGTAATTAATTCCGTAATCAAATTTGAGGACCAAAGTCTCTCAACCAAGTGCTGTACACAATAAAGGCAATGTTTACTATCATCATCAAATGAATGAAAAAAATGACTGCATTTCGGAAAACAAAGTAATTTACAAGGTGTGAAATAGCAGATGGGCAAACATTTTTGATAATCCATTATTTTTGTTGGTTATGGATCCTGCGACCATGCTCACTTAAACAGTATTATCATGTTATTAGGTCACCATGTTTGATGTTGTTGCACTACATGTACTTTTGATTAAATAATTCTGTGTATGATATCAAGTGTTAACTTCTTTGTTAATACACTCCATGTATTCAGGAAGACAAGCCTAGCTGTAATCCAGATGCTACAAACTACCATCAATATCCACGGTACAAAGTCATTCCCACCAGTGTCACCATTCTACACTAGTGAACATGATAGGGTGAACAACAAGCACCACTATCTACTGATAAGTGTTGACCTTTTCCAAAAGTATTACAATTATGACCTTCATTTTTATCAATGATATTCAAGTTGGTTCCATACATCCGTCGGGTTGCTGCTTTCAGCATACCGGTATCTTTTGAAGAACTGGTCAAATTTGAATGAAACTTGATATGTACACTTGTTACCTTAATCCCTTACCCAAGATTTATCAAAGGCAAATTCCACACATATTAAATGTGGCTGCTGTGACTTGATTCACTGATTTCTTTGATCACTCTCGGCTGCTGCTTTCTGCACGATATCTTTTGAAGGACTGTTAGGATTTCGCTGAAACTTGGCTGGTACACTTGTTACCTTAATCTCATGTTTAATTAACGGCAAATTCTGCACACATTAAATGGGATGCTGTGATCTGATTGGCTGATTTCTTTAACCACTCTCGGCTGCTGCTTTCCTCTTTTTTTTAAAGACTGAGAAAACTTTGATGAAACTTAGTTGGTGCACATGTTATCTTAATCCCTTGCCCAAGTTTGATGAGCGGTGGATACATGTATATTTAATGAGGTTGCTGTGACCTGATTGGCTGATTTCTTTAATCAGTCTATGGGAAACCTTTCTGCACATTATCTTATGAAGGAATGATACAATTTTTAAGAAACTTGCTTTGTAGACATATTACCTTTATGCCTTATTCAGGTTTGATTATTGGTAAATGCTATGCATATTTAATTAGACTGGTGTGACCTAATTGGCTGATATCTTTTACAGTTTTACATATTACTCGCTTTAAATGTATATATTTTACAAATGAACATGGCCCAGGGTATCTTAATGACCATGTCCTTGTCACTTTTTTGTTTTCTAGCAAAGATAAGTTTGATTGGTAAATAGTATCCTCAATAAACCGCACAGCACGAGAAATTTTCTCTTGGGCTTGATCAGCTGATCACATGACCAGTAATCATTAGGTCATGGGTTCAAATCCTTGCAAAGGCTTTGAAAAATATGACCTGTTACGCCTATATAGGGACTTTGGAATATTACTTGTGTTACTTTTTTTAAAAGCATCCCTTTAATCCCTGGAAACTTTCCCAGAAAAGGATTATAATATACCACTCAGAGAAATTTGCACTCTATATCTCCGTTGCTCGAGTCCAAGACTAGGAATAAACTAGAGGTCCAAGGTTTATATCCCAGCTGTGGCATTGAAATAAATAATTCCATTCATTACAAATGGGCTAACCCAAAAACAAGGCAAAACAAAAGATCCCAGAGGGATCTTTATGCCCACCATTGTTTGATCTTATTTGCTCTTTGAAAGTTAGATCTTTTCCCTTCTCTATTTTTGCTCTTAATGATAAGGCATTTAACATTCCTTTGCAGAAATAGCAATGATAATCTTTACCTGCCAAATCCAAAATGGCCACCCGATCATTCCTAAAAATCAAACAGGCACAAGGAGAGACCAAAGGGAACATACATATGAAATCTGAGAGATATCCGTTCAGTACTTCTAAGAAATAACAATAACAATCTTTAGTAGGCAAAATCCAAGATGGCTGTCTGTCCGCCATTTTGTTTTTCTAATTAGTTTCAAACTCAAACAGGCACAACTAGGGACCAAATGGAACCTACATACGAAATTTAAGAAATAAACATCCACTACTTCAAGAAATAGCAATAACAAACTTCATTGAAAAAATCCAAGATGGCCTTTTTGGCCATTTTGTTTTTCTGATCAGTCCCAAAATGACATCGGCAGAACTCAAGACCAAGGGGAACCTACATATACAATTTGAAAAAAGATCCATCCAGTATTTCTGAAGATATTGTGGTAACAAAATTTTTTTACGGACGGAACACGGACGCTGGGCGATTTGAATAGCACACCATCTGATGATGATGGGCTAAAAAATTAGAGCTAAACAAGAGTATCTGTAAAACTGATGAATGATCCTCAGAAACAACTATTGGACACTGCACAACTCCCTGGTATGTTCTATGTATACACCCAAGTTCCATTATCCTAGTTCAAATGCAATCAATTTTAAACTGACAAAGATTTCACAAAGGGCCATAACTTTGTAATTATGGGGTTTCAGGCCCTGAATTTAGTCACCCATCAACCATTTTGTTTTCCTAATCAATCCCAAGACAGACAAGAGCATGCCTTACTGGTCATCTATTGCAAGAGCTGTAATAGTAAGCATGTAGTAGGAAAAAAATTAAGCTCAAGGGCACAACTGGAATGGAGAAGAAATTTTAAAGAAGTTTCATACGAAGATGGAAGCCTTACTGGATCCAACAAGATGCTTTCCGTCATGAAGAGCATTTGATTCTACCATATTTGGGTGTTGGGAAGAATTTTGAGTCAAGATATGACCACTTCTGGACCCGCCCCTCAAGCCTCTGTATTATTTACAATTTTGGTTCACCTTAGACCAGGGAAGGTTCCAGCAAAATTTCATTAATATCGGTTCAGGGGTTTTTGAGCTGAAGTCAAATATCTTAACTTGTTTACAGACACACGGCGCATGACAAACACTACATGATGCATGATGCAGATGAAGGTGATTGCATTAGGTCACATTGGGACTGAAAACCAGACTCAACAAGGGAACCTTCAAATGAAATCTTGGAAAGATCTATCTAGTAATTCCAAAGTGACAACAAAAACTCTATGGACAGACACAAGGCAAATTGAATGATGACATCAGATAACAAGAGGCCCATGGGCCTTAACAGTCACCCAAGGTCTTCGGTTTTAGAACTTGTCCCATCAGTTCCAGCATTGCACAGAACAGAACTGATATATGCAAAAACTTTAAAAAAGTTTTTATTGTTTCTAACTGATAAGACAGTCTGTTGTTGTAGTTAGCATATTTGACCCCTGTGACCCTGTGCATGCTACTGGCCCAATACCATGACTCTGGACTGTTTGGTTATTGAGAAGAAGTCATTTAAATATTTAAACACATTTGACCCCTGTGACTATGAAAATATGTCAAGGTCATTCATTTGAACAAACTTAGCAGCCTACCATCCCAGCATGATACTGGCCCAATATCAAGACTCTAAGGTCATTTTCTTATTGAGAGGAAGTCATTTGAAGATTTTTAATACATTTTACCCCTGTGACATTGAATGAAAGTCAAGGTCATTCATTTAAACAAACTTGGTAGCCCTTCATGCCAGCATGCTACTAGCACAATACCATGACCCTGGTGACCTAAAAATTACAAAAGCAATAAAGTATCAACATTATCATTTTATTATACAGCATATAAAATGGTTTAACTAAAATATGTGATAAGAATGTACATGGAGTGGGCAAGACCAGAAAAGTGGGAATGAATGAATCACAGTTAGCATGTCATCACAGTTAGAATGTTACCAGGACTGTATAACCATCCAGTGCAGCTGTAGCAGTAATAATGCCAACTTTTAAGTCTAATAGTTTGGACAACAACCAAAGGTGACCTTGGTACAGATATGGCTAGTGGTTTCACTATAAAATTGTTAAAAATTGTAGGGTTTACATCTTGTGATACTGTTTTGTGTTTGTTTTTACTTAAGAGCCAGACCCACTCTGTTATAGACATTTTTCATATTTCATTGACTGTAAATGTTGTATACTAATAGATAACATATAAATAAAGACTTGTGTAAAGTTTTGAACCTGAAATTGAAAGGGTACCGGAGATATCGGTGCTGGAATTAGTCTCATTAATCAACACCAGGATATAAATATTGATGAGGAAAAGTCATGTGATATGATCAGACACGGTCCGAGCCAAAACAAAAATGGGGGAAGAGGCGAGTAGTATGTCCATGTGACATCGCTTGTAAAGAGATTTCACCGATAAATGCAATCAATACTCTATATATCCTGTATTGAAATCATCTAACATATGTATTGATAATATCTTTCAATGCTTAGATACGACACAAAAACGTGCAGATTACGAGAAAAACTGTGATTAATTGCCAAGAGGCCCTCAAATGGGGGCTACAATACGGTAATGAACATATAGAAAATCACGAAATGGACCTATCTAAAACGAATTTTATATTTGTGGATTGAGTTCTTACCTGGCAAGCAAAATGCACGCTACTTTTGCGATTTGTTTTTAAATTCAGTTCGGTCTTCACAGTATTCCATCTTTCCGTATGCACACAAATATAAATCTTTACCTTTGATATATCACGGTCTCGCGCCACCTTCCTTCTTTTCGCCTCAGAGTCCGTCAAAACACATTTTCTTCCCCACCTCCCTTGCACGCTTTCTGCCATGTTGGAAGACGGCAGATTTATTTACAGTTCTTTGCGCATGCGTTAGAGGGCAGGACTTCCCTCATAATTATAAATTAGCACTGAGTCTTTTCGAATTCTTTTTTAAAACTATTTATTATGTTAGATTGGTAGCGATTTACTTTAAAATTGCGGTATTACAGGGTTAGTCAACACTTTTGCTACCCGAGAAAAATAGAAAATTATGATTTTTTTTTAATATAAAATAATATCGGTCGAGGAGTTGGTCTGGCTCTTTGAAAGTGATTAACACACAAAGGATTCTAGAAAATAGGATATCAATGTCTTGTTGAACTTGTTAATCATTCTTACATGGTACAAAATCATATATAGACAGCACTAGAAAGTTTTCTATAAACAAATGGATGCACACCCAGCACTAAAACTCACCAGGAAGTACGACTGGTGTACTTCACTGTTAAAGGTGCAAAAAAGTTCTGTATACGTTTGGCACGATGAAGCCAATCCTCAACAGATCAGCTGAGAAGAACTGCAGCGATACCAGCTCAGAGACAACACAATCCTGGTTTTTAGACCCACATTACACTAGCAGCATTACCCTTTGTTTTTCACTAACCCCACTATCACGACCAAAACTGCCAGGTAGACTGCTTTCCATTGCAGGAACTCTGAAACCACTGTTAATAATCAGTACACTACGAAATACAGGTCATGGTGCCAAGCTTACCAGCAAAACACAAAACTACTATAATTATCTTTCAATGCCCTGGAAATCTCAAATCATGACACGGTCATCCATTACAAGTCATTTAATTCTGGCAAACATCTGTTCCAGCAATTCTGAACTCACAAACCTTTTCAATCATCTAAAAAATCTCAAAAACTGAGATTAACTTGAGACAACTTGCCTCACTAGTTACACATTTCAACATCTCGGTAGATGTTAGCCACTTAGGACTGCTTCACTTGTCTTTCCCCATGCCACATTTAACTACCATCCAGCGACATAATAAACACAACATAAAAAATAATGAGCATTAGGATAAGATAGAGCAACACCACATAACACATTGGCAATGTTAAGCAATTCCAACTATCAGAAGGATATCAGTTGATATTACTGGAATTGTACAACTGAATTGTATCGAAGGATTCAATGATCCCTGTTCATTAATGATGGACTAGCTTGCTCACTAAAATACTTTAGATGAATGCAGTATTGAAGGACTGAATGATCCCTATTTATGGACTAGCTTGCTCACTAAAATACTTTTGATGAAGGCAACATCTCTGCCTCTATTTTATGTATTTTTTTACAGATTGCTGCAGTGCAGCGGCAAGCTGAAAATGAATTACAAAAAGCAGAAAGTAAAATACAAGAGTTCTTGTTGATACAACAAATACCAGTTCTGATCACCTCTGACACTGTACACTAATAATGCTTGTTGTATGTAGAATAGGAGAGCTTAAACAAAGCATCAACATTTCTTCCCTAAGCACCAAGTTTGCCAAAAAGATGCTGCCAGATATTCAATCTTCAATCCCGAAAACAGTATGTTCTGCTCACATATTGAATCCCCAATGGTAGATCCACTGATTGCAAGTCAGTCCAAAATGAATATGATATGAAGGACTGAGTTTGGAGAAGTGGACTTTCTTCACTATCCATCAGAGGTCAGATATGAAGATATCAAAGCTACTCTATCAGAAAAGAAAATGTACATTTTGTAATGAAAAAAACTTAATAGGCACCTATCTAAATGTTTTAACACTTTGAAACAAATTTTAACAGAAAAACATGTTCAACAACTGTAACATTGGGACTCCTTACTCCCTCATGAATATAGCTGTTTATGATTGTCTTGTTACTCGACACAAAGATCTCTCTCCTTGGACCGAAACCAGTCTCCATAGTTGAGAACACATATGTATTCACACACGACATGACACCAAATGGTGGCCCGACCTCGTGATAGAACTGGCACCTGAGCTAGTGATAACACTCGGTATAATTCTGGTATGCTCAGTCCCAGTCTTCCTCATCGTCCTCACCATCACCACCGACTTTAGCTGTCTGACCACCAAATCCACTGCCATATCCGGAGTAGGAACTTTGGCCATTTCCTGCGTGTTCTCTTGTCTACAACAACCAAGTAAATAATCATTCATTCCTAGTCATCAATTCTACTAACACATCAAAATAATGTCATCCCTCGATTATTTCTACATCAATTCTACTAACACATCAAAATATTGTCATCCCTTGATTATTTCTACATCATTTCTACTAACACATCAAAATATTGTCATCCCTCGATTATTTCTACAAACAGACTTACCCTTTCTTGGCCCTTTCTGATGTCTCTTCCTCCGAATCGACTGCCTCCAGAATATGATCCTGAAGACATCATGCCTTGCCCACTGGATTCAAGCCAGTCAGGTACTGTTTGTTGAGCCTGTTTGGATTCCGAAACACTATTTAGTACACTACACTTGATACAAAAAAATTGAATGAAACAATCAAAGTTTTAACACCTTCCCAACACCAGGCTACATCTCTCAGGAACCCCTCATCCTATCCAACAACAGGCGACATATCTCAGGGACCCTTCATCCTAACCTGTAACAGGCCACATATCTCTGAGACCCTTCATCCTAACCAACAACAGGCCACATCTCTCAGGGACCCTTCATCCTAACCAACAACAGGCCACATATCTCAGGGACCCTTCATCCTATCCAACAACAGGCTACATATCTCGGAGACCCTTCATCCTAACCAACAAGGCTACATCTCTCAGGGACCCTTCATCCTATCCAACAACAGGCTAAATATCTCAGGGACCCTTCATCCTAACCTGTAACAGGCCACATATCTCAGGGACCCTTCATCCTATCCTGTAACAGGCCACATATCTCAGGGACCCTTCATCCTTTCCTGTACCAGGCCACATATCTCAGGGACCCTTCATCCTATCCAACAACAGGCTACATATCTCGGAGACCCTTCATCCTAACCAACAAGGTTACATCTCTCAGGGACCATTCATCCTATCCAACGACAGGCTACATATCTCGGAGACCCTTCATCCTATCCAACGACAGGCTACATATCTCAGGGACCCTTCATCCTATCCAACAACAGGCCACATCTCTCAGGGACCCTTCATCCTATCCAACAACAGGCCACATCTCTCAGGGACCCTTCATCCTATCCAACAACAGGCTACATATCTCGGAGACCCTTCATCCTAACCAACAACAGGCTACATATCTCAGGGACTCTTCATCCTATCCAACAACAGGCTACATATCTCAGGGACCCTTCATCCTATCCAACAACAGGCTACATATCTCAGGGACTCTTCATCCTATCCAACAACAGGCTACATATCTCAGGGACCCTTCATCCTATCCTGTAACAGGCCACATATCTCAGGGACCCTTCATCCTAACCTGTAACAGGCCACATATCTCAGGGACCCTTCATCCTATCCAACAACAGGCTACATATCTCAGAGACCCTTCATCCTAACCAACAAGGTTACATCTCTCAGGGACCCTTCATCCTATCCAACAACAGGCTACATATCTCGGAGACCCTTCATCCTAACCAACAAGGTTACATCTCTCAGGGACCCTTCATCCTATCCAACGACAGGCTAAATATCTCGGAGACCCTTCATGCTATCCAACAACAGGCTACATATCTCAGGTACCCTTCATCCTAACAAACAACAGGCTACATATCTCAGGGACCCTTCATCCTATCCAACAACAGGCCACATCTCTCAGGGACCCTTCATCCTATCCAACAACAGGCCACATCTCTCAGGGACCCTTCATCCTATCCAACAACAGGCTACATATCTCGGAGACCCTTCATCCCATCCAACAACAGGCTACATATTTCAGAGACCCATCATCCTAACCAACAAAGTTACATCTCTCAGGGACCCTTCATCCAATCCAACAACAGGCCACATATCTCAGGGACCCTTCATCCTATCCAACAACAGGCCACATATCTCAGGGACCCTTCATCCTAACCAACAAGGCTACATCTCTCAAGGACCCTTCATCCTAACTTGTAACAGGCTACACCTCTCACGGACCCTTCATCCTATCCAACAACAGGCCACATATCTCAGGGAATGTTTATCCTAACCAATAACAGGCCACATCTCTCAGGGACCCTTAATCATAACCAACAACAGGCTACATATCTTGGAGAACTTTCATCCTAACTAATATGATGCTATTTCTCTATGGGACACTTCATCTGAACTAAGTATAGGCCACATTTCTTGAGGACCCTCTCCAAACACAAGGTTACATCTAGCAATGATAGTAGAACAATTGGGTGGAGAAACAATGATAATAAATTTGGAGTAGGTGATTTCCAACGTGGGAAATTCCACTTGATTAACTATATTTATCAGCAGTGATATAATTAATAAAATAGAAAGTTTGGAAAACATTTATTCATGATTTTTTCACCAAGGGAAGATAATTGTGACAAGTCTATACATGTATTGAAATCATCAAAACTCTTCCAAGTGAAACTGGTGTAGAGGAAACTTACATCCACCAAGATCCTCATCAGTGGTTTGGCTAGACTACCGTCCGAGTCCTCTGAATAGAAACTTGTTGCTTTGCCCAGATTGCCACAACGCCCGGTTCTGCCTATCCTGTGTACATATTCTTCTATCGACTGAGGTAGGTCATAGTTTATTACATGTTTCACATTAGGAATGTCTAAGCCACGTGCTGCTACAGATGTGGCTATCAGGATGGGAGCTTTGCCCATTTTGAAATCTCTAAGAGCTTCTTCTCTTTCCCTCTGGAGTCGATCCCTGCAAAATGTGTAATTAACCACAAATTATCTAAGGTATTTTGTCTCCATGTTGGTTACTGTGAATGAAACCATGCTGCTTAGAATCTAGGGGTGCCAATGGTATCATGAATACTGGTATCATGATATGATTTCCAAATACAGGTATTTTGTCTACTTAAAAAAAAACAGACAACATCAAGGAAATTCCATACCCTGAACTTTTTTTCAGATTATAAATGACATAATTGAAACACATCTTTCATGTTACAAATGAATACAATCAATTACGTAAAAACATTAAAAACTCTTCAGAATATTTTGACCTCTTTTGTATATTCACTTTTTCTGGAACCTATAATCTCTTTCAATTCCTGATTCTATATTTACCATACTACTTTCAATGGCAGAGGGTAAACAACCTTGTGACAAAATCATCACTGACAATACACTTTCTAAGTAAAACTGCGACTTACCCATGTATACTAGTTGTAGGGAAACCAGACTCTGACAGATATGAGGCCAGGAAATCGGCATTTCTTTTCTGCTCCACAAACACCAATGTTTTATCTGCACCTGATAACACAGAACACTTCAGTGATTTACTGATGTCAAAGTTCTACAACACCTTTATTATCTATTACAGAAAGAAACAAGGACAACCCACCACCAACTGAAACCATTTACTGTTTATGTTCACTTTAAAGCTTCAATGAAAGGTTTATAAGGGCTTTCTCCCAAATGGTGTTATTGTTCTGTTACTTATCATTATTATACTTTTTCATGATTTTGTGGCAGTTATATTTCTGAATTGTTAAGAGATACATATCTATGGTCTTTCAAGGTCTCTTATTATTACTTCAGAAGATATTCTGTGCAAAGCAATCAGCCATTTAGGTCACAGCTGCCTCATTAGATATTCAAGGAATAATCAATTATCAACAGAGTAGATAGGGTACCAAGTCTGCTAAGCAAGTCTCATAAAAAAAAAATTGATCATTCCTTTGAAAGAAGTGTGGAAAGCGATCCTCAAGGTTGTTTCAAGATATCAGTCAATTAGGTAAGAGCACCATGATTAAATATGCATGGAATTCACGGCCTAATGAACTTGAGCGAGGAGATTTCATCAAAGTTCAATGGTTCCTTCAAATGATAACATGCGGAAAGCATTCAGTAAGGGTGCTGACCGATTTCAGCCAATCAGGTCACAGCAGCCTCATTACAAATGTATGGAATTCGCCATTAATTAAACTTGAGCAAGGTAGCAAGGAAACAAATTTACTAACGAAGTTTCATCAAAATCAAACCAATCCTTCAAAAGATATTATGCAGAAAGCAGCATCAGAGAGTGATTAAAAGAAATCAGCCAATCAGGTCACAGCACCTTGATATTAAGGTAATGTATTTACTTGCACCTTTATTGTCCTACATGGACACCAATGTAACAGAGGTCATTATTTATTTTACTGCCTCCGCTAGGATTCGAACCCAGGACCTCTGGTCTACTAGTTTGACACTCAATCGATTATGCCATAGAGAAGTTCTCTCAAGCCGAGCAGTATACTGCAGCTAGTGTTTACCAGGAGTACACGGATAAATTCATTCATCTGTTGAATAATAACCTGATTCTGACAGTATTTCACACAATATCTACGGATAAATTCACACAATAATACCTGATTCTGACAGTATTTCACACAATTTCTACGGATAAATTCATTCATCTGTTGAATAATTACCTGATTCTGACAGTATTTCACACAATTTCTACAGATAAATTCATTCATCTGTTGAATAATTACCTGATTCTGACAGTATTTCACACAATTTCTACGGATAAATTCATTCATCTGTTGAATAATTACCTGATTCTGACAGTATGTCACACAATTTCTGTCTCTTTTGCTGCCTTTCCACCTGAAAAAAATTTTGTGTCACATCTGAACAGGCTCCTCCTACACGACCCACAGTTAAAAACAAATAGTCATTTAGAAATTCACCAGCCAATTTCTGGATTTCCTCAGGAAATGTGGCACTGAACATCAGTGTCTGCCTCTCAGTTTTTTCTGGTGTACCAAGTTCATGTACAATTTTCTTAATATCTGGTCCAAATCCCATGTCCAACATCCTGTCTGCTTCATCCAAGATAAGGTATTTCAGTTTTGACAGACTTATCTGTAAAAGAACATACAACAATGTAAGAATGTAAATGGAAAATATTGAGCAACAAGATCACAAACATTTTAAGCCTGAGAAGGGGAGGGAGGGGCATTTATTAGAATAAATATGGTAACAATGATAGACTTTACAATGGAATGTTTTCTGATACAGGACATCAATATACAATAGTAACCTTGGAAACAAATATATTCTGATGTTAGACACCAAGATATGGTTATCATGGAAACAAATATATTTTGATATTAGACACCAAGATATAGTTACCATGGAAACAAATATATTCTGATGTAGGAGACCAACTTAATAGGTTAAAACTGAATCTTGATGAACAAGCGCTGACAATGCTCACCTTTCCTTTGTTAATGACATCTATTAGTCTTCCTGGTGTCCCAACAACGATGTGAGCACCATTCTCCACCTGCTTCAGCTGATAACCCACAGATGTACCTCCATACAGCACCACTGGCCGTAGCATGGTTCCATGGGAAAACTTGCGAGCATCATTAAATATCTGTAGAGCTAGTTCGCGGGTAGGAGCCACTACAAGGGCCTGTGGCTCTTGCACTTCAGAAAAAGCACTTCCAGTCAGACCATTTTTCATCATTCCCGTGAGGACAGGGAGAAGGAAAGCTGCCTGTAAATCAAGCACAGACTTATTACTTTAAATAGGAAGTGTGAAACTCACAGCTGTCAGACCACTAGAAATCTGTACTTAATTTCTAGAGTGATGATGTTCAAGAATCTATTCACTCTGGGGCCACAAACATCTTAAATGTTCTACCATTCCTCTTTACAATCTAAAAGGCTGGACAACAAAATTTTTTACCGTTGTGCCCAGCCTTGTCAGAGAACATGTTACCAGTTCTTACCTGCTTTGCTTGATTCTACCAGGACTTAAGCTGTCAGCTTGAACTATAGTACACTACAAGGTTACCTAACCCTGTCTGAGCCCAGGACTAGTAGTCTGATAAAATCCACTACCTCCCAAGAAATATGTTTATGTTAACAAATTTATTAATTCTTAAATGTATCAATATTATTAATTAAAAAACAAATCAAAAAACATAACTCATTCACTGAAAATCAAAGAAAAAAAAACAATCAGAAAAAATGTCAGGATTCCGGGTGAAGCAGTTAGAATGCACCATATACAAACATGGGTGTCCCTGTTAGTTTCTTTTTGATTGATGAACTTAAATTCTTCACCAAGATTCTTATCAAATAAAAAGTAATCATTTGATTACCAATCACTGCTATTTTGACGGTAAGTATTACTCTCTATATTTTTAGTTAATATATAGAGAACTCAGACATTGTACCAGGTCAGTAACAAACTTCAATCACGGATGAAATTCCTCCAGTTCATATTAAAGCTTTAGATGTTATGATTAGATTCAGAAATATATGCGTTAAAAGTCTGCTGGGAAGAAAATGGTCTAAAGAAAGCCCAGGGCATCTGGATTTTTACACCCCTGTGCTGTCTATTTCGACTATAGTACATAACTGGTTTACCTGGCCCTGTCTGATCTGAGGCTGTCATCTGTGACTGTAGTACATTACTGGTTTAACTTGCCCTGCCTGAGCTCAGGCTGTCAGCTGGGACTACGCATTGTTTATCAGTGAATCGACTCTCTGGGTGACTCTCTGACTGTAGTTCCTCATTAGTTTACCTCATCTTGTGAAATCATGACGTTCATTAGGACTGTTTGTCATTTCTTAATGGTTTATCTGAATCTCTTACCGTTTTACCTGATCCTGTCTGGGCGCACGCCATCAGATCCCTTCCAGACATCACTATAGGGATTGAAAACTTCTGCACTGGAGTTGGTTTTTCAAAATGTGCCTTCACAAGATTTTTCATAAAGCCCTCATATATGCCAGCCTCGTCAAAACTCTTGATAGAAGAGGGTGCCCCTCGACCTGTCACTTCCACTGGAATTTTCTCATACTTGTCAAAGTTAATACCCTTTAAAATGCCTCCAAATATTTCATTTTCGTCTTCAGAAGGTGCTGGAGGGATGTAGGGAGCAGAACGTTCTGTGTCTGGGATGAAAACAAAATAAAAAGGCACAAACATCAATTTTCTATTCCTTTCTATAGGAAATGAAGGTTTACACTATGCAAACATTTTAACAATAGTTCTCAAGTGATCTTGGTATCAAAACCAAAATCATAGCCAAAATTCAAAACCTTCGCTGTCATCTTGAAATTTTTATCGTTCTGGACATGTGCCATGTACCGCTACACATTGAACAAGAAGATCAATTTAAAGTTGTTCAAAAGTATTAAATCAAATATAAAACTGGCTGCTGGTGGCTCTCTTGGAAATGCATCATTACAAGGCATGCACAACTAGGACACATACAGAACACTTTCATAAAGTTTCAAGATCTCTGATATAGTGAGCAAGCAAACTGGAAAATCAAATTCTGATGGAGAAGAATGACCTAAGACAAAGTGCAATGTCGAACCAGAAGATAGGCCAAATTCCTCCTTATCTCTACTCCAAGCTCTACACATCTCAACCATGGGAGATAGCATGCAGTCAAGCAGGAAACTTCTTACCTTTACATATCTTACCTTTAAACACATTACCTTTACACCCCTTACCTCTACACACATAACCTCTACACACATTACCTAACAAACATTACCTCTACACATTACCTAACACACATTACCTAACACACATTACCTCAACACACATAACCTCTACACACATTACCTCAACACACATTACCTCTACACATTACCTAACACACATTAACTCTACACACATTACCTCTACACACATTACCTCTACACACATTACCTAACGCACATTACCTCAACACACATAACCTCTACACACATTACCTCAACACACATAACCTCTACACACATAACCTCTACACACATTACCTCTACACAACATTACCTCTACACACATTACCTCTACACACATTACCTAACACACATTACCTCTACACACATTACCTCTACACACATTACCTTTACACCCCTTACCTCTACACACATTACCTTTACACACATTACCTCTACACACATTACCTCTACACATTACCTAACACACATTAACTCTACACACATTACCTCTACACAACATTACCCCTACACACATTACCTCTATACACATTACCTCTACAAACATTACCTCTACACAACATTACCCCTACACACATTACCTCTACACAACATTACCTCTACACAACATTACCTCTACACACATTACCTTAACACACATTACATCTACACACATTACCTTAACACACATAACCTCTACACACATAACCTCTACACACATTACCTCTACACACATTACCTCTACACAACATTACCTTTACACACATTACATCTACACACATTACCTCAACACACATAACCTCTACACACATTACCTCTACACAACATTACCTCTACACAACACATTACATCTACACACATTACCTTAACACACATAACCTCTATACACATTACCTCTACACCCCTTACCTCTACACAACATTACCTCTACACACATAACCTCTATACAACATTACCCCTACACACATTACCTCTACACAACATTACCTCTACACACATAACCTCTATACAACATTACCCCTACACACATTACCTCTACACAACATTACCTTAACACACATTACCTCTACACACATTACCTAACACACATTACCTCTACACAACATAACCTTTACACACATTACCTCTACACACATTACCTTAACACACATTACCTCTACACATTACCTTTACACATATTACCTTAACACACATTACCTCTACACACATTACCTTTACACAACATTACTTTTACACACATAACCTCTATACACATTACCTAACACACATTACCTAACACACATTACCTCTACACAACATTACCTTTACACACATTACCTCTACACAACATTACCTCTACACACATTACCTCTACACAACATTACCTCTACACACATTACCTCTACACACATTACCTTAACACACATAACCTCTATACACATTACCTAACACACATTACCTCTACACACATTACCTAACACACATTACCTCTACACACATTACCTACACACATTACCTCTACACAACATTACCTTAACACACATTACCTCTACACACATTACCTAACACACATTACCTCTACACACATTACCTACACACATTACCTCTACACAACATTACCTTTACACACATTACCTCTACACATTACCTTTACACATATTACCTTAACACACATTACCTCTACACAACATTACCTTTACACACATTACCTCTACACACATTACCTCAACACAATTACCTCTACACACATTACCTAACACACATAACCTCTACACACATTACCTCAACACACATTACCTCTACACAACATTACCTTTACACCCCTTACCTCTACACACATTACCTAACACACATTACCTCTACACAACATTACCTTTACACCCCTTACCTCTACACACATTACCTAACACACATTACCTCTACACAACATTATCTTAACACACCTTAATACTACCAAAGCATTCATTTCTTACCAAGTTGGATCCCAGACTTTTCTGCATTATGATTTTCTCTAGAAAAGTGGCCTTGTTCCCCAAATTTGAAACGGCCACGGTCACCACTTCCACCCCCTCCTCTTCCCCCACCTGCTGAAAATGGTCAATTAAACTGCTACTTACTTATTTATATCAACGTATTATACATATCAACCAATAGAACATGAAAAGGCTGTTTACCATAAAAGACAACACAGATGCATTCACTGCATTACCTAATGGGGGGGAAGGATGATATTTTTCTCCTGCAAATTGTACCAGCCATTTCTATTTTGTAAAGTTGTGTTTAAGTCCATCCAAGTAGCTATCTACATGTTATATCTCTCTGCTAAGGGATTTTATCAGGTCTTTCCTTTCCTTGGTGTAGGCATACCTTAAAAACATCTCAACCAAACAACCAGGATCATAACCTATTCAGAAACCAGGATTCATTATTACGTTTCAGACATTCTCTTGACATAAGCCCCTCCTCTCCACTTTTAAAACATGCACGACTTCCACCACAACTGCCTCCATCTTGGAATTGATGTAGACTTTAAAACATTTCTATTCAGATTGAAACCAATTCACACTCAACATCAATATCATAATCATTTACATGACCGACAACCTGTTACTTACCTCCTTTTGGGTACCCACTGCCACCACTGTCACCTCTGCCACCACGGCCACCACGACCACCACGACCACCACCTATAACACAGGCAACATCTGAATAGGAACCGGCCCAAAAAATTACAGAAACTCTGGTCTTTCATCATACTTGTCCTAAAAGTAATTCATCAATCACTCTGCGCTGAACCAAACAAGCAACTCTTTGACATTGAACATTTTTCCTCTACAGAACTGTGGGTTATTGAGGTTTTTTTCCACTAAAGAAACAAATTTTTCCCCCAAGGCTTGGTCGTAACAACAAAATCTAAGAAATCAGTTCATCATATTTAAAAATATTTCATCAGCTTTTTTCTATGTAACTTATAGCCTCTAAGAATTCAAACGAGGGCAAGAAAGTAAAATTTCAATCATCTCCAACAATGATGCCAATAAAAAGTGCTACAACAAGCTTATACACCATACATACAAAGGTGTGTGAGTGAAAAAGCAGTGATAGGACGGTGTGAAAGCCAGACAATGAAACCATATACCGACCTAATGATGAAGATCAACACTATCCATTTCCTTATACCTACTGGATACTCCAGCAGTCACTTTCCTTCTCTGCACCCCTGAAACATGTCATGGCAAAATTGAAGGCACAAACGAAGTAATTTGATTGGTTCCAGAAAAAAAAAGACTTCAAATCACAGACTGATATACTCCTTTTGAAGATTACAAAGGGACACTCTGCTTCAAACCCATTACAATATACAGTTATGCGACCTCAAGATTCGTTGAATGCTATTGAAACTTTAGATTTTGCCATGATATGTTCGAAGGGTGTAGAGAGCAAATGTGTTAGTAGTTTAAAGTGAAAAAGAAAATAGAGTAACTAAACAATAATGTGAAGGTGAGCTCATCAAAAAATGCACCCTCTCCTAACCAACCTTTTAAAAATCAAAATCAACGCATTAACAATAACATAAAACTTGGTGTATTTCAGCAAGATATTACCACCAGCTGGACATTCTCTTGCAAAGTGGCCATCCTCGCCACACTTATGACAAGCACTACTACTAGGTACACCAGCTGAAAACATACAAAAGCTAAAAGCTACATAAGAAGGCAATTTATACCAAACATACCTTCATCATCAGTCTACATCCGAAATAAACAAATGAATACTTACTTCCCAAACATTCAAACTGTGAATAGTCTTCAAATATTCATTACCATTTACCTCCTCTGATTGCAAACATGGACAAGCATTTAAGCTGGGCTAAGAAATAAAGGCAAACACAAGCATTCAAGCTGGGTCTGGGAAATAAAGGCAAACAAGCATTCAAGCTGGATCTAGGAAATAAAGGCAAACAAGCATTCAAGCTGGGTCTGGGAAATAAAGGCAAACAAGCATTCAAGCTGGATCTAGGAAATAAAGGCAAACAAGCATTCAGGCTGGGTCTAGAAAATAAAGGCAAACACAAGCATTCAAGCTGGGTCTGGGAAATAAAGGCAAACACAAGCATTCAAGCTGGGTCTGGGAAATAAAGGCAAACAAGCATTCAAGCTGGATCTAGGAAATAAAGGCAAACACAAGCATTCAAGCTGGGTCTAGAAAATAAAGGCAAACACAAGCATTCAAGCTGGGTCTGGGAAATAAAGGCAAACAAGCATTCAAGCTGGATCTAGGAAATAAAGGCAAACACAAGCATTCAAGCTGGGTCTGTGAAATAAAAGCAAACACAAGCATTCAAGCTGGGTCTAGAAAATAAAGCCAAACACAAGCATTCAAGCTGGGTCTGGGAAATAAAGGCGAACAAGCATTCAACCTGGGTCTGGGAAATAAAGGCAAACACAAGCATTCAAGCTGGGTCTAGAAAATAAAGCCAAACACAAGCATTCAAGCTGGGTCTGGGAAATAAAGGCGAACAAGCATTCAACCTGGGTCTGGGAAATAAAGGCAAACAAAAGTTATGCTCATGCTTAGCAGTTTTATTGCGCACACAGCATGCCATGTCCACACCAAACATCTCAAGTAATGTCAGATGATGAAGAGTTGGTTATAAGAATCAAACTTTCCAAAGAGAACTTGTCATGTGAGCAGAATATAGGGAGGTTTTATTTAACTATGTTGGTGTAATTTTTTCCTTCTATAGTTTGGTAATTTTTGTTTGGACGACTCAAATTTCATCGAGCCAAATTTCTTTTGAATCTAAATGATTTTCAGCCCCTTCGTTTGGAAAGCAAAGGGAAAAGTCATTCGTTGTCTCGGAATTAATTTTTGCCAAAACATTGGCACGTCTTCTGGGGAAATCAGTCAATACATACACCAAGTAGAAAGTCCCCTGTGCCGAACGCATAGCTAATTATGGCGTATCAGTCCTTCATTCACACAACATTTGGTCTCAGGCGATTAGTTACCAGTTTTTTTTAACCAATTAATTTATTTAGCAAGACCATCCTGTGGCAGTGACTTTCCTGTACGTTAAAAAAGTAGTGCATTTACACAAGACATGAACACATTTAGTTTGGCTGCATGCATCTTCAAGAATGATCAAAACCAAACTGTCAAACCAGCACAAACATTTTGATAAAACCTGATCCCCACAAATTTGAAAGAAACTGACAGGACTGTGGTTGGGCACTTTGCAAGATTGAGTGCTGAAAGTATTTTTCATTGATAGAGTCTATATCTGTGCACGATATGTTAAGTCTAGTGCTTGTACAACGTTTTCTGTAACAGGTAAAAACTTTCTAGTGCCACCTTTTTTTAAAAATGTTTATTTATTCATAATAAAGTCATATCAAACAATCCATAACCTCATACATCATTTCTTGTAGCGTATCAAAAGCAAATTTCATTTTCATTTTATTGACATTGGGTAAAATATATGATCTATATGTGCTTGGTCAGTGTTCAAGTTGTTTTGATGAATAAACAATAAAAGGAGAAAGAAGAAATTTATTTGTTCCTGTTTATTTATTGCCATTTCAAATAATGTTTGTACCGTAAATGCCATCGTAGTCCTACTTCATACGTAAGCAACGTCAGGAAAGTGAAATCGTCAACTTGATTTGGTAACTTTTTTTGGTCAAAATTCGGATAAGTCAAAATATTTTCCAAGGTCCCTTGAATTTCGAGATCACAAGTTTCGACTGTACTTGCTCTTCAGATATTTTTAATGCACTTCCAGATTCAAGCTGACACTACATTTTATTGAAATTAAATGCGAAATTAAGGAAATGTTAGTCTAATCAATTTCAATTACTCAAATATCAAATATTTTGGTCAAGAATATGAAAATTACTACATGTACACATTTTTCGGAATTACTTTCACAATACGTTGAAAAAATATCATAAAACCAAAATCTTAACCAAGTTAAGATATACAACACTTAACCAAGTTATGATACCACTGAATGGTTAACATCGGATATACAGTCTTGCATGCCATGTTATAATGCATTTGAATAGTGGCAGAGTCAATATATATATGTTTTACCTGAAAATATCAGATATGTGAATGAAATTTAATAAATTACAGGGCTAGAGCACTTCCCCATCTAGATTTTTACTTCTCTTTCAAACTCTTTAGATTTTCTTCAATCGCCTCCTAGGCCTCACTGAGGAGTCCTAGGAGGACGAAGCAGCTGTATGCTACAGTTGAATTCATTGATTCTATTGTATCCTGCTCTAAACTTACACAGAAAGGAGCTATTCACTTGTATGTCTTTAATATAATCTTGCTGCAACAAGATATGAACCTCTGGACAGAATAAGCACACATGAAATTAGACTGCTTGTGTTGAAAGCACTTAAATACAAAAAAGAGACATCACAGTAAAGTCCTTATTTTCCTTCCCCAGTTCTGCATTAGCAGATGTGGTAACAGTCTTCATGGTTAAATATGGTTCAAATCTGCTGGGAAATAATCTTAGCAATAAATAAACAAAATGGAAATCTCCATTCAACAACGAACAATTATAACCGGACGTTCAATCCTCACTAAAGTTTTGAAGGAACTAAGTGTACGAACAATTATAACCAGACGTTCAATCCTCACTTCTGAAGGAACCAAGTGTACGAACAATTATAACCGGACATTCAATCCTCACTTCTGAAGGAATCCTCACTTCTGAAGGAACCAAATGTACGAACAATTATAACCGGACGTTCAATCCTCACTTCTGAAGGAACCAAGTGTACAAACAATTATAACCGGACGTTCAATCATCACTAAAGTTTTGAAGGAACTAAGTGTACGAACAATTATAACCGGACGTTCAATCCTCATTAACGTTCTGAAGGAACTAAGTGTACATGTGCTGAAGAACTTGTTTCATGAACCTGATGTTGTGTGAAGCAGCGACAAACAGAAACAATGATACATTAAAGCGACTATGTTAAAAAACACTACGAGAAAATGATTTAATACTTTCTATTCTCCAATAGTATGCAGGGTTTTCCATAATTCTGTTAGTAGTAGGCTGTGTAGTGAAAGAAGGAGGCTTTCCTGCCATGTACGTGTAGTCGTGTACGGAACATTATTACAGAACTGGATTGGTGTAGGCGGCCAAATGATCAAAGTAACCAGTCAAATTGGCCGGCGACCGGCTCTTATGGAAAAGCCTGAGTATGTTACTAAACAAAGACTTTCTGTTAATCAATAAAATTAAAAGTCACTGCAACCATTTTTTATTAATTTCTAAAAACTAAAGAATGTAAACAGTGCGGTCTGGATATAATTCACTGCTCGTAACCCTAATGCTGCGCATGTGTATAAGTCTAGAAAGAAGCAATATGGCAGACACAAATACAAAAAAGCGACGAGGACCTAAAAGTTACCTTACAGAAAGCGTAAGAGGAAGGAGTCAGACAAGAAAAGAGGACAGACAAGAATTTATATTAAACAGGAGATTGATAGATGGTGAAAGATGAAGAAGAAACTTGGACCAAATACGGATTCAGAATTTGCAAAGCTGCTGCTTGACTAGTTAGCTTAACGTTAACCCTATAATTATAACGTATTCGCCTGTCATTGATTATAATCCAATATCCAGTGTTATCCGATAAATTTTCAATGAAAATAGTTGTGTTACTCGCTTGAATTTACTATCAACAACGTGTGTTTGTTGTTGACTGCAAGTTGGGGCCTAACTGGGGGTATTCATTCTAAGTGTAAAAATATGACAGTACTGGTGTTACTTTAAGAATAACAACCATGATGATAAACATAGCCTTCATAATTAACAGTGCAATATCTATTAATGTGTACAGACAAAGTATCAATTCCTGTGCATTTCTATACGAGTTTTTTTCTTTTCCGATTGTAATTACCCCCTTTGAGGCCCCACTAGTTTAGCGCCTGTGATTGACATTGATAATTCTCACACGACAAAGCCAAAACAAAACAAATTACTAAGATTGTTGAAAATTATATAACACTATAGAATCATTTACTGTAAACAAGAATTAGCAGAAAGGTGCAAAGGCAAGTGTCTTAAATAAGACATGTGCGTTTATTTACCATGTAATCCATTTTTTCTCTGAGGCAGAAGTAAATGACTTCGTTACATGACAAGCCATGTGACCCACTTGGCTTTCTTTGTAATCAACCAAGCGTGAACATGTTTATAAACAATAGTCAAGATAAACAATGTTCTGATGCCGAAAATACCGGGTATGTACAAAACAACAAATTTGACGTTATATGCGCGTGTATCGCTTTATTATTGCAGGCCTCAACGTTAACTTTTTTTAGTACTTGCCCAGCTGGCCAAGTGCTGTTCAATTTCTACTTGCCCATTGCCAAAATTAACTTGCCCATACAAATGATGTTGAATTATTAGGTTTTTACTCTAGTATAAACATTGTATGAATAAAAAAGATACTATCTTCCTTTAGATTGTCTTTTATTTACAGTCTCTTAAAATGTAATGAAGTAACAAGTTTATGTTTTTATTCCCAACTAGGCCTTCGTGATCTTTCACCAGCTTCCCACCAATGTTTAATAACCAAGTTTGGGTCCAATTCTGAGGTACTTGGCCCATTCACTGAAATCCTCATCAAATGGTCGTTTGATTGTGTTCTTTTTTACTGTCCGATCTTTTTTGCTTATCGCCATCATCACGAACAGCTTGCCATTTGCTAGTAAACCCAAATTTAAGTAATGACATACTGCATAGTCAACAGCGAAATGATATCGTCTATTAATAGAACGGGAAATTTTGCGCATGCACCTTCCCACAATTCCATACCGGCCATAGTCTACTTCCTGTTTAGTGATGTAAGGTTAGTGACAAAACATGCCGCTTAAACATATTCTTTCTATTTCTTGACACTTGTAATTTCAATTTGTGCTAATACCAGCTTTGTCTTTATTGATAAAATATGCATGTGTTGGTTTCAAGATTCTATTATCGATATATTTTGTTTCGTCCATTTCGCCAACTAGAGCATGCGCAGTAAAGGTCAGTGACTGTGAAAACATCAGCAATGTCTAGGGGGCTCCAAGGGGGGAGATTGCGATGTACAAATGTTTAAGATGGGGGGGGATTGTGATATATAGACATACTATGTATATACACTAAATAAAGTTTTAGCTGTTGTAAAAATGATATAATATTCTTTATAAAAGTACAATTCTTAGCAAATGCCTGTTTACTCTATATCTTTGCTATTGATGTATGCCACTGTCTGGTTTTTGAAATTTGCTACGACCTCTTTATATTATCCGTTATATATACAGAAAGGTTTCTTACTAATTTGAAAGGTTAAACTGGACATTCAGGAAGGACTATGAGCACCGAAACATCAAAACAGGAAAGAGTCCATTTTATTTGTAATGTGTTTCACTGTGATGTCCCTTTAAATCTACATGCCAAGACCAATATTAGTGTTTGCTAATAGTAATGCCAACTTACCTCCAAAACCTCCTCCACTGAAAAATTAAACAACCAATGTACAAGTAATTCATTTTCTAAAAGCAATCATTAAGATTTAACATGAAAGTGACATCTACTAGTGTTAAAACTCTGGAAAGGGTTAAAGAGATACACAATCTACTTTCTATCATCTGAACTGATAACCACTTAAGTGTGAATATTCCCAATATTTGTTGCGGGGTCTTTTAACATATTTGTGTTATTTTTGTTACACAGTACACGGAGTTACATACCGTGGAGGACGATCTGATCCAAAACCTGCAAATAAAATAAATATACTGGGTAAAGAATCTCTTATTGCTTGCTAATTCCATCAATTATTTCAGAATGAATTTGAAATTCTTTTTGTACATAATAATTGTTGAAGAATCATAAAAAAACATTGCTCCTTGTACCTCTTGAAGGAGAGCAGTGACACTCTGCACCTTTGAGAAAATTGATAAAAAAACAACAAATATCTGATATATAGAATCTGGTTTTTGATATTGGTAATGAACACTTTAACTTTACTACTTACCACCACTACTGCCTCCATCTCCGCCACGACCAAACCCACTGCCACCACCTCCACGACCAAACCCACCGCCACCGCGACCAAAGCCACTGCCACCGTTGGTCATTCCATTGGAATCTCTGTCTCCAAAACCCCCTGTAACAAGACAATGACAGTTCAGACATGTCAGTTACAAGTGATTCCTAACAAGGATATCTTGTTACTTTAAATATGTTATATTTTTTGCACCTTTTAGTTTCATAATGTATGCAGCAATGGTACCACATATCAAAAGCTTCACAACAAATTTTCTCCCAAGTACAAATTGAAATGTTTTAAGTCTTACCATATCTATGACAAAAAAATTTGTACAAAAGTCGACATGCAGCCAGGCTGCCATAGGCGATTTAATTGACAAGTTTTGCCATTGTTTTCGAATATTTTCCAGAAAATATTTGGCGCTGAGCTGTACATAGCGAGAGATATTTGGCACCGAAAGGGTTAAACTCTGCATGATGAACTGACCTCCTCCATTCTGTGTTTTGGCACCAAATCTGCCACCTCCTCCACTGCTCTTGTTCTCAAATCCGCCCTTAGATTCCCCAAAGCTTGGCTTGGAAACGGACATATTTGAGAATCCCCCTGACAATCCATTTTCTCCATTGGAAGTACCATTGACTTCAGCGCTGAAGCCAGCTCGCAACACACCCCTTCCAAGGCCCTTTGTTACTCCTGATACATAAAACATCATTAACCCTTTAAATCATCTAACTTACATTGTTTTTTTGTTTTTAATCTCCATGCATTCTTTCAATAACTTCTTCATGACAAAGTTAAGATAACTTGACAAATCCTGACAAAACAGGTTCCCTGTTATATGAATTTTTTTTGTTTTTTTTTTCTACGTAATGGGGTATAGTCAGTGACATGTTCAAAAATGTTTATCTAATCACATATTTGGTGTTATTATAGTTTAAAATAGTATATTCAATTAGAATATTTCTGTCTTATTTAATAATGAAATAACTTATAAAGGTCAATTTCTATAGCTAACAATCATCCATACCTGTAGGACCCCCATCATCAAATCTGAAAAGGAAATTTCTGCATTTGAAACAATACATCCACAAGAAAAATGCCCAAACATTCATCTGAAAGTCTATATACCAAATACAAGGCTAAACAAAATTTTTGATTTCAGTTACTTACATGGAACACTCTGGTGCTAAATGAGGCAAATAGGTATACAAGTTTTATTTTAAGACTTTCTAAGAGACGTAACAGACCCTGCCTTGAGAGTGACAAGAAAAGTTCAGGGTAGGAACAGAAAATTAGGACAGTTAGATATAAAGTAACAAGAAAACATTTTTATGCCACCTTTATCAAATGCAAAGAATTTAACAGCAGAGTAAAATTAAACTTCTGTTTGGACATCTATTGCCGAATCTTGTCAAAAATACATTAACCAAAATTTTGTTACAACACTGAATTTCATCAATTACTACATCAGTTCTTGATGAACTATTTATAAATATTATGCAACTTGTCCAATATTTCTTTGTTTCCTAAAATTTCTGTTATTTAAAATCTGTTACCAGTCAGTGTCAAGAACACTATAATGCAAACTTGAATCAACACTTAGTAGCACATGTACACCCCACCTCCCCCCATCTACACCAGACAATACATACCCTCCTTTGCTGAAGCCTCTGCCTCTACCCTACAAAACAATAACAGTACACATTAAGTTTAAATTCTCACAAAATATCTACAGACAATCTAAAACAAACATTGGTCTAGTCTAGACAGAGTACACCTACCCTCCTGGCAGCCATCTTCTGCTGAGTAACAAGAGGAAATGACGGTATGCATAGAGACTCTTTATCAACAGGAAACTATTTTTAGCTCAACAGGAAGGTCAAAAAATTCCCATGTCAGGGGGGGCAACTCCTGTTACAAAATTGATTTCATAATGCTGATTGCTAAAACTAATTCAGGGATAATCAAATAATAATCAGGGAAGCCAATAATATTGGTACCCTCAAAGATAAAGTGACATTTCATTCAATTTTACATAGAATTATCATTACCTATAACTGAAATGTTTAAAAAAATATATATATATAGCTGATGTGTAAATACAGAAATAATTGCAACAAATTGAAGATTTTAAGCTGCAAGAAAAGTTAGCTTTGTTATTTGATAGGATTTTAAGCACTAATGCTGGGTTTCATGGCTAGATTCACAAAGTTTGAACTATTTCTAAAAGAAAATAAACAAATTATGTTCAAAAATGGAATTTTCCCATATATATGGTAAATTTTACCCCCTTACTGGGGGAAATGTGAGACCCTGGGGCCATGAAATTTACAATCTTGGTAAAGAACCTAAGGCTTTTCAATCCATAAAATGTACTTTTATTCTACCATATCTGATTTTTTAAATTTGAGTCTATTTTACCCATTTTTGACCCCACCCAACAGCCCCTGGAGGTCAGCCGATGTCAATATGTCATAAAACTGTGATCTTACACTAATAATTCAAGTTTTAACTATTTCCAATCAAAAATAAACAAAGAAAGTCCAAAAATGTAATTTTGTTACATAAACCAAAGTAAACTTTACCCAGACAGAAATGTGAGACCCTCAGGTTATGAAATTTACAATTTTGATAAAGCATCTGAAGGCTTTTCCATCCATGAAGAATACTTGATTCTACCATATCTAGGATTTGAGAAGAAATCTTTATGACCAGTTTTGGCCCCACCCCTCAGAGGGGTTGGGGACCATATCATTTACAATTTTGGTGCATCTTTAGTCATGGAAGGTTTTTATAAAATTTCAATGAAATCAGTTTACCAGTTTTCCAAAAATGTTAAATTTTACGATGCATAATGCCAGACTAAAGGGGATCTCACCTATCTTATCTAAGGTGACCTAATAGCTGGCAAAGCCCTGCTTTAATTAGATGATCAAAGTACTGGAATAATGTCTGTAACTTTCCATGTGGGATATAATCAATCATATGAAAAACAATCAAACGCTTTAATAGAAGATGATTATCAATGAATTTCAGAACATTTTTTCACCAAATCAGCAAAATTTATGCAAATTGTATGATTCAGGAAACCATTCAACTTTCCAAATCAAGAGACTGCCACTGGCATTGATACTGGATACCAAACCCACAACAAAGCTTGAAAAGAGATTATAAATTGTTTATTTTACTACCCTTTCACCTGCGCATGTGCAAAAACTTTTTTTTTAAATCAAAGTTCCAAAGTGGCAAACTGGGAAGTATGCACATTCTGTTGCTTTAAATTTTTTTTCTCTTAATTTTCTAGTGGAAAGATAAAAGATATTGCAGGCCCCTATACCGTATTTATTCCAATAAATGCCCCGGGGGCGTGAAATTTTTCAGACAGGGGGCGATTAATAGAACACAAAATTTCATAATTTGTTGGTCATGACATGCCATGGCTGCCACTTAAAAACATTGTTTAACAAACTAAAGAATTATTCAGCAAAGAATGCATTTGAAAATTGCAGTAATTCCAACATCATTGTAGCTTTAAACATTGTTGTCAATTGCATTCTGATAACCTCAATTCTTGTATGAAATGAAGAAAAAAAAACATGTCAGCTCCAGTCAAAAATGTACAATGTTCATCATCGCTTGTAGGCCTAGTTTGCATAACAAAATAAACTAGAAAATGTCTGTAAGACATGAATGCCCCGGCCCCCCCATGTGAAATAATAGTGAAAGGTCCGAAAGAGATGATTTTGTTAATTTGTATGCAACTATGTACAACTTAAGTTTCATACTTAAATTGACAAGTTAATTTAACGTACATGAATTTGGAATTTTGTTCTCTGGAAAAAATGAGGGAGTATATTAGTTCCTTATGCCTTAAAACCCACATGTACCAAATTATGTAGAAATAAGATGATGTTCCTCTTTTGTGAGTTATCTCCCCCTGGTGGCCATCTTTTTTTAGAATGCCGAGAAATTCAACACTGCATGAGGTCTTTCCATACTTGATATTTGTATGAAGTTTCATGAAAATTGCCTTCCTAATGAAGTTGTTAGGTGGTATATACTGATTTTGGACGGGACGCGACGGGACGGACAGACATGGGCAATGATATATGCCCTCGGCCATAAATGGCTGGGGCATAAAAAACACAGCGGTATATAAGCTAGTCTGTTTCTTAATAAATCCCACATACTTGATAACAATGTCTGGGACAAAACGAAATTACGACACTGCTTTCAAGCTTAAAGTAATCACCTTCGCAGAGGAGAAGGGTAAACATGCCGCCGCGAAAGTGTTTGGTGTTGACAGAAAACGAGTGCGTCAAAACAAAGAAAAATAAAAAATCTTTCTAAAACATCTAAACGCTGTAAAGGAGGTGGGCGGCATGTCAGATATGAAGATATTGACAAAAATCTGATGAGATGGCTACAGGACAGACGGGAGGCCGGAATACGAGTGACTGGGAAAGCATTGCGGTTGGAGGCCCTGCGTATGCATAAGGCAAATGGTAGTCAATCGTTCAAAGCCTCATATGGATGGTTTTTAAATTCAAAAAGAGACATAACATTTCGTTAAGGCGATCTACGCATATGGCACAACATGAAGTTTCATTAATTGATGATCGTATTGACAGTTTTTTGAATTTCGTGTTAAGAATGCGTCGGCTACGAGAATACCCCGATAGCCATATCGCTAACATGGACGAAACCCCAGTGTGGTTTGATATGCCAGGAAAATCAACATTGGCAATAAAGGGGGAAAAGGAGGTCAGAGTTTACAGTACTGGCCACGAAAAACAAAAAATAACGGTGACACTGGCAGCACATGCCAATGGGACTAAAATCGCCCCCCTTGTGCACATGCCAGGCATTCGCCCCCTTCCGAAAGATGACATACCAAGTGGTATTGTGGTATACATGTGCGGGGCCGGACAAATATCCTGGGCAAACGAGGAAAGTATAAAATTTTGGTTCAAAAACTCTGGGGTGTGAATAAAACAGCTAGGCAGTTATTAGTATGGGACGCTTTCCGTGGTCTTACTGAAGATGTAAAAAAACTGGTTCGTCAAAAATATAATTCAGACATCTGTGTTACACCCGAATTGTACATGTAAGCTACAGCCAGCCGATGTGTCGTGGAATAAACCCTTCAAACAAAAACTTGGAGAGTTGTATGACGAATGGTGTTTCAGTGGCCCCATTGAGAAAACCAAAGCAGGGAATCGTAAAGCCCCATCTAAAGCTGTAATGTTGTCTTGGGTCAAGACAGCATGGGATAGCATTAGCCCGGACACAATCAGAAGATCGTTCAAAAAATGCGGTATCACAAATTCGCTGGACAGTAGCGAGGATCATATTTTCCAGCATGATTCTGACGATGAGGAATTCCAGGGGTTTAGTGAAAAGGATGTCCAAGCTGCAGATGACGTTTTACAAAATTTAATGGGTTAGGTGAATGCGCCTTCTATTCCACAAACAGAACTGAATGAAAGCGAGACTGGCGAAAGTGAAAGTGAAGACAGTAGTTCGTACGGCAGTCCCGGCCATTAGGCCTGCAGTATATTGAAATGAACCCTGGATTAAATTGATATTACTTGGGTACATGTCGCGACAGTGTAATTTTCTTGTGAGAAAACAGGTGGGGGGCGTTTATTAGAGACGGGGCGTTTATTGGAATAAATACGGTAATTGATTTTTGGGATTATCTGGTACGCAAAAATGTACGAGTAACAAAAATTAAATCATTACTGTATATATTAAAACAAACTACCAGAGTTGACATTTGAAGCAGACAACCTCAAGACATTGGGTTTTTTCAAAAAGAACCCTAATTTCACAATGGTGTCCTATGTAGATTTGAATTTCCATCTTGGCTCATCAGACGTCGACTTCCTGCAAACTCATCAGAACTTCCGGAACTCCTCTAGGCCTTCCCACTATGCTGACAGGATTGGAGATCCTCAGGATTTATCATCTTACTGCAGTTTTTTCTACACACGTGTGACTGCAGGGCTCTCAATCTGCCAGATTTGAGGCCAATATTCAGCCCCATTACCAATGCAAAATAGTATCTTTTTTTCCCAATTTAAACCACAAGTTTTCCCAATTCTAAGGAAAACACCGCTATTTTTACCAATTCTAAGGGCCCCAGTCCCAAAATGGGGTGTGAGAGCCCTGGTCTGGAGCATTCTTTCTGTGACAGTCACCACGTTCAGTTCAGAATTTGAGACCATGTCACATTCCTGACACATTCTGTTAAAAAAGTAGATATACCATATACCAGGAAATTTTAATGTTAAAGCAATGTTATGTAAAACGATCTTACATATGGTATTGTCTCCGCACATTCCATCACCAAAGTTGTAAATCTATTGTTGAATGGAAAGATGTAACGAAGATGCTAAATCATGTTTCATGTCCTGTGCATCATAGGAACAACTAAATAAAATAACAAATGTGCCACATGCCACTTTTCTGTCATGTCTTCAACGTAAAAAAGTCACTACAACTCTGTTTTTACAAGATACAACTGCTGCTAAGGTACAGTGAGAAATCGTATAAACATTTCCACCAATCAGAAAGCTACAAATGGCAATAACACAAAAGCTGCTACAATAGTGTAACCCTGGTAAATTACTAACCGCGATATACCACTCAGCTAGAGAGAACTTCTCTTTAGCTCCACTGGTTGAGCGCCAGACTAGTAAGCCAGGGGTCAATTTCTAGTGGAGGCATTGAAATAAATAATGGCCTCTGTTACATTGGCGCCATGTAGGGACTCAGGAATAATACTCGGCCATGCCCCACCTCATCGCTGACACCCCAAAAAACCTGAGGACGAGTTATTTCCTGGAAGGGGGGTATGTAACCCTGGTAAAATATACCACTCAGCTAAGGAGAACTTTTCTTTAGCTCGACTGGTTGAGTCTACAAAGTTAAGGAATAGACCTTCATAACACCAGTTTACCCAAGCCTGTACTAATTATTTTTAGTGTAGAAAAAGTGCTGGACTACAGGCAGGCACACACATCCTGTTCTTCCAAATAAATCTAAATGTTGAAATTGCTCTATAGTATGAACAATTTAATGTAAATTTTGTGATGTGTAGGAAAGAAACTGATAGTGACACAAGTAAAGGAAAGAAAACTGAGCACAAGGATATTCCGAGGGCAAGTTATCAATGTCAGACCATCAGTAAAAAGATTGGTTCTAATGAGCAGGTTGGGAACAGGATGCATTGGAAAAAGAACACATTGTTACAGAGGAGGTGGCTATAATGGCTTCTTGAAAAATGTTGACTCGTACTCAAGTTCGGGTGAAGATCCAAATGATGGTTTGCATTTCTCAGAAAGCAGTCCGAGCTGTCAAATTTGTGTCCTTGGGCAATTTATCCAAATATGGCATGCAATAAGCTTCCTTTATTCAGCGAGGTAAAGAGGCCTAAAATTGACCCTGACTGTCCACAGGTCAATATACCCAGCAAGTAACCAAATCATAGAGAAGATATTTTTCGTTAGTATAAAGTTAAATCATGAAATGCCTTTTCAAAATAATCTCACAAAATTCACATGCCAATATCTTGATAATCTACAGTATTGTCATAAGCACACAAAATGTTCCAAGACTTGCTGCATGTTTTTACATAAATCAATAACATACCACTTTTCAATCTGACCAATCATACTAATGCAATCTTTCGTCAAAACACAGACATAAGTGTACATAAGTGATTTAACAGTGCTCAATGGTTGTACAGAGCAGTCTATGGTTTATATGGACTTGTAAACAAATCAGACAACGTATATGTTTGTCTTAATGTGCATTTATAAACGTATTTTATAACTAGGGATGTATGTATCTATATTATAAGTCCCTGGAATAAAATAGCCATTTATAAATTGTGAATCTGCCATTTTGTGTGGTTAGTTTTACAACGTATCGCGACTTGTTTGTACACTGATGTCAGAGTTCAGTGGAGTAAATGACATCTGAAAATAGGAGTTCTAGTGTATGTTTAACGTATTTTTTTTTAATTCATTCGGATTGGGGATGTTGTCTTGATCCATTTAACCCTGTAAACGATAATCAATATGACGTTTTACTGAGCTATTGACCATTAAGTTTCGGTCCAGTGATTTGCTGACCGACAAATCAGGTCAGTCACTGCACAATGACAAAACGTTGATATCAACTCATACTTACTTCTGTTGGTGGTCCATCTCCCCAGTCATCCATTATCTCCAAAACGTTTAAAATTGGTCTTTTTTCTAAAATTCTTCAATGAAAACGTCGACTATGTGATTTCACGAACGGCTGACAGACCGTGTTTTGCTACTGCGCACGTGGTCTCGAAATTTTTTCCAGTGTTCGAGAGTCGTAAAATTTACCAATCAAGCGAAGTTTTATCACAGACTTCTCATTATATTTAAAATATTATCCTCATTGAACACTTTACCAGCAATAATTCTCAACACAGTTTAACACGTGTCATCGGTCAGTGCCTGGCTTTTCACCGCAGGAAACTTCGCGTTTTCTGTCACGACCCTCGTGTACATTTCCCGCCACAATGGATGTCAGCCAAATTTTGATCAGAATGTTTGAGCGCATGTCTCAGTGACGTCACATGCAGCGTCATCTAGTGGAAATATTACATAAAAACACCTGTTGGTACGAGCGAAGACTCACGCATTCCTGCAAATGTTCTCAACCATCGTCTTTATTTCAACATATCCACTGCCACATTTTACAGAAACGCTGACACAGCATGTATTACCTATCATAAATCTGATTAATTCTACTAACGTATTTTTTTATTGCAATACTAGTTAGTCATTAAGCACTACTATTAAGGTCTGTTGAAACGAATATAGAAATGTCATGCAGTTATTTTACATGTTGACAGATATTTACCATGCTGGTTTCAATGATTTTTTTTATCATTTCCTGCGAGACATATGAGGATTACAAAAATTAGAACCATTCTGTTAATTCACTCGAGATTTTCCATTAATATTTCGTTATTCTGAATCTCCTTCATCTCTTATGAATTTCGCGTTCTTCGTTTATTTCATCTCTGCTGGAGGCAATGACATATACTATATAGGTGTCTATATTACCCGTCATTTGTTTGAAGTTATGGAGTCATAATTAAAATCAGGGACGTAGATAGTTAAAATTTATGTTATAAAATGTTGGCGAGAAGACTGTTTTAAGGTCAGATCATTTACGTCGGCCACTTTTTGTTTGATGATATATGAATTAATAGATAATGACGTATTGACACAACTCGCATGAAATATGACGTCTCATTTTGGTACGTCCACTGTTACGGCCTTTCGGCCCTCCGTCCGACGATTAACGACGGAATTCGAAGTGAGCAGAATGGGTAATGCAATGAACACAAACAGTGAGTGGGAGAAGTGGGTGGGGTAGGGCCTACTTGCGAGACGAATTCGACTCCTTTGCTTAAGTCTGACCACTACTAACTAACAGCATTTTTCACTGTATGCTCACGCGAGAGGAATCGAGGATTCTAGACTAGGATAACCGGTACCGTAACTAAGTTGTCCGCCAGATTTTCTACCAATGTTTCTTATTTTACCGGTCTTCATCCGTAACTTTGACCCCTGTGTCTGCAAACATACGCCTATACTTTATCGAGATCACACAGCCTCATTGTCGCGCGGGTTGTACATTCTCTCACTCAGGGTACCACTTAAACTCCCAGTATAAGAATGGTCGTGCTGTGCTTTGTGGTTTTGGGTGTAAATATGTTGTTCATCACTCCTTAGCTGTTTACCTCGCTGTTATCATCAACAAAGTCCTTTGTTTCTGTAAAACAACTGACAAGATACTGATTTCACGAAACTTCTCATTACTCCGAAGTGCATTATAAAATTTGAAGTTTGAGAGGGTTTCACGCTTATACAACTCGGGTGATTTTGTCGTGTATGTAGAGCTGGAGCACGGATAGGAAACTATCATGTTATATTTACAAATCTGCATGGTGATATTATCTATTCATTAGTGTGATTACATCTATTCATTAATATGATATCAACGGTTTGTTGTTGTGATACTATAAAATTAGTTTACTGCAATCATATAGTAATTATGTATATATTATATATTAAATTATACCATCTTTTCGTTTGGATGATATCATTCATTCATCAAGTGATATCACCTTAAGGAATAGATGACAGCACTACAAGGGATTTGCGATATCACTTAATCTTTAAAATTAAAACGTTGCTGCGGACAGGAAAGCTAGTAATGTCAGCAATAAATAAATGTTGTTGCTGTTAACACTGAGAAAGATGGCGATTGGTTGACATTTCTGAAGACACACCACATACTAACGAAGGATTGGAGTTCCTTATAGGGGACGAGACGTGGATGTAAAACTACAAAGGCTCATAAATAACAAGTCATCGGAACCGATACAGATCTCCTCGCTCCCATTTAAAACGAAGTTGTGTTTCATATCAAATTTTCTTTAAATAGTAACGGTGGTCTTGAGGTTGACAATGGCACGCTGAAACAAGGTAAGTGAAGTTTGATTTAAAATCGGTTGACACAAATGAAGTTTCGAGAGTGATGACAAAAAGTCAACAATATACGTATACATACGAACGCAACACATTCCATCCGCGGTCGCTGCGAAGGGGGGTGGGGGGAGGTAGAGTGGGTTAATAAACAGTACAGTTGTCGACAAATCAAGCAAGCACGGTGATAGCTGAACATATAAAGAGCGACAACAGAACGTTTTGCGCGCCACTTAAGAATAATTTTGTCCGATTCTAGTGAACCAGTGAAACGTTCACGGCCAAGTTTATAAAGTCAAAGTGTTTAAAAAGATTTTAAAATGATTAAAAAAATCTACATGAAGATGCGCCAGGTAAAAGACTGAACGACGTACGGCACATCCATAAAATGTACAAACGTTTAATTGACCAAAACTGTCATCCTTCTCACTAGACCAAAATTCATTCCTATTGTTCTGGTATCATTTCCTGTAGAAAATGTTCCGCCTGACCTCAAGTTTTTAATAGACAAAAAATAAAAAGTACTCGTCATGGCCACCAGAAGGCCCAAAATGGCACTCCTCCTTTCACTCAGACAAATGCAAAGTTATGCACGTAGGAAAGAAAACCGACAATACACCGGTAAACTTATATAGAGACGAGGGAAATAGAAGAGTCGAGGTTACATTAGATCAGGTAACAAAAGAAAAGGACCTTGGAATTATAACAGACAACAACCTTAATTTCCACCAACATATTCACGATGCAGTCAATAAAGCCAATAGAATAATGGGAACCATCCGAAGAACATACACGTACTTAGACAAAAAGTCGTTCTGTCCTTTACATAAAGCGCTTGTACGTCCGCACCTTGAATATGGGGCCTGAGTGTGGAATCCCTATCTGAAAAAGATATAAATGATTTGGAAAATGTACGAAGATGAGCAACAAAACAAATACCGAGAATGAAAGACCTAAGCTATGAGAGCAGGCTCAGGATTCTTAAATCACCGACACTGAGGCACAGAAGGTTGAGAGGAGATATGATTCAAGTATACAAACTAACACATGGAGGATATGATAGGGCTGTCGCTGAGGATTTCCTGATACAAAACAATAACAAGATAACAAGAGGGCACAGTTTTCCACTATTAAAAAGAAGGAGCAGACAAAATCTGAGGAAGTATTCTTTCTGTGAACGGGTGGTAAACCACTGGAATTCACTTCCTCATGCCGATGTAACGTCACCAACAATCAAAACTTTCGAATCCCGATTGGATAAAAAATTGGGGGCAAACTGAATGTGTTTATAATCACGAACTAGACAATAACACACTGACCCATATTCGGGATGATAAATCTTTTTAATTCTGATCTGGATATAAAGGCTTAATAAGCCTGCGTCCAGTACATTAGAATTATTATTACATGTACTATGATACACATTTCTTTGGTAAAAAAAAAAAAATTCATGTAATTGTAAGGAGATTGACAATATAGATCCCAGTGTCATTGTAAGGAGATTGACAATATAGAACCCAGTGTCATTGTAAGGAGATTGACAAGATAGAACCCAGAGTCATTATAAGGAGATTGACAAGATAGATCCCAGTGTCGTTGTAAGGAGATTGACAATATAGAACCCAGTATCATTGTAAGGAGATTGACAATATATATCCCAGTATCATTGTAAGGAGATTGACAATATAGAACCCGGTGTCATTGTAAGGAGATTGATTGAGTGTCATTGTAAGGAGATTGACAAGATAGATCCCAGTGTCATTGTAAGGAGATTGACAATATAGAACCCAGTGTCATTGTAAGGAGATTGACAATATAGATCCCAGTGTCATTGTAAGGAGATTGACAATATAGATCCCAGTGTCATTGTAAGGAGATTGACAATATAGATCCCAGTGTCATTGTAAGGAGATTGACAATATAGATCCCAGTGTCATTGTAAGGAGATTGACAATATAGAACCCAGTGTCATTGTAAGGAGATTGACAATATAGAACCCAGTGTCATTGTAAGGAGATTGACAATATAGATCCCAGTGTCATTGTAAGGAGATTGACAATATAGAACCCAGTGTCATTGTAAGGAGATTGACAATATAGAACCCAGTGTCATTGTAAGGAGATTGACAATATAGATCCCAGTGTCATTGTAAGGAGATTGACAATATAGAACCCAGTGTCATTGTAAGGAGATTGACAGTACACAATCCAGTGTTTTTGTAAGGTTTTGATGATGTAACAAATTTCAACATGTAAACTTTTAAATAAAAAAAATGATAATAAAAAGAAATCAATCTATTGATTAAATTGTTTTATTTCACAAAATAAACATTTCTTCTATATACAGTAGACTGAAACCATTTGTTCTTTCATGATCAGAATTAATCTGAAAATCACAAAAAATAAACAAATGTCCCTGCATATTTGGTTAGAATAGATCTTTTACAAGAAGAGATTTCAAATGGACCATGTCACCCATCATAGTATGATCTTTATTGGTTTTACATTGGAGTTTCATCGTTTTTCTTTTCTTTTTTTCTGTCTTGTTTTTGTAATATGTTCCAAAATTAATACATAAATGTAAAGCTAGGGATGATGGGATCTACCCAGTACTTCTCTAGAGTTAACAGACATTAACATTCAAAATCTAATACTGCTGCCTCGTAGAAATTTTGTTTCTTCAATCAGTCTAAGGAGATCAAAGAATTACAAGTTTGGATGAACAGGAATCTACATTGGAGAAAGATCCTTCCATCTTATAACAAAGAGTCAAAATTCAAGATGACTGATCTCTGATCAGTAGAAAAATGCCTCTAAGGGCTGAGGTAACTTATGTAATCAGAGACTAAACATAGATTACAAGAACAGGTTTTTTTTACAGATCAACAGTTGACCAAAGATGATGGGGTCGTAGGATGAAAACAACATTGTACAAAACAGCAGCTTATCACAGCATTTAGAATCAATATAAGAATTTAAAATGTATTTTGCAAACTTCTCAAAAAATGTTCAAGGTAAGATAAGAAAAAAGGTTCCTTTGCTGTCCTTTCTGATACATGGTATTACTATTTTCCTAATATCCACACAAAGCGTGCTCTAGAAAAAACATCAATCACATATCTGGAAATGTTCTTTTATATAACAAATCTTAAATTCCAGTTAATGTTTTATGAATTTACAATGGCTTCGTATAAACCAATATTTTTCTATGGCAGGTATAACATAGAAAGTGTATCATTAACAAATATCAAATCAATGATTCTTAATTAAGATACACCTACAAACACAAATGAATACATATTGCATCACTACCCATAGAAACAATACTTTACGGAATGACTTTTTCAGCGTATTCCTGAGCTAGATTATAATGATAACAAATACACAGTGCATGTCAAAATCTAGGACATTTTGTATGCCGAGAATTATGTAACAGTCCATGTCAAATTCTAGGACATTTTGTATGCCAAGAATTATGTAACAGTCCATGTCAAATTCTAGGACATTTTGTATGCCGAGAATTATGTAAAAATCTGTCCCTAGTAAGTTATGTTTATCATGAACCAAATCAAAATACATGACCACATGTGACTGACAATAGCCCATATAATTTGTCTATATAAAATGAGAGAACTTACCAGCCTCAGCTAGTGAGTATTTAGACCCTGGCTAGAGGTTGTCAGGGCAGGGTGTTTATGTTTTCATTGTTCCTATTACAGATATAGAACTGATGATCTCTCCAGAGAAGAGGAAAATGATACATTTACTCCAAAATATCAAATCTGAGTTGTAGATGTCTTCAGGGTTAAAGTTTTATAAAGGAGGGAGTGGTGTAGAAGTTTTAATTACGGGTCACTTTTCTAGTCACAGCTAGTGGGAATTTACCTTTAGTTAAGTGTTGAATGCTGGAGACCAAAAGGTCATTAGTGTTAACCCCGACAGGGGCAGTCTGCTGTTAAACATTCATATCGCAAGTGAGATTGATTTTTGTGTTAATATGCAAACAGAGTCAATCATGAATTCAAATCCTTCGTAATTATTTGTAAAAACATAACTGTGGATGGTATTCCTGTTGATTTGGTTACAGATATTGGAATCTTGATAGCAGAAATAGCTAATCATTCAAGAATTAAAAGTCATTTCTAAATCAGCATTTGTGAAATCATGTATTTGGGAATAGTCTTAGTGATTTACAGTATTTTTCATTACTCCTTCCTTTTACACACATATCAGCAAAGGTCAAGGAGATTTGAATGAATACTGCATGATATAATTTGCAGTTGAGAAAAACTACTAATCAAATTTGATTTGATTTGTAAGAAGTAATGTATTGTACTGCTCTGGTAATACAGAGAACAGAAATTATTGTAACAGGATTAGTGTACAGTAACACTACTGTATTCTGTGATGTTTGTCATATTTGTCAATGCTGCCTATGTTTGTAAGACAGACATACAAACCAACATGTTACACTTAACACTGGCACCTAATTATGGCATTGCATAGAACAGGTGAAGAAAGCACCAATACTACATCACACGGGCGACCATAAATTTTACAACAAATCCATGTTGTTTTTCTTCAATTTCAAAATTGACAGAAATGAAATCTAAACAGCTAATCACTAATGATAAAAACAAACCATCAAGAGATCCCAGAGGGATCTTGGTGCCCACCATTGTCTGATCTATATCACGACACATCCAAACAAGAGATCCCAGAGGGATCTTGGTGCCCACCATTGTCTGATCTATATCACGACACATCCAAACAAGAGATCCCAGAGGGATCTTGGTGCCCACCATTGTCTGATCTATATCACGACACATCCAAACAAGAGATCCCAGAGGGATCTTGGTGCCCACCATTGTCTGATCTATATCACGACACATCCAAACAAGAGATCCCAGAGGGATCTTGGTGCCCACCATTGTTTGATCTTTATATGCTCTTTGAAAGATCTTTTCCCTTCTTTTCTCCTCCCTTCTCTGTTTTTACTCTTATCGATAACAAACGAGCACAAGGATAGACCAAAGGGAACATAAGTATGAAATTTGAGAGATATCCATTCAGGACTTCTTAAGAAATAGAGATAACAATCTTTACTAGGCAAAATCCAAGATGGCTGCCTGTCCGCCATTTTTGTTTTTTTCTGACCAGTCCCAAACTCAAACAGGCACAACTAGGGACCTAAAGGAACCCATACATGAAATTTGAGAAAGATCTATACAGAAGTTCTCAAGAAATAGCGATAACAAAATTTCAAAATCAAAATTCAAGATGGCCACCTGTAGGACATTTAGTTTTTCTGATAAGTCCCAAAATTACATGAGCACAATTAGGGACCAAGGGAAACCTACATGCAATTTGAGAAAGATCCATCCAGTCCTTGTCAAGAAATAGTGATAATAATAATTGTTTACGTCTGACGGACCACAGACACAGAGCGATTAGAATAGCCCAACCATCTGATGATGGGAGCTAAAAATTGTCTCGCAAGTATAACACAACACCACTGAATACCTTTGTGAAACTTGTCTCACCTGTCTGACATTCAGAGATGAACCATAAACATAAAAAAGAATCATTTTAATCTTCGGTTATATCTTAATGAATAATGTCCAAAGTTTCAAATGATATCCATCTCGGGTCGTCAAATGTTAGAAAAAATACCAAATTTATGCAATATTTCAGGAATAATAACAATGACCCACACCAAAATTAGAGAGATTGATTACAGATAATTACAAAAATGATAGATACAGTAGTTCTACTTAAAGTTTTCATCATTGCAAGATAAAAATGTTCCTCTTTCTGCAGTATCATATAAAATGTTTGTTGTGTAGAAACATTTGTTTTTGATATGGCTATAAACTTGACTATGAAATTAAAATGTGACATCCAAGCAAGTTTTAACCTCCACACAACATGATTTCTCATATCTAGTCCAGATGATGTCAACAACTAGTCCACTTCATTAAAATGTGACATCCAAGCAAGTTTTAACCTCCATAGAACATGATTTCTCATATCTAGTCCAGATGATGTCAACAACTCGTCCACATCATTACGCCAGGGTTAATAACACTGAAAATGGCACTGAAAATTTTCAGAGAAATTTTGCTTAATTTTGAAAGTTACTGGTGTAATAAATTTTGCTTAATTTTGAAAGTTACTGGTGTAATAAATTTTGCTAAATTTTGAAAGTTACCAGTGTAATAAATTTTGCTTAATTTTGAAAGTTACTGGTGTAATAAATTTTGCTTAATTTTGAAAGTTACTGGTGTAATAAATTTTGCTTAATTTTAAAAGTTTACCAGTGTAATAAATTTTGCTAAATTTTGAAAGTTACTGGTGTAATAAATTTTGAGTTAGGTAACTTTGATTTCATAAATTATGTACAAAAACAGCTCTAAACTATCATGATTTTGTTTATTTAAATCAATGTAAACCAGAATAACCTAAACCTTCATGTGTTCTCAAATTTGTGGGAGTACGTCATGATTATATTTTACCAGTGTCCATTTCAATGACCCTTTGTATAGGAGAGCAAAAAAACATCATTCCCTAATTGAAGCAAATATTCCAACTATTGTTTCTTTTTGAGCTGTGTGTATGTAGTGTGTGATGTGTTCGTTGTCTCTGTGTCTTGACACTGAAACTGTCGCATGTGGAAATAAATGAGAAACAGGAGGAAATGAGCACAGGAATACATGGAAACCAGGACTGGGAAAAGATCAGGAAGTTTGGGTGGTGGTGTGGTAAACACGGACAATGTTGTCAAGGCAATCACCCCAAACATGGACCAGTAAAACTGAAACAGAAATAAAAAAGAATTAAGAAAATCCAAAAATTGTACAGAATTGTGAAAAGATAAACTTTATACAGGGAAATTTGAACCAATATTATAGCCCATCATCCCAGCCAATCATAGTGTCAGTATCAACATTCTTTAATCATTGAGAATTAAGACCATTTCACTAAGAGGTCTGAACATATTTGACCCTGATGACCTCTGAATAAAGTCCAGGAAATTTGTTGTCAGTTGATAATGCCAGAATGTTTACTGGTTCAATATAAAAAATATGAAATTCAGAATAAAATTTCTAATTGAACAAACTTGATTGTTATTTATCGTACAGCAGTATGATCCAAGGAATGATTACATATTGAACAAAATAGATTACTTTGTCTTTGATAAGGGTCAAGGTCACTTATTAGAACAAATTTCAGAGATCATAATAACATGCTCCTGGCTTATTCTCACTCTGAGCCTTGGTATTTTATACTATGGACAAATTTGATAATACCCTCAGTATACACATTTAGTGGCTCAGCGCTCAGTTTCTCAGCTGGAAACTGATCAAAGAAATACAAGTTAGACAGAGGAATCTAAATTTATCTGAAAAATCTGAGGATTGAAAAATAATATAACTGAAATTGTTTACTGTTGTAACAAAGAATCTACCATAGCTATAATACACAGCACATCCACCAAACTTACAGTAAATTTCTGAAGGCGGCGCTGTAGTCTATATTCATTGCTAGGCAACACAAAAACCGGAGTGATACCACGGCTGATGAGGATATATAACAAAGTGATGGCAATGTAAGCTGTCAACAATCCATCCTTAATCAGCAGGGGAAGCATACTGGAGAAAATCACAGACACAATATCATAGTCAAGTTATTGTTTATACTGGAGAAAATCACAGACACAATATTATAGTCAAGTTATTGTTTATACTGGAGAAAATCACAGACACAATATCATAGTCAAGTTATTGTTTATACTGGAGAAAATCACAGACACAATATCATAGTCAAGTTATTGTTTATACTGGAGAAAATCACAGACACAATATTATAGTCAAGTTATTGTTTATACTGGAGAAAATCACAGACACAATATCATAGTCAAGTTATTGTTTATACTGGAGAAAATCACAGACACAATATCATAGTCAAGTTATTGTTTATACTGGACACAGAGTCACAGACACAATATTATAGTCAATTTATTGTTTATACTGGACACAGAGTCACAGACACAATATTATAGTCAAGTTATTGTTTATACTGGACAGAGAATCACAGACACAATATTATAGTCAAGTTATTGTTTATACTGGACACAGAGTCACAGACACAATATTATAGTCAAGTTATTGTTTATACTGGACACAGAGTCACAGACACAATATTATAGTCAAGTTATTGTTTATACTGGAGAAAATCACAGACACAATATCATAGTCAAGTTATTGTTTATACTGGACAGAGAATCACAGACACAATATTATAGTCAAGTTATTGTTCTTACTGGACACAGAGTCACAGACACAATATTATAGTCAAGTTATTGTTTATACTGGAGAAAATCACAGACACAATATTATAGTCAAGTTATTGTTTATACTGGAGAAAATCACAGACACAATATCATAGTCAAGTTAGTGTTTATACTGGAGAAAATCACAGACACAATATTATAGTCAAGTTATTGTTTATACTGGACACAGAGTCACAGACACAATATTATAGTCAAGTTATTGTTTATACTGGAGAAAATCACAGACACAATATTATAGTCAAGTTATTGTTTATACTGGACACAGAGTCACAGACACAATATTATAGTCAAGTTATTGTTTATACTGGACAGAGAGTCACAGACACAATACAATAGTCAAGTTATTGTTTATACTGGAGAAAATCACAGACACAATATTATAGTCAAGTTATTGTTTATACTGGAGAAAATCACAGACACAATATTATAGTCAAGTTATTGTTTATACTGGACAGAGAGTCACAGACACAATATTATAGTCAAGTTATTGTTTATACTGGACACAGAGTCACAGACACAATATTATAGTCAAGTTATTGTTTATACTGGACAGAGAATCACAGACACAATATTATAGTCAAGTTATTGTTTATACTGGACACAGAGTCACAGACACAATATTATAGTCAAGTTATTGTTTATACTGGACACAGAGTCACAGACACAATATTATAGTCAAGTTATTGTTTATACTGGACAGAGAATCACAGACACAATATTATAGTCAAGTTATTGTTTATACTGGACAGAGAATCACAGACACAATATTATAGTCAAGTTATTGTTTATACTGGAGAAAATCACAGACACAATATTATAGTCAAGTTATTGTTTATACTGGACAGAGAATCACAGACACAATATTATAGTCAAGTTAGTGTTTATACTGGACACAGAGTCACAGACACAATATTATAGTCAAGTTATTGTTTATACTGGACACAGAGTCACAGACACAATATCATAGTCAAGTTAGTGTTTATACTTGACAGAGAATCACAGACACAATATTATAGTCAAGTTATTGTTTATACTGGACACAGAGTCACAGACACAATATCATAGTCAAGTTAGTGTTTATACTGGACAGAGAGTCACAGACACAATATTATAGTCAAGTTATTGTTTATACTGGACACAGAGTCACAGACACAATATCATAGTCAAGTTAGTGTTTATACTGGACACAGAGTCACAGACACAATATTATAGTCAAGTTATTGTTTATACTGGACACAGAGTCACAGACACAATATTATAGTCAAGTTATTGTTTATACTGGACACAGAGTCACAGACACAATATTATAGTCAAGTTATTGTTTATACTGGACACAGAGTCACAGACACAATATTATAGTCAAGTTATTGTTTATACTGGACACCGAGTCACAGACACAATATTATAGTCAAGTTATTGTTTATACTGGACACCGAGTCACAGACACAATATTATAGTCAAGTTATTGTTTATACTGGACACAGAGTCACAGACACAATATCATAGTCAAGTTATTGTTTATACTGGACACAGAGTCACAGACACAATATCATAGTCAAGTTATTGTTTATACTGGACACAGAGTCACAGACACAATATTATAGTCAAGTTATTGTTTATACTGGACACAGAGTCACAGACACAATATTATAGTCAAGTTATTGTTTATACTGGACAGAGAATCACAGACACAATATTATAGTCAAGTTATTGTTTATACTGGACACAGAGTCACAGACACAATATCATAGTCAAGTTATTGTTTATACTGGACACAGAGTCACAGACACAATATTATAGTCAAGTTATTGTTTATACTGGACAGAGAATCACAGACACAATATTATAGTCAAGTTATTGTTTATACTGGACACAGAGTCACAGACACAATATTATAGTCAAGTTATTGTTTATACTGGACAGAGAGTCACAGACACAATATTATAGTCAATATTTGGTTTATACATGACAGGGAATGAGGCAGATACAATATTATATTACCTGAACAAGGATTCAGTGGATGATGTACAATATCTACATCTACATGAACTATTTCCAATAAATATAAACAAACATTTTTGTAAATTTAATTTTCCGATATAAACTACAATAATCATAGACGACACAATTCACAATTTTGGTGCATCTTCAGCCATGGAATGTTTTTGTAAAACTGAAATGAATTCAGGGCAGGAGTTTTCCAGAAGTCAAAAAATGTTAAAAGTTTATGAAGCACAACGCACAATGCACAACACAGGACAAAAGGGGATCGCAATAGGCCACCCTGAGACTTTATCTCAAGTGACTTAAAAAAAATGGTCTGACAACATACCTGAAAGAACAGGTATTTCAGTAAAAACAAATGATGGCCTGACAACATACCTGAATGTTGAGATGACTGTGAACCAAAGATTCCAGAAAGGCAACTGTACAGAAAACAGGTTTACAATTCTGTAATCAAAAAAGGATTAGATTGTCTCTCTTATTAGATGTAATATGTAATAGTTAGATGTTAGAAGTAATAACACAACAAATAAAGTTATTACACTATAGATAAAGTGATAACACAACAGATAAAATTATTACAAAAAAGATAAAGTTATTACATAAAGATAAAGTAATAACATAAATATAAAGTAATAACACAACAGATAAAGTAATAACATAAATATAAAGTAATAACACAACAGATAAAGTTATTACATAAAGATAAAGTAATAACATAAATATAAAGTAATAACACAACAGATAAAGTTATTACATAAAGATAAAGTAATAACATAAATATAAAGTGATAACACAACAGATAAAGTAATAACATAAATATAAAGTGATAACACAACAGATAAAGTTATTACATAAAGATAAAGTAATAACATAAATATAAAGTGATAACACAACAGATAAAGTTATTACATAAAGATAAAGTAATAACATAAATATAAAGTGATAACACAACAGATAAAGTAATAACATAAATATAAAGTGATAACACAACAGATAAAGTTATTACATAAAGATAAAGTAATAACACAACAGATAAAGTAATAACATAAATACAAAGTGATAACACAACAGATATGAGTTGTCAGAGATGGCTTATGATCCATGATTGTGACAAAATTTAAGTATGAAAAATAACAAAGGAATTTTAAGATTATCACCTCTTATGGATTTAGAGTAATGCTGCAGACAAGATTTAACTATGACAATAGCAAAGGGCAATAACTCCAAACTTATGCAAAAGAGAGTGATGGTTCTTGTGCACTGCACTTCTCCTTGTTGAGATCTATCTACTTATGAAATTTCATGTCGGTACCTCTCACAGTTTTTGTGTTATGCTCCAGACAATATTATAATGGACAGATGGATGAACCAAACGGCAACTATATACTATCCCTTTGGGGAGTATAAAAAATTGATAACACACTAGAACAAGTGTACCAGTAAAACTGATGTATCCAACAAATTTCATGATATTTGCTTAGCTGTGGGTAAAATTACACTCCAGACATGAAAGGACAGACAGGGCAAAACAAGGAATGACACAATAGAAAAAAGTGATGACACAATAGGTAAAGTAATGACACAATAGATAAAGTAATGACACAATAGATAAAGTGATGACACAATAGAAAAAGTGATGACACAATAGAAAAAATGATGACACAATAGACAAAGTGATGACACAATAGATAGAGTGATGACACAATAGAAAAAGTGATGAACTAATAGCTAAAGTGATGACACAATAGATAAAGTGATGACACAAAAGATAAAGTGAAGACACAATAGAAAATAATATTACACAATAGATAAAGTGATGACACAAGAAATAAAGTGATGACACAATAGAAAAAATTATTACACAATAGATAAAGTAATGACACAATAGATAAAGTGATGACACAATAGAAAAAATTATCACACAATAGAGAAAGTGATGTCAAAATAGATAAAGTGATGACACAATAGAAAAAGTGATGACACAGAAAAAGTGTTGATGCAACAGATAAAGTGTTGATGCAACAGATCAAGTGATGACATAATAAAGTGTTGACACAATAGATCAAGTGATGACACAATAGATAAAGTGATGACACAATAGAAAATGTGTTGATGCAACAGATAAAGTGATGACATAATAAAGTGTTGACACAATAGATCAAGTGATGACACAATAGATAAAGTGATGACACAATAGAAAAATGTTGATGCAACAGATAAAGTGATGACATAATAAAGTGTTGACACAATAAATAAAGTGATGACACAATAAATAAAGTGATGACACAATAAAATAAAGTGATGACACAATAAATAAAGTGTTGACACAATAGATAAAATGATGACTCGATTGTACTTACACTGTAACAATAAGTATACTCTTCTCATGAACTTGGAATGAAAACAGGAAAAACACCAAAGAACAATTTATCTGCAAAATAAGTATACAGGTATTGTTTCAGGACTTGACAATATTTTTCACAAACTGATATGATACAGTATTTTACCTCTTCATTCTAACACTGATAGCATCAGGTTACCACAATTACAAAACAAGCTATCAGCTTATACTAATCACTCTTGTTGGTCCAGATATAAGCCTAGGACCAACTCTAGGAGGAAACTGGAGAACGGTAAAAATTATTACCTTTATAACAGAGCATACTGATAAGCTGTCATCTATTTGTTTGAAAGGCAGCTAAAAGAACACAGAGACTTACTAAAGCATATTTAAATCGCAGAAAACTTGGTTTGAACAGGAGATTCAGCGATGATGGAAGGCACATCAGCAATGTTGAGGTCAAGCTGAAATCAAAACCATGATCATGTTCAAATACATCACTGATACATCAGAATTGGCACAATTTTGTGTTACATTCTACTTTGTACCTTCAGCCATATTATTTTTGCAGTAATAACCAGAATCTGTAAAGTTCACACGAAGGTTATTTTGAGATACCATACCACAGGTTCTGGCCCCCAGCCCCCAACAATAAAATCTAGTAATGTATAGTATACATGTGGTAAAACAGAACTTGGTGTAGAGAAATTATGTATATTGTATGTGTGGTAAAACAGAACTTTGAGTAGAGAATTTATATATAGTATACATGTGGTAAAACAGAACTTAGTGTAGAGAAATTATGTATATTATATGTGTGGTAAAACAGAGCTTGGTGTAGAGAACTTATGTATATTATATGTGTGGTAAAACAGAACTTGGTGTAGAGAATTTATATATAGTATACATGTGGTAAAACAGAACTTAGTGTAGAGAAATTATGTATATTATATGTGTGGTAAAGCAGAACTTGGTGTAGAGAACTATGTATATTATATGTGTGGTAAAACAGAGCTTGGTGTAGAGAATTTATATATATTATATGTGTGGTAAAACAGAACTTGGTGTAGAGAACTATGTATATTATATGTGTGGTAAAACAGAGCTTGGTGTAGAGAATTTATATATATTATATGTGTGGTAAAACAGAGCTTGGTGTAGAGAATTTATATATATTATATGTGTGAGAAAACAGAACTTGGTGTAGAGAACTTATATATATTATATGTGTGGTAAAACAGAACTTAGTGTAGAGAAATTATGTATATTATATGTGAGAGAAAACAGAACTTGGTGTAGAGAACTATGTATATTATATGTGTGGTAAAACAGAACTTAGTGTAGAGAAATTATGTATATTATATGTGTGGTAAAACAGAGCTTGGTGTAGAGAACTTATGTATATTATATGTGTGGTAAAACAGAACTTGATGTAGAGAACTATGTATATTATATGTGTGGTAAAACAGAGCTTGGTGTAGAGAATTTATATATATTATATGTGTGAGAAAACAGAACTTGGTGTAGAGAACTTATATATATTATATGTGTGGTAAAACAGAACTTGGTGTAGAGAACTTATGTATATTATATGTGTGGTAAAACAGAACTTGGTGTAGAGAACTATGTATATTATATGTGTGGTAAAACAGAGCTTGGTGTAGAGAATTTATATATATTATATGTTTGAGAAAACAGAGCTTGGTGTAGAGAATTTATATATATTATATGTGTGAGAAAACAGAGCTTGGTGTAGAGAAATTATGTATATTATATGTGTGGTAAAACAGAACTTGGTGTAGAGAACTTATGTATATTATATGTGTGGTAAAACAGAGCTTGGTGTAGAGAAATTATGTATATTATATGTGTGGTAAAACAGAACTTGGTGTAGAGAACTTATGTATATTATATGTGTGGTAAAACAGAACTTGGTGTAGAGAATTTATATATATTATATGTGTGGTAAAACAGAACTTGGTGTAGAAAACTTATGTGTATGTGTGGGAATAATTTTTTGTGTTATTTCATTTATACATATTCTACCATGTAGATAAACAAATTCATTGTGATGCTCAGAAAACAAAAAACAACACAATATTTATGTCAATTGTGCCAAAGGATACAGAAAACATAACCAGAATATCATACCAAGTGGAATCAACCGTTTCATGTATATCAGAACCCAGTCGTGTATTTGTGAAAGAAATTAGATACATAATGATTGTACCTTCACTGATAGACTACCTATAACAGTAATACAGGCTGACATCCTCCAAAAATGTCCTTGAGTTTGACCTTCACTGACAGACCACCTACCACAGTAATACAAGCTGGTCTTGATTTAAGATGTCCTTGAGTTTGACCTTCACTGACAGACTACCTACCACAGTAATACAAGCTGGTCTTGATTTAAAATGTCCTTGAGTTTGACCACCACTGAAAGACTACCTACCACAGTAATACAAGCTGGTCTCGATTTAAAATGTCCTTGAGTTTGACCACCACTGAAAGACTACCTACCACAGTAATACAAGCTGGTCTCGATTTAAAATGTCCTTGAGTTTGACCACCACTGACAGACTACCTACCACAGTAATACAAGCTGGTCTCGATTTAAAATGTCCTTGAGTTTGACCACCACTGAAAGACTACACCACACGTTGGCCACTTTGTCCTGAAACACACAGTTACAAGTTTATACATGTACAGATATATAAATAAGCCATTTCATTTATCACTGTGTTACCTACTTTTAGTGCTTTCGCTGACAACTTAATCACAATTCTCCACAAACCGTATTGAAGCAGCTATGTGATACCATTATATGATTCCTGATTTGGTTCTATTATATCTGATCTTGTATCGAGAGGTGATATTCACCTGTATGTCACCTGTACAATCTCTGATGCTGTATTAAAGGTATAACTTTCACCATTTTTGCTCCTCTGTACATTTCTTGAACTTTTTAGATCAATGTGTGCCCAAATTGTCTCACACTTGCAATGCATCCTCATTTTGTAATTTAAAAACCATAAAGAATTTCAAAGTGCTGCATCGTGGAAGTAAACTAACCTCGTAAAGGCCACGACTGAAGGGGAAAAGTCGGTGAAGCACTTGAAGGGCGGAGTCTTTGTTAGAAAGGAATGGAGCCCAGCAGACAGCAAACGTAGTAATGACTGTGATCGCTATCTTCATCAGTCTCATGACCCTTGTAACACACAGTAAAACATGCCAGTTTAGAAAGTATATATGATGTTAACTGTCAGTAATAGCCAAATAAGGAGTTAATTAAATTATTTTTAATAGGTTTTGTATCTATGTTTTTTTTCCATATAATTACAAACATAAAGGGTAATATTTTAATACCAAATGAAAAAAGTTTTTTTTTCATTCAAATAAAATCATTGCAGTAATTTTTTTCCTGTAAAATATTTTTAAAAAATCAGCTTTTCACAATCTTGTCTTTATGAATTTTGAAACATTTAAACTATAACTTCAATCTTTCTTTCTTGTACTGCCATTTTTGTTTGTTTTTTTGTTTTTTTGAAAGGTTTCAATTGTCCAAAGAAATTCAGTTCATTTCTAGCTACATGGTACAAGGGATTTCACTAAACTGGTGATGGACCAGTAAGCCAGGGATTGTGGGTTTGATCCCCAGCAGAGACTAATCCTTCCATTCAATCATTTTTTTCTGTACTTTGTTCCTAACCTGTTCTGATCCAGCTTCCTGAAGCACAATCCAAGTAAGTAGAAGAAGAATGGGAAGGCATGGAACAGCTCCATCTGTTTATAGTTCAACGCCAAGACGAAGAAAACAGATCCCCACAGTTCACGACCCTTCCCAATCAACATCACAGCCAGAAGTAGAAACCCTAGACTTACACAGTTATATCTGAATCAAAGGTCAAGGTCATCCCTAGGGTCAAGGTTACCTTAACATTCATCCTATACAAGTGGGTTGAAATGATACCACTTTGTATATACATGTATGTATTTCTTGTTTCTTTTTCACCACCTACATATTTCGTGCATTAGATTGCAATTTCACCCAACAGATAGGTGTTGTCATTAACACCCTGAATCATTTAATAAAATGACTTCATTTATAAAATTTCTTTTAGAAACAAATGATCACAAAATAAAGCAACTTATTTCCCTTATTATCATAAAGCTCCAAAACCCCTTAGGCACCTGTGCCCATAATTCATCATAGTCTGTAATGAATTTGCTTGGCTACACACATGAAATCCTTTTAATTCCTCCCATCTTCATCAAATTTTTTCATCTGCAGCCTTGAATATGATAAAGCGAATGCTTCTTTGAATTAAACCCATTTAATTCTAGTCATTTACCGACAAAAGTAAGACTCATTAAAATTCTCCCAAGTGTTATAACATTTGAACACTGTAATATTGAATGAGTATAAAGTCATCAATTAATCTAAAAACCTGACAGCATGTCTTAAAATCATAAAGGATACTGAAAGTGTCCATGGTCGATGAGGATGAGGCCAGGGGACAGCAACATCAGGACCAAGCTCTTACTCTGTAGATGACAGAAATATCTCAATTATACAAAAAATTGTCTCCCCTGATTTTATGATTTACAGACTATTTGTGTTTGCTCCAAGGAAGCTAGATGTTTACTTTAACATGTGTGGTTGTTATCATTACACAAGTTAGATGTGGTCTGGTATCAATTCCTAAAATTGGCAGATTACACAATTTTGTTTATATGATAGAAAGATAGGGTAGGGAGATTAAGATTGTGACCATCCTGATGGATTTGGAGATTTACACACAAGACTTATTTGAGGTAATGAAGTGATACTTTAAAAACACAACAATTAATTAACAATATTTGAATCATGAATGTTTGAATTTTCAGATATAACAGGGATCTTGAAAAAAGAGATCCCAGAGGGATCTTGGAGCCCACATTGTTTGATCTTTATTTGCTCTTTGAAGATTGGATCATTTCCCTTCTTTTCTCGACTCTGTTTTTGCTCTTCATAATAAGACATTTGAACATTCCTTTGTAGAAATAGTTATGGTAATCTTTACCTGGCAAATGAGAATGGCCCCTTGGAAGCCATTTTGTTTCTTCTGATCAGTCACAAAATAAAACAGGCACAACTAGGGATCAAGGGAAATATGCACATGAAATTTGAGAAAAATCTATGCTGTAGTTCTCAAGAAATAGCGATAACAAATTTTCAAAGCCAAAATCCAAGATGGCCACTTTCAGCCATTTTGTTTTTCTGATCAGATCCAAAATCAAATGGGCACAACTAGGGATTAAAGGGAACCTATATATAAGATTTAAGAAAGAATACACCATAGGAGGTTTCTATATTTGTGCAAACATCATAAATTTATTTGTCAGATTTGTTTCAGTCAAAGTATGTTTTCATATAAGTTTTTACTAAAAACTAAGTCATATATTATACCCCATTCTTAAAATCCCCTGGGCTATGATTGTATTCCAAGGATGGTTGTTTAAACATCTGACTTTCAGTAGTTATTATACATATACAGGTTGATATATCTTACCATAGCATATTTGGTTTGTTCATTTTTCATGAACATGAGAAACACAACAGGGAAGAAGAAGAGAATATCTGCCACCAGCACTGGAAACAAAAGATATGTATTAATGGATAAAGGTCAGTTTAATGTCAACAGCCTAAATACAAAACCATTTCAGATCATGTTTTTAGTAAATACTTGTTTGCTTGGTTTACTGACCCATGAACAGCCAGGGTCATTTTGAGACTGAACAACATACAAGAGGCCTGTCACATGCTGTCCAGGGCAATTAGAATAATGTGTGTTGCAGAAGGATAAAGCCACGTCAACACAGATCGGTCCAATTCTCAGCTTCCTGAGAAATCAAAACCGCCATGGGTAGAGTATGTTGAACCACACATCTTGGGGGTCAGTCAGGATCAAAATGGGCATACCATCAAGCCGTCATCCTTCACTCATAATTCTGACCAAGTTTGAAATATTTCCAATAGAAATTAAACAAAATATGATAAAAAATCTGTTTTCCTATATAACCTGTAGTAAACCTTAACCCCTCCCCACCGGGAAATGTGAGACCCTGGGGCCATGAAATTCACAATTTTGGTAAAGCACCTTGAGACAATTCCATCCATGAAGAACATTTGATTCCAACATACCTTTGTGTTAAGGATGTACTACTCTGATGTTTTAACCAGAAGTAATTCAATATAAAATTAATTAAAACATCTTGGACTTTTGTCGTTTCATATATTTTGCCATCTATAGCTGTACTTTGAAGTTGAAGATATTAGAAAGAAATTTCACTTGTGAACTTCATTGTTTGACAGCGTGATTCAGTAAATAGCATCAACATTATTCAATGTTTTCTGGTTGCTAAGGTATAACTCTAGAAGTCTTTGGTAGATTTCAACTAAATTTTGCATGAATTATCAACACGAATCTCATATTTCAAATTCCTGACTCACAACTTGGTGGATCTTTTTCAGCACCGAAAAATAAATATTTCAGATGGTTTCTTGATCTTGGAAAAACTGCTTCGGTGGAAAAAATAAAGCACACAGACTCCGTCTTTTTAAATCACAAAAAGAATCCTGGAAAATTTTACTATTGTAAATACACCTACAAATAATATACTAGTTAAAAAGCAATTAGTGTGAGATGTTTGTAACTTTTACTATTGTAAATACACCTACAAATAAGATACCAGTTAAAAAGCAATTAGTGTGAGATGTTTGTAACTTTTACTATTGTAAATACACCTACAAATAATATACTAGTTAAAAAGCAATTAGTGTGAGATGTTTGTAACTTTTACTATTGTAAATACACCTACAAATAAGATACTAGTTAAAAAGCAATTAGTGTGAGATGTTTGTAACTTTTACTATTGTAAATACACCTACAAATAATATACTAGTTAAAAAGCAATTAGTGTGAGATGTTTGTAACTTTTACTATTGTAAATACACCTACAAATAAGATACTAGTTAAAAAGCAATTAGTGTGAGATGTTTGTAACTTTTACTATTGTAAATACACCTACAAATAAGATACTAGTTAAAAAGCAATTAGTGTGAGATGTTTGTAACTTTTACTATTGTAAATACACCTACAAATAATATACTAGTTAAAAAGCAATTAGTGTGAGATGTTTGTAACTTTTACTATTGTAAATACACCTACAAATAAGATACTAGTTAAAAAGCAATTAGTGTGAGATGTTTGTAACTTTTACTATTGTAAATACACCTACAAATAATATACTAGTTAAAAAGCAATAAGTGTGAGATGTTTGTAACTTTTACTATTGTAAATACACCTACAAATAAGATACTAGTTAAAAAGCAATTAGTGTGAGATGTTTGTAACTTTTACTATTGTAAATACACCTACAAATAAGATACTAGTTAAAAAGCAACTAGTGTGAGACGTTTGTAACTTTTACTATTGTAAATACACCTACAAATAAGATATAGTTAAAAAGCAACTAGTGTGAGATGTTTGTAACTTTTACTATTGTAAATACACCTACAAATAATATACTAGTTAAAAAGCAACAAGTGTGAGATGTTTGTAACTTTTACTATTGTAAATACACCTACAAATAAGATACTAGTTAAAAAGCAACTAGTGTGAGACGTTTGTAACTTTTACTATTGTAAATACACCTACAAATAAGATACTAGTTAAAAAGCAACTAGTGTGAGATGTTTGTAACTTTTACTATTGTAAATACACCTACAAATAAGATACTAGTTAAAAAGCAACTAGTGTGAGATGTTTGTAACTTTTACTATTGTAAATACACCTACAAATAATATACTAGTTAAAAAGCAACTAGTGTGAGATGTTTGTAACTTTTACTATTGTAAATACACCTACAAATAATATACTAGTTAAAAAGCAATTAGTGTGAGATGTTTGTAACTTTTACTATTGTAAATACACCTACAAATAATATACTAGTTAAAAAGCAATTAGTGTGAGATGTTTGTAACTTTTACTATTGTAAATACACCTACAAATAATATACTAGTTAAAAAGCAATTAGTGTGAGATGTTTGTAACTTTTACTATTGTAAATACACCTACAAATAATATACTAGTTAAAAAGCAATTAGTGTGAGATGTTTGTAACTTTTACTATTGTAAATACACCTACAAATAATATACTAGTTAAAAAGCAATTAGTGTGAGATGTTTGTAACTTTTACTATTGTAAATACACCTACAAATAAGATACTAGTTAAAAAGCAACTAGTGTGAGATGTTTGTAACTTTTACTATTGTAAATACACCTACAAATAATATACTAGTTAAAAAGCAACTAGTGTGAGATGTTTGTAACTTTTACTATTGTAAATACACCTACAAATAATATACTAGTTAAATAGCAATTAGTGTGAGATGTTTGTAACTTTTACTATTGTAAATACACCTACAAATAATATACTAGTTAAAAAGCAATTAGTGTGAGATGTTTGTAACTTTTACTATTGTAAATACACCTACAAATAATATACTAGTTAAAAAGCAATTAGTGTGAGATGTTTGTAACTTTTACTATTGTAAATACACCTACAAATAAGATACCAGTTAAAAAGCAATTAGTGTGAGATGTTTGTAACTTTTACTGTTGTAAATACACCTACAAATAATATACTAGTTAAAAAGCAATTAGTGTGAGATGTTTGTAACTTTTACTATTGTAAATACACCTACAAATAATATACTAGTTAAAAAGCAATTAGTGTGAGATGTTTGTAACTTTTACTATTGTAAATACACCTACAAATAATATACTAGTTAAAAAGCAATTAGTGTGAGATGTTTGTAACTTTTACTATTGTAAATACACCTACAAATAATATACTAGTTAAAAAGCAATTAGCGTGAGATGTTTGTAACTTTTACTATTGTAAATACACCAAGTAGAGCAAAGTGGAAACCTCAGTGACTTTTTGATAATATTCACAGCATGATATTTATCGTTATGGCTAGTACATGACAGAGTTCAACTGAAATTTAAACTGTTTCCCTATAAATAACCCAAATCTGTTAAAGCTATTTACCTGAATATCTCATGAACAACTTGTGTTCAGGACTCTCAAATCCTCGAGAAGTCTTCAGGGCAACCCAGGCAGGATTGATCTTGTTTGCACTAAAATTTTAAGGAACACAAAAAACATTACAGTATTTACTGGTAATAATCTCCTTGACATTTTGTCCAAATATTGAAATATATCGAAGTAAATTGCTGTAACCAGGGGGAAAACCACTTTCAAAATATATTAAGAAATATATATCGATTAGCCTTTCCCAAGAAAAAATTTCAATGGTAAGGTTCAAATATATGAGAGAGAGAGAGAGAGAGAGAGAGAGAGAGAGAGAGAGAGAGAGAGAGAGAGAGAGAGAGAGAGAGAATATCTAGTTCTATGAATAATTTACACTAAAGTAAAAGTAAAGTAAGTTGGTTCTTAATACAAAAATAAAATGTAATAACAATGGAAGACAACAATCTGGCTGCTTGCCTGACACTATTTTACAAAGAAATTTTAGATTTTGAAACTGGGACTCGGGGATCAAAACTAAGCAAAGGAATACAAACATAGTTACATACATTAAACCACATAACCAGCTGTGGTAGGCTGTCAAGGGGGGATAATCCAGTCCCCAGTACTGAAGATCATTTCTCTCCGTTTGATTGTACCTGCAAAATATGGAAATGGTGATAAAAATGAAATAATTGAATACAGATAGTGATAGAGATGCATTTCAATTAAATCAATTTGTTAAAATGTTTGAAAATATTGTAGAAGTAGAGAGTACTTGTCGTCTTACTTAAGCCTTGTCTAGAAGTAATTTGTGAGCCCAGACATTGCTACAAATCCTGTGCCATTGACCACTCTGAGTGTAATTTACAGGAATATGAAGAGGCCTATTGGAGCTAAAGAACTACAGGTTGTGATTGTCTGTTGGGAAATACTTGTGAAGATTGGAGTAGTGAAGAAGTTGAGACCACAGTAGGAATATCTGCTACTTCATGCAGTAGAGTATTTGCTATGAGAGTTTGAGCTCCAGAAAGAAATATTTAAGAAGCTAAACCATGAAAACTATGTTGTAGTGACACATTTTATATCAAGTATGATGAAATATTGACATCATAAAAATTGGTTACTGTACATGTAACGCTTCACCTATTTGTATTGAATAAAAAAAAAAAGGCACAACGATAGCATCACATGAATGGATGGCATTTCTCTAAGTGGTTAAAATCTTTCCTTTAAATTAGAAACTGAGCATATTAACACACATATATATAGCATAACACCAGATTAATCTGTCTTAATCTACTCTATCTAAATCAAGATAAAGGGGGGCATGGACTATTCCACACCAATGTCAGAACATTCAGCGAAGCGTAGCCAAACTGTTTTGTATACTTGATTGTCCCTTTAGACATTGTTAATGCCAACCGTACTTAAGATGTTACAGAATTTACTTGTGAATTTGATTGTTATTTTGTGCATATTTTTTTTACTTCGTGAACAATCGTTTATCTGGTGATATTATATACAAAAGTATATGTATGTTACATAAATAATCGTTGTTTTCTATATTTTCTTTTCCTGGCAGTTCTTTTTACACTTTGTGGACATTCTAAATCTGTGCAAAATGTTGCAAATATTACATGGATATCCAGTAATTTTAATCTACCAAGTCAAGTACCCATAAAATAACATTTCGAACACCTACAAAATTTAAGCCTTACAGACCTGTTACAGTCTATGAACCAATATCTATATTTACCATTCATGCACAGGCAGGTTATATGTGATTTCCATCCAATGTCGCTGGGCTTCATAGTCACCAAACATAGGTCTTTTACCAGCCCCTGTAAATGAACAGAATCTAGTTGTTGCAGTTCCATACTTTCATTTCAAGTCAAGAGTTCAGGAAGCCATCAGGATTCACCATAGTGTGCTAGTACTAAACAGAGACAAGGGGGGCCACAGATTCTCACACATCTGTGAACAAGTGTAAACAAAATATAACCCAATTGACTAAAGTACATTGTTGCCATCTTGTGTACATTTTTGGTCTGTGATCTGTTTACCATCTTGTCAAACTGCATACCTTAGTGTACATTACACATAGGATTATATTACACATAGGATTATAATACAGCTGAAAAGGCTGGCCGGTTAGTGCACTCCACACTGGTCACTGCCTGATGAAGGTGACCGTGTAGTCATCCAAACGTCACACTCCAATCTTCTACTGGTTGTGTTATAAGATGAAGGTGGCAGTATACTTTGTTATATGAACTTCTATTCTCTGTAAATTGTAGGGTCTTGATTGTGTTACAAGAACTTCTGTACGAGATGTTCATATGTCATAGGAATATATCGATTTCGTAAACCTCGAATCTTATCGAAACAACAGGGGACTGCTTCAATTATTATCTGTAAAAATAAAGGCGCATTTCATGACAACTATACTGAAATAAAAAATATATATGTGCATATATGAATCCAAGCGCCTTTGAACTGATGAAAGACAACGGCACTTGGTTAGCCTCGGTCGCTCTTCAAATAGTCGATTATTTTCTATCGGGACAAGGAGCGAGGGTTAACTTCAAATCTTACCTGAATATTTGCACAATGAGACACACCATCTGACAAGAACAGCGACAAGTGCTATCAACATCAACTGCATCTGCCCCTGTCTTTCCATACCGGTGAAACGTATCGTGCGCTACGTTGATAATTTTTCGTCGTGGTTAGTTGTATGCTTTTAGCCGATATAATTATAATACTTTTGATTCAAACACAACACTGACTCCGATAAAAATGAGGCCTTTCTAGGGTATTTTTGAACTACTCTCCATTTTTGTACTTTCACTTTTCTTTTATCTTGTCACTTATCACGCAAGCAAGAGTGTTGAAGGAATGAAAATAGCTCTGATTTTATCTCATGAACAAAATCACTACCTCAATTTTGTGAGATTTCTGAAAACGCATTTATTATTTTTTTTTTCCATTTTATAAGTCTCAGATGAGATAAAATAAAGTAAGCTTGGCCTCGATACTTATACAAACATTCGTGAAAACAGCATTTTATAAGGCTGATGTAATATCTAAAATTGTGATATTCGCAAGCCATGACAAAAGATATAAAATAACAGTAAACACTTGTGGGAACCTTAAACTTGATATCTGTGGTACATCCTTGTGCAATGTTGCCAGTAGTTAGCAAATGATATACAGAGTTACTTCTTGCATCTGTAACTAAATATTTCTTTGCTGAAGGCAAAAATCACACGAAGCCCTAAATTTTAACATCACCTCTAATGAAAAAAAAATCTTCAGTTGATGACTTGCTAGGTCACACGTCTGGTTTTTGTTTGGTTTTTTTATTGGTTTGAATTCTGACTCTATGGTAGAATGTGTTCTTTTTGTTTAGGCGTTGAGCAGTAGATTTGCTATTTTCCATATTGTTGAATTTTTGCAACTTTGAATAAATTGTGTCAAACTTTGTAAGACCAATTCTGGAGGACAGTGTTTTAATTACAGGCTATCAATGGCTCACCATTCAGTTCAAAACATTAGTATCCAGATTCCTATCCAAGTAGATGCTTCAAGATTCAGTTTTTTTAAAAAAATCAGCTGGCACAGATTTGCATGTTTAACGAGAGGAATGTAATGTTGCTATAAAATCTCAACATGTTTGGATGTATAGACTTTATCAGCCAAATTCTTCTTGGGGCATGATTGTTTATATATGTCATCCTTTCTTTGTTCTACTGTTATCTGTAACGAACAAGAAGTCAAAGTTCACATGAGGATAAAATATATTTGTGAGAGAAGTTTGTTGGCTGAGATTATCTTGCCTAGCAAGTGTCATTAGAGGCCAAGTCTCCTTGTTAGTTGCCTCACAAAACAATATATGGGAGGTATGCCACAAGGAGTCTACAGCCTGAGTATAGACCTGTCAGGAACCACCATGGATAGGAAGTATGGGGGGCATGCCACATGGAGTCCACAGCCTGAGTATAGACCTGTCAGGAACCACCATGGATAGGAAGTATGGGGGGCATGCCACATGGAGTCCACAGCCTGTGTATAGACCTGTCAGGAACCACCATGGATAGGAAGTATGGGAGGCATGCCACATGGAGTCCACAGCCAGAGTATAGACCCGTCAGGAACCACCATGGATAGGAAGTATGGAAGGCATGCCACATGGAGTCCACAGCCTGAGTATAGACCCGTCAGGAACCACCATAGATAGGAAGTATCAAGCCGCACACCTCAGATCTTCACCCGGGGTTGCCCTTCATAGGAAAGAAGTCTCTGACACTGTTGGGGTTAGAAGCATGGCAATATGGCACCTTAGGTGTTAAGAGTTCAAGGTTAAAAGGTTAGGGGGTCAGCATAGTTTAAAAACAACACTATGGAATCATAGAGGGGTAATAACCAGGGACAAAATTTCAATACTGGCAAAAAATGACTATCCATAAGTGTATGTGATAAACTATTCATAGAGTGACAGGAATGAATTCTCTGAATGCTTATTGATTTATAAAAACAATGATTTATTCATGGTGTTAAATACAAACAATTACCATAATAAATGTATACATATAAAAAATCTTGTTTATTTTCAAAAGTTATAAATAGATCACAGTTTGGTTGATGTAAATACATATATAATAAGGGTATAATATATCAAATTCTTATTACAACTTGATATGGAGAATACAATATAAAATAACAATGTATTGCCTTTGTTTTCTTTTTCACATTAGTGTTCAGGATACTGAAGTCATATAACCTCAAACTACTGAAGTAAATATACAGGTTTTATTGGCCGAAACATAATTATGGTAGGTATATTGTAGACTCCCTTGTGAGTGAGATAGAGGGACTGCAACCCGAGGGAAAATATTCCTAAGTTGGAAAGCACAAAGCTTGCCAAATGTTTACCAACTTAATAGCCTTTTCCCTGAGGGTTGAGATCCCTAATCTCCCCCACAACGGGGTAAATGTTTATTTTTCTCTTCATTGTTTTCATAGATTTAATATTGTTGCTTGATATCCTTGATGTGACATCATTTGATTGAAACTAAAACAGATAATTGTTGTGACATGGGAATCCCTGAGTCTCCACCCTTAGAGCATGGTAAGGAAAAACAAGATAACTACAGAGAATATGATTGCATGGGACAGTATGGCAGATCCCCTGATATCTGCTGACTTGAAATTGGTGTATTACACTGTCTTTCTATTCTACATGTAGATCCATACTTCATGGAGTAATAAATTTGTCAATGATACAGGCATTTGTTACCCAAAAATTGTATAACATATGCTTTTTATGTGTCAAAAATAAAAAAAAAAAAAATAGTGATATCCTAATGGGAGTGATGAATTATTTCATTTCTTTGACTCTTGTGCACTGTAGTTAAAAATAGATAACTCTCATAAATATTCTGTGATATTTCAGGAGCAAATGAGATGCAGGAGTGAAATACATGTCTGAAAAGTACAAATCAAATCTTTCAACTTCCACAAAATTTTCATAAAAAAAGCACCTCAGTGCTGTAACACATTAAAGTTGATACCACAACAACTAGAATATCAGAAACTCATCACTTTATTGTTTTGGAATAGTTTGTTGGGACCACTGGCTTAATTGCCATCTATGGAAATTTTTCCCATCCAAATCGTCAACTTTGATATGAAGAAAACATGATAATCTTGGGATTGTTGAAGAGCACAAACGTGTAGTTTGATATTTGTCACCCTCCCTGCTTCCCTGCCCAAATGACCTTCATGTCACGAGTTCCTAATTGCATGTTTACCATTGGCAACTTGTTTCGTGTATTTTCTTCATGCGTCAATGCTTGAATGAACATTTGGTGCCTTTGTATGAAAATGTATGAAATAAGCGGTTTACATATGTTAGTAAAAAATGTTTGCAGCTTTTATCAGGAATTGTCATCATCTTCCCCAGGTAGATGATTGCTCTCCACAGTATGTTGTCGACAAGGTGACGGGGGTTTGAAATGTTTGGTTACTGGAACTTTGTTGAGTATTTCCCGACAGAGGAAACAGAATCCGGTGCCACAGTTCCAACATTTAACATGGTTGTTTCCATGTAAACCCTGAAGGTTCTTCCTGTGACACCGAGGACATTGGACCTGCTTCAGAAGAGGATTCTCTGCTAACCTCGTTTGGATATTCAACATTACCTGCAAATGAAAAACCAGATTGAAGTGACTACTACCAAATAAAACACTTCATTTCACTACCCTAGATCAAATTAGTCCTAAGATAACACAAACATTGATTTCAGTCTTATCATCAAATTTGACCCCACCATATATGGGCAAAAGTTAAATTGTGTTGAAAGATCCCTCAATCAGTTTTCACATCATCTTCATCTTCCTTTATTGAGTGAAAACCACAAGACTAGAGACACTTGGTTTGTTTCTAATGCTTTTTCACGCAATCATTTCTTGCTAGCTCCAATTTGAGTTAGTAAAAGGACCAATAACATGCACTTTTATTCACAATGAGGCTGATTTAGTACCTAATTTGATGGGCTTTTTTCCAGACTCATGTCAGGTAAGGTTTAAGCACCACTTTGTTACAGAATGGTATTTCTACACAAGTTTGTCAAAATTTCTAGTTTTAGGAAAGTATATTTACCTGAGCAAATTTCCATTCACAAATTAATAAGAAACCTAATGGGTCCCAATCCCTCACCTGTTCTACAGCTACAACCATAACACAAATACCATGACTCAGGGCTTATTGCTTATTGAAAAAGGGTCAAGGTCATTTATATGAACAAACTTGTAACCCTTCATCCAGTCCTATATCAGTACCCTGGACCTACTGGTTATTCAAATTTTTTAAAAGGAAAATGTTGACATCGCATGCTGGATGGACACTGTGTCAAGGCATCAGTTTATTTGCCCTTTGGGCAGAGGAGGTAGAAATATTGAACTACTAACTACTGTTTATGATTGGATTTTTTTCAAAAATCAATAATGTACATATTGAAGTATATATGTATCCACTTGTGCTATTTCATGAACACTGACTTAAGCCTTTGAACTTCGATTAATCTCTATTGTATATATAGATTGAGCATTCTGACAATGTAACATACATGTATATAGAATTTTAGGATTTATGATTCTGAGAAACACAGTGTACTTGTTTGCCTGCCGTTACATCAAAATGTTTATTTCACAAAGTGTTAAATTTGCCCTGATATGAATAAAATTGTACATTTCAGCTATGAAAGCAGTCTTTAGCTTAATCTCAAATACTGAAATGGATGAAAATTAAACTGTGGTGAAAGTTTCTACACATACATTTACATATCCGACTTCCCAAATACAACATGCCATAAATGACACAGGGAGGAAAAATAGAACTCAATCAATACCGATATCATCAAAAGTGGATAGCTAGATTGTCACCACTTCCCTAAAACTTAAGGTCTATAGCTTAGAAGTGAGGGATAGTTACAACAATGCACAACAGTTTAGAATAAAATTTCATACTGCCACTCTCCCTGGATTTATCTGTGGTACTGGTCGCCTGTTCCACACAAAATCATTGTCTTCATAGTCTGTAAACGTGCTGCAGTATCTGCTCTGATTAAAGTGTTCGTATCCAGTCTGTGTGATGTCCTTCCCACAGACATAGCACAGCGCACAGCCACATCTACACATGACCTTGTTACACCTGTATATATAGATATGTATATCTACACACGACCTTGTTACACCTGTATATATAGATATGTATATCTTACACAACCTTGTTACACCTGCATATATAGATGTGTATATATATAGATATGTATATCTACACAACCTTGTTACACCTGTATATATAGATATGTATATCTACATGACCTTGTTACACCTGTATATATAGATATGTATATCTACACGACCTTGTTACACCTGTATATATAGATATGTATATCTACACACAACCTTGTTACACTTGTATACATATATATCTACACATGACCTTGTTACACCTGTATATATAGATATGTATCTACACATGACCTTGTTACACCTGTATATATAGATATGTATATCTACACACAACCTTGTTACACTTGTATACATAGATATATATCTACACATGACCTTGTTACACCTGTATATATAGATATGTATCTACACATGACCTTGTTACACCTGTATATATAGATATGTATCTACACACGACCTTGTTACACCTGTATATATAGATATGTATCTACACACGACCTTGTTACACCTGTATATATAGATATGTATATCTACACACGACCTTGTTACACCTGTATATATAGATATGTATCTACACACGACCTTGTTACACCTGTTTATATAGATATGTATATCTACACACGACCTTGTTACACCTGTATATATAGATATATATCTACACATGACCTTGTTATAATTTGAGGTATAAATATGCCGTCTCTCCTTCACACCTACCCAGATATCTTTTGTATATTGGCATGACAAGAAGGACATGTCTTTGCTTTGTTTGTTAAATACACATTGCTTGATGCTTCTTCCTTCAGTCTTTCTATTTTCCGTTTTATCTCTTCTGCGTCATCCTTCTTAATGCTCAGTTTGTCTTCCAAAGCTTTGACAGCATCTTCAACACCCACACATCTCTCTCCCTTTAATTAAACAAAAATGATCACTTGTATGAAAGAAGATTTTTCAAACTTATTTACATCTGTCACTCAAGTAGAAAATCTGCCTTTTGACAATAAAGTCTTATCAGTTACGGAGAAATATTTTCTGAGTTATAAGATGAAGCCATCCTGCTTTCATATCTTATTCAGCCTTTTGTAGGAACATGCAAATCCACTAAATATTAGTAGTGATGATATACACCAAACAGTACATCCGAGATGTAACAGGGCATTTGATTGGTCAATGAGAATAATTTACAACAGTTTAATAAAAAATACCATCTGAATTCCTCATTTGCATATCTAGTGTGAATGACAGTTTTTCATTTAATGACTGATTGATCTGGATGTATCATTAAAGTGATGATTAAGATCATGACCATGAAAGGTTGCTTAAACATAAATGTTACTGACATCATGAATTCCGAGCAAGGAAATAAAGATTTCTGAAATTATTCACAGAAAGGGCACTTCATATCTTTTGTATGTAAGTCTTGATGAATAGGAATAGGGATAAGCCTTAATTTTTGAAATCTGCAGTGGTATATTGTGATTAAATTGTCACAAATACCTGTTCTGTTGTTTGCTATGTATCACCAGTAAAACTCAATTTGTGACATTTTACTTATTATATACCCTACAAATATCAAAACACAGTTATCCCCTAAATATCTACATTGAAATATGACAATGTTTCCATAGCAACTATGTTGTACACCATCTGTTATAAACTAATTAAGGAGGGAATGATAACCTTTCTAGGATTATATAAATGAATGCTTAAAAGTGTCCTTCATTTGATAGATATGGGCTATTGATTACAAAAGGCCTTTGTGGCGGTGATTGCCAAAAACATGAGATGGACTGTCATAAAGTTTCTATATGTATAAGATGGTCTTCTTCTGAGTATGTTTAACTTCATTAACTACTGGTAATCAAATGTTTTATGGAAGCTTTAACTAATATCTTTAAAAAAGATAAAACAAATTTACAGCACCTGGTGTCACATGACACACACAAAACTGACTTGTTAGTGGACTGATCTGATGTCACATGAAACACACAAAACCGACTTGTTAGTGGACTGATCTGATGTCACATGACACACACAAAACTGACTTGTTAGTGGACTGATCTGATGTCACATGACACACACAAAACTGACTTGTTAGTGGACTGATCTGATGTCACATGACACACACAAAACTGACTTGATAGTGGACAGATCTGATGTCACATGACACACAGAAAACTAACTTGATAGTGGACTGATCTGATGTCACATGACACACACAAAACTGACTTGTTAGTGGACTGATCTGATGTCACATGACACACACAAAACTGACTTGATAGTTGACTGATCTGATGTCACATGACACACACAAAACTGACTTGTTAGTGGACTGATCTGATGTCACATGACACACACAAAACTGACTTGATAGTGGACAGATCTGATGTCACATGACACACACAAAACTGACTTGATAGTGGACTGATCTGATGTCACATGACACACACAAAACTGACTTGATAGTGGACAGATCTGATGTCACATGACACACAGAAAACTGACTTGATAGTGGACTGATCTGATGTCACATGACACACACAAAACTGACTTGATAGTGGACTGATCTGATGTCACATGACACACAGAAAACTGACTTGTTAGTGGACTGATCTGATGTCACATGACACACACAAAACTGACTTGATAGTGGACTGATCTGATGTTAAATGACACACAGAAAACTGACTTGTTAGTGGACTGATCTGATGTCACATGACACACACAAAACTGACTTGATAGTGGACTGATCTGATGTCACATGACACACACAAAACTGACTTGATAGTGGACTGATCTGATGTCACATGACACACACAAAACTGACTTGATAGTGGACTGATCTGATGTCACATGACACACACAAAACTGACTTGATAGTTGACTGATCTGATGTCACATGACACACACAAAACTGACTTGATAGTGGACTGATCTGATGTTACATGACACACAGAAAACTGACTTGATAGTGGACTGATCTGATGTTACATGACACACACAAAACTGACTTGATAGTGGACTGATCTGATGTCACATGACACACACAAAACTGACTTGATAGTGGACTGATCTGATGTTACATGACACACAGAAAACTGACTTGATAGTGGACTGATCTGATGTCACATGACACACACAAAACTGACTTGTTAGTGGACTGATCTGATGTCACATGACACACAGAAAACTGACTTGTTAGTGGACTGATCTGATGTCACATGACACACAGAAAACTGACTTGATAGTGAACTGATCTGATGTCACATGACACACACAAAACTGACTTGTTAGTGGACTGATCTGATGTCACATGACACACAGAAAACTGATTTGATGGTTTACTCACCTGATGCCACAGTTTCTTACACAAGGTACAGAACGAGAACTGACAGTAGATGCAGTAGCCTAGGTGAAGAGTTTTGTCACTCTCCTGTACAACTACCCCTTGACAACGTGGGCACCATACAATGTCACCCATAGTGTCTAGTGCTTTCTGCAATAAAACAAAAGATTTACACATATCAGTTTAATGTTGCATAATGCAATTTTGTCCCAAATGAAATGTCTGCATAGTGTAAGACATTTCTAAATATATAGGCTTTACAACAATTGTGAAATCATAACTGATGTTATAATATATATCTCTGTACCTGATATAAATGTGTATGGTTTTTATTTCAGAAATGTGGTAGGAGTGGGGACTGGGGATCACATCTGTCTTTATTTGAATTCATAAGAAGAAGAGTACCAGGGGGCAGAACAATATATGCCCGATCTATGCAAAGAAAATATTCATAATTTATTGTATCCAGATGAATACAAACTTGGAAATGTTAACACTGAATCAAAATGCCAAGGAGTTACTCATGCCTTATGTTTTGATGATAAATTAAAGCATGCCAAGTAGTAAAGAAACTATTTCAAAACTGATAGAAATATGAGTAAAACGCTCAAAAAAGGATGATAAGCACACTACATCTCAGGAAAATTTCAACTAATGGTTATAAAGCCTTCCAAGGTGAAAATTGATGACAGACATTTCCTTACATAATCAAAACGCTTCTGTAAAAATTGTTAAATTAAACTTCTGTTCAGGAAAACAGAATTTTCAGTGAAAGGTATAAAGCATACAAGGTTTTGGTTGAGAACTAAGAGAGGAGATCTGAGGATGAGATTGACACTATACAAACAAGGGACACAAACTATACCAAAATCCTAGATGTCAGACTCAGCTATATACAAACAAGGGATACAAACTATACCAAAATCCTAGACGTCTGACTCAGCTATATACAAACAAGGGATACAAACTATACCAAAATCCTAGACGTCTGACTCAGCTATATACAAACAAGGGATACAAACTATACCAAAATCCTAGACGTCTGACTCAGCTATATACAAACAAGGGATACAAATTATACCAAAATCCTAGAAGTCAGACTCAGCTATATACAAACAAGGGATACAAACTATACCAAAATCCTAGACATCTGACTCAGCTATATACAAACAAGGGATACAAACTATACCAAAATCCTAGATGTCTGACTCAGCTATATACAGTAACAAGGGGTACAAACTATATCAAAATCCTAGATGTCTGACTAACAAAGGAAACAAACTATACCAAAATCCTAGACGTCTGACTCAGCTATATACAGTAATAAGGGGTACAAACTATATCAAAATGCTAGACGTCAGACTCAGCTATATAAAAACAAGGGACACAAACTATACCAAAATCCTAGACGTCTCACTAACAAAGGATACAAACTTTATCAAAATCCTAGACGTCTGACTAACAAAGGATACAAACTATACCAAAATCCTAGACGTCAGACTCAGCTATATAAAAACAAAGGATACAAACTATACCAAAATCCTAGACGTCTGACTCAGCTATATAAAAACAAGGGATACAAACTGTACCAAAATCCTAGACGTCTGACTCAGCTATATAAAAACAAGGGACACAAACTATACCCTAGACGTCAGACTCAGCTATATACAAACAAGGGACACAAACTATACCAAAATCCTAGACGTCAGACTCAGCTATATACAGTAACAAGGGACACAAACTATACCAAAATCCTAGACGTCTGACTAACAAAGGATACAAACTATACCAAAATCCTAGACGTCTGACTCAGCTATATACAAACAAGGGATACAAACTGTACCCTTGACGTCTGACTCAACTATATACAGTAACAAGGGGTACAAACTTTATCAAAATCCTAGACGTCTGACTCAGCTATATACAGTAACAAGGGATACAAACTATACCAAAATCCTAGACATCTGACTCAGCTATATAAAAACAAGGGACACAAACTTTACCAAAATCCTAGACGTCTGACTCAGCTATATACAAACAAGGGACACAAACTATACCAAAATCCTAGACGTCTTTCTCAGCTATATAAAAACAAGGGACACAAACTATACCAAAATCCTAGATGTCTGACTCAGCTATATAAAAACAAGGGACACAAACTATACCAAAATCATAGACGTCTGACTCAGCTATATAAAAACAAGGGACACAAACTATATCAAAATCCTAGACGTCTGACTAACAAAGGAAACAAACTATACCATAATCATAGACATCTTGCTCAGCTATGTACAAACAAGGGATACAAACTATACCAAAATCCTAGACGTCTGACTCAGCTATATACAAACAAGGGACACAAACTGTACCAAAATCATAGACGTCTGACTAACAAGGAATACAAACTGTACCAAAATCCTAGATGTCCCACTCAGCTATATAAAAACATGGGACACAAACTATACCAAAATCCTAGACGTCTGACTCAGCTATATAAAAACAAGGGATACAAACTATACCAAAATCCTAGACGTCAGACTCAGCTATATACAGTAACAAGGGACACAAACTATACCAAAATCCTAGATGTCTGACTAACAAAGGATACAAACTATACCAAAATCCTAGATGTTTGACTCAGCTATATACAAACAAGGGATACAAACTGTACCCTTGACGTCTGACTCAGCTATATACAGTAACAAGGGATACAAACTGTACCCTTGACGTCTGACTCAGCTATATACAGTAACAAGGGGTACAAACTTTATCAAAATCCTAGACGTCTGACTCAGCTATATACAAACAAGGGACACAAACTATACCAAAATTCTAGACGTCTGACTCAGCTATATACAAACATGGGACACAAACTATACCAAAATCCTAGACATCTGACTCAGCTATATACAGTAACAAGGGGTACAAATTATACCAAAATCCTAGACGTCTGACTCAGCTATATACAGTAACAAGGGGTTCAAACTATACCAAAATCCTAGACGTCTGACCCAGCTATATACAGTAACAAGGGGTACAAACTATACCAAAATCCTAGACGTCTGACTCAGCTATATACAGTAACAAGGGATACAAACTGTACCAAAATCCTAGTTGTCTGACTCCGCTATATACAGTAACAAGGGTTACAAACTATACCAAAATCCTAGACGTCTGACTCAGCTATATACAAACAAGGGACACAAACTATACCAAAATCCTAGACGTCAGACTCAGCTATATACAAACAAGGGTTACAAACTATACCAAAATCCTAGACGTCTGACTCAGCTATATACAAACAAGGGTTACAAACTATACCAAAATCCTAGACGTCTGACTCAGCTATATACAAACAAGGGTTACAAACTATACCAAAATCCTAGACGTCAGACTCAGCTATATACAAACAAGGGACACAAATTATACCAAAATCCTAGACGTCAGACTCAGCTATATACAAACAAGGGATACAAACTATACCAAAATCCTAGACGTCTGACTCAGCTATATACAGTTACAAGGGATACAAACTATACCAAAATCCTAGACGTCTGACTAACAAAGGATACAAACTATACCAAAATCCTAGACGTCTGACTCAGCTATATACAAACAAGGGATACAAACTGTACCCTTGACGTCTGACTCAGCTATATACAGTAACAAGGGATACAAACTGTACCCTTGACGTCTGACTCAGCTATATACAAACAAGGGACACAAACTATACCAAAATCCTAGACGTCTGACTCAGCTATATACAAACATGGGACACAAACTATACCAAAATCCTAGACGTCTGACTCAGCTATATAAAAACAAGGGGTACAAACTATACCAAAATCCTAGACGTCTGACTCAGCTATATACAGTAACAAGGGGTACAAACTATACCAAAATCCTAGACGTCTGACTCAGCTATATACAGTAACAAGGGGTACAAACTATACCAAAATCCTAGACGTCTGACTCAGCTATATACAGTAACAAGGGGTACAAATTATACCAAAATCCTAGACATCTGACTCAGCTATATACAAACAAGGGACACAAACTATACCCTAGACGTCTGACTCAGCTGTATAAAAACAAGGGACACAAACTATACCAAAATCCTAGACGTCTGACTCAGCTATATAAAAACAAGGGATACAAACTATACCAAAATCCTAGACGTCTGACTCAGCTATATACAGTAACAAGGGACACAAACTATATCAAAATCCTAGACGTCTGACTCAGCTATATACAGTAACAAGGGGTACAAACTATACCAAAATCATAGATGTCTGACTCAGCTATATACAGTAACAAGGGGTACAAATTATACCAAAATCCTAGACATCTGACTCAGCTATATACAAACAAGGGACACAAACTATACCCTAGACGTCTGACTCAGCTATATACAGTAACATGGGGTACAAACTATACCAAAATCCTAGACGTCTGACTCAGCTATATACAGTAACAAGGGGTACAAACTATACCAAAATCCTAGACGTCTGACTCAGCTATATAAAGCAATGTATAGGTGTCAAATTTGCACAGCATGAAATAATCAAGTGAACAATGTCAATGAAAATTAAGGTTTTACTTCTCAACATGTCCAATGATAATCTACCGCATATCTCAATGTGATACGTGGTTGTTACAAGCATAATTCAGTTACAGTCTAATTGGTCAGGTTACCAGAAATGGAGTAGAATTAACACCACTCAGAAATTTTCACAGGCGCAACCTTTTCACGTATATCACACAACCTGATTCTCATTTATCTTGGTTAATGAACAAAAATAATGCACAGCCGTATATGGTAGCATGTTGCAACTCACTTAGATAAGTTATTATCCCTGTCCTAATCAGCCAGACGTCCAGGAAGGGAACAGTTTTCACTGAATTAACACAAACTTACATTTCAACCTTGAAATCTTGAAACTGCAACCACATATCACTTCCATTTTTTTTAATGCAGATCCCTTTCAAGTGTCCAGTATAGACACATATCTAGGAAAAAGTCACACCACACAATGAGTAGATCAATGGTGCTACTGTTTATGATGTACTCCATAGCTACAGTATTGTGAAATGAGCATTGGTGCTATTCACACTACAGCAGAATGGTCATATTTCTTTACTTAAATGATGTTGCACTTGCCGAATACATCCCCAGGAACACTTCTAAGATAAATCATCTCAGACCATGACAGTCGATGTGGATTTAAAAAATAACACAATTTTATCTGATTGTTCAAGCTAAAACTGTATATACGTTTGGCATCTTATGGTAATGCTAATACCCTTACAAATAAAACCCACAAAACATGTAAAAAAATTGAACAACACATAAATATAATGACAAGACCTGATATCATTGGACTGTTGACATTACAACAATATATCTTTTCATGAATGCACTCATGTGCAGCTGGTTCAGGATCAGCATTAACTCCCACGCTAAGCTTTGTACCTGTAAAGTGAGACGTTCATAGCGGCAGAATTGTTCCTCTCCCACAACTTCTCTGATGACACCTGGTGGTATATCTGTCTTACACTCAGATTCTGGACACCTGTAAGACCAAGTCATACTTAGCCGCACTGAGAATATATCATGGGATCTATGATGTTTGATTTTCAGTTTTCATTAAACTTTATCAAAAACTTTAGTGACTTCCAATACTAAGAATTGTATCAAAACTCTGAAGACTTACACAAGTTCAGTGACAGTTCCTTCTTTGACGTGAATTTGACAAAGAGTCTGCATGCATTCCCGACAAATATGATGTCCACACTGTTTCATTCTGTAGAAATCGGCCCCAGGGAACTCCATAAAACATACACAACACTCATGGTCTGTCCTCCTGAACTGAAAGTTCTCCTCATCTGTACTGTACCTGTTAACAACCATATGTGTCAAACACTACATGTACCAGATACCTGTCCAAAACACCTTTGCACAAGACATCTGTCAATATCACTTGTCTTCAAAACACCTGTGTAACACCTGTCTACTTGACACATATCAACAACAATTATCTACCACATACATGTCAAGAGCATCTGTCTACCAGACACTTGTCAAGAACAGCTGTACAGTAGACACCTGTCACAAGCACCTCTCTAGTAGACATATGTCAAGATTACCTATCAACTAGACACCAGTCAAGAATATCTGCCTATTAGACACCTGTCAAGAGCACCTGTCTAGTAGACACATGTCAAGAATATGTATCTACTAGACACCTGTCAAGAGCACCTGTCTAGTAGACACATGTCAAGATTACCTATCAACTAGACACCAGTCAAGAATACCTGTCTACTAGACACCTGTCAAGAGCACCTGTCTACTAGATACCTGTCAAGAGCACATGTCTACTGGACACCTTTCTAAGTAAGGTATCTAACACCTCTATGGCTGATACCTCATCATAATTGTGACTGCCTCTTCAATATCCAAGCAATCCTGCATCCCCCTCTCATCTACAACAATGTCCTCAGGACTGGTCTCTTGTAACAACACATGGTCTCGGAGGCCGAGGAAACTGACCAATATAAAACACATTTAAGGTTAGATATATATTCAAAATTAGAAAAATGGTCATCAAATGTCAATCATAATCTTTATCATCTATAAAAAACATATATTTTCAGTTTGCATTTTAGTCACTCTCTAATTAGATTATATGATTATAAGTGTAGGATTAGAGAAATTTGATAAGAACATTTTGGAAATCCAATGGTCACACTAACTTTATTTTTGAAATATAAAAAATACAAGTGGTCTGATTCTTTTCCTTTCTTTCTTTTTTTAACAGATTTCTTTGGATCCCTACAGCTTGTATTTAAACTAGAATTTGGAAATAAAAGGTAAGGACTATACCAAAATAAAACTATTTTTATTCTCTTATGGTTACACGTGATTAATTTTTTCCCTTCAATTACTTTATGTTATGTAGTGACAACAAAAGTACATGTATATTTAGGGGAAAAAGGGTTTAAAAGCATTCACTGTCAAACCCTATCTGAAAAGCACGAAATTTTGTCATGAAACAGAAAGCACCTGGTTTGATCTGTTTATCTATAAAATAAAAACAATGTTTAACACCTTAATTCACTAATGAATACAAATATGTTTCAATTCTATAACCTAAATCTTCACTTTAGCTGAATATCTAACCTTTGAACTCAATACCTTCATTCATAATCCAATAGGTGACCTTTGACCTTTACCTCAATGAATTATTCTCCAGCCAATCAATCCAAGTATACAGTATGGGCATCCCAGGCGAATCCTCCCATAACTTATCCAACATCACACACAGTGCGCCAAGCTGTTGCCATGACAACCAAATTGCTGTCAATGTAAATTGTGGTGGTCCGCAGGCTGGGTACTCGGGAGGAAAAGTCACCGTCAAATTTAATGGTGTTAGGTGAGAAATGAGGATGGATGCCAATAGATTGTTACCTGGTGACAGAAACAGTACATATTTCTTTTCATTTCTTACTACATTACATTGTTGTGGTCAATATTCATAACTGGCTATAATCATACTTGCTTGAAGTCTTATAGATCCTTAAATTAACAAAGAGTAACAAAATTCTGACAAGAGTAAGTGAAAAAATACATGTAATCTTAAATGGCAACTGTAGAAAGAAAAAAGATTTGTGAAAATTATAAAAAAAATATTCACTGGTCTAGAAAAATCACCTGTTCATCAAAACTGCAAGCCATTACAATCCCTGGTCTGTCAAAACTATAAGCCATAAACCAAATTGTCTATCGAAACTGCAGGCCATAAAAACCAACTGTTTATTAGAATGGTACATCATTAAAACCAAAGCAAAGGTCCAAACTGCAGGCCATTAAAACCAACTATCTATCAAAACTGTAGGTAATTGAAACCAAATATTAAATGGCAGGCCATTACAACCAATTGTCTATTAAAACTGTAAACCATTAAACCTATTCCCTATGAAATCTGCATGCCATTAAAACCAACTATCTATCAAAACTGTGGGTAATTGAAACCAAATATTAAATGGCAGGCCATTACAACCAATTGTCTATTAAACATGTGGGTAATTGAAACCAAATATTAAATGGCATGCCATTAAAACCAATTGTCTACTAAAACTGTAAACCATTAAACCTATTCCCTATGAAATCTGCATGCCATTAAAACCAACTATCTATCAAAACTGTGGGTAATTGAAACCAAATATTAAATGGCATGCCATTAAAACCAATTGTCTATTAAAACTGTAGACCATTAAAACCTATTCCCTATGAAATCTGCATGCCATTAAAACCAACTATCTATCAAAACAGTGGGTAATTGAAACCAAATATTAAATGGCAGGCCATTACAACCAATTGTCTATTAAACATGTGGGTAATTGAAACCAAATATTAAATGGCATGCCATTAAAACCAATTGTCTACTAAAACTGTAAACCATTAAACCTATTCCCTATGAAATCTGCATGCCATTAAAACCAACTATCTATCAAAACTGTGGGTAATTGAAACCAAATATTAAATGGCATGCCATTAAAACCAATTGTCTATTAAAACTGTAGACCATTAAAACCTATTCCCTATGAAATATGCATGCCATTAAAACCAACTATCTATCAAAACTGTGGGTAATTGAAACCAAATATTAAATGGCAGGCCATTAAAACCAATTGTCTATTAAAACCATGGACTATTAGAATCAAATGTCTATTAAACTGCAGGTCATTAAAAATAACTATCAATTGGAAAAATAAAAAAATTAAATAAAAAAAAAAAAAAACTATCAAAACTGCAAGCCATTAACACCTCTCCTTTTAACATACCTACTAAAACATTTCCAGTTGTGTTGATGCTTAGAATAGAAAAGAACAACAAAAAATGAATGTGAATGCACTTGAATGATGACGAGTAAAGGAATACCCTAGCCATGTCAAGTGAGTACTTTTTAGTGATTGTTACCTGAAGCAAAGTTACCTGAATCTGACCGTTTGTAGTTGAGAGCTGCTAGATTCTGAACATTTGAGTCCTGTGTTGTACTGTTCACTGGTCCTCGTATGGGCGTGCAGACGTCTAGAGTTACCTTAGCAACATCTTGTTTAACAGGCACTTGTAGCTTATAGTGTCAAACAAAAAGAATTGGAAGTATTTATACATGTAATACAATATGTCTAACAGGTGGTCAGCTTTGCCTTGATGAGTATTTTTACCTTTAGGACATGCACTGATCAACTCACCTAATGTTGCTTTTAGCTTTGCCTGATTCATCAGCTTGTAACACATTAATTAATAGACTGTTAAAGTAGTACAAATAGATTACCGGTAATAGAGCTATACTCATCAACAAAATTGAATGGAATATGCAATCGATTTTTGAGAAACCACTATAATTCAGCCCCACGAAAATACATGATTTTACAGTAGAAGATATTATTTTTTTTTAAGAATTCATTAATTCAATAATTCCACAGAGGTGGGACCTAAAAATGAATCATCCTGCATCGCTGATAAGTGGAACACTCTAACTTATACAAGTGTAATGCATTGAATGTCATGATCTACCTGAAGCTGGTAAAATCTAGAATTCTCCTTGCAATCTTCACTTTCTGGAATTTCTTCCGGTGCCACAGAAAAAACAGTAAGTCGGTTTTCTTCACCTTCAAAGATGGATTGTAAAGCCAGAACCTGTCAATAAGACATCACAGGTAAATACCAAACAAATTACAGGTAAATATACCAAACAAATCACAGGTAAATATACCACACAAACAATGAGCATATCATGCAAAGCACAAGAAAATTCCAAACAAATCACATGTATCAGTACTTTTACAATGCATGGTCCTTCCGGACATGTAACAGTGTAATGCGTGGGGGTGGATGGATGGAGGGGGTGTAACTTATTGTTGTTTGAGGCCACTGACCGATGGCCTTGAAGGTCTCAGTTGTGGTATTGTTGACAGTTTTCTCATTAAACAGGTCCAGGCGATAGTAGTATACCTATCTGTGATGTTCTAATTATTTTCCTTGTGCTGTAACGATGTGGATACCTCGTCTTTCTGTTCCTGTAAATTGTCCGCCAAATGTGTTGACCATCCTCCGTTGATACGCACTCCTGGGTCTGCAGCTGTTGCCATATTTATCTACTTGACCTGTCCAGTCGCATTTCACTGACCAGTATTTTCTAGTTTCAGCGTTCTGACAGTTGTGTTGTCAATGGTCACCATGATGTTTTAGTGTTAACCCTATTTACGATAAACATTCAAACGACACCGATATTTCTGTCAAACCCAGTATGAGATCTCCTGGTGTAATATCTCCAAGTTCTTTGCTCTCATATTTATTTTTCGTCAATTGAATTCTTAAAGTATCTCAAATTAAGTGACTCTTTTTTAAAACACGCCTCCAGTTAGATGTGATGCTACATGCTCACTTCGACCAAAAGTATAGGAGTTTCGTCTGCACTCCGTTCGACCAAAAGTATAGGAGTTTCTGCTGCAATGAGTTGTCGCCCTTGATCTGAACGGCTCTGTAAGCCTCGACATGCCGGTCGAGGTACATAAACAGAGGGTTCTGAAGTACTCTCAGGCTCTTGTGGGATGCTCCGGACAGGTAAATTTCCTATTTATCGTCCATACATACATTACATAATTGGGAACGATTTCCTATTGACGTTTTAATCAATGTCAATCCAGTAACACGTGCTCTCGCATTTCACGAACACATCCTTATGAAAGTCAAACTTTTTTAGATCTCACAACTGCCTAATTAATTTCTACGAAGTTGGTCCATTCATGAGGTTATAAGTCCACAAGCTAATTCATTTAGTACTGTGTCCTGGCGTGTCAACCGGAGTCAGTATTTTCGTTACAAACAACCTCTTATAATCAAGTGATACCGAGTCAAAATTTGGTCTTATAGCATATCCTTGGGGTAAAAGGTTATCAAATTTGTCCAGTGGAATGACCTTGATCCATGTTGTAGGTCACAGGTCTTTAACGTGTTGTTAATGGCCACTTTTGCAGAAAATGTGTCGTGATTAGCCGTGTTTTAAACTCACCAGTGACTGTATTAACATATACATGTGCACAGGAAGGAAAGCATTACTATGATTTATCAAAGCATGGTACACCTTTGATAATGTGATACTTCTGTTAAAATTGATTAAAGATTTCCCGTTAGTTCTACTAAATGACATGTAGAGATCTCTCCTTTTGTTTGTGGCAAGATGTCATTGCCTTGATCTTGATGGCATTTGAAAAGAATTGCTACAGAACAAATAGGACTGAAGCAAAACAAGAAGGACTAAGTGATATCGATATTACCCATTACAACACATTAATATGTAGCATACTTTTGGGATTTACAAATGCATCAAACAGCACCACTAATTCTGTTTACATGTAGTTTCCCTGATAATTGCATCATGCTTGCAAATATAGCCAGGCAGTTAAAGTTTGAAGTCCACTCGAACATGAAAAGTAGGTCATCTTCAACATCTGCAACCCTCATTCTGAAGAATCTTAGATCAAAATCACTAATACAAGTCCTGTACAAATAGAGATGGCAATAATCTTATACTTAAACTAAAAATTACCTTCTTAAGTGGTAACTATATTGTTTCACATTTGTTTTCTTTTACAGGCTGCAGCATATGGGAAATGTGTTGCCATCAAGGCCAACCTTAAGAAAGGAGATTGTGAAAAGGAATTTCTGTTACTCAAAGAATGTATGCAGGCTGGTGTAAGTGTAACAGTTTTACATGATAATAAAGATTTAGAAATTTAATTTTAGAATTTTTGAAAAATAGGATTGGAGGAGTTTTATGAAGAGCTATTGATTTTCTGTTTGTTGCTAAAACTGATCCTGTTATGAAACAGGTGTCTGCCTACAGTTATGGTCAATTTTTTGTTTACTGAAAAGGCAAGTGGTCAGGATTTTGAAATTTGTCACATGATAATGATCAATTTGAAATGGTCAGTTTTAAGGTAAAGAACAGAAAGCCAGTCATAATTTTGTAGATTTTGATCAGCTTTTAGTTTTCACAGACTGAACAGGTGACCAGTCAGAGTTTAGAATTCATTAATTATGTTGATCAGTTTTTGCAGATTGAACTGGCTACTGGTAAGAATTTTAAAGACTAATCACAGACAGTATATTAAAACTTGATTCTTTAACAAAGTTTTTCTTCCTTGTTTCAGATGAAGAAAATTAAATAATGGTAACCATGGAGGAAGGATAATTTATGAAGCAGTGTTGAGTTCATCACCATGGAGGAAGGATGATTTATGAAGCGATGTTGAGTTCATCACCATGGAGAAGGGTAATTTATGAAGCAGTGTTGACTTCATCACCATGGAGGAAGGATAATTTATGAAGCAGTGCTGAGTTCATCACCATGGAGGAAGGATAATTTATGAAGCAGTGTTGAGTTCATCACCATGGAGGAAGGATAATTTATGAAGCAGCGTTGAGTTCATCACCATGGAGGAAGGATAATTTATGAAGCGGTGCTGAGTTCAGACTATCGAAGTGTTTTTTTTTCAAAACTTGTATAAACTTTAGATCACACCTGTGTTGAACACCAAGCAGATTCAATATCTAATAGTGTTGAGTTCACCGATTATTTTGCATATACATGTACATAAAATGTAAATATTGAAAATATAAGATTAAAACGAAAATGAATGCTTGTAATTTACTTTCACTTCTGGAGTGGGATACACCAACAGTTGTCCGTTTTGTGTAATGTCTGGTTTGACGGGGTTGATGATGAAATGGACAAACAAGACGCTGTATTTGTCCAGCAATTTGCCCATGCCTGATAATAAGCCCACCCATATTCATTGCTTTTCAGATGTTAATTCATTTTCCTGTAATAAGCCCACCTCTGGACTTTGAGTTAGTTGTTTTCAGGTGAGCTGAAAGAAATTGTAACATTTATGACAGAGGTTAGCCATTGATAAAGTGTTCCTTTGTAGCTGTATGATCGAAACAAAGCCACTGGATTCAATCTGTTTACTTTTATCAAAAGAGAGAGAGAGAGACATTAACATGTATCGTGCATTAATGGTACACATAACAGCACAGATGACACCACATAATTCTGTCACCACAATAGCAGATGCAAATGCCAGAAATATTCAGAAACAGTGTTACTGACAAATGAATTCAACCGTTCACTCAGAGAGATAGAATTCAAATGTACCGAAGTACTAAGGACAATGAAAGAAATCCACAAGATAGAAACTTTCAACCAATCTTCACAACTTCGTCAAAGTCCGTCAAGTGTCACATGTCCAGTCTGTAGCTGACCACAACTCACGTACAGCACACATACATACCTACAAAGCGCAAACAAAGAAATGTACTTGCTCTATACCTGGTATATGTACTGGTATACATTAACAGGCAAAACGTAATGCGAGTTTTACGAATAATATACAAAAACAACCTATTCAGTATATTGTACTACCCCACAATAAATATATTTTATATCCCACAGAATTTGACAATACAATAACTTAATAATTTTGACAGTTACACATTAACACCATTTACTCAGACTTGTGGAAGGATACAGACTCTGTCACCAGTTTCACACTTCTGAAAACAAATGTTGCAGCCCTCCGATTGATCCCAGAAGATCAAGGCACCCACCATTGTATGATCTGTATTAGTCCTTAACCATGGGATCTTTTTCTACATTTGCTCTCAACAATTCTGCCAGCTGGAAAAGTGACATTTTGAAAGATAAATTGAGAAAAATACACTGCCCTTCATAAATCCCGAGACATTTTACAAAATGCAGTAATATTACAATAAATAGTTAATACTGAAATTCTTATATTAATTATATTCTCATTTTTATCTAATAGACTACCCATGGTGTATATCAGGCATTATGTCGAAGACATTTTTGCACTATTATGTAACTTTGTAGATATTTTGATCGCTTAAGAACACCTTCAGAGAGACTAAATAGTCCCCTCAATGTTATTTTAAGGAGGCAAAGTACACACATTGCTTGATCTCTATCTGATCCAATGGACTAAAACAATCCACTCATTGCTGACGAGACAAAAAATCTCACAATTTGATGATGACAGACTCAAACAGTCCACTAATTGTGTAATGATGACAGACTCAAACAGTCCACTAATTGTGTAATGATGACAGACTCAAACAGTCCACTAATTGTGTAATGATGACAGACTCAAACAGTCCACTAATTGTGTAATGATGACAGCCTGAAACAGTCCACTAATTGTTTAATTATGACAGACACAAACAGTCCACTAATTGTGTAATGATGACAGACTCAAACAGTCCACTAATTGTTTAATGATGACAGACTCAAACAGTCCACTAATTGTTTAATAATGACAGACACAAACAGTCCACTAATTGTGTAATGATGACAGACACAAACAGTCCACTAATTGTGTAATGATGACAGACACAAACAGTCCACTAATTGTTTAATGATGACAGACACAAACAGTCCACTAATTGTGTAATGATGACAGACACAAACAGTCCACTAATTGTTTAATGATGACAGACACAAACAGTCCACTAATTGTGTAATGATGACAGACACAAATAGTCCACTAATTGTTTAATGATGACAGACTCAAACAGTCCACTAATTGTTTAATAATGACAGACACAAGCAGTCCACTAATTGTGTAATGATGACAGACACAAACAGTCCACTAATTGTGTAATGATGACATTCACAAACAGTCCACTAATTGTGTAATGATGACAGACACAAACAGTCCACTAATTGTGTAATGATGACAGACACAAACAGTCCACTAATTGTGTAATGATGACAGACTCAAACAGTCCACTAATTGTTTAAAAATGACAGACACAAACAATCCACTAATTGTGTAATGATGACAGACACAAATAGTCCACTAATTGTTTAATGATGACAGACTCAAACAGTCCACTAATTGTTTAATGATGACAGACACAGTCTACTAATTGTGTAATGATGACAGACACAAACAGTCCACTAATTGTGTAATGATGACATTCACAAACAGTCCACTAATTGTGTATGACAGACACAAACAGTCCACTAATTGTGTAATGATGACAGACACAAACAGTCCACTAATTGTGTAATGATGACAGACTCAAACAGTCCACTAATTGTTTAATGATGACAGACACAAACAGTCCACTAATTGTGTAATGATGACAGCACACACAAACAGTCCACTAATTGTGTAATGATGACAGCACAAACAGTCCACTAATTGTGTAATGATGACAGACTCAAACAGTCCACTAATTGTTTAATAATGACAGACACAAACAGTCCACTAATTGTGTAATGATGACAGACACAAACAGTCCACTAATTGTGTAATGATTACAGACTCAAACAGTCCACTAATTGTGTAATGATGACATTCACAAAAAGTCCACTAATTGTGTAATGATGACAGACACAAACAGTCCACTAATTGTGTAATGATGACAGACACAAACAGTCCACTAATTGTGTAATGATGACAGACACAAACAGTCCACTAATTGTGTAATGATGACAGACACAAACACTCCACTAATTGTGTAATGATGACAGACACAAACAGTCCACTAATTGTGTATGACAAACACAAACAGTCCACTAATTGTGTAATGATGACAGACACAAACAGTCCACTAATTGTGTAATGATGACAGACACAAACAGTCCACTAATTGTGTAATGATGACAGACACAAACAGTCCACTAATTGTGTAATGATGACAGACTCAAACAGTCCACTAATTGTGTAATGATGACAGCCTGAAACAGTCCACTAATTGTTTAATGATGACAGACTCAAACAGTCCACTGATTGTGTAATGATGACAGACACAAACAGTCCACTGATTGTGTAATGATGACAGACACAAACAGTCCACTGATTGTGTAATGATGACAGACACAAACAGTCCACTGATTGTGTAATGATGACAGACACAAACAGTCCACTGATTGTGTAATGATGACAGACACAAACAGTCCACTGATTGTGTAATGATGACAGACACAAACAGTCCACTGATTGTGTAATGATGACAGACACAAACAGTCCACTGATTGTGTAATGATGACAGACACAAACAGTCCACTGATTGTGTAATGATGACAGACACAAACAGTCCACTGATTGTGTAATGATGACAGACACAAACAGTCCACTGATTGTGTAATGATGACAGACACAAACAGTCCACTGATTGTGTAATGATGACAGACACAAACAGTCCACTGATTGTGTAATGATGACGGACACAAACAGTCCACTGATTGTGTAATGATGACGGACACAAACAGTCCACTAATTGTGTAATGATGACAGACACAAACAGTCCACTGATTGTGTAATGATGACAGACACAAATAGTCCACTGATTGTGTAATGATGACAGACACAAACAGTCCACTAATTGTGTAATGATGACAGACACAAACAGTCCACTAATTGTGTAATGATGACAGACACAAACAGTCCACTAATTGTGTAATGATGACAGACACAAATAGTCCACTGATTGTGTAATGATGACAGACACAAACAGTCCACTAATTGTGTAATGATGACAGACACAAACAGTCCACTAATTGTGTAATGATGACAGACACAAACAATCCACCACTTGATGGCATGAACTTGAACTGATTAATGATAGACAAATAAGCAAAACAATGAGCATTAATATAAGACTTTATTGAATAACAAACAAATTTAACAAAGTATAAAGTTTTAAAAATACCCTTATTAAGGAAATCTTTTAAGATTCATTTAAGTTAAAGATTTTTATTTGATATTTTAAAGTGTAAAATGTACCTTCCTCATAATGCAAGTATTAAAATACAAGTCTGAATAAAAATCTTATTAAAATATTTCAAAACTTTCAGTGACCTTGGTATATTTCATCAAGGAATTTTTATTTATCAAACCAACATTTTCACTTCATGCTTTTTTACAATTAAAATTTTCATGGTGGCTTGGAAAGGACTTCGAAGTGACGTTCATATTGCACTGAGAAATCTTTAATCATACCAGGTCTTTGTGTTTACATAGTTCATACTACCACGACCAAACTACTGACTTTTCATCCCAAGTCTCCATGACAAAGGATCATTGAAGTAGACAGATTAGATAATGTTTAAAACTACACACTTGTATCGTCATCACTGTTTTTCTTTACTGCTAATTCTGAATTCTTTGATATGGATTTTGGAAACTATGTTATCTTAAAGTTTCCTTTAATTAACAGTCAAAATACACAGGATTTTTCTTAATGTTCTTTCCCAGCCACCAGATATATATATATTAATTTTAAAGAATTACTGTAAAACGAAAAAAAAAAAAAAAAAAATTAAAATTTTTTCTCATTGTGATAAAATTAACGATGTTGAATCATGCATAAAATTGTCATGTAGGTAACAGTACCGAAACATTTGTTTAATTTGGCAGAAAACAAATTTCCTTGGGTGTTATTAATAAATACTTAATGTATGACTTATGAATCTAGATCTGTATCTGTCAGTCATGTTAAAAAATCCTACTAATTGTGTTCACTAAATTTCTAAGTTGGTTGCTCAGAATACACAGATACATGTCTTTTTTTTGATAACTTAACATCTTTTTTTTTTTTTGGTTTCATTTTGTTTTAGAAAAATCCTGACAATGAAAGTATAGCTAACATTTTAACAGGTCTCCTTTTATTTGAAATATCTATAAATAGACCTCATATATTGCTGACATCTGAACACATGCCCTGAAAAGCGTTACACATGAACCGATTTTAAATGGTACAATATTATTTGTTCTAGCTAGGAACGTCATGGTTTTTTCCTTACAAGGCAATGTCTCTGTGGGGTAAATTTTGTCAAATCTATCAAACTCTGAAGTCCTCATACACCACTTTTTTCTTTCAATGCATACAAGATATCATCTTGGCTTACATTAAGCCTCACTCTCATAAAAAGGTCATTGCGTCCATGTTCTACGAGGAGTAGTCGTATACTTCCTAATCTAGAACACATTCCTGCTAGTTCAGAGGTGGATGGTGGTTGTAGATCTGAAAACAGAATTATATCCTCAATCATAATCCAAAGAAATCGTCACAGGAATAATATTATGCACCATTTTCAATATAGACAAGAAAATCCAGTTTTTCAATTTTGATAAACTTTTCTAAGAAAATTAATGCATAACACCATTAAATCTTAATACAAATGCTGATTTGCAATTAGTGTCATTCAAATTTCAGTCTCAATTATTTCCCCTTAACCATGAGAAAAAAACACTCACCATCAAATCTACACAGGGAAATGTGTTGGGAGTAGAGTTTAGAGAATTCTGCCTCCTCCAGTCCTGTCCGATGGAACTCGGCCACAATTGCTCTGAGAAATACCTTCTCTTGTATGGAACAGCTCCTGAGGTTATAAACAAACTCAAGATAAGATCTAAGTATCAAACACACCCATCATGTGTAGGACATCTCCTAAGTATCAAACACATCAAAAACACATCAAACACACACATCATGTGTAGGACATCTCCTAAGTATCAAACACATCCATCATGTCTAGGACATCTCCTAAGTATCTAACACATCCATCATGTCTAGGACATCTCCTAAGTATCAAATACATCCATCATGTCTAGGACATCTCCTAAGTATCTAACACATCCATCATGTCTAGGACATCTCCTAAGTATCTAACACATCCATCATGTCTAGGACATCTCCTAAGTATCAAACACATCCATCATGTCTAGGACATCTCCTAAGTATCTAACACATCCATCATGTGTAGGACATCTCCTAAGTATCAAACACACACACATCATGTGTAGGACATCTCCTTAGTATCAAACACGTCAAGTCTAGAACATCTCCTAAGTATCAAACACATCATGTCTAGGACATCTAAGTATCAAACACACCCATCATGTGTAGGACCTCTCCTAAGTATCAAACACATCCATCATGTGTAGGACATCTCCTTAGTATCAAACACATCCATCATGTCTAGGACATCACCTAAGTATCAAACACACACATCATGTCTAGGACATCTCCTAAGTATCAAACACACCCATCATGTGTAGGACATCTCCTAAGTATCAAACACACCCATCATGTCTAGGACATCTCCTAAGTATCAAACGCATCATGTCTAGGACATCTCCTTAGTATCTAACACACCCATCATGTCTAGGACATCTCCTGAGTATCAAACACATCATGTCTAGGACATCTAAGTATCAAACACATCATGTCTAGGACATCTCCTGAGTATCTAACACACCCATCAAGTCTAGGACATCTTTTAAGTATCAAACACACACATCATGTGTAGGACATCTAAGTATCTAACACATCCATCATGTGTAGGACATCTCCTAAGTATCTAACACATCCATCATGTGTAGGACATCTCCTAAGTATCTAACACATCCATCATGTCTAGGACATCTCCTAAGTATCAAACACATCAAGTCTAGGACATCTCCTAAGTATCAAACACACACATCATGTGTAGGACATCTCCTAAGTATCAAACACATCATGTGTAGGACATCTAAGTATCAAACACACCAATCATGTGTAGGACATCTCCTAAGTATCAAACACATCCATCATGTGTAGGACATCTCCTTAGTATCAAACACATCCATCATGTCTAGGACATCACCTAAGTATCAAACACACCCATCATGTCTAGGACATCTCCTAAGTATCAAACACATCCATCATGTGTAGGACATCTCCTAAGTATCAAACACATCCATCATGTGTAGGACATCTCCTTAGTATCAAACACATCAAGTCTAGGACATCTCCTAAGTATCAAACACACACACATCATGTGTAGGACATCTCCTTAGTATCAAACACGTCAAGTCTAGAACATCTCCTAAGTATCAAACACACACATCATGTCTAAGACATCTCCTAAGTATCAAACACATCATGTCTAGGACATCTAAGTATCAAACACACCCATCATGTGTAGGACCTCTCCTAAGTATCAAACACATCCATCATGTGTAGGACATCTCCTTAGTATCAAACACATACATCATGTCTAGGACATCACCTAAGTATCAAACACACACATCATGTCTAGGACATCTCCTAAGTATCAAACACACCCATCATGTGTAGGACATCTCCTAAGTATCAAACACACCCATCATGTGTAGGACATCTCCTAAGTATCAAACGCATCATGTGTAGGACATCTCCTTAGTATCTAACACACCCATCATGTCTAGGACATCTCCTGAGTATCAAACACATCATGTCTAGGACATCTAAGTATCAAACACATCATGTCTAGGACATCTCCTGAGTATCTAACACACCCATCAAGTCTAGGACATCTTTTAAGTATCAAACACATACATCATGTGTAGGACATCTAAGTATCTAACACACCCATCAAGTCCAGGACATCTCCTAAGTATCAAACACATCCATCATGTCTAGGACATCTTTTAAGTATCAAACACACACATCATGTGTAGGACATCTAAGTATCTAACACACCCATCAAGTCCAGGACATCTCCTAAGTATCAAACACATCCATCATGTCTAGGACATAATTAGGCCTTTCAATTGACAGACATTCTGGTAAAGAAAACTAAACACGAGGATGATATTGATAACTTTGTAACTGAAACAAACTTAAGACAAGGATGAAACTGAGAATTTATAGACTCCAGAACTTAATGGATGATGAGGTGGCACTTCAATCCAACAGCATGGATTATTACAAGTTTGAGAAACCTGTTTTACAGTTGCTGTTAAATAATGTTTTATCTTAATTTTAAGCATCTTAAACATGTGACAGAGAAATTGTGAAAATTAGTAAATACCAAATAAAGTTTGTTTCACAGTAATAAGATCGTAAGTAATTAGTTTGAAATATGAATGTGTAGTAATAAATGTGTATGTATACTGTTCCTAGGTTATGATAAGGAAGGCGAATAGATGTTGGTTTACACATGGTCAGCAGTCTTTGTTGATCTATAGCTAATGTTACATGTAGTTAATTATCTAAATACTAGTACACAGTCTGCATTGTAGGGCCATTTGAATTGTGTGTGGTTGGTGTGGCAGGGCTCATCTGTGTGCTGGTGCCTTATGTAACTTATGTAACACTTGCTTGTTCCATCCTATCCAATATCAGGCTAAATATGGTCTACCCATCTGACCTCTATCTGCTTTTAAGTATGAAAGAAAGTTCTACCCTGGGTAGAGTTGTCTCCCCTCATACATACCCCTGTATGTATACACTTATCAAACTACACTGATACAAGGAAACTGGACTTTATTACAACTACAACACTACACATAAGCATTACTCTTCAAGTATCTTAAATCACAATAAAACTACAGGAATTGTAATAACTACCGTAACCAGATAATAAAAAAACCCAATTAGATTAGGATTAAATTAGATTAGAGAATGAAGAGTTTTTGTCATACCTGATAGCGACTATTTTTGGTGAGGAGAACATTTCCTGAAGAGCAGCATCAACATGACAAGTACTGACAAGAAGGTTTGCCTTTTTAGAGGGCGACATGGCCTCTGTAATCTCTGTTGCCCGGCGACAAATGTCAAGTGCTCTCCTAGCATCTCCCGAGACTGCTGCCACCTTCCTCGCAGCCAACTGTATAGCATCGTCATCAAATGCTTGAAGGCTCTTCATCCTGGACACGACTATTTCCTGCAGCTGACGGAATGTGTAGGGCTGGAACGTCATCCTGGTGAGACCCTATACACAGAACAAAACAGTCTCTTATATTCTGTGTTTAGGGAATACACTGGTGATTTACAATTATGCAACAAGAATGGCACCCTAATTCTTATATATGAGAATTTTAAGCAAATCAAGCATGACATGATGATAGCTAATGTGTCATGTAGGCTATCCCATGGTGCATAGCTAATGTGTCATGTAGGCTATCCCACGGTGCATAGCTAATGTGTCATGTAGGCTATCCCACGGTGCATAGCTAATGTGTCATGTACGCTATCCCACGGTGCATAGCTAATGTGTCATGTAGGCTATCCCATGGTGCATTACTCAAGAGAATACTACACAATATCACATTCCATGGATACAAATTTCAAAATTATTCTTTAATGGTTGAATGGTGCTCATGTCAATAATCTGTGACAATAATCTATTCAAACTAGGCAGATAAGGTTTAAACACTTACGAGGCGCGAGGACACACGCTTCATCATAATTCTCTCCGGAAGATCCATGGTATTGGCCACAGCCAGGACAACAAGACGAGCATGAGGGTGTGACGGCCAATCAAATATGTTATACATCACATCCTGTTTACGTGTCCACAACAAGTCCAGCTGGAAAAGTTTATAGACCATACTCACAGAAACATTTCACACAACAACTTAATGTAACTTCCAACAGCTTTTCTTTATTGTATGTGTATAGTGTCAGTCTTCTCTATGATGTATACCATATATGACCACAAGGGTGCAGGTGCCCTTAATAAGACTAGAAATAAGGAAGTTTTATGAAAATGATTACAGGTGATACGTATGTAGGAGACAGCTTCCAGTAAGTAGATATAATGATGGTGAGCTGAAAAACATTCAAGTGAGCAATATTTTTACAACCAACCTCATCTGCCAAAAGAACAATGGTTTCCTTCCTAGGGCCTCGTGTGGTAAACTGTTTGTTGAGGAGGTCTACTGCATGGTCAGGTGTTGCCTTCTGTTTGGTCAGTTGCTATGGCAATGAATGGAAAGAATCAATGAAAGACTTTTCCTGTTTATAGGACACAACTGATAATACCAGGAATAGGACGTAAAACAAGTTTAGAAAGCTAAAAGAATGGATATTGGTCCCTCATCCCCATTGTACAGTCTTCATTTCTTAGCTGAAGATCCAGATTAACGGTAAAACTATGATGATACAGACTATAGGGTCTGATCAACGGTAAAACTATGATGATACAGACTATAGGGTCTGATCAGAACCAGAAGAGTTGATACTAATACAATATATATCACCTTCATTCAAAGGAGCTGCTATGCAAACCAGGGTCTGATCAAGAGTAAAACTATGATGATACAGACTATAGGGTCTGATCAATGGTAAAACTATGATGATACAGACTATAGGGTCTGATCAACGGTAAAACTATGATGATACAGACTATAGGGTCTGATCAACGGTAAAACTATGATGATACAGACTATAGGGTCTGATCAACGGTAAAACTATGATGATACAGGCTGTGAAGTAAAGATGAGCTGAATCTCTTGTAAAGATAATAGTGACATTGATTTGGATGGGACGTATGGATATGGGTAACACGTCATGCTTCATGCTTCCCCACTACACCCTATACCAATAAAATGGTCAGGGCATAGTTACAAACCATGAATGAAATCTCAGTATAAATTCATCAGAACAAAGGAGAAGAAATGCTAACCTTGAGGATCTGCACATAAGCCTGACGGGGCTCCGTGAGCTTCATGCCATTGATTTCTATGTATTTAAAGTAAGGCAGTTCACCATCGTCACAGGCTTGCTGTAGAGCCCGAGTCACTTCGCGTACTGTTGCTGTCTTTCCAGTTCCTGGCACACCAGAGATGTACATACACCTGTAGAAGTTATATATAGTCAGGCAGTTGGATAATTTGTTACTTAATCAATTGTTACAGAAAACTAAGTACAACAGTATGCCAAGCCCTGAGGAAAATGTTGCTGAGGTGAAAGATAAAAAAGGTTTACATGAAGAATAAGTATTTAAACCTACAGGTCAAATTTTCAACAGCAACAGAAAAATAAATGAAAAAAAAAAGATGATGTTTTCTCTAATACTTCTATTTTTGGTATCTTTTCTCATAATCCATGTAAATTACAATCTTTTCATAACGGCGAGTCTGAATTTTAGGTTAAAAATAGAAATGGCTTCATTGTCTCTATAGAAGTTGTTATACACACGAGATGGGGATAAATAACATTTCTCTAACACAGAGCGGATCAGGAGTTGTGTAGTAATTCTAAGGGTTACCAGCTGATCAGAAGTTGTGTGGAAATTCTAAGGGTTACCAGCTGATCAAAAGTTGTGTGGTAATTCTAAGGGTTACCAGCTGATCAGAAGTTGTGTGGTAATTCTACCAGACAGGCAACTTCTTTTGTCTTAGTGTTACCAAAATTTCAAGGTATTTTTTGACTGAATTAGACAGACTGTTACTTGTCATATCAGGTAGTATAATACAATTAAGAAATGCATCACATACCCGCCTGTTCCATCCAAAATTTTACTTTCAACAAAGCTGAATATGTCGTCAAATTCCTTGTCACGACAGGGTAAGGAATCTGGTACAGCTGATACATGCAATCTGTAAAGAGACCAAAACTGCCAGTCATGATTGATACAAAATATCTCCTTATCATTTGATACAGTGTTGGACTGATAACCTCTAACAGATTCTAGGTTTGTGGCCCGACACTCCCTTAGCATTTGATACAGTGTTGGACTGATAACCTCTAACAGATCCTAGGTTTGTGGCCCGACACTCCCTTAGCATTTGATACAGTGTTGGACTGATAACCTCTAACAGATCCTAGGTTTGTGGCCCGACACTCCCTTATCATTTGATACAATGTCCGACTGATAACCTCTAACAGATCCTAGGTTTGTGGCCCGACACTCCCTTAGCATTTGATACAGTGTTGGACTGATAACCTCTAACAGATCCTAGGTTTGTGGCCCGACACTCCCTTCGCATTTGATACAGTGTTGGACTGATAACCTCTAACAGATCCTAGGTTTGTGGCCCGACACTCCCTTAGCATTTGATACAGTGTTGGACTGATAACCTCTAACAGATCCTAGGTTTGTGGCCCGACACTCCCTTAGCATTTGATACAGTGTTGGACTGATAACCTCTAACAGATCCTAGGTTTGTGGCCTGACACTTCCCACCCAAGGCGGTTTGCATTTCTTTGGCAGCTGAGAAACAGACTACCGTATTTTCCAGATTATAAGCGGAGACATTTTTCCTTGGCAGTTGGACGTGTCTATACACCGTTGTAACTTTTATGTGGACGAAAAAATCAGCAGAATGCACAAATTAAAAAAAAAAAAAAATGAAGCGTTTCGTCTGGATATTGGTTCTAGACCACTATGTATTTCTGAAGAGCCATTTAGTCAAGGCATATCACATGCACTATTGACCTGCATGACCTCACATCCTGATAATTTGTCACGCTTTCATCATGTGTTTGTGACTGAAACAGATCGTCTAGAACCACCATTTACAATCTTATACAGGATAATTTGAAGATTGAAATAAAAATAACATTCTCATGGGTTTAATTAATCATACCTTTTATTATGAATCACAATAATATCTTCTTAACTTTTGTGGATGATTTCGAAAGCCATAACAGAAGTTTACAATAGCCTGTTGCATCCTGGGATCGATGTCATTGGGTCAAATTCTAGAATGACCTCCATGCTTGTTTATGATAAGAATGGCTTAGTGTATCTTACAAGAAATAATATGGGGCTATGAGAATTTTGCCAGTATGCAAGAGCCTTCGCTAATATTAAACAGTACAGACACGAATAGAGATATTGTTAAGTAACCTGTACCTCAGACCCTATATCTATGCGTTGACAGTCCCGAGCCATTATCTGTGTATAATTCATTTATAAACTTACATTAAATGATTCACTGATGACCTTGATAAATTGCCTTCCATTGTCTGTTATATCAACAAACTTTGGTCAACAGTAATGGTTACCACATCATAAGAAATGGTGTGGCTTATGTGAATCAAATAAAAAAAACAGTTGAAAATTGTGGTTTTTATACTGGTGCACTTTATAACCTGGAAGATACAGCCTGTGCTATCCTTAGGCAAGACACTATATCCCTCTGGATGGTATGTGATCGACCTTCTAAATGTTGTTCAATGAGAAAGCCACCACTTTTTACACTAAGGCCCTGCCTCAAAATGACATTTGAAGTCAACAGTTTAATTAGCAAGCACACGAACAAAATGACTACAACATATATCTTAGTGCTTCTTTCTCAAATATATTTATAGGACAACTTATAGTTCTATTTGGCAAAAGGTTGAACTGACTGGGACAAATCCAACTCCATGAATTCTTATTTAAATATAGTTTGGAACTGAGTTTACCTAGCTCGTGCTTCTTCCAGAACACTGGTGGGAGAAGACAGAGGTTTACACCTCCCAGGGATGGTAGGCGTGGCCCCATCAGCCACCGATCTTCTCCACTGTAACAAATGGATGTCATTGTAGGAAAGTGCTGTAACAATATCCTAAAAATTTTCATACTGTATATTTTATGATAAAATAACTGACGTTCATTTTCTATGATTTCTTGTGGTTGTTTAGTTTTACATCTTACAAGTTTTTCCCCATACTTATCAAAATTAACTTCAAGGACACATATTATCCGCCCTGATTCTTTGAATCTCCAATAGCTAAGCTTTTGATTTTGATCAAAAGCAGTTGGATGTTTGGAATGATGGACTTGAACAAACTTTAATCTCCTGATTAAAATCAAAATATGCATAACCTAACAACAGCTACAGGTCTCTGTTTACAAATACTGAACCAGAAAAAAACTCATCAATAAACGTTATTTCTGTATAAATACCTTGGACTTTTTTGAAGACTGTTTGCGTGGTTGATGGCCTCGGTTTTTTCGTGCTGGTGTAGTAGTTTTACTTTCTGTTCTGTCACTACTGTTGTTGCAGTCTTCATCGTAGTCTTCATCGGCAAACACATCATCTTCATCATTTTCATAATCAGCATCATCATCACTGTACTTCACCGGCGTACAGTCAGTATCTGTGTAGTTTACCTTCCTGAAATACATTATCATCATCATGTCGCTTTAACTGTGTTTGGAAGTTAAGCAAAGAAGTTCAACAGAATTTCTAATATCTGATTAATCTTGTTTATATGATGCTAAATAAGGTTACAATGAATCCGTTAACTCAGTAGATACATGGATGTTCATGAGTTTTTACACTTGTTACTAGAGATTAAATCTAATACTGAAAACCTACATGGAACGTCTTCGTAGTGTCCTGCCTCTGGAAATGGGGCTGTCTGTATCAGATTTACGACTCTCTCTGTTAAACATGGAACCTAGTCCTCGACGGACTGGTCTTTCCACACTATCAGGTGTCTGGTTTCTGAACGATTCATATTTATGTTCACCGACACGCTTCACTATTACACTTGGCACTATTTTTCTCCTCTCTACCTTACTGGCTGACCTTGAGGTCTCTTCTCGCTTCACATTTGGCTGACGAGGCTCAGTTCTGCAACGTTTACCTCCAACCTGATCCCTAGAACTACCCTTCCGTTTTGGAGTTGTGACTTCTTCAGAAATGTCCGACTTTGTCTTGATTGCAGTGACCTTGTTAGGTGTGCTCACAGGTTTAATCCTTAACGGAGTTCCTGTCCTTGACCCAGTGTCTTTAACCTTTGTGGGCGTGGCTTTAGATGGAGAAGCTGTCCTTGACATTCGTTTTCTATCCATGGATACACAATCCAGAGGTGTTTTTGACTTTTTCTGTCGAACGGTAGGTCCAGAAACATTGGAAATTCCACTATCAGATGACATGGAAATAATTGACACAGCATCACTGTCAGTGTCCTGGAGATCACTGAAGAAATTGACCACATCCTCACCTTTATACCATGGATATTTCGCACTGCCTCCTTTGGCTTTGACTAAAGCTGCAGAAGAAAAGCGACATAGTAACAAAATTTTAAGCACACCAGCAATATACAATTAAACAAGATACAAGAATCAGCCATTTATTATCTGATCTATAGTAGCAAAAAAACCTATACCAGCTGTATCAAACAGGAGCATGTTTATCTGTAGATAACCACCCACTGACAACCTATACCAGCTGTATCAAACAGGAACATGTTTATCTGTAGATAACCCACCCACTGACAACCTATACCAGCTGTATCAAACAGGAACATGTTTATCTGTAGATAACCCACACACTGACAACCTATACCAGCTGTATCAAACAGGAACATGTTTATCTGTAGATAACCCACACACTGACAACCTATACCAGCTGTATCAAACAGGAACATGTTTATCTGTAGATAACCCACACACTGACAACCTATACCAGGAACATGTTTATCTGTATCAAACAGGAACATGTTTATCTGTAGATAACCCACACACTGACAACCTATACCAGCTGTATCAAACAGGAACATGTTTATCTGTAGATAACCCACACACTGACAACCTATACCAGCTGTATCAAACAGGAACATGTTTATCTGTAGATAACCCACCCACTGACAACCTATACCAGCTGTATCAAACAGGAACATGTTTATCTGTAGATAACCCACCCACTGACAACCTATACCAGCTGTATCAAACAGGAACATGTTTATCTGTAGAGAACCCACCCACTGACAACCTATACCAGCTGTATCAAACAGGAGCATCTGTAGAGAACCCACCCACTGACAACCTATACCAGCTGTATACCAGCTGTTTATCTGTAGATAACCCACCCACTGACAACCTATACCAGCTGTATCAAACAGGAACATGTTTATCTGTAGAGAACCCACCCACTGACAACCTATACCAGCTGTATCAAACAGGAACATGTTTATCTGTAGATAACCCACCCACTGACAACCTATACCAGCTGTATCAAACAGGAGCATGTTTATCTGTAGATAACCCACCCACTGACAACCTATACCAGCTGTATCAAACCACTGACAACCTATACCAGCTGTATCAAACAGGAACATGTTTATCTGTAGATAACCCACCCACTGACAACCTATACCAGCTGTATCAAACAGGAACATGTTTATCTGTAGAGAACCCACACACTTATCTGTAGAGAACCCACCCACTGACAACCTATACCAGCTGTATCAAACAGGAACATGTTTATCTGTAGATAACCCACACACTGACAACCTATACCAGCTGTATCAAACAGGACTTGTTTATCTGTAGAGAACCCACCCACTGACAACCTATACCAGCTGTATCAAACAGGAGCATGTTTATCTGTAGATAACCCACCCACTGACAACCTATACCAGCTGTATCAAACAGGAACATGTTTATCTGTAGATAACCCACCCACTGACAACCTATACCAGCTGTATCAAACAGGAACATGTTTATCTGTAGATAACCCACACACTGACAACCTATACCAGCTGTATCAAACAGGAACATGTTTATCTGTAGATAACCCACACACTGACAACCTATACCAGCTGTATCAAACAGGATAACCCACCCACTGACAACCTATACCAGCTGTATCAAACATGTATATCTGTAGAGAACCCACCCACTGACAACCTATACCAGCTGTATCAAACAGGAACATGTTTATCTGTAGATAACCCACACACTGACAACCTATACCAGCTGTATCAAACAGGAGCATCTGTAGATAACCCACCCACTGACAACCTATACCAGCTGTATCAAACAGGAACATGTTTATCTGTAGATAACCCACCCACTGACAACCTATACCAGCTGTATCAAACAGGAACATGTTTATCTGTAGATAACCCACCCACTGACAACCTATACCAGCTGTATCAAACAGGAACATGTTTATCTGTAGATAACCCACCCACTGACAACCTATACCAGCTGTATCAAACAGGAACATGTTTATCTGTAGATAACCCACACACTGACAACCTATACCAGCTGTATCAAACAGGAACATGTTTATCTGTAGATAACCCACCCACTGACAACCTATACCAGCTGTATCAAACAGGAACATGTTTATCTGTAGATAACCCACCCACTGACAACCTATACCAGCTGTATCAAACAGGAACATCTGTAGATAACCCACACACTGACAACCTATACCAGCTGTATCAAACAGGAACATGTTTATCTGTAGATAACCCACACACTGACAACCTATACCAGCTGTATCAAACAGGAACATGTTTATCTGTAGATAACCCACACACTGACAACCTATACCAGCTGTATCAAACAGGAACATGTTTATCTGTAGATAACCCACACACTGACAACCTATACCAGCTGTATCAAACAGGAACATCTGTAGATAACCCACCCACTGACAACCTTTATCAGCTGTATCAAACAGGAGCATGTTTATCTGTAGATAACCCACACACTGACAACCTATACCAGCTGTATCAAACAGGAACATGTTTATCTGTAGATAACCCACACACTGACAACCTATACCAGCTGTATCAAACAGGAACATGTTTATCTGTAGATAACCCACACACTGACAACCTATACCAGCTGTATCAAACAGGAACATGTTTATCTGTAGATAACCCACCCACTGACAACCTATACCAGCTGTATCAAACAGGAGCATGTTTATCTGTAGATAACCCACCCACTGACAACCTATACCAGCTGTATCAAACAGGAACATGTTTATCTGTAGATAACCCACCCACTGACAACCTATACCAGCTGTATCAAACAGGAACATGTTTATCTGTAGATAACCCACCCACTGACAACCTATACCAGCTGTATCAAACAGGAACATGTTTATCTGTAGATAACCCACCCACTGACAACCTATACCAGCTGTATCAAACAGGAACATGTTTATCTGTAGATAACCCACCCACTGACAACCTATACCAGCTGTATCAAACAGGAACATGTTTATCTGTAGATAACCCACACACTGACAACCTATACCAGCTGTATCAAACAGGAACATGTTTATCTGTAGATAACCCACACACTGACAACCTATACCAGCTGTATCAAACAGGAGCATGTTTATCTGTAGATAACCCACACACTGACAACCTATACCAGCTGTATCAAACAGGAACATGTTTATCTGTAGATAACCCACACACTGACAACCTATACCAGCTGTATCAAACAGGAACATGTTTATCTGTAGATAACCCACACACTGACAACCTATACCAGCTGTATCAAACAGGAACATGTTTATCTGTAGATAACCCACCCACTGACAACCTATACCAGCTGTATCAAACAGGAACATGTTTATCTGTAGATAACCCACACACTGACAACCTATACCAGCTGTATCAAACAGGAACATGTTTATCTGTAGATAACCCACCCACTGACAACCTATACCACCTGTATCAAACAGGAACATGTTTATCTGTAGATAACCCACCCACTGACAACCTATACCAGCTGTATCAAACAGGAACATGTTTATCTGTAGATAACCCACCCACTGACAACCTATACCAGCTGTATCAAACAGGAACATGTTTATCTGTAGATAACCCACCCACTGACAACCTATACCAGCTGTATCAAACAGGAACATGTTTATCTGTAGATAACCCACCCACTGACAACCTATACCAGCTGTATCAAACAGGAACATGTTTATCTGTAGATAACCCACCCACTGACAACCTATACCAGCTGTATCAAACAGGAACATGTTTATCTGTAGATAACCCACACACTGACAACCTATACCAGCTGTATCAAACAGGAGCATGTTTATCTGTAGATAACCCACCCACTGACAACCTATATCAGCTGTATCAAACAGGAACATGTTTATCTGTAGATAACCCACACACTGACAACCTATACCAGCTGTATCAAACAGGAACATGTTTATCTGTAGATAACCCACACACAGACAACCTATACCAGCTGTATCAAACAGGCATGTATCTGTAGATAACCCAACACTGACAACCTATACCAGCTGTATCAAACAGGAGCATGTTTATCTGTAGATAACCCACCCACTGACAACCTATACCAGCTGTATCAAACAGGAACATCTGTAGATAACCCACCCACTGACAACCTATACCAGCTGTATCAAACAGGAGCATGTTTATCTGTAGATAACCCACACACTGACAACCTATACCAGCTGTATCAAACAGGAACATGTTTATCTGTAGATAACCCACACACTGACAACCTATACCAGCTGTATCAAACAGGAATATCTGTAGACCACACAGAGAACCCACCCACTGACAACCTATACCAGCTGTATCAAACAGGAACATGTTTATCTGTAGAGAACCCACCCACTGACAACCTATACCAGCTGTATCAAACAGGAACATCTGTAGATAACCCACCCACTGACAACCTATACCAGCTGTATCAAACAGGAGCATCTGTAGATAACCCACCCACTGACAACCTATACCAGCTGTATCAAACAGGAGCATGTTTATCTGTAGATAACCACCCACTGACAACCTATACCAGCTGTATCAAACAGGAGCATCTGTAGATAACCCACCAACTGACAACCTATATCAGCTGTATCAAACAGGAGCATGTTTATCTGTAGAGAACCCACCCACTGACAACCTATACCAGCTGTATCAAACAGGAACATGTTTATCTGTAGATAACCACCCACTGACAACCTATACCAGCTGTATCAAACAGGAGCATGTTTATCTGTAGATAACCCACACACTGACAACCTATACCAGCTGTATCAAACAGGAATATCTGTAGAGAACCCACCCACTGACAACCTATACCAGCTGTATCAAACAGGAATATCTGTAGAGAACCCACCCACTGACAACCTATACCAGCTGTATCAAACAGGAACATGTTTATCTGTAGATAACCCACACACTGACAACCTATACCAGCTGTATCAAACAGGAATATCTGTAGAGAACCCACCCACTGACAACCTATACCAGCTGTATCAAACAGGAGCATGTTTATCTGTAGATAACCCACCCACTGACAACCTATACCAGCTGTATCAAACAGGAACATCTGTAGATAACCCACCCACTGACAACCTATATCAGCTGTATCAAACAGGAACATCTGTAGAGAACCCACACACTGACAACCTATAGCAGCTGTATCAAACAGGAACATGTTTATCTGAAGAGAATCCATCCTCTGGGCAGGTAATACCCTACAGCTTTTCACACCTTATCGGGGAAATGAAAATCTGTCTCCCAAGTGAAAAAATCAAGTGCATTACAACTGTGCTGTCCAATCAGCCAAGAATTTATAAAAAAAAAAAGTATTTTTCTCCGAAATGTTTCTCAAGGTCACATTTACAGAGAAGAAAATCCATTTGATGACTCAAACAATCATTATTTTGGGGGAAAAAACTTAGTAGGCATTCAGCTCTAAACTTAAAAAGCTGAAATCAATCAAAATGCTGAACGTTTTCAGCACTAAATGAATTATCAAGCCACACATAATGTTGAATGTCATTGTTTATCTCAGATTCAAAATTAAATTGCCATACTAAATATTTTCCTCTGTAGTATGTGACGTAGTGTTGAAAATATCCAGATTCCTGAATATGTTTGTATTGAACAGAACAGCAATGTGGTACAAGAAGACAAATTTAAAGAGATAATGCCATCTGGATTTTTCTCATGTGACTTACAAAGAGAATTGGGACTCAACATTTGATGACGTTTCTCAGACAATGACTTGACTTCTCCGTCCTTGTTGAGTCTCCTGATGGGTTTCACACTTCTTCGCTGCTGTTGGCGTGTAAACAGGTCTCTATTGCTCTGTAAAATGTCACCACCAGTTGAATGTCTGGTTTGTTGGATTTTGTTTGTAGAATTTTCTAAAGGTTTTCCTGTAGCCAGGGCACAACCTAATGATCTTCGTGATGAACGGTTTGCATGTTCATTTTCCTTTAAGTCTTTTTTCAGAATCCTTCTCGTTTTAGTGTATGATAAAGGGTTGAATGTACTTCCATTGTATGATCTTGTAACGTAAAATTTGTTAGCAGACTCTTCTTCTGGTATTTCTCCAGGCTGGCAGGTTTCAACCTGTTGTAAAAATGCAGTTTTAACAAGATTTCAACACACAGCAATAAAACTAGACATGCCATTTGCAAATTTTTTATCAGCATATTCAGCTAAATTGGTGATTGTCATGAAAATGATGTCAGAAACAATAGTGACACTGAAAAGTCAATGAATTTTGCTTGACTTTGAAAATTTCAATGGTGTCACATACAGAAAAAAAGCCCCCAGATTACTGAAATTATACACAAGTATGGCTCTAAATTCCAATGTTTTTTTCTTTATTTTCTCAAACTGTTGTGTTTTGAAATTTGCAGTGGTATGTCAATCTAGACCTACTTTACTACAGAAATAATGCAATATTCCCCAAGTATCAATGCTGAATAAAACATACTCACCATCATGAAGAGAAAGAGAATATACAAATCTAATCACAACAGTTTGTGCTCTTAATGGATTTCATATATTTCACAGGGTTAGAAAAATCCACTTGTCCACTCCTCTAGACGAGTCAAAGGTACTTGCGGGCGAGTGATTTGTTTCAGCTACTTGTCCGGCAGGCTAGTGAAATATGTAGTTCTGACTATTGAATTTTCCATAATAAATAACATCTTTTACCTTAAACACTAATTTAAATCCACTGATAGTTGATTAAATACATCGACGTAGTATCCTTGTTTACACGTGTCAAGACTCGGGCTGATCCAGACTATGCGAAAACCTATTACGTCACCACAAATGTTGTAAACAAGGTTGTTTTATGTACGTAGTTACTGTCAAAATGTTGATGTTCTCACTCGCGTTACAGTGAATTAAATATGAGTGAAACAATAAAAGCAAGTGTTCAAACATTTAATTTAGAAATTGATAATAAAATTTGTGTTCCTTAAATTATGTTTTGTTGCCTTTTTTTCGGGCGAGTGAGTTTCAAGTTTCACTTGCCCGACGGATGAGTAGCTGAAAATATTTTTTTCTAGTCCGGATTTTATTGGACTAAAAAGCTGTACAAAAAGTCACCCTGCTATAACGGGTAGAATCCCCTCAATTCTTAATTTATTCCTTTATATTGTAAATATACTGTTTACCATAAACCACTCTGGGTATGAAGTGTTGAACCACCTCAACAGGTCAGTAATCACTTACCAAACACTTTCCCAGTATAGTGTCTATATCCACTGTGTCATCCAAGTTTTTGCCATTGTTGAGAAACACTTCTTTAGGGTTTGTCGGTCCATCCTTTCTTTCCAAGCGTCTCAGAGCCGCCTTCACTTCAAACTGACGCCAGTACCACTGGACTATTGCTTTAGGCTCCAGTTTCTGATCTCCAGATTCTACCAATGAGCAGAGAGTTTCATTATAAATCAACATCAACAAGCATACCGAGTATTGCTAAGCTATACATGACCCCTTCTGGCCTCCACAAGCTTTACAATAATGATTTATAAATTTTCTAAAAGCAGTAACAAGTGACCCGACAATCTGAAACTCTTAAGTTGTCGAAGATAACTTATGCTTTTTAAGTGTGTGACGTTTGATGAGAATCCCACAAAGAATGAAGCTGCTAGAATGCTGAAAAACTTTCACAGCTGTAAGCTATAGACCTGCCCCTGAGATTAACAATTCGGCAGAACCTATGAACACTTTTAAATAACAAAGTTGTTATCTTTTGTTATCACTGCTCTATTGGAAATATTTGAAGAAAAAAAATTAAAATGGTGTCAGAGCAACAGAAAAGACATGGTTGGTAACCAAGGAGGAGGGGAACATAGAAAAAAAAAATCATTTCCCTTTAAACACAATGACAGCATACTTACCTTCTTGAACCAAGTCCTTGATCTGAGCAATATATGCACCCTCAATTCCTTCATCATTGTCAGCATCAATGAATACAAAATCACCCAAGCTGTATGGAGTCTGATTAAGTGAAAACTGCCTGTTGAAAGAAACAAGCTGGGTTAAAGGTAATTGTACCAGCCATGACAGTTTAAAAGCAAAATCTGTGGACACATCATTATCACATGCACTTGTCAATGCAGACAAAAATTCTATTGAATTGCATACAAGGTTGTTGGTGTGAATTCATAAAAAGATGTTTTTATACAGTTTAGCAGCTGTCTTATATTTAATACTCATAATATCTGGCACTTTTCTGACCTGGTACATCGCTATAATTAGTGATATCACAAATTCAGGCTTTCATACAATGCTGCGGTGAATTATTGTGACACACCCCACACCCCTGGCAATATTCCTGAAGAATGAACTATTAACAATACTTGTTACATATTAGTGATTGTGAGTACATGTTTCACAGAATTAAACATTGTTATAAAGTTTTTGATTTTGATCTAATAATCATAATTTATTGAAAATCAATTTAATTTTGATTCAAACAAATCTTCATTCATATTCAAAGTAAAGAAAGGGAAGATTTTTGTATGTGGTTTATATATCATTTTATTCCTTAAGGTCAAAAACTTAATTTTGTGTAATGGATCTTCAGGAAATTATACAAGAATTACCTATACAAAACACATGTCTTATCAAAAAATCTGTATTGCAAGTTAGTCAACGATAACCAGGCCTTCATGTAGTTTATGTATTAAGTGAAATTCTGTACTGACTTAGCACCCATTCTTTATATCAATAAATTTGTGTCGTATTCCTTAAGTACAATTTGTACAGGTGCATGAAATGGCATTTCATCTAAGTATACAAAAGATCTTAGCTACAAAGCCCATTTTATTATGTATGACTATTTCAACTCTTGCATGCTGTGTATCAAGCTGATGATTGTGTATTAAGCCTATAAGTCTAATCTCCATGGGCACTTTCGTGTACGCTGTTAGAACAGTTGGACCTGTAAGAAAAATGCCAGGTACAGATTGAACTGAGGCTGGACTGCGGAATATTTGGTACATGCAGTTTGAGGGGTCCAGTCGTACGTGTGTGTCTGAAACTAACTTGCTAAATATCATCAGTTCTCAGTAACAAAGGTAGGGTCGGGCCTCTCACATATTTCCTGAAGCATTGTGCTATAAAGTACGAGTGAAATGGATGGTATCTTAATTTTAATTAATTCTCTAAAGGAAACTCACAAACTGCATTTTGAGCTTTACATATATCAGGTCCAATATCCAGTACAAGTGCGTTTGTTTATAGTGGAATAATTCCAGACCACCTGAACCGTTTCCAACTGCCAAGGCAGCCATCATCACCTATCAGTATACTTAGTGTTAAAATGAATGACATTAACTGATGGCTCTCGTCTACTTCAGCATCAATCTAATGGAGGACACTCTGTCCAAATTATTTGTTTTCCCCATTTGTCCAAAAAGAATGATATTATCCAGTATGTTGACATAGTATTGAAGTAATATGTTCATCCTGTGTAAATCCTGTAATGAAAGAGAAAAATGTTTGGGGAAATATTCAGTTGTGTAGAATGAAATATCTCATAATTAATCCATTTATAAAAGGCATGTGTTATTACATATATATGTCATTGCCAATTTATCTGATTAACAATATGAAAGTCAGCAACACCAAATGGTACAGTTTTTTGTTTCCATATCAGGGCTCTCGATCTGCCAGATTTGGGGCCGATATTCGGCCCCATTCCCAATGCAAAATAATATCTTTTTTCCCAATTTAGACCCCAAGTTTTCCCAATTCTAAGGAAAACACAGCTATTTTTCCCAATTCTAAGGGCCCCAGTCCCAAAATGGGGTGTGAGAGCCCTGCATATAGTAATGTGGTATGGACATAACAAAATGTCTGGTGGTAGAGGTACATGAAACACTGGCTAGGGCAAATGTCTCAGAAAATAAATATTGTCTCTTCTTAGAGTAATAGTTATTAAACGTTTCCATTCAAGAGGCATTTAACCACTTATATCAGTACATTATATAGTACAAGCTGAGACATAAGCAACACGTGTTACATATACATCTCTGTTACAAATAACTTCTCGTATGACATAATGAGACCATTGGTCAGCCAATTAGCGACATTACTATATGACGTCACCGTGCAGGCTTCGACAAAGCGTCCATCAAAGTGTAAACCTTTCACGTTGGAGTAATCTTAGAACACCAGCTTTTAACTCCCCTCCCCCCCCCCCCCCCCGACAATTTCGATTTGTCATCATCATGCTACATAATTTTCTTAAATGTGTATCTTCTACGGCATGTAAGAAACTATGGCTAAAATCAGAGACACGTGGGCCTAAAACAGTCCTGTTTTCATCAGAATAATCAAATGACAAAAATTAGCAACAATGTGTAGCAAGTCATGAAAACATCGAACAAATGGAAAAAAGTAATATATCCAAACTATACTAACTCAAAATGTTTTTCGTTACATCTTCGCCGATCAGTCACTTTTCCTTGTCCTTTCCATGAAAATTCTTTTGTATCGCAAACAGCTGAAAAATATTTCTTCATCATGTTCACTCTTACAGGCTCTTCCTTCAACTCAGCTGGCATTCTCTCCTTCCCGCCACTAGTCCCAAGTAGGGACTATAGTGCGTTTCATTTTACTTGCAGAATTATTTTGAAAGTCCAATATGATATTGAAATAACGTTGTTAGCTTACGCCAGTGAAAGAAAGTGTATGTCTGTATCATCCATAACAATATTGTAATGTCTATGTTTAAAATTAGGAGAAAAATATATTCAAAATGCTACCAATATTCAATGCATGTTTTCTGAAATAATTGATAGTATCATTTGGCACTTGGACTCTCTCTGCACTGAAGGCCCGAGTAGAGAAAAGCTACGAAAGGTAACGAATATACTAATCTAAGTTCTCAAAGCGTTTGTAGGAAAAGCATAGTAATGTATACTTCGCAAGTTTTATCTTAACTAAACGAGCGTCAGCATGGCGAATCGTACAGTGAAAGATGCACATTCGGTAAAAGGAACAAATCCTCAATATTTAGTGGAAAAAATTATCAGAACAAGAATTTACGAGTGTAGATATTGGAAAGAAGAATGTTTTGCGTTGACAGGTAATGTTGGTTCAAAGTAACAATGAGTTTCATCATTCCGTTTGGTGATGTTTTCATTCAAAGTTGTGCTATATCTTAACTTTGTCCGTGCCATATTAACAGTGATGTATTATTAAAGAGAAACCAGAAGCAGCAATGATGTAACAGTTTTACAACACGTAACTCCGTCATATTATAGCCCAACTGGGAATCTCTGACTTGAATAAATTGAAGCAGTGGTCTGCAAAATGTCTTCAAATTTACCATCCGATCTGTTTCAGCTCCTACATGCATGCTATTTATTCTTATGATGCTGTTTATATGATTTGGATGCCTGAGATTGAACATTGTTAAATCAATAAGCAATAGCATTATTGTTGTCAACTTGAAAGCCAGTCTGAAGGGTTCTGACTACCTATCTGTGGACGATTGTTAAGATTCCTCCATATCTAAACATGCCAAATTCTAGCAATCATTGCAAGGATTATCGTTAAGGTCATGTTTTATATTATTGTTTACAACAATGCAATAGTTTTAAACCATTAATGGATGGAAAAATCAAACATTTTTGTACTGAATTGTGATAAAGCCATTAAATGTTGTAAACTAAATATTTTCATTTTCCTAAACAACCTCACTTTCCAGTATGTTTACATTTCACCAAATTTTTCAAGACTTGTGGTAAAAGATCTGCCTTTTCTACCAGTCTCATGAGAATATATATCTTACTTAAGGATACTTAAGGATACTTTCTGGAGCAGGCCTTTGAGGCCTCTATACCAGACTCCTCTAGTACGTCCCCACTAGAAGATGGATTGCCACCTCCAATAGTTGTTTTGTAATTGTCATACAGCACTTCCTGATTTTTCCAGTGTCTATCCAGTCTACTTTTGAAACAGTTCTTTGTTGGAGCTGTAACAATTTCCTCAAGTAAAGAATTCCAGATGTTGATGTTCCTATTTGTAAAATAGTGTCTCCTAACTGATGTGATGTTTCTTTCTGGGTATATTTTCAAAGAATTTTCTCTTGTTAGTTGTCTGTATTCTGTATTTTTCCAGAGGGTGCTGATACTGCTGGCTTTTCTGTCATAGTGTTCTTGTAGAATTTTATAGATTTCAATGAGATCTCCTCTATATCTTCTATATGATAATGATGGTAGTTTTAACCTTCTGAGATGCTTCAGGTATGAAAGATTTTTGAATCCATTTATTTGCTTTGTTGCTCTATAACAATATCTTGTTATTTTTATACACATTAATTTTATCCGCAGCATTTAGCTTCGTGACTTTGTTTGTGCTTTGTCATGTTTTCTTTCTTTTTCTTTTTTTTTTACAGAATTCTTATGACTGGATGTTTTTTGTTGCTTGATCTTTCTAGCATATCAGGCACACAGTGTGTACATAAAATTATATGCCTGTTGGTATTTTGGCCATCAGTGGTATACACTGAGCCACTCTTGCCATTGTTTTTTCCTATAACAACATTGGTTCTAAAGGTTGTATATTTCATATAATTTGCTGGGAATTTTCTGTGATTAAGAGTTTTAACAAGTATCTTGATAATCTCTTGTAGCTGCCTTATTGGTTGACAAGGCCATGGAACTCAAGTTCATTGGTGGTGTGTATGGAGGTAATGTGAAACCATCTCCATTTCTCTGTCTCGTCCTCAAAATGCTGCAGATCCAGCCAGAGAAAGACATTGTTGTGGAATTCCTCAGAAACGAGAATTTCAAGTAAGTGTTGTTTGTATAAAGTTCTTAATCCAGGAATAATTATATACCTGAGCAAAAGCAGTTTTCTAGATAAATAGTTTGTAGACTACATTTGCATGTTTTTATGTTGTCAGGGGAGGTAACTCTTTTTTTCCTCTTTCATTTATTCAAAGTTTCTGTCAGGAGGTGTGCTTATTATAGGACTCTAGGGGCCAGCACATACTCTCAAATTCATGGTTGGGCTCATCACAAGAGTGTGAAATATCATTTGCTAATAATATGACTGGGATTATTCACATCATGAGCCTCTTGGTGAGTAGATATAGTATAATTTTAAATTTAGAGCTTGATTTATGTCCAGAATTTTAAGTGACGGTGTAATGTATTGTCTTTTGTTGCCAGGTATGTACGAGCACTAGGAGCCTATTACATGCGATTAACAGGATCCTCCTTGGACTGTTATAAATACTTAGAGCCCCTGTATTATGACTACAGAAAGCTAAAACGTCAGAACAGGGATGGTGGTAAGTGTTACTGCAGAAAGGAAATGACCTGCAAATGTCATAATGTTGTTGAAATTATCATTTATCAGATTATCAAAATCAATTAAACATTTGATGCAATTAAATCTTTAACACATCATACAAAAACTGGATTAACCACAATCTTATTCAGCACAATACTTTCAGTGCAGAAAGCATGAAAATAAAGTTGGCACTAAAATACAAATATTAAATGATAACCCTGACAAAGCAAATCTCCATTGAAAGGTCACCTCCTTTGCTTAGATAGACAAAGCAAATCTCCATTGAAAGGTCACCTCCTTTGCTTAGATAGACAAAGTAAATCTCCATTGAAAGGTCACCTCCTTTGCTTAGATAGACAAAGCAAATCTCCATTGAAAGGTCACCTCCTTTGCTTAGATAGACAAAACAAATCTCCATTGAAAGGTCACCTCCTTTGCTTAGATAGACAAAGCAAATCTCCATTGAAAGGTCACCTCCTTTGCTTAGATAGACAAAACAAATCTCCATTGAAAGGTCACCTCCTTTGCTTAGATAGACAAAGTAAATCTCCATTGAAAGGTCAGGGTATCCTTTGCTTAGATAGACAAAGCAAAATCTCCATTGAAAGGTACACCTCCTTTGCTTAGATAGACAAAGCAAATCTCCATTGAAAGGTCACCTCCTTTGCTTAGATAGACAAAACAAATCTCCATTGAAAGGTCACCTCCTTTGCTTAGATAGACCCAGCGAATTGCGAATCCAAGATCACATGTATGTAACTGCTGCTGGTTTAATAGTAAGAAGACCTTTATATGTGACTTATACATATTGTAACACTCATTTAGTCCCATTGTGTAACTCACTTGTAGCAACCAAAAAGTCAGACAAATAGATACACAAAACTGTGTGGGGAGCGCAAGAGTTCATCTGTATCTGGACAAGGTCAGACAACTGGTGACTAAAGAGTGAGGTTAGTACATGTGTAACTCACTTGTAGCAAGACTGGGTCAGACAACTGGTGACTAAGGAGTGAGGGTAGTACATGTGTAACACACTTGTAGCAAGACTGGGTCAGACAACTGGTGACTAAGGAGTGAGGGTAGTACATGTGTAACTCACTTGTGGTAGGACTTGGTCTGTTGTTGATTTTTTCCAGAAATCAGAATTAAACAACATGTTTTTGTTTGAAACAGCTAGATGTGCATATTCATGCATTTTCATGCCTGTATGTGACGTATCATGTGTTGTATGTGATGTATCGTGTGTTGTATGTGAAGTATCCTATGTTTTTTGTGATGTATCATGTGTTGTATGTGATGTATCATGTGTTGTATGTGATGTATCATCTGTTGTATGTGATGTAACATGTGTTGTATGTGATGTAACATGTGTTGTATGTGAGGTATCATGTGTTGTATGTGATGTATCATGTGTTGTATGTGATGTATCATGTGTTGTATGTGATGTATCATGTGTTGTATATGATGTATCATGTGTTGTATGTGATCTGTATTGTATGTGATCTGTGTTGTATGTGAGGTTTCATGTGTTGTATGTGATGTATCATGTGTTGTATATGATGTATCATGTGTTGTATGTGATCTGTATTGTATGTGATCTGTGTTGTATGTGATGTATCATGTGTTGTATGTGATGTATCATGTGTTGTATGTGATCTGTATTGTATGTGATCTGTGTTGTATGTGAGGTATCATGTGATGTATGTGATGTATCATGTGTTGTATGTGATGTATCATGTGTTGTATGTGATGTATCATGTGTTGTATGTGATGTATCATGTGTTGTATGTGATCTGTGTTGTATGTGATGTATCATGTGATGTATGTGATCTGTGTTGTATGTGATGTATCATGTGTTGTATGTGAGGTATCATGTGTTATATGTGATGTATCATGTGTGGTATGTGATCTGTGTTGTATGTGAGGTATCATGTGTTGTATGTGATGTAACATGTGTTGTATGTGATTTATCATGTGTTGTATGTGATGTATCATGTGTGGTATGTGATCTGTGTTGTATGTGATATATCATGTGTTGTATGTGATGTAACATGTGTTGTATGTGAAGTATCATGTGTTGTATGTGATGTATCATGTGTTGTATGTGATATATCATGTGTTGTATGTGATGTATTATGTGTTGTATGTGAGGTATCATGTGTTGTATGTGATGTATCATGTGATGTATGTGATGTATTATGTGTTGTATGTGATCTGTGTTGTATGTTAGGTATCATGTGTTGTATGTGATGTATCATGTGTTGTATGTGATGTATAATGTGTTGTATGTGATATATCATGTGTTGTATGTGGTATATCATGTGTTGTATGTGATATATCATGTTGTATATTTTTCAGGTTTTGAGCTTATACATATGGATGAATTCATAGATGAATTACTCAGAGAAGAGCGTGTATGTGACATCATCTTACCTAGAATTCAGGTAGGTGTCAATCTTGTTACCTAGACTACAGGTAGGTGTCAATCTTGTTACTTAGACTACAGGTAGGTGTCAATCTTGTTACCTAGACTACAGGTAGGTGTCAATCTTGTTACTTAGACTACAGGTAGGTGTCAATCTTGTTACCTAGACTACAGGTAGGTGTCAATCTTGTTACCTAGACCACAGGTAGATGTTAATTGTGTTACCTAGACTACAGGTAGATGTCAGTCATCTTACCTAGAATTCAGGTAGGTGTTAATCTTGTTACCTAGACTACAGGTAGGTATCATTCTTGTTACTTAGACTACAGGTAGGTGTCAATCTTGTTACCTAGACTACAGGTAGGTGTCAATCTTGTTACTTAGACTACAGGTAGGTGTCAATCTTGTTACCTAGAATTCAGGTAGGTGTTAATCTTGTTACCTAGACTACAGGTAGGTGTCATTCTTGTTACTTAGACTACAGGTAGGTGTCAATCTTGTTGCTTAGACTACAGGTAAGTGTCAATCTTGTTACCTAGACTACAGATAGACTTCAATCTTGTTACCTAGACTACAGATAGACTTCAATCTTGTTACCTAGACTACAGATAGACTTCAATCTTGTTACGTAGACTACAGGTATGTGTCAATCTTGTTACCTAGACTACAGATAGACTTCAATCTTGTTACCTAGACTACAAGTAGGTGTCAATCTTGTTACCTAGACTACAGATAGACTTCAATCTTGTTACCTAGACTACAGATAGACTTCAATCTTGTTACCTAGACTACAGATAGACTTCAGTCTTGTTACCTAGACTACAAGTAGGTGTCAATCTTGTTACCTAGATACAGATAGACTTCAATCTTGTTACCTAGACCAAGTAGGTGTCAATCTTGTTACCTAGATACAGATAGACTTCAATCTTGTTACCTAGACTACAGATAGACTTCAATCTTGTTACCTAGACTACAGATAGACTTCAATCTTGTTACCTAGACTACAGATAGACTTCAGTCTTGTTACCTAGACTACAGATAGACTTCAATCTTGTTACCTAGACTACAGATTGACACCAATCTTGTTACCAAGACTACAGATAGACTTCAGTCTTGTTACCTAGACTACAGATAAACTTCAATCTCTTAACCTAGACTACAGATAGACTTCAATCTTGTTACCTAGACTACAGATTGACGCCAGTCTTGTTACCTTGACTACAGATAGACATCAATCTTGTTACCTAGACTACAGATAGACTTCAATCTTGTTACCTAGACTACAGATAGACTTCAGTCTTGTTACCTAGACTACAGAGAGACTTCAGTCTTGTTACCTAGACTACAGATAGACTTCAATCTTGTTACCTAGACTACAGATAGACTTCAGTCATGTTATGTATACTCCAGGTAGACTTCAATCTTGTTACTTCTCTATCCACAGAAGCGGTCAGTGATGGAGGAGAGCAACACACTGGACCCACGTGTCAGTGCACTTGAGGAGGACCTCGAGAACATGGACACTTCAGATGATGAAGAAGTTATGGTCAGTTCTAACCCCATCATCTAAGTGTTTCTTTGTAAAAAGAGAATCTGTTCTCTCAGATTTGGGCTGCAAAGTATTGCAGTAATAAACACAGCTTAGACTGATAGGATAGTGAATACTATAGAAAGACCAGTAATTTATTGGACCATTTTAGGAAACGCACACAAAAAATATACTAAAACAGGGAATTATACGACAAGAATGCTGGGGAATAATCTTTTCTTCTTTTATAGTGAATACATCATTGGTGTACTTTATAGTGTCTATACATAGTTGTAGTGAGTAAAATATCATACCTGGACCATATATAGTCTCCTTCACAGCCTTTGTAACAGAGAAGACTTGTTTAGCCTCCAGTACACTTTCCACTGCTAATGAACCCTGTTTTGTCTGATAACTGACAATACGTGAACTATAAAAGCCACTAATTAAAATGCTGAGATATTAGGATTTTACCACTGTCAGTGTATACCCAAGGAAGTATCCTGTTAGATCTCTTGTTTGAGATACCAAAGGTATCCATTTATCACTTCAGCATGAGAGGAGTCCATCACCAGAGCGAAGGCGAGGAGGCTACAAAGACATAGACAAACCCAACAGAAGTCCATCACCTCGATATGCTCGCAGTCCCTCACCTCATAGCAGGTAAACACAGCCACTGACTCCCTATTTTATAACAATTGTTGGTATCATAATGTAATAATTTGGTTCTGTTAATGACAGACTGGTCAGCGATTCTGTAGGAAAAGTTCAAAGTTTCCTTTTGGATGTATTTCCTACTATATATGAGGAAATATTTGTTCAGCATTTATTTTGCTCTCACATCAAACTGTTCATTTTCCCTCGATTATTTGCCCTAAATCTGATATAAAGGTATGTTCCAGCTTTAGATACATATATTATGAAATATTAGCCAACCTTTTGTATTTGCCTAATTGACAAAAAAGTGAAAGTAAAGCGCAGTGGAAGTTCCTGTATACATTGTAATTGACTGCAGGGGAGGTTACTATGTGATAAATACAGTTATACATGTGTTTGTACCTGTCACCGACTGTTTGGCTGGCTGTATCTGGTTTTAGCCACCATCATCAGATGGTTGGCTATTCAAATTGCCCTGCATCCATTGTCCATCAGTCCGTCTGTTCATCCATCCATAAACAATTCTTGTTGTCATTATTTCTTGAGAGGTACTGGATGGATCTTTCCCAAATTGCATGTAGATTCCCCTTGGCCCCTTTTTGTACCTGTTCGATTTTGGGACTGAGAAAATAAAAAAACAAATGGCCAACAGGCGACCATCTTTGATTTTTTCAATGAAATTTGTTATCACCATTTCTTGAGAAGTACTTGATGGATTTTTCTTAAATGTCATATGTAGGTTATTTTTGGTCCCTAGTTGTGCCCATGTTATTTTGTGTCTGATCAGAAAAACACAATGGCTGACAAGCAGCCATCTTGGATTTCACCCAGTAAAGATTGTTATCCCTACTTCTTAAGAACTACTGAATGGATCTCTCAAATTTCATAGGTATGGTCACACCTGTGCCTGTTTGATTTTGGGACTGATCAGAAGAAAAAATGGCTTCCAGGAGGCAATTTAGGATTTGGCTGGTAAAGATTATCATGGCTATTTTTCAAAGGGATGTTCATTTGTCTTATCATTAAGAGCTAAAAAAGAGAAGAGAAAAGAAGGGAAAAGATCCAACTTTCAAAGAGCAAATGAAGATCAAGCAATGATAGGCACCAAGATCCCTCTGGCATCTCTTGTATTTAGTTCTGTCTAGCCAGCATCTGTTAAGTTACTGTTTAGTAAGTGTCATTACACCAAATGATCTGGGTACTATCTTAGTTTGCTGTTAAAGCCCACAATCCATGGTGTTAACAGGATTTACAGTTTTAATCACCATCATAGCATTTCAGACATTAAAGATATAATATGGATGTACACATATACCAGAAAAATATATAGTAACTTCAGAAGGAGTTTACATTTAATTTCAGTTATCAAACATGAACAGTCCATCAAATTTTATTTCTAAACATCCCACAGCAAAGTCATGTATGGCTTGTTCTGTATTTTCCACTGAAATGGCTACAATACCTCTATCAGGAGTATTGGAGTAACAGCATCAGGCAAATGAAGACTGTCTGGACAGATTACAGCTGCTTGCATTACGTTGTGTGCCAGTCTCCTGCAGAGTCCTGACCAGACTGACAACATACTGACTGGACATGGTCTAAGACCTACTTCCTGAGGCAGGGATGAAGGCCATCCCCTTTGTGTCTACTGAACACTGATATACTTTAGTGAAAGTGGATCTTAAACATGAAATCAACCAATCAAGTTGTTACTAGAGTATGAGACTTTGTAATCTTAAAGTTGTGATGGATGTGGTTTGACCCATTCCTGAATTAAGGTTTGAGTTTCTAACGGAGTTGAGAGGATGAATTGTCATTGACACTCATGGCTGTGTAGGCCAGTTTACTTTGGGCAGATGTAATTGTGATGGTCTTGTTTTTTAAATGACTACAAGGTCACGGGGGTTGAGTACGATATTTATTTCCAACATGATCAGGACATCTTAAAAAGCTCTGAATGATGGCTCAAAGCCCATGTCCTAAAACTGACCATGGAGCTACAACAAATCCACTAGAGGTCTAGTTCAATATATATATCAATATATGTTCAGGCTTCTTGAACACGTCCTGTCTGGTCAAAGGAACGCCTCAGTCTGACAAGACAAAAGCCTAAACAAAGAAATATCCCGCCAAATCGCCCAATAAAAACAACCAATGAAACAACAGGAAGTATATGACATAACACCACAAAGACTGACCACTTGGATATTACAATAACTGGTACAATACAGACGAAACGAAATGGCACTAAATACAGATACATAACTATATGATACACACGATACTGTGTTAAGGACGCGACAATACAATACTCTGGACGATTGGAGAATAATGTTAAAATAATGCCAAAAATACAATAATACATATTTAATGAAACAACTTAAAAATACACGAAATAATGTCCCTGCTACACAGACATGAAGTAAGGTAGCCACCAGCTACAAGGAGATGCTGAATCAAAATCACCCTGGCTATTCATGGGCTGATCAACTCAGCAAATGAACATCATTTTCCATCTTACTAAAATTTACTGGTAATTTTTAGCTCTATATCCTGAAAATGTTTGGTAATCATCCAAAATCTTCCTGTCTAAGTCTCCAAGGTGTTTGTTATGTATGTATTTAGTTGTAATGAATGTATAATTATATTTTCCTCAGATCAAACCGGAAGCGTTCCCGTGAGAGAGATCGTGACAGAGACAAACGCCACAGATCTCCAGGTAACCTGTAATTGTACCTGTTATATATTCAGTCGTGATAATTCAAGGTTTTTATACCATGTAAGAATTCATTTTAGAACTGTATGTTGTAAGTTAATTATCGTCATCAATGTAGTTTTGTAAACATGTTGTTTTAACTTGACTCTTCCAAAAAATCACGAATGACCAGAACCATAACAAGATAACAGTTATACTAAGTAGGATTCTTATCTCGGTTATCTCCTCCAACATCAGTTGACAGGAGCCCAGAAAACCAGAAATTTATAGATTTTTTTTGGGGGGGGGGTGGAGGGGGAAGGGTGGGGGTGTCATGATCCAGTTATTTTGATATCATGAAGTTATATGTTAGATTTTTCTGTGGGTATGGTTTATAAGTTACAAAATTCAGTAAATCTGGTGAGTTCTTTTGTTCTCATACAAGATTGTGTTTATTGTAGGTGATTACAGTCATTGTTTGTTTGATCAACATTTTTCTAACAAATGAAAGACTGGTCACATGTCTCTTTACATGAGGGCAAAAAAAAAGGGTCATCAAACATTTTTTATTATCCTCGCTCAACAAAGTTGGCATAGATTATTCAAATGGGTTCTGTCTGTCTGTCCTTCTGTCCATCCAGATGCTGCTTTCTGTATATCTTTTGAAGGACTGGTCAGACTTTGATGAAACTTGGTTGGTACACTTGTTACCTTAATCTCATGGGAAATTCAATTAACAGCAAATTCCGCGCATATTAAATGAAATTGCTGTGATCTGATTGGCTGATTTCTTTGATCATTCTCGGCTGCTGCTTTCTGCACGATATCTTTTGAAGGACTGTTAGGATTTCGGTGAAACTTGGCTGGTAAACTTGTTACCTTAATCTCATGTTTAATTAACGGCAAATTCCACACACATTAAATGGGATTGCTGTGATCTGATTGGCTGATTTCTTTAATCACTCTCGGCTGCTGCTTTCTGCTTGATGCCTTTTGAAGAACGGGCCAGATTTTGATGAAACTTGGTTGGTACACTTGTTACCTTAATCCCTTGCTCAAGTTTGATGAACGGTGGATTCTGTGTATATTTAATGAGGTTGCTGTGACCTGATTGGCTGATTTCTTTAATCACTCTATGGGAAACCTTTCTGCACATTATCTTATGAAGGAATGATACAATTTTTAGGAAACTTACTTTGTAGACATATTACCTTCATGCCTTGTTCAGATTTAATTATCAGTAAATTCTATGCATATTTAATGAGACTGCTATGATCTGATTGGCTGATATGTTTTCCAGTTTTCCATGTTGCTCACTTTAAATGTATATATTTTACAAATGAACATTGGCGGGGATCTTGATTACTATATCCTTGTTGCTCCTTGATCTGATCGCTTTTTAGCCCATCACCATCAGATTGTGGGCAATTCAAATTGCTCTGTGTCCAAAGATGGCAGATGTTCCTTGTATAGAGTAGTTGTTTTGGCTAACACATTATTTTCTTTTGTTTAACAGAGAAATCAAGGCATCGAGATGACGATGATGATAGGTAAGTTCAATGGTGTTTTGTTTTCCAACTCTTCAGGATTTGCTTCTTGTATTTCAAATTACTACACATATTTAGATAGATCAATTTTCATTGTTATGATCTCTTTAATTGTATTTTACAGGAGAAGAAAACACAAAAAACACAAACATGACCATAAAGATCATAAAGACCGAAGTGATCGCCATCACAAACACTCGGACGACAGTGACCGTCATCACAAACATTCAGATGATCGTGATCGTGACCGTGACCGTGACCGTGACCGTGATCGCCACAGACACAGAGATCGACGGGACAAACGTGATGGAGGCCTATCACAGAAAGAACTGGAAATTAAGGAAGCAAATGAACAGAGGGCTAAACTTGGCCTACCTCCATTAAAGTAGTCTTTTCTTGGGACATTAACAGAGACTGAAGGTTGCTTGTCTCTAATAAATTAGAACTTCAGTGGGTATACATGAAAAGAAAGCCAAACTTATAAGTGTCTGTTTTACAGGAAGACTTTAGTGGGGCTTTGAAATAAACAGAGGGCCAAACTTTTTCCTTGTGTCTGAAATGTGACGTTAAACTGGTGAATAGTCAGAGAGGGTCTTCTTTGGCTCGGTCTAGTTTGTCTTGGTTTAGTTTGGATCAGGTTTGGACTGGATCTGTTAAGTTTGGATCAAGTCTAGTTTAGGTCAGGTCCTGTTTGGATTTGGCTTGTTTGGATAAGGTCCTATTTGAATTCAGTCCTATTTGAAATATGTGCCAGCAGGAAGATATGGTTATATAATAAACATTTTAACAACATGACTTTGAGTTTTCCTTGTTTAATAAAGATATGGGTAATTTTGTTTCATCATCAGATCACTCCTTGTATGTCATTACACAATTCTTTTAAGGTGGGTTCCTCTTGGTCCATGCTTGTGTGTGGCTCATCCAGTTTTGGACTGATCAAGAAAAACATTTGACAAAATGCAGCCATCATTGTTTTTAGCAGATTTTAAATTTGTTGTTGTGGGCGGCAGATGGGTAAGCACATCATCAGATGGTGGACTAAACAGGCACAACTAGGGACCAAGGGGAACCTACATGCCATGTGAGAAAGATCCATCCGTACTTCTCAAGAAATAGCACCTTTACCGAAAAAATTAAAATGGCCACCTGTTTGTCATTTTGTTTTCCTGATCAGACCCAAAATCAAATGAACACAATTAGAGATCATGGGGAACCATCAAGTATTTTCAAGAAAGTGATGACAATCTTCACTGAAAAATCCAAGATGGCTGTCTGTCAGCCATTTGTTTTTCTAATAAGTCCTAAAATCAAATGGGCACAACTAGGGACAAAGGGGAACCTACATATGCAATTTGAGAAAGATCCATTCAGTAGTTCTCCAGAAACGGGGACAACAAAAATTGTTTATTGACGGACCACAGATGCAGAGCAATTTGAATAGCCCACCATCTGATGATGGTAAGCTAACAAAAGGACAGTCAATTAAATGTTTTGAGGGTTAGAAAGATTGATACAGTACCTTATATGTTTTAGCACATCAAAGTGGTAGATTCTACTTCAATCAATTCTGAAATCCTTGATTCAGTGAAAGATTACAGTTGCCTTGTTAATCAGTGAATATACCCATGTCAAATTTCTGCATATTACACAAGTTATGTGGCTGATGACGTCACTAGAATTGTCCCATTTCTATCACATTTGCTTAAAAAAGATCATGGAATATAAAAGGATCTTAAATGGTTTCCATTTGATTCATGAAACTCTTCACAAATTTTTCATTTCTAGTTCGCAAAAACGCTCACTAAAATGAACAAGAGGCCTAGCGTCTGTGAATCTCGCCCGAGATAAGTGATATAGAATATAAAGGTTAAAGTATAATTATCAAGTGTCATGAAACCGAAATTGTGACACAGAATATAGTAAGCCAGAGTCAATACATGCATATCATCAAAACTGTCATCTTATACTAATAATTCTTACTACAGTGGGAAATAACCAATGTTATGCTCAAAAAAAATTTTTTCTATGAAAATTACAGAAGGCTAAAAAAAATCCCTTCCAGGAAGGAATGTGAGAACCATTTTGGTAATTAAAACACCTTAAGATGCTTCCATTCGTGAAGAGTATTTGATTCTACCATATCTGGGTGTTGAGAAGAAGATTTTTGAAATTTGAATCAATTTGACCGCTTCTTGTCCACCCTGCCCCCTAAGGCCTCTGTGGGTTAAGTTAATTGGACCACTTTTGGCCCTGCCCATCAGCCCCTAGGGGGTCATTCAGGATCAAAATGGGCATACCATCAAGCCGTCATCCTGCACTTATAATTCTGACCAAGTTTGAAATATTTCCAATAGAAATTAAACAAATGCTCAAAAATCAAGTTTTCCTATATAAACTACAGTAAACTTTACCCACTCCCCGCGGGGATATGCAAGACCCAGGGGCCATGAAATTCATATTTCACAATGCACAATGCTGGATGAAGGGTATTACAATAGGTCACCATGAGACTTTTAAACTTGTTTCATAAAGTGACACTTCAAATAGAAACTCATGTAAGATCTTATCTATTTAAACTTTTTAGCCTTCATAGATTTTCGTTTTGACATCAAATGACAAAACAGACATGTTAGGTTATCTTCTATACATGAATTAAGGAAAATTCAGGTAGCTGAGAGTAATTGGTCATTTTCCGTAATTTTCAGTAAATACCGTGAACAAGAAAGGAAATTCTTTGTAACAATAAAACAACTGGAAATATGGAGTGGTCAATGATTAATGATGGGTCAATGACCTCTTGATGATTGTGTATTGCTATTCCTTCTTAATCACAGATCAATGATGGTTGGGTGTGTCCACTGATCTGTGTATAACCAAGTCAATGATGATGGTGTATCGTCTCCGTGACTGCCCATTGCCTGGCATTGTCCAAACAACTAGAGTTGATTCTCTGGCGACGTGAGGGGGTATTCCCCTCATGGATTGGCGTTGTCTAGGGATTCACTGGTGTGTAATTTGGAGATGACTCCCTAGTCTAAAGGTAGATCTTGTGGTGATGTGTCTGGACTTCCGGTGGTGGAGGAAATTCTTGCCTTCTTTTCCTGCCGAATCTCCAGGCTGTCTTACTATTGTCATAAATTTTTGATTAGGGGAAATTTAAAAAATTCTTCTTCTAATAGCTTTAAAAAAACAGTGACACTAGGTCCGTATGTTATGTTTAATTTGGGCTCCTGGGCGGCGGAGATAACTAGCTCTGTATACTTGTTCATACCTTCTAGACATGTAGGACATTAAGGGGAGATAACTAGCTCTGTATACTTGTTCACACCTTCTAGACATGTAGGACATTAAGGGGAGATAACTAGCTCTGTATACTTGTTCATGCCTTCTAGACATGTTGGACATTAAGGGGAGATAACTAGCTCTGTATACTTGTTCACACCTTCTAGACATGTTGGACATTAAGGGGAGATAACTAGCTCTGTATACTTGTTCACACCTTCTAGACATGTAGGACATTAAGGGGAGATAACTAGCTTTGTATACTTGTTTATGCATCAAGACATTTTATAGTGACATTGGTGCTTTGCGTCTGCCATTCTAAACATCCAGAAACCCCGGAGATTCTTCTGTGTTAAACGTTATAGATACAAACATGTCTATGACATTTAAAATGGCACAATGTTTTTGAATCTGTTGAGATCTAGTGCCAAATGATCAAACCCCTGGCTACATCTAATTACTAATCAAATATAACATAAAAATCAATAACAAAGCAGTCTGGTGCACATTGTTGTATTCAGTATCATCACACCTTATACAGGTACAGGCCCTCAATCACTAACAGGACTTTTAATGGCAACTAGTTTCACAAAACATTGTGTGTCATAACATTGAAAAATGAAAGTGAAAGAATTAAAATGAGCCATGATTTATGCCAAGAAAAAAATCAGTTAAATTCTGACAATCATTACCAGGTCCTGACCCAGAGTCTGAATAGGTCCTCAACAACTACCAGGTCCTGACCCAGAGTCTGAATAGGTCCTCAACAACTACCAGGTCCTGACCCAGAGTCTGAATAGGTCCTCAACAACTACCAGGTCCTGACCCAGAGTCTGAACAGGTCCTCAACAACTACCAGGTCCTGACCCAGAGTCTGAATAGGTCCTCAACAATTACCAGGTCCTGACCCAGAGTCTGAATAGGTCCTCAACAATTACCAGGTCCTGACCCAGAGTCTGAACAGGTCCTCAACAACTACCAGGTCCTGACCCAGAGTCTGAACAGGTCCTCAACAATTACCAGGTCCTGACCCAGAGTCTGAATAGGTCCTCAACAACTACCAGGTCCTGACCCAGAGTCTGAATAGGTCCTCAACAACTACCAGGTCCTGACCCAGAGTCTGAATAGGTCCTCAACAACTACCAGGTCCTGACCCAGAGTCTGAATAGGTCCTCAACAATTACCAGGTCCTGACCCAGAGTCTGAATAGGTCCTCAACAACTACCAGGTCCTGACCCAGAGTCTGAACAGGTCCTCAACAACTACCAGGTCCTGACCCAGAGTCTGAACAGGTCCTCAACAACTACCAGGTCCTGACCCAGAGTCTGAACAGGTCCTCAACAACTACCAGGTCCTGACCCAGAGTCTGAACAGGTCCTCAACAACTACCAGGTCCTGACCCAGAGTCTGAACAGGTCCTCAACAACTACCAGGTCCTGACCCAGAGTCTGAACAGGTCCTCAACAACTACCAGGTCCTGACCCAGAGTCTGAACAGGTCCTCAACAACTACCAGGTCCTGACCCAGAGTCTGAACAGGTCCTCAACAACTACCAGGTCCTGACCCAGAGTCTGAACAGGTCCTCAACAACTACCAGGTCCTGACCCAGAGTCTGAACAGGTCCTCAACAACTACCAGGTCCTGACCCAGAGTCTGAACAGGTCCTCAACAACTACCAGGTCCTGACCCAGAGTCTGAACAGGTCCTCAACAACTACCAGGTCCTGACCCAGAGTCTGAATAGGTCCTCAACAACTACCAGGTCCTGACCCAGAGTCTGAATAGGTCCTCAACAATTACCAGGTCCTGACCCAGAGTCTGAATAGGTCCTCAACAACTACCAGGTCCTGACCCAGAGTCTGAACAGGTCCTCAACAACTACCAGGTCCTGACCCAGAGTCTGAATAGGTCCTCAACAATTACCAGGTCCTGACCCAGAGTCTGAACAGGTCCTCAACAACTACCAGGTCCTGACCCAGAGTCTGAACAGGTCCTCAACAATTACCAGGTCCTGACCCAGAGTCTGAATAGGTCCTCAACAATTACCAGGTCCTGACCCAGAGTCTGAATAGGTCCTCAACAACTACCAGGTCCTGACCCAGAGTCTGAACAGGTCCTCAACAACTACCAGGTCCTGACCCAGAGTCTGAATAGGTCCTCAACAATTACCAGGTCCTGACCCAGAGTCTGAACAGGTCCTCAACAATTATCAGGTCCTGACCCAGAGTCTGAACAGGTCCTCAACAACTACCAGGTCCTGACCCAGAGTCTGAATAGGTCCTCAACAACTACCAGGTCCTGACCCAGAGTCTGAATAGGTCCTCAACAACTACCAGGTCCTGACCCAGAGTCTGAATAGGTCCTCAACAACTACCAGGTCCTGACCCAGAGTCTGAACAGGTCCTCAACAACTACCAGGTCCTGACCCAGAGTCTGAATAGGTACATATTCTAAGGTCCTTTGGTTCAGTTATGACCATCAGGTCCTACTCTGTTTGAAAGATGTTAAGTCCCTGGATTGTTAATACGAATAAATATACCAATATTTTAAAATGTAGAATTTCTGTCACCATCTATTTTAAAGGCAAAGATGTGTATAAAGAAATATCTAATTAAGTTTGTGTATAAAGAAATATCTAATTAAGATTGTGTATAAAGAAATATCTAAATAAGTTTGTGTATAAAGAAATATCTAATTAAGATTGTGTATAAAGAAATATCTAAATAAGTTTGTGTATAAAGAAATATCTAATTAAGTTTGTGTATAAAGAAATATCTAATTAAGTTTGTGTATAAAGAAATATCTAATTAAGTTTGTGTATAAAGAAATATCTAATTAAGATTGGATCTTCTACTTTATTGCTTTTGTGTAAAAAACAACTACCAAAAAGTAGAAAACATTAAACACAGAGAAGATTTTTTTGGTGGGTTTACAGACCCATGTACAGCCACTGTCATTTTGAGGGGTTTACAGACCCATGAACAGCCACTGTCATTTTGAGGGGTTTACAGACCCATGAACAGCCATGGTCATTTTGAGGGGTTTACAGACCCATGAACAGCCATGGTCATTTTGAGGGTTTATAGACCTATGAACAGCAATGGTCATTTTGATTGGTTTACAGACCCATGAACAGCCACTGTCATTTTGAGGGGTTTACAGACCCATGAACAGCCATGGTCATTTTGAGGGGTTTTCAGACCCATGAACAGCCATGGTCATTTTGAGGGGTTTACAGACCCATGAACAGCCATGGTCATTTTTAGGGGTTTACAGACCCATGAACAGCCATGGTCATTTTTAGGGGTTTACAGACCCATGAACAGCCACTGTCATTTTGAGGGGTTTTTAGACCCATGAACAGCCATGGTCACTTTTAGGGGTTTACAGACCCATGAACAGCCATGGTCATTTTGAGGGGTTTACAGACCCATGAACAGCCATGGTCATTTTGAGGGGTTTTCAGACCCATGAACAGCCATGGTCATTTTCAGATGGGGTCTCCTTGTAGTAGCTAATGGTAACTCACAGAACAACATACAGAAGGCCATGTGTTTCCAGTACAAATGAGGCAGTGTGTTGCCCAAGTGACACAACCACAAAAGCTGACATGTCTGTTTCTCAGCTTCCTGTGCTTAATGGAATGTCACATGATCACTGTGGTGTACATATCAGGATTGCTAATGATCAGTAAGTCATTAACCTAGCAATGTAAAGCCAATCTCTCACAGAAATAACCATAATAATAACCAACAATAGAATGATTCACAGAACAATTATTGATAAACATCACAATCAATAACAATTTTTTTGTAACAAACAACATCTCTTCTGACACATTTTATGCAGTAAAAATAAGTTAAAAACACTAAATATTGACTAAAACATGCAAATAATTTCTGGGCCATGCCAGATAAAAGCTGTATCACTACAGTGATGCCACGCTCGCTCCCTGATATCCACATTTCTGGCATGGTTTCCACTTCCAACAGTCAAATGTTGTCATGTATTGCTATAGTTAATGATAAGCTGGTCCTCCCTTAAAAAACCAGTTTCATCAAAGAATGTCAAGATACTTTCATATAACAATAACACAAAATTACAAAACAATGACACACAGTACTACAGTAAACCATCTTTCTTTCACATCTACTTCCTTATGTCGTCTCAGGAACCTGACAATATTATACTGTATTAACGTTTAATCTTAGGTCGTCTTATGAACCTGACAATATTATACTGTATTAACGTTTAATCTTATGTCGTCTCATGAACCTGACAATATTATACTGTATTAACGTTTAATCTTATGTCGTCTCGTGAACCTGACAATATTATACTGTATTAACGTTTAATCTAATGTCGTCTCGTGAACCTGACAATATTATACTGTATTACCGTTTAATCTTATGTTGTCTCGTGAACCTGACAATATTAAACTGTATTAACGTTTAATCTTATGTCGTCTCGTGAACCTGACAATATTATACTGTATTAACGTTTAATCTTAGGTCGTCTCGTGAACCTGACAATATTATACTGTATTAACGTTTAATCTTATGTCGTCTCGTGAACCTGACAATATTATACTGTATTAACGTTTAATCTTAGGTCGTCTCGTGAACCTGACAATATTATACTGTATTAACGTTTAATCTTATGTTGTCTCGTGAACCTGACAATATTATACTGTATTAACGTTTAATCTAATGTCGTCTCGTGAACCTGACAATATTATACTGTATTACCGTTTAATCTTATGTTGTCTCGTGAACCTGACAATATTAAACTGTATTAACGTTTAATCTTATGTCGTCTCGTGAACCTGACAATATTATACTGTATTAACGTTTAATCTTAGGTCGTCTCGTGAACCTGACAATATTATACTGTATTAACTTTCAATCATCCCTGTCTTAATTAGTGAAAATCAATTTTTGTAAGTTTGAATCACACATGAAAGAAAGGTGGATTTAAGTTCTGAATCAACAATAAAAATGTTCACATAAAGGCCAAGTGAAAATTTTACCATGTTTCCTGTCTTCACCACAAACATTCCTACCTGTTGAATTTCAGATGAACAATTTCTGTTTTCCATTGTACAAGACAACTAACAGAAGGATGTACTGCTGATGTTGAGATGAATGTGAAAGTAATGAAATTTGAAAAAAAAAACAAAGCCAAAGCTAAATGGTATGACTAACAGACAGAACTTCTGATAAAGTTGAACTACTATAATATCAGAAGCCAGGAAAACCCCTATACTCACATTGTTGTATTTTTAATAATATGTGAGGTAAAGACATTGTGTAAAACTGAGGACATCTGTCATCAATGAAGATAAAATACATATAGTATCCAGCCATGATCAGAAGCTGGAAAACCTGTGGGATAAAACCATGTCACAGAAACTAGGAAATTTATAAATGATTTTATAAATCTTACTCAATGTTCTGTGTAATAAAACGGCCTAAGTATCTAACTACAGGACAGACAGTCTTGACACAAAGGCTCAACTCTGATTATACACAGAGTTAAGGGATTGCCTTGACAATAGGAGTTGACCCCTGGTTACACACAGTAAAGGGATCGCCTTGACAACAGAAGTTGACCCCTGGTTACATGCAGTATGAAGGGATCACCTTGACAACAGAAGTTGACCCCTGGTTACATGCAGTATGAAGGGATCGCCTTGACAACAGCAGTTGACCCCTGGTTACATGCAGTATGAAGGGATCGCCTTGACAACAGAAGTTGACTGTGGTTACATGTAGTATAAAAGTGACTGCAGAGCTTGACCTCAAGCTATATAGAGTACTGAACTCCTGTTTGTTTGCAGTTGGAAGGAACTGCCTGATTTGTTAAACAATCTGCTAGATAGGCCTGATTCGTTAAACAATCTGCTAGATAGGCCTGATTATCACACTTGTAACAATCTGCTAGATAGGCCTGATTCGTTAAACAATCTGCTAGATAGGCCTGATTCGTTAAACAATCTGCTAGATAGGCCTGATTCGTTAAACAATCTGCTAGATAGGCCTGATTATCACACTTGTAACAATCTGCTAGATAGGCCTGATTTGTTAAACAATCTGCTAGATAGGCCTGATTCGTTAAACAATCTGCTAGATAGGCCTGATTTGTTAAACAATCTGCTAGATAGGCCTGATTCGTTAAACAATCTGCTAGATAGGCCTGATTATTACACTTGTAACAATCTGCTAGATAGGCCTGATTTGTTAAACAATCTGCTAGATAGGCCTGATTATCACACTTGTAACAATCTGCTAGATAGGCCTGATTCGTTAAACAATCTGCTAGATAGGCCTGATTCGTTAAACAATCTGCTAGATAGGCCTGATTATCACACTTGTAACAATCTGCTAGATAGGCCTGATTCGTTAAACAATCTGCTAGATAGGCCTGATTTGTTAAACAATCTGCTAGATAGGCCTGATTATTACACTTGTAACAATCTGCTAGATAGGCTTGATTATCACACTTGTAACAATCTGCTAGATAGGCCTGATTTGTTAAACAATCTGCTAGATAGGCCTGATTTGTTAAACAATCTGCAAGATAGGCCTGATTTGTTAAACAATCTGCAAGATAGGCCTGATTTGTTAAACAATCTGCTAGATAGGCCTGATTTGTTAAACAATCTGCTAGATAGGCCTGATTATCACACTTGTAACAATCTGCTAGATAGGCTTGATTTGTTAAACAATCTGCTAGATAGGCCTGATTTGTTAAACAATCTGCTAGATAGGCCTGATTTGTTAAACAATCTGCTAGATAGGCCTGATTTGTTAAACAATCTGCTAGATAGGCCTGATTTGTTAAACAATCTGCTAGATAGGCCTGATTTGTTAAACAATCTGCTAGATAGGCCTGATTATTACACTTGTAACAATCTGCTAGATAGGCCTGATTTGTTAAACAATCTGCTAGATAGGCCTGATTATCACACTTGTAACAATCTGCTAGATAGGCCTGATTATCACACTTGTAACAATCTGCTAGATAGGCCTGATTTGTTAAACAATCTGCTAGATAGGCCTGATTATCACACTTGTAACAATCTGCTAGATAGGCTTGATTATCACACTTGTAACAATCTGCTAGATAGGCCTGATTATCACACTTGTAACAATCTGCTAGATAGGCCTGATTTGTTAAACAATCTGCTAGATAGGCCTGATTTGTTGTAGGCCTGATTTGTTAACTTGTAGACAATCTGCTGCTAGATAGGCCTGATTTGTTAAACAATCTGCTAGATAGGCCTGATTTGTTAAACAATCTGCTAGATAGGCTTGATTATCACACTTGTAACAATCTGCTAGATAGGCCTGATTATCACACTTGTAACAATCTGCTAGATAGGCCTGATTATCACACTTGTAACAATCTGCTAGATAGGCCTGATTTGTTAAACAATCTGCTAGATAGGCTTGATTATCACACTTGTAACAATCTGCTAGATAGGCCTGATTCACACTTGTAACAATCTGCTAGATAGGCCTGATTATTACACTTGTAACAATCTGCTAGATAGGCCTGATTCGTTAAACAATCTGCTAGATAGGCTTGATTATCACACTTGTAACAATCTGCTAGATAGGCCTGATTATCACACTTGTAACAATCTGCTAGATAGGCCTGATTTGTTAAACAATCTGCTAGATAGGCCTGATTCGTTAAACAATCTGCTAGATAGGCTTGATTATCACACTTGTAACAATCTGCTAGATAGGCCTGATTCATTAAACAATCTGCTAGATAGGCCTGATTATCACACTTGTAACTATCTGCTAGGTATAAATATTCTGTAATTTATTACAGTAGGTACAGAATAATCACAGATTTAGCCAAAATGGAAATGAATGATGCAGTTTGCATTGCAATGGTTGGTCCATTGTTCATATAAGTAAGTAAGTGTAACAAGGTTTCAGGAGGGTCCATTCATGGTAGGGGGTGGATGTAGTTTCTTCAGTTCCTGTTTCAGACTTGGTAAGAGACCACCAAGACGCCGATTCGAGTACTTGTTTGCCCAGCTCTCCACCTCCTGAAAGTAAAGGTAAAAAAATAAATTTCTCTTTTTCTCCATCCAGAAAATAACTGGATAAGTCAGAGCAACAAGTATTCATTAAACATTTAACAACAGAATGAAAGGGAATGTTGGCCTGGAATAATTGACATCAAATTAACTTTACCATAAGTTTTGTTTCCCAACTGCCATTGTCATCTTTAGTCATAAACATCATATTGACATTGATAAAGAAAATACCTCTAAAATCTTTTTCTTTTTGTGGTAAAAATGTGTTTTGATGACATCAGCAAACTCTGGTGGTGGATTCTGCAGTTGGCCTATCATAGCATATTTAATATTGTTGTAGCAACAATCTGTAACAGAAACATCAACAGATTTGACCCCTGCGACCTTTAGTATTGATCAAGTTTTTTCACAAAATTTTGTTAGGCTACATTCATGGAACCATTCTGCCAAGTATTCTAATTCTCTTATTGACCTTGGGAAGCCCTTGCTGTTATTTACTTTTCTATCAAATGTTTTACATGTCAAAGATTTCAATAAATTCAAATAAATATCAGCAGAAAATGAAGTCTTCACGTTTATTTGGTGTGAAGCTATTGCTGGATTAACAAAGCTTTACGTACCAGCATTATATTCATCACTGTGCTTCTTGCCTCCCTCTGTCCCAATCTCCAACTCAAAGCCAGGTTCATTAAAATAAGGATCTTGCACTAAGATGAGAGATTGGATGGACACAAGCACCTGTCATTTAAAAAAAAAAAATTACATTTAGAAAATTTAATTAATCATTTCATACAGTGAACATGCCCTGTTAAATCCTATATTATGATAACACAACAATGTCACTCTGTCAATAAAATGGATTGTGAACAATCTACTTCATATTAAAGAAAATTAATCTGCTGATAGAAGTATACTAGAGGTTTACTTGCAGTACAGAAGAGGTAGAGTAAAGGTTTACCTGGAGAACAGTAGAGGTTTACCTGGAGAACAGTAGAGGTTTACCTGGAGAACAGTAGAGGTTTACCTGGAGAACAGTTGAGGTTTACCTGGAGAACAGTAGAGGTTTACCTGGAGAACAGTAGAGGTTTACCTTGAGAACAGTAGAGGTTTACCTGGAGAACAGTTGAGGTTTACCTGGAGAACAGTTGAGGTTTACCTGGAGAACAGTAGAGGTTTACCTGGAGAACAGTAGAGGTTTACCTGGAGAACAGTTGAGGTTTACCTGGAGTACATTTGATGATTACCTGGAGAACAGTTGAGGTTTACCGGGAGTACATTTGATGTTTACCTGGAGAACAGTTGAGGTTTACCTGGAGTACATTTGATGTTTACCTGGAGAACATTTGATGTTTACCTGGAGAACAGTTGAGGTTTACATGGAGTACATTTGATGTTTACCTGGAGAACAGTTGAGGTTTACCTGGAGTACATTTGATGATTACCTGGAGAACAGTTGAGGTTTGAGGTTTACTGGAGAACAGTTGAGGTTTACCTGGAGTACATTTGATGTTTACCTGGAGAACATTTGATGTTTACCTGGAGAACAGTTGAGGTTTACCTGGAGTACATTTGATGTTTACCTGGAGAACATTTGATGTTTACCTGGAGAACAGTTGAGGTTTACCTGGAGTACATTTGATGTTTACCTGGAGAACAGTTGAGGTTTACCTGAAGTACATTTGATGTTTACCTGGAGAACAGTACAGGTTTACCTGGAGAACAGTTGATGTTTACCTGGAGAACATTTGAGGTTTACCTGGAGAACAGTAGAGTTTTACCTGGAGAACAGTAGAAGTTTACCTGGAGAACAGTAGAGGTTTACCTGGAGAACAGTAGAGGTTTAGCTGGAGTACATTTGATGTTTACCTGTAGTACAGTAGAGGTCTTCTCATTCCACTGTTCCCCTTTCTGTCCCTCCCAGGTTCCCAGTAATGACAAACACACCTTTCCACATCTAGTAATTGAAATTTTGCTTTCCATTAGATTGTAAAATTTGACATCATGTCTATGTGCATTTAAAACACAAGAGGCCCAGAGGGCCTGTATCGTTCACCTGGATCTTTATGACCAACATTACTATATCTGTGCATATGTTCCACGTTAAACACATTTGACCCCTGTGACCTTGACTATGGGTCAAGGTCATTTCTTTTACTTTGTTGGACTTCATAAAAGGAACATACTGGCTAAATATAATGATTCTAGGCTTTTCGATATTTCAGAAGAAATTGTTTAAACACATTTGACTCCTGTGACCTTGAAGATTAGTCAAGGTCATTTCTTTTAGCAAACTTTGTACGACACCATAAGAGGAACATAGTAGCCTAACATTATAATTCTAGGCCTCCCGGTATTTTGAAAGAAGTCGTTTAAAGTTTTGAACACATTTGACGTCTGTGACCTTGAATATGGGTCAAGGTTATTTTTTTTGCAACTTTGTTGGGCTTTGTCAAAGGAACCTTCCAGCCATATATAATGATTTTAGGCCTTCTGGTATTTTGGAAGAAGTCGTTTAAATGTTTTAACACATTTGACGTCTGTGACCTTGAATATGGGTCAAGGTTTTTTTTTTTCCAAACTTTGTTGGGCTTCATCAAAGGAACCTTCCATCCAAATATGATAACTCTACGCCTTTCGGTATTTCAGAAGAAGTTGTTTAAATGAAAAGTTGACGGACGCCGCACGAACGGATGACGGACAGATGACGGACAGACAGACGCTGCACTATGGCATAAGCTCACTTGGCCCTTTGGTGAGCTAACAAGGAAAAAAGTCTTTCAAGATGAGATTTTAGCATAAAAACAAGACAAAATCTGGATTTTGTGAAAGTACACTGAAAAAACTTCCATTCAGTGTCTGGTCAACACAGATATTGACTTAATGTCTCCTTGATAACACGTGGCTACACTGTATTTGGATAAAAGATACTTACGCATAAAGATTAGGGTTGAAGCGAACTTTTCCTGAGCCTGTGGTCTGTAGGTTTACGAGGGGAGGGGACTTGGGGTAGGCTGGAGGAAAGTAAATATCAAATATGTAACAACCTCCAGAGTATGGTGTTCCCTCAGGGCTGTAAAACAAAAAATATATATCAAATACCTGTATATAACCATTCCTATATTTCCTTAGGGCTGAAAGACTGTGATAAAAAACAAATTAAAAGTCGGATATGAAGCCATGATCCCAACAACATTATATTTGTTCATTACAGCTGAAAAAAGGCAATGAAAAACACATTCAATTAAGATCAAATATTGATTACAATACCTTAAGTACTAACTATCATTCTGGGAGCAAATTATATCACAAATAAGCTATGTAATTCATGTCCTACAAAATTCAATTTTACAGATAAATTCTATTGATCCTGAGAAAGCATTTTCTCCATAGCAAAATAACTCATTGAAAGAAAATTGAGATATTAATTGAATTCAAACTAACATAATCTACCTCGTAAAGACATATGTTCAATGTTAAATATTCTGCTACCTCCTAAAGACATGTGTTCAATGCTGAAGATTTATCTACCTCCTAAAGACATGTGTTCAATGCTGAAGATTTATCTACCTCCTAAAGACATGTGTTCTATGTTAAATATCTGCTACCTCCTAAAGATATGTGTTTCATGATGAAGATTCTGCTACCTCCTAAAGACTTGAGTTCCATGATGAAGATTCTTCTATGTCCTAAAGATATGTGTCACCTAATAAAGATTTATCTACCTCCTAAAGACATGTGTTCAATGATGAAGATTTATCTACCTCCTAAAGACATGTGTTCCATGGTGGTGATTCATCTACCTCCTATAAACATTTGTTCCATAATGAAGATTCATCTACCTCCTAAAGACACATGTCACCTAATAAAGATTTATCTACCTCCTAAAGATATGTGTTCCATGACGAAGATTCATCTACCTCCTATAAACATTTGTTCCATGATAAAGATTTATCTACCTCCTAAAGACATGTGTTCAATGATGAAGATTTATCTACCTCCTAAAGACTTGAGTTCCATGATGAAGATTTATCTACCTCCTAAAGACACATGTCACCTAATAAAGATTTATCTACCTCCTAAAGACATGTGTTCAATGATTAAGATTCCTCTACCTCCTAAAGACATGTGTTCCATGATGAAGATTTATCTACCTCTTAAAGACACATGTCACCTAATAAAGATTTATCTACCTCCTAAAGACATGTGTTCCATGATAAAGATTAATCTACTTCCTAAAGACACGAGTTCCATTATGAAGATTTATCTACCTCCTAAAGACATGTGTCACCTAATAAAGATTTATCTACCTCCTTAAGGCATTTGTCCTCTGATAAAGATCCTCTACCTTCTAAAAACAGTTGTCCTCTGGCATATCTCTATCTACCTTCTGAAGACAAGTGTCCCCTGATAAAGATTGATCAATCTCCTAAAGACAGGTGTCACCTGAAGTCTCAACACAAAATCATAAAGCTAAATATCAAACAAGAGATCCCAGAGGGATCTTGGTGCCCACCATTGTTTGACTGTTATATGCTCTTTGAAAGTTGGATCTTTTCTGTTCTCTTCTCTGTTTTTTGCTCTTAATGATAAGAAATTTTAACATTCCTTTGCAAGAATAAAAAAAACCAAAACAGAACTAGCTGTAAATCTGTAACTTGATCTATTTCCCTTCTTTCCTCTTCTTTGTTCTCAGAGTTTAAATTTACTGGCGTAACAGGTGAATCAAACAACAATGACAAACTGTCACATAAAGAGTCCCACTACAATATGGTTGTCCATCAATCTGATTATCACTCCTAATATTGATAGGTACCACATGAAATGGAATACTGATCCTGTATGCCAGTAAATACCATTACACACTTTAACCATTGAAATTCAAGATGGCCACTTGTTGAACTTATTGTACATCAAAGGAGACTTATTTGTGAATTTGAGAAAAATCCATTCAGAACTTTTCCAGAAATAAGGAAAAACTTTTCAGCAGTTAAAATCCGATGATAACCAGTCAGTAAAGTTAGTCAGTTCATCACAATCAAATTTTCTCTGGTACTACTATGAGCCTCAAGAAATAGTGATAATAAAAATATTCTCTCAGGACAAATAGATGAACAACCCACTTGTTGTAGTAAACAACTTACCCTGTTATAAGTGCTTTCATCAATGTCAGTTTGTCATCATCCTGAAAAGATACATAGCTGGATACAGCACAAGTTTTAAAAAACACTTTAAATCTGGATACCAGTACTGGACAAAAGGTCCGGTTGGCCTGAAACACATGCCTAAAAGTTTATCATTTTGATGGATCTGGCACAATTTTAAACACTTTAAAATCTGGATACCAGTACTGGACAAAAGGTCCAACTGGCCTGTAATGCTATCATAATGGTCAGTGCTTTTCACATTACTGTTTCACATAATTAACCTTTGAAAAACGTTAGGTAGAACACAATGTGGAATGTAACAGTAAATAAAACAAGATTGTGTTGGTGAAAAAATTTGTGTACATTGATCTACCTACACTTCGCACAAAGATGGCTGATGACCAATCTAAAGGCAATGACGAAGATAAAGAGGAAAGTTCTTGGGCAATTCGGAAAATCTGAAAAGGAAATTTATAAACATTTTCTATTTGTCAGCACACGGTAAAAAAAATCTGTATCACTCACATTCTCCAGATGGAAAATATTATCCTTAATTTGATGATTTTATTTTTAAATGGTAAATGACTGGTATATAGTCATCACCAGGACGGTGTGGATCCAAGAATCCAAGGGATACTTTAACAGTTGTATAAAATTATTCATTATCAAAATTCACCATAATAATGATAGAATTATAGGGTTAATATGTCCCCTCCCCTTCCCCATCTGGATCCCCCTAACACCTAACATCACTACTAAATCTTTTTACCAAAGTAAAAATGCCAATCATATAAACACATTTTCAGCATACTTTGTACCATCATTCTCTTGATTCAGCTGTGTATATGTACTGTATACCTGGTTTTGTCGGGAAGTCTGAGCCGTTTTAAACTGACTTGCATAATGGTGGGCCCAATATCCGTCTACTACAAAACACAAGAGAACCACAGATCAGTTCACAAACAACATTATTAGTTCAATTTTATCATATTTCAGTATTTTCTTAAATTAGTGGTATGCCATTGGTACAGTGTAATGCAAAGATAAACTTTATTACCACTTATATAAACTTGATTACTACTTAGATAAACTTTATTACCACTTATATAAACTTGATTACTACTTAGATAAACTTTATTACTACTTAGATAAACTTAATTACTACTTAGATAAACTTTATTACTACTACTTAGATAAACTTTATTACTACTACTTAGATAAACTTTATTACTACTACTTAGATAAACTTTATTACTACTTATATAAACTTTATTACCACTTAGATAACATTATTACTACTTAGATAAATTTTATTACTACTTAGATAACTTTATTACTACTTAGATAAACTTTATTACTACTACTTAGATAAACTTTATTACTACTACTTAGATAAACTTTATTACTACTAAGATTAACTTAATTACTACTTAGATAAACTTAATTACTACTTAGATAAACTTTATTACTACTTAGATAACATTATTACTACTTAGATAAATTTTATTACTACTTAGATAACTTTATTACTACTTAGATAAACTTTATTACTACTACTTAGATAAACTTTATTACTACTACTTAGATAAACTTTATTACTACTAAGATTAACTTAATTACTACTTAGATAAACTTAATTACTACTTAGATAAACTTTATTACTACTTAGATAACTTTATTACTACTTAGATAAACTTTATTACCACTTATATAAATTTGATTACTACTACTTAGATCAACTTTATTACTACTTAGATAACTTTATTACTACTTAGATAAACTTTATTACTACTTAGATAAACTTGATTACTACTTAGATAAACTTGATTACTACTTAGATAACTTAGATAAACTTAATTACTACTTAGATAAACTTTATTACTACTACTTAGATAAACCTTATTACTACTTAGATAAACTTTATTACTACTTAGATAACTTTATTACTACTTAGATAAACTTAATTACTACTTAGATAAACTTTATTACTACTTAGATAAACTTTATTACTACTACTTAGATAAACCTTATTACTACTTAGATAAACTTTATTTCTACTTAGATAAACTTTATTACTACTTAGATAAACTTTATTACTACTACTTAGATAAACCTTATTACTACTTAGATAAACTTTATTACTACTTAGATAACTTTATTACTACTTAGATAAATAAACTTAATTACTACTTAGATAAACTTTATTACTACTACTTAGATAAACCTTATTACTACTTAGATAAACTTTATTTCTACTTAGATAAACTTTATTACTACTTAGATAAACTTTATAGATAACTTAATTACTACTTAGATAAACTTAATTAATTACTTAATTATTACTTAGATAAACTTTATAAACTTTAAACTTTATTACTACTTAGATAAACTTAATTATTACTTAGATAAACTTTATTACTACTATTAGATAAACCTTATTACTACTTAGATAAACTTTATTACTACTTAGATAAACTTAATTACTACTTAGATAAACTTTATTACTACTACTTAGATAAACCTTATTACTACTTAGATAAACTTTATTACTACTTAGATAACTTTATTACTACTTAAGTTTCTAAGGCATAATAAGGTTACTAAAGTGAAGACAACATGGTGAGATCCTATCCAAAACAGGATTTATTCCTTCAGAAGGTCGTTGACATGTTTCGAATCCAAGACTTTAGGAACATCATTCTCCTTTATGTACTAAGGAATAAGTATACTTATACATATCTACAGCAGTTCTTGGATGTGTTGCTCCCAAACTTTCCGAATGAGGGACGTTGTACCTCCACCCCCTGATGTTATATTAGCTCAATGTTTGACAATAAATTAAGCTTAACATTAAGTACCCGGATCAACGTTTTAATAAAACAGGTTCTACTTTCCCTCAGTATTCTTCTGACCAAATTAGAAGTGACTAAAAGATAAGTTTACAGATGGACCGATGGTCGATGATGGTAAGCATTAACGCTAAGAAAACTACTCACATGAAAACTCTGTACTGTAAAACTGTACATTTCTTAAGACTTGTTTGTACTGGACTTCTGTTGGGTCAAGCTGAAAATACAGAAATCATAGATTAGTGTGATGTGATGAGTGTATAATGATCCTCTTATATGAGATGTGGAGGCTTCTGTTATACTCTGTACTTATTTGCTTATTCCAAATCAGGTGTATATTTTCATCAACATTATATACTGGACTTCATTACCTTGTCTACTTGGACGCTGATATCCATTACAGAGGTGCCTCCCTCATTTGACGAGATGGACATCTGTCGCGCTGATGCGGTTGGACTACACTGTTCTCCATCGGGAGATAAGCCATGCATCGCCATCACATCTACAACAAACAAGTTAGTGGTTATACTAAGGTCATACTGGGATCATACAGGGTAACACTGGGGTCAAACGGAGGTTATACTGGGTAATAATGAGGTCAAACTGAGGTTATACAGGGTCATACTGGGGTCATACTGAGGTTATACAGGGTCATACTGGGGTCATACTGAGGTTATACAGGGTAATAATGAGGTCAAACTGAGGTTATACAGGGTCATACTGAGGCCATACTGAGGTTATACAGGGTCATAATGAGGTCAAACTGAGGTTATACAGGGTCATACTGTGGTCATACTGAGGTTATACAGGGTCATAATGAGGTCAAACTGAGGTTATACAGGGTCATACTGGGGCCATACTGAGGTTATACAGGGTCATAATGAGGTCAAACTGAGGTTATACAGGGTCATACTGTGGTCATACTGAGGTTATACAGGGTCATACTGGGGTCACAAAGGGGATTATACTCATAATCAAACAAAATTATACTGGGGTCATCATACAGGAGTTATACTGAGGACAAAATATGTTATACCGGGGTCAGAGATCCCAACTCAAATTTCAAGTCTTTATATCTGATTTTTAAACACATCCATGCTTTGTTATGTAATAACTTTGTCACATCACACACTCTATATATATTTCTGCTCAGTTTGAAAATCAGAGGTCTTATTGCAGCAGTTCCAAAGAAAATTTATTACAACTATTTCAGGAAAGTCCACTTACCTTTCACATTGTTGAAAAGTATCACAAATTCTCTGCAACAGCATAAATCACAATAATTAATGAGATATTCATCTTAATAAAACATTCTTCTGTCTTATTTTTTAGGATACTGCAGAATAAAGTATGTTTTTGTGGAAAGTCTATAAAGCACAATGATCTCATGATATTTGAGAATGAATGCCACACTCAACACAAAAATCCAGCTATACAAAGCCAGTGGGGACTTCAGTAGCGTTTCAAATGTGATTTCACTTTTAATGATATTTCTGTACATGAAGGTAAGAGTCTCAGATGAGAATCTGGTAAACAGTCATGAATGACAACACCATATTTAGATGCGAACAAAATCGTAGGAAGTTTACCTGGCCAATTTTTCCTCTGCTAGTTCTGCATCTGTTCCGAGTGCTGAACAAGAAGAGCTGGAGCCACGACAACGACTGAAGCAGTTAGGTAGTATATTGAAAGGTGTAGCATTAGTGTCTTGTTCAGGAGCCGTGCTTGTCTGAGGGCGGGGAACACTCCCATTTCCTGCCTTACACATGTGCTTCAGGATAAGAGAGGCCTGAAGACATGAAAATTGACAGAAACTGATCATATACAGAAATAGTGAAGATGACATTTTGAGAATAAACTTTATATCATTCACTGGTACACAGAATAAACTACCTGGATTTTTCACTCATAACGAGTTAAGCATATATTTTTTTCCTGCGTAGGTTTTCAGAAGAGTTACCCACCTTTTTCTCCAGTTGTTCCAATAGTTGATATATAGACATTGTCTGGTTTGACAGGGAGCACAAAAGGGGAAGTAACTGTCGCTGACGAGCTGTAGAGAACAGCAACAAGTGAACACAAAATATTCAACTTTCTGGCCTTTAGATTCAGAGATATTATATAAATCATCAACTTTATTTATTTACTTCTATTTTGATTTTCTATTTCTCTAAACTTGTAAAGTAGCAGACTAGACACAATTCCTAGAGGTATTGTAAAAACCTAACATACATCCTTAACTGTGAGAGGGAGACTCTTGACAAATAAACATGACATAATGTAGAAGGGAGGTAACTCAGACAGAACAGTTTACAATTTGCAATTTGAAAACAAAAATGATAAAAAGTAGCAATTCTTCTGATAGACTGAAAACTGCTTAATATAAGTTTTTTAAAATTAAATGTATCTGCTGTGAGATTTAATTTAGTACAATAAATTGTACAATACAGAATACAAGTAGAACCATCCCTTCCAGTTTTTTAACTTACCAATTTCTTTGATAATATCTACGATGAATTTATACACCTGCAGATAAATACAAAACATCATTAGACATATCTTGTTTGTGAATTATTGTGTGAAATCTGAACTTCATTTTTATTCTTCTCCTGCAAGGAATCAAGCACTTTTAAATAGATCAAGGTAAAATATACAAATTTTGGTCCCTTCCATGATATATTTAGAAGATCCATATCATCAAATTAGTACCTTACTTAACTGTCAAGACTTTTGGCACATTTATCATTGTCTTCAATAAGAAACACAAACATGTTAAATTTTAATACTTTTTACTACATATATGACAAAGTAAATATGCTTATTCTTTTAGTAGTATTTGTAGTATATGTTATATATAACTATGTGTAATAACTTAGTGTTTACTCATTACAACAGCTGCCTTTTCTTTCACAGATCCAACATCTTTTAATGTGTAGCAGTGACTTGAGTCAGATAGCATCTAACATTTGGTCTGTAGTCAGGGACATCTTAAATCAGGTGTGAGAGTTTGTCAGCACCAAGCTTCCAAATTCCTACACTCAGGTTGAGATATCCTTGTCCACAGAACAACCCCAGGTTGTAGAAACAGTAACACATTGAAGTTGTTGATTGAGTCATTGTGACTTTGTTTTGGTTCATAAAATCATGACCCTGCCATAATGTGTGTATTGTAATAGTGTGTTGTCTTTCCCTTCCCCCCTGTGAAGCAGTTATCCCATTCCCTATAAAACATGAGACTGATGTGAGTTACCCGTGTAATACTACATTTCAGATTCCTACTCAGGACTTTTGTGTATTGTAAAAGTGTGTGACAGTTGTCTTTCCCTGTGAGACAATTATCCAATTCCAGTCAAACATTCTCATAATGCCTTCAGAATAAGGACGGAATTCTCCTCATATGTCACTTAATAGATGTCAAGAACCATGACTTTCATCATAAGGCAACAATTAAGCAAAGCTTCATGACAGAACTAAGGATATCTACAGTGTGACTAGTTTATGTTACGATATTGTGTTGATAGAACCAAGGACATCTACAGTGTGACTAGTATATGTGTACGATATTGTGTTGATAGAACCAAGGATATCTACAGTGTGACTAGTTTATGTTACAATATTGTGTTGATAGAACTAAGGATATCTACAGTGTGACTAGTTTATGTTACGATATTGTGTTGATAGAACTAAGGATATCTACAGTGTGACTAGTATATGTGTACGATATTGTGTTGATAGAACCAAGGACATCTACAGTGTGACTAGTATATGTGTACGATATTGTGTTGATAGAACCAAGGATATCTACAGTGTGACTAGTTTATGTTACAATATTGTGTTGATAGAACTAAGGATATCTACAGTGTGACTAGTTTATGTTACGATATTGTGTTGATAGAACCAAGGACATCTACAGTGTGACTAGTATATGTGTACGATATTGTGTTGATAGAACCAAGGATATCTACAGAGTGACTAGTTTATGTTACGATATTGTGCTGATAGAACCAAGGATATCTACAGTGTGACTAGTTTATGTTACAATATTGTGTTGATAGAACTAAGGATATCTACAGTGTGACTAGTTTATGTTACGATATTGTGTTGATAGAACCAAGGATATCTACAGAGTGACTAGTTTATGTTACGATATTGTGCTGATAGAACTATGGATATCTACAGTGTGACTAGTTTATGTTACGATATTGTGCTGATAGAACCAAGGATATCTACAGTGTGACTAGTTTATGTTACAATATTGTGTTGATAGAACTAAGGATATCTACAGTGTGACTAGTTTATGTTACGATATTGTGTTGATAGAACCAAGGATATCTACAGAGTGACTAGTTTATGTTACGATATTGTGCTGATAGAACTATGGATATCTACAGTGTGACTAGTTTATGTTACGATATTGTGTTGATAGATCTAAGGACATCTACAGTGTGACTAGTTTATGTTACGATGTTGTGCTGATAAAACTATGGATATCTACAGTGTGACTAGTTTATGTTACGATATTGTGTTGATAGATCTAAGGATATCTACAGAGTGACTGTAGTTTGTAGGTCCATGATTTTATGTTATGATGTTATGGTATTGTGTTGATACTACATCACAAAATACAACTGTCGGTCCGTGAAACTAATCTGCCGTAAAATAAAAATTTGTACATAGAATAGGAGACAGATTTGTTTTGCTGTAATAATACTTACTTCTGAATGTCTACAAATCTCTAGGAAGGAATCGGCTCTCAGGTATTGCTACAATAAAATCTATCATTATACAATAGAAATCAATTATCATACTACTTTGTACGGTTCAAATTTTCTGTGGTTTTAACCTGAGTTAAACTCCATAAAAAAATGGAGTCTAACTGAATTCCTTCAAATATGTTAAATGCAAATATTATCTAAATTTTTTTTGTCATATATATGTGTACTTCGTACAACTTTAATCAACATCAGAAAATTAATATCGTCAACCTTATTTATACACTTCATTCGAGTCGAAATTTGGATAAGTCAAAATATTTTCCATGGTCCATTGAATTTCAAGATAAATTTTGACTGAACATATAGTTATTGGAGTTCTTTCTCAAAGTCTAACACTTAACCTCCATGATGAAGCTGACCCCTGACCCGTAGCCTATTATAGTCAGTCATTACACTAAACCTCCATGAGAAGCTGACCCCTGACCCCTGGCTAGTAGTAGTTAGTCACAGACCTAATTATTATTTCACTATACCTCCATGAAGGGAATGACTGCTGACCCCTCAACTACAGAGTACATATCCTGGACCGGGTCTATGGACTGTCCGGTATCTGGGGTGGCTACATTTGGATCTGGCTGCCCTGGGGGGCGTGGCTTGAGCTGAGGGGCGTGATTAGCGTAGAGGACCTTAAACTCCATCAGGATTTTGTGAAGAGCATCTTCTATCTGAAATATCATGTAGAAAAAACTAATGCAACTAACATCTTCATTTTTATCATACATGGCCATTCCATCCTTTACTTTTTGAAATTTCTAATTTTTGTACACAAAAAACATACAATGAGAGTTTTCTTTTACACGTTTTAGTTAATTTAAAAATCATAGTACATTAAAAATCTTAAAATCACAGCTTTTTGCTTGATGTTCTTTAAAAGTCATAAACTAAAACTTTTGGTCATTTTTGATACATGACAGAAGAATGTACATGTATTAAAAACCTACCTTGTTGTCTTTTTCTTTCTGGGCTGCGATGTAAGCATTGATGTCCCATTCTGTAAGAAAGATTTACAAATGGCAATAAAATATTCAAATCTAATCCACTTGACTTCAATATAATATTATGATCTAACTTATCTTTCAATAAGAAACAATGAGTTGTGTGTAATAAAGCTGTAAGTACTATTGATAAGTTGCATCCTGTTAAAATATTAACATGTAATTGTAAATCATAAGATGTCAATTTTAAAATTCATTACATATATGTATTTCTTTAAGTATGGTATTTTTATCAGAAATATATCACTCTCTCTGAAAAGTGAGAGGCAAACTTGATCCTTTATAGAACTTGTTTCAATATGACAATAAACAGATTAGATGTTCCTTAAGGATATCACCATAATATCACAATCTGAGGTTTTTACCCTCAAAGTATACAAAAAATAGTAATCTATTGGTGGTTTCAGATCTATAAGAAAGTGAACTTCATGCAAAACATTTCAGTCTAGCTTTTCAGGCTAGCTAATTTTCAAAATTTCTGGATTATAAAACCTTTAATATATTCTTTAAAGGACACATTTTTTGAGGTGGCCATTGTGTAACTAATGAATGCGAGTAGTTTTTAAAATTTCAGCATAAAGTAGGGTCATTCTGAAACTGCGCATTTTGAGTTTTACATATATCAGGTCCAACATCCGATACATGTGCCTTCGTGTATAGTGGAAAAATTCCAGACCATCTGAACTGTTTCAGTCATAGGATATAACAGGACTTACCTGGCCGAAACTGATGCCCATAACCAATACCCTTAGCCCAGTATTCCAGCTCATTCTTAGCCAGTTTCTTCTCATTCTGAAATGAAAGAAAGAGCATTATTGAACAAGAGAACCTGTTTTGCTCTTAATTATATGAAATTGTAAAATTCCTCAGAAGAAATGGCATTAATAATCACTAAATGTCAAATCCAAGATGGTTGACTGTCGGCCATATTTTTTTCTGATCAGTCCAAAATAAAAATTGCACAACCTGAGACCAAGAGAAACTTGCACCTGAAACTTTGGAATGCTCTATCAATATTTTTCCAGAAAAGCAATAAAAACTATTACTTTAGAAATCCAAGATGGCTACCTGCCAGCCATTTAATTTTTCCAATCAGTTCAAATACAGACTGCACATCTGAAGACCAAGTGGCACCTACATATGTAATATGAGAATGATCTATTATGGTTTTCTCCAGAAAAGTGATAACAAGTATTGTTTAAAGATGGATGGAATGATGGATAATAGGTGCAGGCAATTTATGGTGGGCTAAAAAGTTTTGGCAATTGTGTCTAACTTTCACAATTTCAATATTTACACTCAGATTATCTCAGTCATCAATGTCAGGGTGTAAGCTAGATTACTGTGACCTACCATAGAAACAGGGGAGGTCTTCAGTCCATCTACATTTAGCTGGTATCGCTGGTTTACACGGGGCACAACCTCACTAACCTGGTAAAACAATTGTACAACATGATGTGTATTTATAATATCATGATGATCTACGACAAAACACCCATCATGTCCTTTCAAACTCTTTATACTGGTACAGCAGGTACGCAGGCTTGACTATTTATCATGAAGATTTTTTAAATCGAGATCTAAGCCCATGCTGAATCAATGGAGCTGCATAACTTTAAATAACATAATGCATCTCCATTTTCATATTTTAAGAAATAGCTCTCTGAAACAACTCATCAAAGTCTAACGTTTAATTGAGAGTGAAAATATCTTTTATTAACATAGCTTTATGTTTATTTCAGTTAACAGTATAGTTACCAAGGCCAGAGTAAGAAGGTGGTGCTCCATTTCTAAGTATGCTCCATGAGGATATCGTTTTAGATCATTCCTTTCACTGTCCACTTCAAGTCTGTAAATACACAGTTACACCACTTAGACGTTGAAAAGAGTTGGAAAGTTAACATCATCTCTACCATCTTCTACACTCCATCAAGTCCTTATAAAAATTCTCCTATCCCTTTAAACCCCCTTCATAAAGTCCCCAATTATAACCCTCCCACCCTTTCTACTCCCTTCCCCTCCATCAATTGCCCATAGTTCTACACTTACCTTGCCCATAGTTCTACACTTACCTAGCCCATAGTTCTACACTTACCTAGCCCCCCATAGTTCTACACATACCTAGACCATTATTCTACACTTACCTAGCCCATAGTTCTACACTTACCTAGCCCATAGTTCTACACTTACCTAGCCCACAGTTCTACATTTACCTAGCCCATTGTTCTACACTTATGTAGCCCATATTTCTACACTTCCCTAGCCCATATTTCTACACTTACCTAGCCCATAGTTCTACACTTACCTAGCCCATAGTTCTACACTTACCTAGCCCATATTTCTACACTTACCTAGCCCATAGTTCTACACTTACCTAGCCCATAGTTCTACACTTACCTAGCCCATTACTCTACACTTACCTAGCCCATAGTTCTACACTTACCTAGCCCATAGTTCTACACTTACCTAGCCCTTAGTTCTACACTTACCTAGCCCATAGTTCTACACTTACCTAGCCCATAGTTCTACACTTACCTAGCCCATATTTCTACACTTACCTAGCCCATAGTTCTACACTTACCTAGCCCATAGTTCTACACTTACCTAGCCCATAGTTCTACACTTACCTAGCCCATAGTTCTACACTTACCTAGCCCATAGTTCTACACTTACCTAGCCCATTACTCTACACTTACCTAGCCCAAAGTTCTACACTTACCTAGCCCATTACTCTACACTTACCTAGCCCATAGTTCTACACTTACCTAGCCCTTAGTTCTACACTTACCTAGCCCATAGTTCTACACTTACCTAGCCCATTACTCTACACTTACCTAGCCCATAGTTCTACACTTACCTAGCCCATTACTCTACACTTACCTAGCCCATAGTTCTACACTTACCTAGCCCATAGTTCTACACTTACCTAGCCCATATTTCTACACTTACCTAGCCCATAGTTCTACACTTACCTAGCCCATATTTCTACACTTACCTAGCCCATATTTCTACACTTACCTAGCCCATATTTCTACACTTACCTAGCCCACAGTTCTACACTTACCTAGCCCATAGTTCTACACTTACCTAAGCCATAGTTCTACACTTACCGAGCCCATAGTTCTACACTTACCTAGCCCATAGTTCTACACTTACCAAGCCCAATACTCTACACTTACCTAGGCCATAGTTCTACACTTACCTAGCCCATAGTTCTACACTTACCTAGCCCATAGTTCTACACTTACCAAGCCCAATACTCTACACTTACCTAGCCCATAGTTCTACACTTATCTAGCCCATAGTTCTACACTTACCTTGCCCGCAGTTCTACACTTACCTACGCCATAGTTCTACACTTACCTTGCCCATAGTTCTACACTTACCTAGCCCATAGTTCTACACTTACCTAGCCCATAGTTCTACACTTACCTAGCCCATAGTTCTACACTTACCTAGCCCATAGTTCTACACTTACCTAGCCCATAGTTCTACACTTACCTAGCCCATTACTCTACACTTACCTAGCCCATAGGTCTACACTTACCTAGCCCATAGGTCTACACTTACCTAGCCCATAGTTCTACACTTACCTAGCCCATATTTCTACACTTACCTAGCCCATAGTTCTACACTTACCTAGCCCATATTTCTACACTTACCTAGACCATAATTCTACACTTACCTAGCCCATAGTTCTACACTTACCTAGCCCATAGTTCTACACTTACCTAGCCCATAGTTCTACACTTACCTAGCCCATAGTTCTACACTTACCTAGCCCATAGTTCTACACTTACCAAGCCCATATTTCTACACTTACCTAGCCCATAGTTCTACACTTACCTAGCCCATAGTTCTACACTTACCTTGCCATAGTTCTACACTTACCTTGCCCATAGTTCTACTTACCTTGCCCATAGTTCTACACTTACCTTGCCATAGTTCTACACTTACCTTGCCCATAGTTCTACTTACCTTGCCCATAGTTCTACACTTACCTTGCCATAGTTCTACACTTACCTTGCCCATAGTTCTACACTTACCTAGCCCATAGTTCTACTTACCTAGCCCATAGTTCTACACTTACCTTGCCCATAGTTCTACACTTACCTAGCCCATAGTTCTACTTACCTAGCCCATAGTTCTACACTTACCTTGCCCATAGTTCTACACTTACCTAGCCCATAGTTCTACTTACCTTGCCCATTGTTGAAGGAAGGTTTTGATCTCCTGTATAACAGTTTTCATGTCCTTTGTTGGACACCAATAGGAAAGTTTTAGCAGCTCCATGTTTGTCACTCTCTGCATCATAGAACCCTGTAAATTAATGAGACATGAGTAACATGTAATTCACTTCCTGTAACATGGAACCCTGTAATTCAGTGTGAAAAGATTTACATGTAAGTCATTCCCTGTAACAATTATCAACTCATTTGACCCCAGCGACCTTGTCAAGGTCAATCATTTGAATAAATTTGGTAACCCTTTATCAAATTATGTCAAATAACCAATATTAACAGCCTGGACCTTTCGGTTATTGCCAAGAAGTGGTTTGGAGATTTCAGCACATTTGATGCCTGTGACCTTGTAATTAGGTTAATGTCAATAATATGAACAAACTTCATCACTGCATGCAACAGGTCAAAGATTAGCACCATAGGCCTCTTAGTTATTGAGATAGTTATCTAAAGATTTCTGACATATGTCACCCCTGTCACCTTGAAAGCAGGTCAAGGTCATTCAATTTTATAAACTTGGTAACCGTTTATCCCTTCATGCTACAGGCCATATAACAGAAGCCTGGGCCCTTTGGTTATTAAGAAGAAGTCATTTGAATGGAAAGATTACCCACGACGACAAGACAAAACATGATAGTTATAGGTCACAGTGATCTTTCAGATCAGATTACCTGATAAATGTTTTCCACTTACCTGTAACCTTGGTCTCATGACCTTGACGAGTGGAGGGTAAAATGGATAAAGGTCAATCTCGAAGGTCTGCAAACAAAATACATCATTAGGCCAATTACAAATCAAAGTGTTTCTTCTTAGTAAGTGTTTTTACACAAACAAATATTTCATATTTTACAATTCTAAAACCATTAAACTTTATGCTTCATGTACTTTATCCGTCAGTATCACTTACCATTTCCAGTTCAATGTAGTTGTACCCAAACTTCTCCTTAATTTCTCTCAGGTCATTCGCTAAATCACTTAAAGAAATTAGAGAGACACCAACATATCATTTCAAGATGATGAGAAAAACTCTTATTTGCTGTAATCAACCCAACAACATTTCTGGGTATAAAAATACATTATATACACTTTCAAATACTGGTGCATGAAAGCAAAACTTAATTTACAATTCAAGGTACGTCTATAAGAAATTAACATTTCATTTAAATGTCAATATATGTATGCATGAAATTAACACTTCATTTAAATGTCAAAATATTTTGAGTGAAATTCATACTTCATTTATATTTCAAGACATGTATGTGTGAAATTAATACTTCATTTGAAGATTTAAAGTGTTACCTTTACTAAGTAGGTCAAGTGTTACCTTTAAGAAGTGGGTCAAGTGTTACCTTTACTAAGTAGGTCAAGTGTTCCTATTACTAAGTAGGTCAAGTGTTACCTTTGCTAAGTATGTCAAGTGTTACCTTTACTAAGTAGGTCAAGTGTTACCTGTAATATGTAGGACAAGTGTTACTTTTATAAGAAGTTCATGTGTTACCTTTACTAAATAGGTCAAGTGTTACTTTACAAAGTAGGTCAAGTGTTACCTTTAATACGTTGGTCAAGTGTAACCTTTACTAGAAGTAGGTCAAGTGTTACCTTTGCTAAGTATGTCAAGTGTTACCTTTACTAAGTAGGTCAAGTGTTACCTGTAATATGTAGGACAAGTGTTACTTTTGATAAGTATGTCAAGTGTTACCTTTACTAAGTAGGTCAAGTGTTAACTTTAATACGTAGGTCAAGTGTTACCTTTACTAAGTAGGTCAAGTGTTACCTTTACTAAGTAGGTCAAGTGCTACCTTTAACAAGTAGGTCAAGTGTTACCTTTATTAAATAAGTCAAGTTTTTACCTTCACTAAGTAGGTCATGTGTTTCCTTGAATACGTCGGTCAAGTGTTACCTTTACTAAGTAGGGCAAGTGTTGCTTTTACTTAGAAGTTCATGTGTTACCTTTACTAAATAGGTCAAGTTTTACTTTACAAAGTACGTCAAGTGTTACCTTGAATACGTTGGTCAAGTGTAACCTTTACTTAGAAGGTCATGTGTTACCTTTCTGCAAAATTGAAGATCTTCACCCTCCAATTATAGATATTATCATCAATTGGCTCGGCTGTGAATCCAACTTCCTTGGAGAAAGAATGATCAAAGGAAGGGTAACTGGTAGGTGTTTTAATACTTCAATGTAACAACATGTTTTGTATAGATTAATCTATCTGACACAGCTTGTAACCTATATACTGTGTGCTTACACTAATTAATCATAAAATAAAGTAACTTTCAATATCAACTCACAAACAAATATCTACACAAACTATTCACCCTTAGACCACCAATATCAACTCACAAACAAATATCTACACAAACTATTCACCCTTAGACCACCAATATCAACTCACAAACTATTCACCCTTAGACCACCAATATCAACTCACAAACAAATATCTACACAAACTATTCACCCTTAGTCCACCAATATCAACTCACAAACAAATATCTACACAAACTATTCACCCTTAGACCACCAATATCAACTCACATACAAATATCTACACAAACTATTCACCCTTAGACCACCAATATCAACTCACAAACAAATATCAACTCACAAACTATTCACCCTTAGACCACCAATATCAACTCACAAACAAATATCTACACAAACTATTCACCCTTAGACCACCAATATCAACTCACAAACAAATATCTACACAAACTATTCACCCTTAGACCACCAATATCAACTCACAAACTATTCACCCTTAGACCACCAATATCAACTCACAAACTATTCACCCTTAGTCCACCAATATCAACTCACGAACAAATATCTACACAAACTATTCACCCTTAGACCACCAATATCAACTCACAAACAAATATCTACACAAACTATTCACCCTTAGTCCACCAATATCAACTCACAAACAAATATCTATACAAACTATTCACCCTTAGTCCACCAATATCAACTCACAAACAAATATCTACACAAACTATTCACCCTTAGACCACCAATATCAACTCACAAACAAATATCTACACAAACTATTCACCCTTAGTCCACCAATATCAACTCACAAACTATTCACCCTTAGTCCACCAATATCAACTCATAAACTATTCACCCTTAGTCCACCAATATCAACTCATGCTCTCCAACAAATATCTATACAAACTATTCACCCGTAGTCCACCAATATCAACTCACAAACTATTCACCCTTAGTCCACCAATATCAACTCATGCTCTCCAACAACAATCTATACAAACTATTCACCCTTAGTCCATCAATATCAACTCACAAACTATTCACCCTTAGTCCACCAATATCAACTCACAAACTATTCACCCTTAGTCCATTAATATCAACTCACAAACTATTCACCCTTAGTCCACCAATATCAATTCACAAACTATTCACCCTTAGTCCACCAATTTAATAGAGCATCGTTATCTTACCTGTTCACCCTCCATGATCTTGACGAGGTCATTAGTGAGAATGCCTGCCGCAGCATTACTGGTGAAGATCTGTTTGGATGTTTTCTTGTCCATACTAGGACCCATCGTAGCACCAGCTGTTTATCAAAAATAGAAACAGCTGTAAGAAATATGTATTAGAGGGGTGATGTATATTAAATATGATACCTTGTGGTAAGACAGCTGTATTACTGGGGGGTATGTATACTAAATACCTTGTGGTAAGACAGCTGTATTACTGGGGGTTATGTATACTAAATACCTTGTGGTAAGACAGCTGTATTACTGGGGGTTATGTATACTAAATATCTTGTGGTAAGACAGCTGTATTACTGGGGGTTATGTATACTAAATACCTTGTGGTAAGACAGCTGTATTACTGGGGGTTATGTATACTAAATACCTTGTGGTAAGACAGCTGTATTACTGGGGGTTATGTATACTAAATACCTTGTGGTAAGACAGTGGTATTACTGGGGGTTATGTATACTAAATACCTTGTGGTAAGACAGCTGTATTACTGGGGGTTATGTATACTAAATACCTTGTGGTAAGACAGTGATATTACTGGGGGTTATGTATACTAAATACCTTGTGGTAAGACAGCTGTATTACTGAGGGTTATGTATACTAAATACCTTTTGATAAGACAGCTGTATTACTGGGGGTTATAGGTATACTTACCCCTGGAAGTGTTAGCCTGACTTACCTGGGGAAGTGTTAGTCTGACTTACCTGGGGAAGTGTTAGTCTGACTTACCACGGGAAGTGTTAGTCTGACTTACCTAGGGAAGTGCTAGTCTGACTTACCAGGAGAAGTGTTAGCCTGACTTACCTGGGGATGTGTTAGTCTGACTTACCTGGGGAAGTGTTAGTCTGACTTACCTGGGGAAGTGTTAGCCTGACTTACCTGGGGAAGTGTTAGTCTGACTTACCTGAGGAAGTGTTAGCCTGACTTACCTGGGGAAGTGTTAGCCTGACTTACCTGGGGAAGTGTTAGTCTGACTTACCTGAGGAAGTGTTAGCCTGACTTACCTGGGGAAGTGTTAGTCTGACTTACCTGGGGAAGTGTTAGCCTGACTTACCTGGGGAAGTGTTAGTCTGACCTACCTGGGGAAGTGCTAGCTTGCTCCATCTCCTGTCTGATCTGAGCTTCCTTCTGGGCCCATCGTTTCTAAAACGCAAATTACCAGCAATTTTAACACCAAAGATATCCTACATGTTACCTGTGTCTTAATTCAGATTACTTAACATAAAAAAGGTTGTTTAAAACATGATTATATTTTGGGTATTTCAGTGCTAAGCATGCAAGTACCACAACTACACAGTTAACTTGTAATGTCATGAATATCTAGGTAGTAATACACATTCTAAACAGTGTTTTCCTTTTCAAAACGCCATTTATTTTCAAGTCCAACAATAAAACAGCAATTACCTCATGATTGGTGCTGGATGCTAGGATTACAGTCACATATAATGTACGATACAGGAGAAACCACAACCAATGTGTTATAGGGTGCTGGGATCAAATGATTTTAGAATTCAGTGAATGAGTTTCTAAGATTGTTGAATTAACATAAAACATTTCAAGTAAATTTTAATCTGGTGCAAAGTTTTAAATTACTTGTAGTTTAACCAACAGTTGAATTCATCATAAAGATACAGGAAAATGCAGGGTCTTATATTAAGTTTCATTCTTCTGAATGAAGTCTTAGAATTTGACATAAGATTAAAGATTTGTTCATAAATCTCCTAAGACATGGAGACTGATGGAAGATCCTGTTTATATCAAATAACCAATAAGTGCTAGACACTGCTATAAGATATCAATGATATTTTCACTCTTTCTCTTTGGTGACATCCCCATGTATATGACACCATGAACTAGACAACACTAGGGCAACAATTTGAACTTTCAGCAAATCATAGATTAAGTTATTTATAACTGTAAGTAAGAGATTTGGGTTACTTATATCTGAGAAATTTTAGTTATCAATAACTATTATTGAGAGATCTGGGTTTTTTTATAACAATTACTAAGAGATTTGGGTTATTTATATCTATTGCTGAGAGATTTAGGTTACTTATAACTATTACTGAGAGATTTGGGTTATTAATAACTATCAAAGAGATTTCGGTTATCTTTAAATATTACTGAGAGATTTGGGTTATTAATAACTATCAAAGAGATTTCGGTTATCTTTAAATATTACTGAGAGATTTGGGTTATTTATATCTATTGCTGAGAGATTTAGGTTTATTATAACTATAACAGAGATTTGGGTTATTTATATCTGAGAGATTTGGGTTATTTATAACTATTACTGAGAGATTTGGGTTATTTTATAAATAAGACTGAGAGATTTGGGTTGAGAGATTTTTTTAACTATCACTGAGAGATTTGGGTTATTTATAAATAAGACTGAGAGATTTGGGTTATTTTTAACTATCACTGACATTTGGGTTATTTATAAATAAGACTGAGAGATTTGGGTTATTTTTAACTATCACTGAGAGAGATTTGGGTTATTTATAATTGCTGAATGATTTAGGTTTATTATAACTATAACAGAGATTTGGGTTATTTATATCTGAGAGATTTGAGTTATTTATAACTATTATTGAGAGATTTGGGTTTTTTAAAACTATTACTGAGAGATTTGGGTTATTTATAAATAAGACTGAGAGATTTGGGTTATTTTTAACTATCACTGACATTTGGGTTATTTATAAATAAGACTGAGAGATTTGGGTTATTTTTAACTATCACTGAGATTTGGGTTATTTATAAATAAGACTGAGAGATTTGGGTTATTTTTAACTATCACTGAGATTTGGGTTATTTATAAATAAGACTGAGAGATTTGGGTTATTTATAAATAAGACTGAGAGATTTGGGTTATTTTTAACTATCACTGACATTTGGGTTATTTATAAATAAGACTGAGTGATTTGGGTTATTTTTAACTATCACTGAGATTTGGGTTATTTATAAATAAGACTGAGAGATTTGGGTCATTTTTAACTATCACTGAGATTTGGGTTATTTATAAATAAGACTGAGAGAGAGATTTGGGTTATTTTTAACTATCACTGAGATTTGGGTTATTTATAAATAAGACTGAGAGAGATTTGGGTTATTTTTAACTATCACTGAGAGATTTGGGTTATTTATAAATATTTAGGTTTGAGAGATTTGGGTTATTTTTAACTATCACTGAGATTTGGGTTATTTATAAATAAGACTGAGAGATTTGGGTTATTTTTAACTATCACTAAGATTTGGGTTATTTATAAATACTGAGAGAGACTGAGAGATTTGGGTTATTTTTAACTATCACTGAGATTTGGGTTATTTATAAATATAGAATATATAACTGAGAGATTTGGGTTATTTTTAACTATCACAAAGATTTGGGTTATTTATAAATAAGACTGAGAGATTTGGGTTATTTTTAACTATCACTGACATTTGGGTTATTTATAAATAAGACTGAGAGATTTGGATTATTTTTAACTATCACAAAGATTTGGGTTATTTATAAATAAGACTGAGAGATTTGGGTTATTTTTAACTATCACAAAGATTTGGGTTATTTATAAATATTACTGAGAGATTTGGGTTATTTTTAACTATCACAAAGATTTGGGTTATTTATAAATATTACTGAGATATTTGGGTCATTTTTTAAATTGAACCTTTTTCCGTGCCAGGTGTAAATCCCATTCTGTTGTAAAGGCATCATCATCAGCCAAGATCATCTCCTGTATTTTGAAAGAAAAAAAAAAGATACAAAAATTGTAACCACTGGTAAAATCTTAGTTCATCACAAATATCACCAAAACAACATGTAGTAGCTCAATCATACACTGATCCTTAAAACACTGGTCTGGTTTAGGAAATACATGTCCTCAAAGTTTGAAGAAAAATTCCTTCAACAATTATTGTGAAATACTGATAACAAACATCAATTATTTCACATTATAAATAGGTTCCTGGTGGTTAAATGCTTAAAACATTCACAGCTGTTTATTTTTATATGTTTGTCGTAATAATAGCTCTTCTCAGCTAACGTTACATGTTTCATTGTATACGACAGAAAAAAAATGTCTTGTATCTTGTACAACAAGCATGATATTGTGGGACTGATGAATACACTCAGAAATAACTAAACTGTAATATTTTGGAACATTTTTTTTCAGGTTTGTAATGTTAATAAAATAGTAGTTCTTATAACACAACCAGTAGAAGATTAGGGTGTGATGTTTCAATGACTACACGGTCACCTTCATCTTATAACACAACCAGTAGAAGATTAGAGTGTGACATTTCAATGACTACACAGTCACCTTCATCTTATAAACACAACCAGTAGAAGATTAGAGTGTGACGTTTCAATGACTACATGGTCACCTTCATCTTATAACACAACCAGTAGAAGACTAGAGTGTAAGGTTTTGATGGATACACAATCAACTTTATCTAACAAATGACCAGAATGGAGCAAACTTGCACTAACATACCATTACATAGTGTGGGAGATAGTGCAGAATTTACCAACTTTTTCAGCTGTACTATAATCCTAGGTACACTAAGGTTGAAATAGTGTGACAAGATGGTCAGGAATGGACCAACTTTCTCGGCTGTACTATAATCCTACATACACTAAGGTTGAAATAGTGTGAACAGGCAAATATCCACAACATTAACCTGTTAATATGTCCTATGATAATATTTCTAATCAAATTTTTATGATTTCCAATAGAAATTCAACAGAATGTCCTATAACTATAGTAAATGTTGCCCTCCGGTGGAGATACCAACCCTAGTCATAGAACTCACACCATCAATAGAAGTTCTACAGAATGTCCTATAACTATAGTAAATGTTGCCCTCCGGTGGAGATACCAACCCTAGTCATAGAACTCACACCATCAATAGAAGTTCTACAGAATGTCCTATAACTATAGTAAATGTTGCCCTCCGGTGGAGATACCAAACCTAGTCATAGAACTCACACCATCAACAGAAATGATTCAATTCTTCAAATCTAAGTCAAAGAAAAAAGAAGGAAAACAAATTTTGAAATCTCAGCAATAAAAACACCACCTTTTGGCCCCACCCCTAGAGTCTGGGTATCAGTCAGCATCAATATAAACTGTACTGTTACTAAAAATGTTCAAGTTTTAATAGTGTTTGTCATGGAGTTAAAAGTTTTCCTATAATAAACTTTTTCATCTTTCTAAGGAATAATGTGAAATCCTTGTGTTATGACATTCAACATTTGATAAAGCACCATATTAGAATTTTTTTTAAAAATCAATTTCATTCTACTATGTCTGATCTTCACAAGAAGATCTTTTTTAGAAATTTTAGTCAGTTTAAGAAGCAGGGCCAAGAGTATTCCTGTTTCTCAGCTACCTCTGGTTGGGGAAGGTTTCTGCAAAATTATCGGTTCAAATGATTTGGCAAAGTGGTAAAAAAATGTCCATTGTTTACAGAAGTACAATGAACGATGCATGAGGCAGGACAGAAAAAGGCAAGTACAATTGATAAACTGAGCCTTTGTCACTGGTGACCTTATAAAAAGGCAAGTACAATTGATAAACTGAGCCTTTGTCACTGGTGACCTTATAAAAAGGCAAGTACAATTGATAAACTGAGACTTTGTCACTGGTGACCTTATAAAAAGGCAAGTACAATTGTTAAACTGAGCCTTTGTCACTGGTGACCTTATAAAAAGGCAAGTATAATAGATAAAATGAGACTTTGTCACTGATGACCTTATAAAAATGGGGAAAAAGGCATCTGGTGAGAGTGATCTAACAAAAAGCAGATTTATACATGTTTCACCTCTTCATCATCTTCTTCCATTCTCGCTTCATCACTGAATTCCTCCTGTGCAAGAAAAAATAAATGTGTTTTCAGAACAAAATAAAGGTAATAATAAAACAATAGGTCCACAGGCCTTAACAGTCATATGACTACAAAAAAACTTTCAGTAGGGAGAAGGGTTATATTTTCTACTTGGAATAAAATTTTACTATGAAGCTGATTTCAATCATGCAGGTGGTAGTTTTGGTAAGCAGTAGGTAACTGTAACAAGTATAGACCGAAGGGTCTAATAAAAACACGACAGACTACAAGTTTTATCAAGACATTTGAAAACTGCTCTATTCAAATGTATTCTCCAAGAGAACCTGTGACTATGGATATTAATCCTGGAGTCTGTCTGGACAACAAATGCAGGCAAATAATCAAATGATTAAAATCAAACCAGAAATGTTCCGGAATTAATCTTAATGAACTTAGCAAGATGCCATATAGATTTTTCTCAGTCATGTTCTACAACTTCATTTTGAAGAGAACACTTTATTGACAAGCACTAAGCGCATTTATTCAAATGTTAATACGTTTCTCTTTAGTATCATACATGAACATAGCACAAATCTTGGTCTTTCTTTCACATTTGTTTTAAGATTTGGATACATCTGACCACTTTGATCCACAGGGTGGGTGAAGGTCATTCATTTGAACGAATTTTATAACTAAACTTTCTTCCAAGAGGGACACAAGCCATGGGCATATAATTTGGATATATCACCTTTAACCTCAGTGGTAAGTGTCTCTAATGGACATCCCTGACCTTAACCAAAGTGGCCAGTGTCTCCAACTGACATCCCTGACCTTAACCTCAGTGATCAGTGTCTCCAACTGACATCCCTGACCTTAACCTCAGTGGCCAGTGTCTCCAACTGACATCCCTGACCTTAACCTCAGTGATCAGTGTCTCCAACTGACATCCCTGACCTTAACCTCAGTGGCCAGTGTCTCCAACTGACATCCCTGACCTTACCCTCAGTGGCCAGTGTCTCCAACTGACATCCCTGACCTTAACCTCAGTGGCCAGTGTCTCCAACTGACATCCCTGACCTTAACCTCAGTGGCCAGTGTCTCCAACTGACATCCCTGAACTTAATCTCAGTGGCCAGTGTCTCCAACTGACATCCCTGACCTTAACCTCAGTGGCCAGTGTCTCCAACTGACATCCCTGACCTTAACCTCAGTGGCCAGTGTCTCCAACTGACATCCCTGAACTTAACCTCAGTGGCCAGTGTCTCCAACTGACATCCCTGACCTTAACCTCAGTGGCCAGTGTGTCCAACTGACATCCCTGACCTTAACAAGTTAAGGTAAGAAAGACAACTGATGAAAACCAGACAGATGGATGACCTACTCATTAGCTTACTTACCCTTCAGACAGTGAACTCACTACTCATTACAAAAGCAGGTTCAATCACTTTGAAATTTTCAAAGAAAACCTGAACACTCATTTCAGTTTTTTAATACCAACAATATTGAACACTTACCTCTGATGAGACTGGGCTATTGTTACCACGACATTTCTCCTCCATGTGTAGACTCACAGCTCTGTAAAAATGAAGTTCACAAGACCTCAGAAACGTGGAACACGCCGACACATTCATATCCAGACACCAACAAACATGGAACACAGAGATAAAATTCTATTTTGAACTGGAATAAACTGTTGTTCATGCTGCATTAGACACTGATCAGAGATTGTAGTGAACAAGACAAACAAGTCTTAAACTTGTTCTAGGGAACAGGACCAACAAGTCTTAAACTTGTTCTAGGGAACAGGACCAACAAGTCTTAAACTTGTTCTAGGAACAGGACCAACAAGTCTTAAACTTGTTCTAGGGAACAGGACCAACAAGTCTTAAACTTGTTCTAGGGAACAGGACAAACAAGTCTTAAACTTGTTCTAGGAACAGGACCAACAAGTCTTAAACTTGTTCTAGGAACAGGACCAACAAGTCTTAAACTTGTTCTAGGGAACAAGACAAACAAGTCTTAAACTTGTTCTAGGGAACAGGACCAACAAGTCTTAAACTTGTTCTAGGGAACAGGACAAACAAGTCTTAAACTTGTTCTAGGAACAGGACCAACAAGTCTTAAACTTGTTCTAGTGAACAGGACCAACAAGTCTTAAACTTGTTCTAGTGAACAGGACCAACAAGTCTTAAACTTGTTCTAGGGAACAGGACCAACAAGTCTTAAACTTGTTCTAGGAACAGGACCAACAAGTCTTAAACTTGTTCTAGGGAACAGGACCAACAAGTCTTAAACTTTTACTAGGGAACAGGACAAACAAGTCTTAAACTTGTTCTAGTGAACAGGACCAACAAGTCTTAAACTTGTTCTAGGAACAGGACCAACAAGTCTTAAACTTGTTCTAGGGAACAGGACATCTAAGACTGAAAATTGTTCTAGGGCACAGGACCAATGAGACTGAAACTTGTTCTAGGGCACAGGACCAATGAGACTGAAACTTGTTCTAGGGCACAGGACCAATGAGACTGAAACTTGTTCTAGGGAACAGGACATCTAAGACTGAAACTTGTTCTAGTGAACAGGACCAACAAGTCTGAAACTTGTTACAAGTGGCCAAAAAGTCAGAAGCTGCCTATCTGTGGTGAATCTAAAAAGAGGCCAAAATGGCCTGAGACTATGGTGACTCTTGCAAGATCCCGAAAATGTCTGAAATTGTCTACAAGTTGTGACTCTTACATGAGACACACTAGATATATAAAAAAGTATTAATAATGTTATACAAGGCCTGAGATTTACAATAGTCCATCAGAAATACCTGTAATACAGGTTGATGGATGATAAATATCTCCTTGTAGGTGATACTTACTTGTTCAGAACATCCCGTAAACTTAACTTCTGGCATGTATCCAGGAGGAACTGTCAACACATACAACAATGTAATATACACAGATCTCCTCAATAATGAATCAGGCGTAACATCACCACAGATATAGAAAGTATATTATCTCTTCATTCTCTATCTACTGGCCTTATAATGTATTCTATGAATTATTGTCCATGCTCCTGTCATTTTGTTGAAACCAGTGACTGACCTGCTACATTTATTTATTCATTTTTTCAGTCATTAAGTGTAGTGGAGTAGCAATATTTACCTCATTGAAAGCCGAGCTCCAATCCTTAATGATTGGGTCAGATTCCACAAAGAAATTATCTTCATAGTCAGGATAACCTGGTAAAGCAAAGAAAAACAAAAGGCCAGATGAAAGATTGTAAAATTTAACTTAAATAGAAGAAGGAATGGTGACATATTTCAGCTAAGCATCAAGCTGGAATAGCTTGCCCCCAAAAGGCCTTTTACTTATGTTAAACTGCTAATTAGAGCCCCATGGGTTTTAACGGTCATCTGACACTGAAGACCTACAATTGATACAACGGCACTTGCAGTGATATTTATTAAATGATTGCAGATATCATAGCAGTAAAAGGGAAAAAACTATAAGGAAAGAAAAAACACACTCTTCACTTTTGTTGTATAGCATTCATACAAAATTTCATCTTCAGCTTGTAGCCTGCCCTTTTATAAGTTCTCAGACAATTTTGAAGGAAGGATATTCATAAAGTCAAAATTCTTTCGCTTTATTCTCTTAATAAATACCATTAAATATACAGATTTCTTGACCACACAACCTTATATTTTTCTTGGATGTTAGAAGACACACATGTATAATTGCTAGGGAGATATAGTCATACTGCAGTTTTACAACAAACTATAATGACATTCAATATAAATCTTACTTGATTTTAACTCAGAAATAAAGCTGATATTAAGTTTTTGATAATTTGACCTTATAGGAGTCGACAATAGCTAATAATGATCTCACCTTTTGGAAATCAAACATAATAAAGACACAAGCTCCATAATCTGAAAACTCCACGATCTCATTTTGTGAGAGTTTAAGGCATGATATTAACATATGCTTCAGGATTTCAATTTGTGGGCCTCACATACAGCTAAGCTGAAACTTGATGTAAAATTAGTGATGAAATCTGACCATGTGCTGGCACAATATTAAATTATCATACCTATAGGGACAAGGAGTTTGAATTCGTGTTCACAAGCCAACAACAGATTCAGAAATGCTTCACCATTGTCCTTCGCTGTAGCCTGAAGTAAAAACAATCATAGTTATCTCCCTTGATTGATCAAAACCAAATAATCTGGAAATCAATAGCATGGCTAAATAAGCTGTGCTCTATCCCTTAATACACATATTTACCAAATCCTGTTTTCACAAAACACTAGTTGACAACCTATTCTTTCAATAGAGAAAACACAATTAAAATTCTTTCAACTTTCAAGTTGACTCTATTGGTTATCTTAATGGCAATCATAATAGGTTCTGATACATTTTATGTACTGAAAATAAAGAACATGTTCATAGTAAGAGTATGGGCCAGTATATACACATATCCTATATATACACACATCCTACATATATATACACACATCCTATATATATATTCACATCATATATATACATCCTATATATACACACACACACATCCTATATATACACACATCCTATATATATATACACACATCCTATATATACACACATCCTATATATATATTCACATCCTATATATACTTCCTATATATACACACATCCTATTTATACACACATCCTATATATACATACACACATCCTATATATACACACATCCTAACACACATCCTATATATACACATCCTATATCTATACATCCTATATCTATACACATATGATGAAAATTACATAGAAGTTTTATAAAACTACATCTCCACCAGAAAATGTGAGACTCATTTTGGTAATTAAAGCACCTGAGTATGCTTTCAGACATACTAAGTATTTGATCTTACAATACCTGTGTGTCGAGAAGATTTTTGAAATTAAAGTCAATTTGACTCCTTTTGATAATCAGCCCCTGGTGATCAGTCAGGATCAATATGGGTATACCATCAACCCACTATTCCTCACTCATAATTCTAACCAACTTTAAACAATTTCCAATGGAAATAAAACAAATTATGCTCAAAAATCTATTTTTCCTCTAAAAACTATAGTAAACTTTACCTCTTCTCCACAGGCAAATGTGAGACCCTGGAGCCATGAAATTCACAATTTTGTTAAGCACCTTAAGATACTAGCATCTGTGAAGGGCATTTGATTCTACCATTTCTGGGTGTTAAGAAATTTTTTTTAAATTTAAGTCAATTTGACCCCTTCTGCCCACCCTGCCCCCTAAGGCCCCTGTGGGATCGGGACTGTATAATTAACAATTTTGGTTCATCTTAGGTCAGGGAAGGTTTCTGTAAAATTTCAATGAAATCGGATCAGGAGTTTTTTAAAAAGAAGTTGAAAATGTGAAATTATTTACGGATGCATGGCACTGGATGAAGGTGATCACAAATGGTCATCATGAAACTTTGCCAAAATAAGATGCTACTGTAAGGCAGCATATTTACCAATATTCTCCTTGTAATAGTTCCTACCAAAGACATCGACTTGTTGAAATCTCCAGGCCAAACCAAACTGATGACACTAAATTTTGTTTTGAAGCAGTAATTATTCTATTAAAATTTCTGAACAATAATCTGATTATCTTCATTCTCTATCAGACATCACAGATGTTACATGTACCTAGTTTATTTATCACTATGCCTAAAACCACTATAAATCTACGCTGATATTCTTTGGACTGTAGTTTGCAATATAATGAAAAAGCTTTTAATTCTTGTTGTGTTGAACACAAAGTCAGTTTCACATACATTAGATTGACTCAGCTGTTCTGTGGCAGGAAATAGTTTAATTTATGTCAATTTTAACATTGATCAAACTGGTCAATCACCAAAAGTCCTTACAGAGCCACCATGTCAGCATTTCATGGTTGACTGCTGATTAAAACTCAAGGTGGATTTCTAATATATCCCAATTTTTAATTAAAAATGATAACAAGATGCCCATAGGGCCTGTATCATTCACCTGGATCTTAAAGCCCAGCAATGACTATAGGTTGGGTATTTCAAATGTCTCCAAATTAAAACTCAGTCACTTTACCTCTTTGATGGGGGCAAGACCAATGGGTAAATTCTTATATCATGACTGTTTTTCTCTTTTGATTACCAGTAAGAGTTTATATGGTTATCGGCTGGTATCTCAACAATATCAAAGATATGACCCAGAGGGGTGAGGCCACACCCTGACCCAGAGAGGTGGGGTCACATCCCGACTCAGAGGGGTGGGGCCACACCCTGACCCGGAGAGGTGGGGCCACACCCTGACCCAGAGAGGTGGGGTCACATCCTGACCCAGAGGGGTGGGGCCACACCCAAGGGCCAGTTTTTACCATCATGCATGTGTTTATCTCTTGATGCCCAGCATTGCTATGTAAGATTTGGAGTAGGGATCTCAACTATTTCAAAGTTATTACCACAAAACTGAGTTCCTAGGAGTGGAACCAGACCTCTGGGCCAATTCTTACATCATGAACGTATTGATCTCTTGATGCCCAACATTGCTATATATGGTTATGGAGTTGGCATCTGAACAGTTTTCAAATACATTTCCTGTATTGAGCCCCTCCCCGCCTTCCCAGGGTGGGTAGGGAACCAGAGATCAATTATTCATACAAAATTGATTCCTCTTCACCTAAACATGATTCAGACCAAATTTGGACAAAATCCAATTATTCCTACATGAGGAATAGGACTCTACATAATTTGCTCTTGTTTCCCTTGTTAGGTCCCACCTATCTCATACCAAGGAAGCGACAACCACTGTTTATACAAAATTAATTCCCTTTCACCAAAACATGATTAACACCAAATTTGGACAAAAGCCAATCATTCCTACAGAAGAAATAGAATTTTAAAGAATTTGCTCTATTTCTCCTATTGGGCCCTGCAACTCACACCCCAGAAAGGCTGAGGCTGACTGTTTGTGCAAAATTGATTTCTCTTCACCCGAAGAGACCTCGGACTAAATTGGCTAAAATCCAATAATTTCTACAGAAGGAGTAAGATTTTAAAGAACTTACTCTACTTTCCCCTATTGGGCCCCACCCCTCCCATGTGAGGTGAGACCCATTGTTCATACAAAATTAACTTCTCCTCACCCAAAGATGCTCCCGACCAAATTTGGTCATAATCATCTCTGTTGTTCATGACTAGTATTATTATGTAGAAAAAGTTGACAGACAACAGGTGAAGCACAACGCAGTATCCCTATAGCACCCTTATGGCCAAGTGAGCTAATAAATTTCAATCTAAATGAACCTACAAATTTGGCTTCAAGGAATTTTACTTTTGACATGAAATCATGGTCATTTTGAGGCAGAGTCTCATTGCAGTAGTTGGTGGTTACCTCACACCACACACTGTCACATGCCATCTAGAGCAATTAGGGTAAAGTGTCTTATCCAAGGATACATCCACGACAGCAAAGACCCAACTGTTTCTCAGTTACCTCAGAAACACAAACCACCATGGCTAGGAAGCATTGAACTGTGCATCTAAGATATCCACCTGATTTAGTTAATTAGCTTACAACGTTAATAAGGAATGTTTCATGGCCCCTCACACACTTCTTTCAGCCACAAAATCTTTTAAATAGATGGCATTAAAAACCTGTGTACTTTTCTTATTGACTCATGTGAGTTTTGTGATACATTACTTTAATATGTTAGCATTATTTTTGTTATAGAAATGATCACTGGTGGACAACATGTCTCTCCGGTCAGTGCAAAGTGCATAGAAGTGAATGGTACATAGGTATGTATGTAGATAAGATACCAAAAGTTATATTTTTGGTGGGAACATAAATGACTTCACGACTCAGTAATCAGAAAAACAAAAAAAGCTAGAATCAATAAAAGTTTCCACTCGTGTTAGCTTCTTATCTCTCTATATCATACATCTCTGTACACATGTAGATGACACAACTGTGGTGCAATATGTCATAGACTATTACGTACAAATATTTAATATGGATGCCAGGCTTAATGTATACGCATAATACAAATGTGATAATTAGTGCTAAAAGCCAGAATATTATCCTAAAAAATATTAAGCATGATAAGGAATGTGCGATAATTGTAAAACTCAACGTTTTACATGTTCGAACTGCAGAGTTCAACAAAATCGGCCTTCGTATATGTCAACATAAGCCCAAATTATACATATTATTCCCAATATAGTCCTATAGAGTCATTTTTGCAGTTTGTGCATATTCATCGTACTGTCAATTAACATGAATCAAATTTTCTATTTCTTATTTTGGTCGAATGCTTTTTTAATCTGCAACCCGATGATGGAGAGCGCATTATTTACATATTCATGGTCGAACTAAACACTGCGCAGATGCGCTACGCCAAATGTCATAACATATATTCACCTCTAAAAGAAACACAATGTCTGAATCTTCATCTTTCTGCCATTCCTCGAATTCCTGTACAAGGAAATCTGTGTATTTCTTCTCATTTTCAGATGTCATCTTAGTATTTTTCACGGAAGTGACGTAATTTCTACCTCCTTCGTAGAAGAGCATCAACATCAAATCACATGACAAGCACCTGTTCATGGCGCGAAAATCAATTAAAAATGTAGCAGGAGCTGCTACGTTGTATGATATCTGAACTGTTCCAGTTTGTTTCTTTTATTTTTCTTTATGATAATGTTTGCTGGCTGTTGACACTGTATTTTGAAGTATCATCTATTGATTAGAGGGTAAATTGTACCCAGGTGTCGGATATGTATAAGTATTGCATGTTTGTATTATACATTTGTCATACTTATATTACAATCTGTGTTGCTGTTTGCTTTTAGAAAATTATTGTCTTTCCTGTACTATCAAGTTTTTCCTGTATTATAAGGTGCCAAGTTTCAATAAAATTCCATCGAGCAGTGTAGAAGGAGTTGTCCTTATTAGGTTACAGACACTCGCTGACAGACAGAAAGACAAACTGATTCCTACATACAATCCGCCCAACTTGTTCGCGGAGTTTTAAAAGCAAATCGAAGACAAAAGTAAGCAAACAGACGTTTGGTTAGTATATGTCAAAGAAATGCAGAGATATCACATTCAAGCATACGTGAGCATCTTATACATTTCATGGCGAAATCCGACGATGACATGGCGACCGTTATCTTCCTAGACGGGCGCTGAGATAATTATAATTATCCCTATCAAAATACGATAACACTAAGTTGAAAATCCATTGAAATACAATTCATTTTTCCTGATCATTTGTCTGTTACAAAAACAAAAATAAACAAAAAACCTCATTGGGACATGTTAGAAATCTCATTGAAATAAGTAGAAATATTTAGATTAGTTTGTCAAATTAGATGTCATAAAATAATGGTATTTCAATTGCTGAAATAAAAATGCAATACAATTGTAGAAAATAAATGAATTTCAATGGTAACTCTGGGGTCATAAGTCAGCGTGTTTTTAGCTAGCACAGCGAGCACTTTATTAGGTATTTGTATGTAAATTCGAAGTGGTTGAAAATAAAACCCAATAAAATTCAACAAACTGCTTACGTGACTGCCTAGGAAAGCTAGCTCGCAAGAACTTTCTGCAAAACGATCTGTGAACTTCCGAATCAAACATGATCTACAAAAAAAACACACACAAAACACAAACAAACAACAACAACAAAGAAAATACCGCAATGTCGACTGAATCTTAATATCAAACTAAAATCTTCAGGAAAATAGTGACAAGATATCTTAGAACTGGACTGCTTTCTGATGGCATTATGAGCAATATGAATGCCATCTGGACCAATGTAAATTTAATAAAGCGCGTTTTCTGCGGGAGGAGGTCAATCAATTCTGATTCAATTTGTTATGTGATTTCAGGTAACAATAACTTGGTGGCTGGACTTTACAAGTATTACACAGAGTCTACATCCTCATCTTACATTTCTACACATTAGTCGTCTCGGTGAAACTGTAAAGACAATTCACAGTTAACGCCCAGGTTCAGGCACTCTTTATACAATATAATATATACCCTTCATGGTCATGTAGCAGACGATAGAAAAATGGATTTAGGTTGTTGAGGATAATAACGGACGAGGGGAGGTAACCTTAATTGGTTTAATTGGCAGTTATTGTCCACGACTACATTCGGCAAGGTGATTAGTAGCAATTCCACAGAGTGGTTAATATCTGCATATGAGCAAAAGAAAGATTATCACCGTGAGAGATCGTTAAAAAAGTACAAAGAGAATTATGCAAGGTGTTTCGGAAGAGTAAGCACCGTCTGCTTCATCGACGACATTATGTAAGCTTTGTCAATCCAAGTCAAGCAATGTCACAGTCTCAAATGAGATCAAGGTTTGCAACAAGCTACGACGGTACCAGCAGGCAAACCAACAATGTTTCTAAATAAGAAAATTAAGACGACCATAAATATTAATGTCACTTCTCGTGTAAATAGTATCACAATAAGAATGTAACTGCGATTTGACATTACTAAGAATAGTAGTAATACGTTTTGATAAGATTGAATAACTACATGAGCCAGCGATAAAACACTGTTTATATCGAATTTTGTGACTTTAATTAATCTAATACTTACTGGTTACCGTTTCAACAATTACCTGGCCTAGTTTTCCATGGGGTACATAAGCGTCCTGAAATTCACTTTCCAGTTAATGGAAGAAACTTCACGATATTTGGAGCCGTTTATGAAAAGCTCTTGTAGCTGTACACTTTGCCGAAATCGCCAACTACTGTGTATCCAACTAGACAAAGGTTACAAGGAGAGGATGAACAAGACCACGTTGGGTTTTTTGTACAATTTTGAAGGAGGGGTGGTTCTGAGGCCATCTGCGTTCAGTTGTTGGAGCGTTTGGTTGTAAATGAAGTTTGAAAGCAATGGACTTCGAGTAACCTCGAGAAATGTCAGGGACTTTTTAACTGGAAGTTTGGTGAGTTGTTAGATTATAACAGACATCTGTTGTAAAACATTACTGATGTCAATAACATTCATTTCTTTGTTTTTTCAAACTCGACTTTCATCATTTGCCTCTCTGCCAGGGTAACTGCGGCAATCTACAGCACAGGTTTACTACCGATGAAGGGAAGGTGTGAACGTTTCAAGTACTGTATTACTGAACAAAGTATTGATAGTATTGTACTGAAGTACTTCACCAATCGAATTCCTTAAATTTATGCAACAAGCTCTCTGATTGGCATAGCCAAGTCTAGATCGATTGTGGGTGGAGCCAGGTGAAAAAATATTGTGCAGACATCGGCATTTTACAAACACTCGACTGTCGCGAGAGGTTAATTGGAAGAGTCCAAGTCACAGGTGGCTTCAGATCAGACCTAATTGGGTTGTCCCATTTGTTTCGTTCTACACCCAATGATACCTTGCTTTTCCATCGATGGTACAACGAGAAAACGAAAGTTACTCAGTACTAAACTAATTTACGTACAAAATATATATCAACAGGTTAGATCACCGGGACCGGAGAATTCATAACATCTTAACAGTGATTATAGTTTCATTGTACTAGTTTTATTTATTTATTTATTTTTTTCCAAAATATTTCGGTTTAAGCCCAAATTATATGTAACAAAGAATTACGATTTACTGGGACCTCCTGATATAGATAATTCATACTGCATTAAAAAGTAAAGGAATTCTGTGGTCCCATATATTTTTTATTTTATCTTTCCATCGAAAATTATACATATCCGCAACATGTGAAAAAACTTTGAAGTTGGTTGGGCGGAATATCTAAGCATTTACTACTGCAAGTTCCAGAAATTCTGACACAAGTCGGGTAGAAGCCTCTGTCTCATGACATTGAATACATATTCAACGTTGTATCCCGGGGAATGTCTAAAAAACCAGGGACACGCCATATTCTTTCAGCATATTTCTTAAAATGCGCTCTCCCTGTCTATGGTGATGGAATCCACAATTATCCATCACAACCACATCGCCTTGTACAAAAACAGGATTCCCCATATCGTTCGTATCGGACATAATTTCATCGAAGAAAATTTTGCGTACTGTTGCCGTCGTCGGACATTTTTCCAGCGATTACTTAGTAATTGTTATGTAACTGATAGTGTACATTAACTCCGCCTACCGGAACAAATTGGGTGTCAGATCAACTATTCAGGTTGTCTAAACTCCGCCTCCGACCAATCACAGAGGTCGTTGTATACTTGACTCGATTATTTGAATACTTCAATACAATAGTATCAATACTTTGTTCAATACTATAGTAAGTGTGTCGTTCACACCTTCCCTTCATCGGTAGTAAAAATCTTATTTGTGCGACACTAACAACAATTTATGAAATCTCTAAGCTAGCTTCTAACGGCCAAGAGGTACTACTGTTTTTTGCTGAATCCACTTGAAATTTTCGAAACACAAAGAGAGAAAGTGAATAGAACGTAGTTTAAACACGATGGACACCTAGAGGTTTCTGTAAAGTCTACTTAAAGTATTCAAACTTGTATCTGATAGGTTTAGTTAATACCGGTGTCTCTGGCAACGATCATTTAAACCCACAACAATAGTATTATCTCATAAAGTACTAGACAAAGATGGTAAGAGATGCAGGAATGTTGCTATCCATAAATGTAAAATTCACAATGTGGAAATTGATTGGTTTCGTTGTAGGAAAACATCGAGGCAAGAGGCCGATGTTGAACAGCCTGTCGTGGTGCTGATTTGGAATTCTAGTTGATATATACGATGGACTCGGTCTATAAATTTCTTATTATGTAAAGACAAGACGTCATCAATATATCTTAAAGTGATACTAAACGACCTTGCAAGGTGTTTGTGACCTGTTTTGATAAGATCGTCAATAAATTCAGCCTCGTATCCAAGCTAAGAAGACGTGTTAAATAGGAACATGCATATACCGCGGGTCGCGTCTTCCCTCATCCTGTCTCATCAACGCCAGATCGATATAAACTAATCCACGGGTAACTTTCTTCATATGTGATAACTAGGGCAATAAATCCCAGGTAAACTATTAGAATTACACGGTGTTCTACAGTGATCAGGCCATTATCAACGTTGTTGTATTTTGATTACTAATAATAATGTGTAGTTATTAATACTCGCGGCAGATTTCATTTCGTTATTTCATGACCAATAAAGATATCGCGAAATTGTACATTTATTGAACATTTCCATAGTAACCATTTACTATCAGAATCGCAGAAACATTTGTTATGCCTGTTTACATGGACACCAGTTCATCGACGACTTGTGTAAAATTAAGAAAACCTGTGACAGCCTACACCAAGAAATAGGGATTTTCTGATAAACCATAAAAATCGACACAGGTCAAAATATATGATTTTTAAATGGTAAACAAACCGAAGCCGAATTGATTACATTACATTGTAACCATCTTGTGTATTTTGTTCTATGATCTGTTTACCATCTCGTCGCACCATTTTCTACGTCAGTAAATATTGGCATATACTACAGTCGAATAAAGTGGT